GTAGTAAAATAACTCTAAAAAAGATCTAGTTTAATATTTACTTAATCTATATTTAATATATTTAAAGCTATATAGATTAATATATATTTAGAACTACTTAACTTTATAGTTTATAACTATAAAATAAACTTTAACTCTAAGGAGTTTTAAAGCTTACTTAAGTTAGTTAGAACTATCTTTAAACTTATTCTAATAGAAGTATATTATTTTATTAGTAAAGTAAAGAGATATTACTATTTACTTTATTATACTTATAAAATTATTATAGAAGAATATAAAGATCTTAATACTAAGGAATACTTATAAATAGCTATTAAAGCTATAAATAATATAGCTAGACTTAATAGCTTAGTTCTTATATTATTAGTCTTTAGTATATACTCTAAGATAATAGAATTAGATCCTTTTAATTTATTAGTCGAATAATAAGTAGCTAGCTATTATTAAGAAAGCTATAAAAGCTATATATAAGCTTTATATTATATATAAAGTTAATAATATATTAGCTACTTAAAATAGCTCTGGAACTACTTATATTTATAATCTTTAAATTAATAATAAAGTACTTATTTAAAGAAAGAAATCTAAGAAAAGTAAGAAGAACTTTATAATTTCTTAGAAATAAATAATAAGAATTATAAGATTAATATAAAGAATAATAGAATATGGATATTTTATTCTACTTTTATATAACTATTTATTATAGATAGCTTTAATATTAAGCTATAAGAAGAAAAGTTACTAAAGAATACTTGATATTAAGAATAGCTAACTTAGAAGATATCTAAATTAATACTAAAACTTATTCGTATTAAGATCTTATTTAAAAAGTAGATTAATAAACTACTAATAATTAATAATAATTATAATACTAAGATATATATAATATATAATACTAGGCTATTCTTAATAGAGAAGAAAATAAGAGATTAAGAGCTTTTTATCTAACTACGATCTAAGAGTAAGATTATAACTTTAAGACTAATTACTTAATTTATTTAATATCTTTTAAAGAAATCTCCTAGTTAATAAGAATCTCTAAAGTAAATACTATTAATTCTAAATTTATTATTATTATTATTATTATTATTATTTAATAAAGAAAAGAAAAAGTTTTAAAAGAGAGATTATCTTTATATAAATAGATATATATAATTTAAGCTTAATTTAGATATAATATAATATTATTTACTATTATTACTTAGCTATTACTATTATTTTCTACTTTTATATTATTAACTACTACTAGATAGAATATCTACTCTCTGATTCCTTAGAACCTTATATTAACTTAATAATAATATTATTTAATTCTCTATAAGTTTATATATATTCTTTATATTCTAAGATATAGTTTAGTTATAGATTATAATTTATTTATATCCCTATATAATAAGAGAAGTACTTTTAGATAGTAACTAGAAATATTCTAACTACTAATATATATAAGTTAGATATTTATTACTTTATTATATCTTTAGTTCCTCTTATTATATCTATATTCTCTCTTTTATTTCCTTTATAATTATTAGAAACCTTTTATTTTTAAAAGAAGTTCTACTAGTATTAATCTATAGACTTTTACTATAGAAATATAAAGGGAATCAGAGGGTATAAGTAATCCTAGTTAAAGAGTAGACTCTTTTTATATATAAACCAGAGGTTATTTAAGAGGTAGTATATATATTCTAACCCTTATATACTTTTTATAATATATACTTTTAAATACCTTTAAACTAAACCTTAGATTTTAATATATATCGATATACACTTATTATTTATTTACTGGTATAATACTAATATAAAGTAACTAAGTATTTTCTTAGTATTTATAAAAGAATTTATAATATTAACTTTAAAGTAAAAAAGTAAGTCTAAGTATTACTCTTAGTATAATTATATATTATAGCTTATTAAGCTTTTTTATTTAAGTAGTAATTAATATTAATATCTAATTTATTAGTTATAAAAATAAATTAAGTATATTATTCTAAGCTATTAAAGATATTAAAGAACTTATTAAAATATTACTTAAGTAAAAGTCTTTTATAATATCTTTAATAAATAAAAGTAAGCTTTATTAATATTTAAGAAGTATTATTATCTTAATTATCTTTAAATAATCTATTATTATTAGAGTTATTATTGTCTGTTAAATTAAAAGCTTATTATTAAGAGCTTAATAATTTTAACTTCTTAAACTTACAAGTTAGATTCTTAAGTATCTTTATTATTTTTAAAAGGTTTTTATCTTATTTATTTTAATATTTAATTAGTTTTTAAAGCTCTTTAAAGCTTTTTAGAGCTTTAACTATTAATATAAAAATAAAGTATTCTTTTTAAAAGTAATTTTATTAATTTCTAGAGATATTTTTTATAAGAGATATAATATTATTATAAAAAATTAAAAATATAATATTATTTTTCTTTCTTATATTATATTTATCCCTTTAAGCGGTAGAACACCTTTTAGTATCTTAGCGGGTTCCCTACTAAAACTTAAAGTAAATAAACTATATAAATAAACTAAACAATTATTATTCTATACTATATAAAATATAGTACGAGCTTATATAACTTATTATTTCCGATTCTACTAACTTTATAGCTACTCGGCTAGCTTTACTACTTATTAAAAAGATTAGAATAGGCTTTATACTTGTAGAATTACCTGATTTCCCTCTCTTAATTAACCTTCTTTTATACTTTACCTCCCTTAATACCTAAGGTATATTCTTATTATTTTTCCTTAAGGAAATTATTTAGATTATCTATTAGAATATAAATTAGTATATAGATCTTAAAATTAAGGCTTTAAAATATAATTCAGATCTACTTTTATATGCCCGGATCTATAGCTAGTATCTTATAATAATACTTGAAGTATATAGATATATTAGAATATATATATATATAAGAATCTATTAAGAAAATCAGTTAAGAGATTATTAGAAATTAAAGGATAATTAGTAGCTAGATTATCTTATTTTAAGTATTATAAGCCTTTAAAGGTATAAAGTAATTTATATAGCGTTCTATATATATATACTACTAGTCCGGATTACAAATTTAAAGTTATTTTTAAAAGAGTAAGTTTTATTTCTTTATATTCGGATAACTTACTAATTACTTAGATAGTCAGAGCCTTTAAATACTTATATTTAAAGGGTTTCTCGAGCTTACTAGATTCTAAGATATAATATAGCTATTAATAAAACTATAGTTCAGTTCTAAGGTTATTCCTTTAATACGCTAAAGATTCTTAGTAAACTAATTACCTAAGGTTATAAGATATAAGTCTTAACTTAGAAGAGCTACTTTTTAAATTAGGTTTTCTATAGAAAAGAGAAGAAATTATCGAATCCGGATATATCTAAAAGCTCTTAGAATATCTCTTACTTTATAATTTTTAGTAGTAATTTATTATCCGCTATTTATATCTACCTTATAGAGAAGCTTTCAGATAAAGGTAAAAGGTTCCTACTTTATTTAGATAACTTATTTATAACTACTAAGCTCTTAAAATATAGTAGAGAATATAGTTAGAGTACTACTAGTATATATATTATAAAATCTAGTATTTTAAAGTAATTTAGAGATATAAAAGTAAAAGATAAAAGGAAAGATTAGATTCCTTAGAGCTATCTCTTTACAGAAGTAACTAAGAATAACTTAATTAATTTAATAGTATAGAAAGATAATACTTTAGTCTTTTCTATATCTACTTTTTCTAATAGATAGAATATAGTAAAGAGGCTTTATAAACGCTTCTTTAAACCTTTCTTTATTATAAAAACCGCTTAGAAGCTCTTTAGATTAAATCCTTAAGCTATACTTACGATTCCTAAGTTTAGAGATAAATATAATTACTAAATAAGAAGTATAGACTAAGGAAATTAACTTAAGAGGCTAGATACTCTTAAAAAGCTTTATTAAAAAAGTAGCTATTAAGCCTTAACTATATAGCTCTTAGATATAGCTCTTATAAATACTTATAAACTCAGTTTCTACTCTTAAGTACTTCCGAAGAGTAAATAAGTTAATTAAACTAAGTTCTAAATAGAAGTTCTTAAAGAATATTTCAGATTTACTAAGGAAAATTATAGAAAACATAAATTATCTTTAATATCTATTATTAAAGACCCTAAGGAGCTTTCTTAAGTAACTAAGTATATATTAAAGCGATTTTAGGTTAAAGGGAATTATATAATATATATAAAAGAAGAGGTATCTTAGTAAGTATAAAAGAAAGTTCTAAAAGAGCTTTCTATTAATCTCCCTTTAACTAATTAAGGATCTAGATATAAAAAGCCTTAATGTTTAGCTATAAAGTTTATAAGGTTATATTTTATAAAGATAGTAATTACTTTACTTAGTATTATAATAAATAATAGAAGCGTTATAGCGATTCTTTAAATACTCTTGATTTTTAGTAAGGATTCTAACTACTAAGGCGCTAAAAGGCGTTACTGAACTACCGCTTAAGAGGATAAAGTATAATATAAATAAAAAAGAGTTTAAAAGCGGATTTCTTTTCTTTAATATTAAAGAAGTAATAAGATTAATTATAAGAAAAGTATTATATTATATTTTATTTACTTTTTAGAAAAGATTAAGATTGCTTATAAGAAAATATAAATATAGAAGTAAAAAGTAAGAAATAATACTTAAGTTATAGATATAACTTAATTATATTTAAAAGTACTTAAGAAAATAATAAAATATAAGAAGTAAAATAAAAAAGAAAAAACTAAAGATATAACTTAATTATACTTAGAAAATACTTAAGGAATTTGATTAAAGTAGATATTAAGGTTTTTATAAGTAAAGTTAGTTTTTTCTAATATAATAATATAATAAATATTTATTAGTAGTTATAATATAGTATAAAGTAGAAAAGATAATAAAAGAAAGAAGTTCTTAAGAAGCTTTAAGAATAAGTAAGAGAAATATAGCTACTAATAAACTAAACTAATCCTAAGTTTATTATATAACTTTAGCCTTATAGTCTTATAATATTCGTCTTATTTATATAATTCACCTATTATAATTAGTTTATTATAATTATATTTTAAATAAATATTAATTACCTTTACTTAATATTTTAATAGATAAGACTATTATTATAATATAACTTTGGCCTTTTATAAGGTAAGCGTTATAGTACGCACTAAACTCTGACCTCAAGCCTAGAGCACACTTCACACCTAAGATCCGTAGGTGTTATCTTTCCAGGTTTAGCCAAATCGGGCTTGCGCGTACTTATCTCGCTTCTCTGCTCACGGATGTATTATTAAATACAGATTTGCACAGCCATCAATGAACAGCGGTAAATATCTCTCCCCCAGCGAGACCTTCCTCCGTAACCTCAAGCTATACGCTCCTGCCATATCCACAGAGCCCGAAACGACTCGAAGAATAAACAAATGATCATCTGCCAATTAAAGCTAGTACGGAATTGTGAAGATGCTCCAAAGAAAAGTGCGGACCTAGTGAACTTGTCAGCACAAGGTGTCTTGCACATCGCTCCGCCTTCTGGTGCGAGCTATTGGCATTCTTGAGGCTGGGAGCTTCATATCCGTAGGCAGATAGCAATCCAAGCCCACTGGTCATGATAAGTACAGCTAGGAACCCGGGGAAGACTAGAAGAGGCATATCTTAGCACAGGGCAGCATCAGCGCCTGAAACGCTGAACAGTCGACAGTGTCGATTAAAGCTCCTACGAGGTGACGTTCTGCTGGCCCTCCGGGGGCAATTGCTGTGGAGGCTCGATAGCTTTATTAGCAATTCTGTGAAAGACTTTCGAAGGAGATCGCAGAGCATAAAACTCTTGCTTCTGCCGCAGGACGAGAATACAACTTGGAACAACAACGGTGTCTTAGCGAAGCGAAGAAAACCATAGCACTTGCCGTTGGCAACTTTCAAGAAATCTTATTGGTATCCGCGACCGTCGACTCGCCCAACGCCCCTCCAAATTTCCAGGAAGCCATATACGTACATTACAAATAGAGCAAATTAGGATCTCGCAAATCAAGATCTCGCAAGCCTAGCACGAGGTATCAAATCCACTTGAATCCCTCAATCTTAACCTCCTTATTTCCCTCACGCTTCTTCCGAATAAGATCAAGTTCCTGTTCCTTCCCAAATGTCTGCTCTTGTTGGACAGCTAAGTTGGCAATATCAATATCGCGAGCCTCCTTCCAGTTGTCACCATACAACTGCCTGTACATGTCATCTGTTCCCCTCTCCATGTCTCTGTTCCACTTATTCAGTGCCTCGAGCTTCCGAGAGAATATCGAGCTACCTCTTTCCTCGGCGCTCGTCTTAATTTTCTTTAAATTTTCTCCCGCAGTGATCTCCAAACAAGCCGCCCGAGCCTTACGTTTCTTATCATCTTCCTCCTTGCGACGGGCCTTGTCGGCAAGATATCTGAGACTGTGGCCCAGATCCTGCTTCTCCTGGGGGATGGGATTCACATCTAGCGGGGGTGTTGTGTAGAAGATGATTCTGCCATATTCATCATGGTGGAACTGAGCTCGGATATCAGCTGGAATGGCATTGTGAGCCATCTCAGGTAGCGTGTAGACTTCGATCGGTCGTGGTGGGTGATATATCGCATGAGCAGTATGTAGACTAGAGACTGGTACCGCTGGTCGTGCAGCAGTGCTGCTGCCCTGATAATGGTTGTAAGTGGCAAGAGGATTTGGTTGATGCGTTATGGGTGTGGACGTAGTAGAGTTTTTCTGATAGGGACCCTGAGGCTGGTATTGAGGCGTCTGAGACACATTAGAGTGAGAGACCGAACTATGTGAGCCATAAGAGTTTTGATGGTTCATGGGAGCTGGGGATGCTGAGGGCCGAGCCGGAACGAATTGCTGGCCGTAGGGAGTTTGAGGTATACTCTGGTTCGCCAATGGCGACGGAAGAGGAGGGTTCGAGGCATTTCCAGACATTGCCGAGTCTGCTCTATCATACTGCAGGCGGTCGCTTGTTATTGGGCGGCGAACCGGTTCGGGCGAAGGAGGAGGGGGCGATGGAGTTGGCTCAGGGGGTGGAGATTCCTGCGCTTTATTAGCCCTTTATTCCTCGGCCGCTTGCCTGCGACAATGAGTATGTACACTTACGTTCGACTCTCGAGGGCGTCTGTGAACAGCGCCAACGATCGGTGGCGCATTCGGAGCACCCCATGTGGGTTTGGGAAGAGGGTCGTCATCTTTGGCATCCTCTCTGAGAAGATGCTTAATGGGACTAGGTACCTTCTTCATCTTCCTCGGAACGTCAAATAGGTCCATTTCGTAGTCCTTGTCTCTGACTTCATCTGGAACACAACTGGCCCATGTCTTGATCTTGTTCAGCTTGAACTTCTCTTCATTGTACCGTGCTTCGCAGACATAGACTTCCTTATCCAGTGGAAATCCCCTGGGTCGACCTTTGTTGAACCGAGTGAAGAACATCACAAAGCAACGATCAACAACCTCTTCAATTTTGTGGTCTCGGTACTGCCCAGTCTTGACGACTTCATTCTCGAAAAAGTGTTTTTCAAAGCGATGAACTGTTTGCTCGGGCCGGTAGTACCAGCAGGCGTTGATCCACTTCTCTCCTTTGGGGTCTTGCCAGGTGCGATAAATTTGGGCCACAATCGGCTTAGTTACGTCGTTGGGGTTCGCCAGATGAATCCAGTCTCCTACTTTCCATAGCTCATTGTTGTAGAGAATTTCAGGTACTGGAAGCCGACCATCATCGTCGACGAAATCGCTATCAGGCTTCTGCTTCTCCTGCTCCGCCAGAATTCTAGCTTCCTTCTGGAGATCAACAGCATCCTTATAAACCTGGCTGTCCTCCACATTGTAAATTTTGGCGTTCTCAAACATGAGTTCCAAATCTTTCAGCGCCTGGTCCACAGAGTGATACTTCTTCCTCTTCGCCTTCTTCTTGATTAAATCCATCGCAATGGGGTTCTTGATCTCCTGGTAGTACTCTGGCATCTGGGATTTGTCCGGCAACCTCTCAAAGGGGAGGATCTTGAGGTCCCCGCTGCCAGAATGTTTGAATTTCCGTAAACCCTTCAAAACAGAGTTGATTCGTGCCTCCATGGGGGTGTGAACCTTTGGTGGACGGCCACGCTTCTTTTGATATTCGGGGTCGTCCCTTCCACCATCTTCTCCCTTGCCATCGCGCTTCACGGTTGCAGATGACCTCCTGCTCTTCTTTCGGTTCCGCCGCGGGCGATCGTCATCCGAGTCATCATCGTCCTCTTCATCTTCGTCTTCATCATCTTCGTCGTCAAGCTCTTGCTCCTCATCTTCAGGCAGAGGTGGCGGGGAATCTTCAACTTCAGGAATTTCTCCAAGGTCTGGTAATTCGGCAACTTCAGCAGTAATGGTCATGTCGTCCACTATTTTCTGCAGCTCAGCCTTGAACAAGCTTCGGAGAGCCACTGCGTCGTTGTAGACGAGAGCGGAGGGTCGGTTATAGACCTGGGCATTATGGCAGATAAGAGCAAAGTCTCGAATGTACTCTTTAAAATTGTTGTATTGTTTCTTGGATATTTTGGCCTGTCTCGCGTGAGTAAGCAGCTTATGCGCGAAGGCTGGAATGTGTTCGACCTACTCTGAGAGTGCTGAACGCAACAGGCTCCTTGATGATCTCATAGTAGTCTGGCAGTGCTCTCTTGCTGACAACACGTTGGAAGCTGCCAGAAATCTCACGGCCACTGTTTAAAGCCTTGTTAGTAAGGACAATGATAAGAGCAGGAATGCGCGTCACGTACTCTCCGTCACGATAATTTGTCAGGCGATGTAGGATCCCATTCATGGTCTCGTAATCTTTCTTTGTGAGTCCACCAGCCGCCATCTCTTTCGTTGGTGTAGGTGGAGGTAGAAAAGCTGGAGCAGAGCCAGAAGAAGTAAGTGCTTCGGGATTGGGCGATGGTTCTGCGAGTGTCGCATTGTTGTTGAAGACTGCCTCCTCAGCCTTTACGTTCGTTTCGATCTTGGGCTCTACTGCTGGCGCAGTATCTTCTGGTGGTTGCGATGACATCTCGAGAGTGCCAAAGAGATTGCACCTTGTTATGGTCGGCAATGCGACGTCGGCGCAATGTGGATGTTGAGAAGTTGGCGTCCGCTACAACGCGATCTGAAGGGGCATAAATTGATGACTAAGCAGCATTCCCTTCAACACCCCTCAAATCTGCAGGGCCCCAGGCAGAGAACGATGCACAGATAGTTTACTTATTTCAGTTAATAGCAGATCCAAATCCTACCTATTACATATAGGTTGACATCATTGACATTGATTGCTGGTAATTTTCTTCTCCTCTTGAGTCTGCTCTGGCAGTGAAATGCCTTCTCGTTACTGATCGGTTATCCAGGGAAGCTTTGTGTCTTGCAAGAGCTACCTGCTTATACTGGCTGGCATATTGCTTTCACTCTAAGAAGTTCACTTTTGATCAGCTTAATTATTCACTGTACATTACAGAATTGACCATCCGAAGTTTCGAATATCATACATAGACTGCATTTTCCCAACCTGCACACTTTGAACGGGACCTCCATTTCTAAAAGGCAGCATACTACCCCACCACAACCATGCGAACTCGAGTTCGAGCACCTGCAGGAGCTTTCACCATCACCCTCCCGGACGATGCAACAATCGGAGACTTAATATCCCAAATCACAGAGAAAACCTCCATTTCTCGATTCGACACAAAGTATGGATATCCCCCGAAACCGCTATCGTTGCAAGAAAGCGATAACTTATTACCATTGAGCAAGCTGGGCGTGAAGCTGGATGGTGAACAGCTTACGATTAGCCAAAAGGATGATGCGCCCGTAGATAGAGGAAACAGACAGGCAGGTACACAGGGTGTTTCCTCGGTGCAAATACCGGGGCAGGGTTCGGACGGAGCTGCTCCAAAATCCAGTGAAAGCAAACTTGTCGCACTGAAGAGGCAAGGCATGGAGGGAGACGTCCCGGAGTTAATAATGCCAGGTAGAGGCACTACTGTTGGTAGGCGATAGAAGATATGGAGACATCTGTATCTCTTTATACTAATATCTTCAGTTCTTCGAGTAATGCCGGACGATAACAGCTGCCTCTTCCGAGCATTTGGCACAGCAGTTCTTCCAGGAGACGACCAAAGCATGACAGAGCTTCGATCCATCATAGCCACAGCTATCCAGTCAGAACCGGAAACATACTCCAAGGTCGTTCTAGAACAGGAGCCGGATGATTATTGCAGATGGATACAGACTCTTGATGCATGGGGAGGAGCTATTGAGATGGGGATACTAGCGAATTACTTTGGAGTTGAGGTCTGCAGTATTGACGTTCAGGTATGCTCACCGTTTATCTGAGTCAAGAGAGAGCAGGCTAATACAAAGTAGTCTCTAAGGATAGATAGATTCAACGAAGATGCTCTGACACGATGTATACTCGTGTACTCTGGTATCCACTACGATACCATTGCTGAGAGTCCGATGACAACAGATCCAGAGTTCGATACAAAGGTATGGGGGACAGACGACGATGAGATCCTACAAGGGGCTTTGGAACTGTGCAAGAAGCTACAAGCAAAGCATTACTTTACAGATACTGGTGGGATGGCAATCAAGTGTAACAAGTGTGGTGCCATCGTCTACGGGGAAGGCCAGGCGAGTGGGCATGCCCAACAATTTGGACATTATGAGTGAGTAATTCTTGATACCTTTTCATATGCTAAAATGGAAATACTGACTACTGTTCCCCAAAGTATGGCTGAGTTACCGACTTGAAAATATCCATGTTAACAAGGCAGCTGCTGAATGACGCCTTCCCCCGTTGTGTTATGGTATACATGGTCTACGAAATCTGGGCTGGGTCTAGAACAGCACGACAAAGCAACATAGTACGAGACATTAGAGGGATCTCATTTTCCCCGAAGCAAAGAGTAGTCGCCCTCCTTTTCATTGCACAATTCATCACCGACGTCCATGCATTCCATAGAGCAGCATGCGCTCCAGTGGTACTCCCTTTATTGCATAGCATTAGCCGTGATGCAATTTTTATTTTTATTTTTTTTATATATATTCTCCGTAGAGTGACGGTCAGTCTGTTACTGAGTTGCTTACGGTACCTAGGTAGTCAAAGTGCCTGCAGAGTCTGGAAAGTTACCCACATCTATCCGTGTTTGTTGTTTCTCCGTCGCTTATTATTCTCAAGGTCATGTGCATGCCTGTGGGCAGATAATTGATTGGAAAGGTAGTCAAAAAACCACTAGTAAAAGTACGTACAAGAAGGCGACCAAAATTGGTCTGGTGAGAATGAAGAAGAAGAATCGTCCCCTAATTTCCGCCTTCCCAGAAAGTTAACATCACACAATAAGGACATGTCCATCTTATGTAATCAATCCATAACTCAACCCCGTATTTCATTCCCGCCTCTCTCAGTACCAAACGCCATCTCAGCCACACGAAAATCAAAACACGACCCCGAACAAGAATGAGCTCTAGATATTTGAGGTGTGCTGGAATTTCTCCATCTTTTAACGCATCTAACCAGAAGGAGCATTGGTTCCACCCATACCCCAGAATTGCTCGGCTTCAAACTGTAAACGCGTGTTCTGCTTCCACATGTCGTTATATGCCGTGAAGAAAATGACCGACTCTGGGTTCAAGGCAAAAGACTTCTTAATGGAGCTGATAGCAGCGGCTTGATTTGGGATCGATGCGACGGCAGCTCCATTAGAAATACCCTTCCATGGCCAACCGGTCTCGGTCACAACAATCTTCTGGTTCTTGTTGGCTAGCTTCTCTTGTAGAGTAGGTATCTGAGTTATCAGGAAATTTCCAGAGTCCGCAGCAGCAACTTTACCGTCAAAGTATGGATGACAGTTGACAGCGCAATAATCCGAGGCATCGCAGATCGAAGGATTATCACGTGATGCCACCAGAGTATCAACAGCGACAACATGGCCAGTATAACCAGCGGCCTTCAGAAGCCCACGAACAGTCCCGATAGCCTTAACGACGGTAGGAGCGTCAGCTGCCCCAGAGTTGACCAGTTCGTTGCCGACAGAGATCGTATCAAAATTGCTCCAGTCACCATTGGCAGCTTTCACGATAGTATCAACCTGCGAGGCAAGGTTATTGATGTCGAAAATTCCAGCGAAAAGCTTGATCTTGCGTGCCTTAACAACCGTAAGGACATTGGAGACTTGCTCACAATCAGTCCCGTATGTTCGGATGAGCTTGTACTCGGTGGAGATGGACTTGAAGTCCTCCTGGACTTCGCTGAGCGACTTGCACGCGCCACTAGCTTTGTACGGCGAGTAGACGAGTCCGAAGCCAGTGTCGTCTCCGGTAGAGTATGTTGGAGTAGATGCTGGAGAGGCGGTTGTCTTGGCTGGTTTTGCAGCGGCAGGAGCGTTTTCAACAGCGGGGGCGACTTGAATGGCTGCTGGGGCTGGTGCAACAGGAGCTGCTGGTGCAGGCGTCTGAACTGGAGCGACTCCTTCAGTGGCAGTAGAAACTGGCTTGCCGTCCTGGTCGACATAGACAATGACCTGTGGAGAGTCTGTAGCCTCTGCATAGATGGTATTGACAACGGCAACGACCACATCGCCATCCTTCTTGGCCAACTTATGCTCGTGAGCATGGCGACGTCCTGGTTCAGGTTAGTTATATGCCCTGGCCAGACACGGCGCACAGCTTACGATGAGGTTGTGCAGTAGCGAGTCCAAGCAGCGGAAGTGCTGCAATGAAAGTGGAATACTTCATTTTGGCGTAAAGATTGGAATTGCGAGTTTTGGGGTCTGTAACCGACCAGCGGTTAGTGTCAAGTCGAAGTGGTTCAGAAGACTCCAAAAGAATCCGTGCTGGAGATTTCGTTGCTCAAGAGTTGGACAAAGGTACAGAGTCAAGAGATATAAGTTCCTTATGCGGAGCAGCGACTGAATTCTACGAGACTTTCGGGGGGTGGGGGGAAGGAACGATTCACAACAACCACAACAATAACAATGATGCAGAAGCAATGTCTGACGCGACCAGGCCAACGACATACCTAAGGAATGAATGCCAACTGGGGCAGTGGAGGACTGTCAAGAAGGAATGCAGAAGGTAAACTGGATGGGGAATGAAAGGAATGCTTCAGACTGACGAGAGTTGTGATCAAAGAAGGAGTGAGTCGGATGTTCTTTCTGATGGAGAGAAGATCAAAGGAAGGAAGAAAGGGAGTCAGTCAGTCAGCGAAGCAAGGAGTCGTCGATCCACCTGGGAGAAGGATAGAAGATGAAGATGAAGATAGACTTTGGCACGTCGTCAAGACCATGTGTAGTCAGGCGTCCAAGGAAGGCAAGGCAAGGATGAGAACAGTACTCGGACGGTGGAATGCTGAAGCGCGGAGCGAGAGCCGGTCTTCTTGTAGGAGAGATTCTGACCGGCACAGGGATCTGGGCAGGGCCTGGCAGAGCAGGTCAGGGTGGGGCGGAGGTGTGGAGAGCAGGTACGCGGACTGCAGAGACCACCTGCATGCAGGGCCTACCTTACAGTACAGGTAGGAGACTGGACCTTCTGGGCTGGTGATGGTGGGGTGGAGAACAGGGCAGACCTCCCATCTCTATCCAGAGTGGGACTTGGTACGGAGGTAGGTAATTTAATTTACTACTACTGTAGAAGGGCAAGGGCGGTTTAAATCTACAAAGAAACATCCCTTACCCGTAGATAGACAGGCTGAAGCCAGAGCAGCAGCACTGCGGAGGATTAGTCCTCGTACCTTAAAGTACCTTCGAGTGTCGGAAGTTACGGAGGTAGGTATGAATCTTCACATCATCGTAGCGCCGTGAGGGAGCTATTCTAGTAAGACAGTCTTTTCTTCGCACTATGTCCAGCTGGAAAGCGGCAATATGAAGGATCGCGAATCCTTGTATGGCATCATCCATCAAGGCTTGTGGTGGTGCTGTACTTATCGTAGATAATTTGACGATATTTCCAGGATTACTGGCGCGCCGCAGCGATACCTCCCGTTGTAGGTAGGCAAATCTGTCAAAATCTGGATTTTCAAGGCATCCTTGGCCGGAGCTTGGCAGGGCAGAGCGGCAGAGCGGACGGTGACAGGGGTTCGTAGGCCAGGTACCGGTAGCCTTTAGGGTACCCTACGTACCTGCCTACCTACGAGCCTACGAGTACCTCCACCTCTGTTGTACAGTCACCTCATACAGACTACAGCACAGTACAGTACAGTAGGTTTACAAGTTACCTTGGGGATACTCCGTACCTACCTACGGACTGATACAGTAGGTCTGGGGTCTGTCTGTCTGTCTGTCTGTGGGCGTGGCTGGCTCGGGTGGCTCGGGTGGGTTGACCAAGCAGGGATGGCTTCAGGTACGGGTTACGAACTTACGGGATCGAGGGGATGCATGGGTACTGGGCAGGGAGGCTGGCAGGCAGGCTCGGCAGGGCATCCGGATCCCTGCCTGTGTGCTCCCTGCTCGGCTCCTGTCTGTTGTTCCTGAATTTGGCGCGCCTCGCCTCGCCCCTCCCTCCTTCCCCTCTCTTCCCACTACTGCTACTCCTGCTATCCCGGCTCGCCCGGACATGCATGTGCAACAGGAACGGGGTACGAGTGAAGAGGGAGAGACCAGCACGCAGCACCTTGCACCCTTTCGTCGCTTGGCTGGCCTGGCTGCACAGCCCAGCTCCCTTCTTCTGGTGACTTGCAGAGTGATGGAATGGGACAGGAGGGTCTGACAGCGCATCGCCAATACGGACTCAAATACAAGTACAGTGCAGTATGCTCCTTTGCTGGGCAGAAGTCCTTCGTAACGAAGGAGGTATTGGCCAGTCCGGGGGTTTCATGGTGCTCCAGCTGCGACACGAGATGGTGCCCTCTCGAGGCCCTGTTCTGGCCTTGGCGGCGGAAACCAGATGAACCGCTCACCCCGCCGCGACCAGCGCGAGTACGGAAGTACCTTACGAACTTACCACCATCGAGGCGACAAGCAATAATACCTTAGCACAGCACCAGCACCCGCAGTTATCTTGCTTCAGCCTAGGTAATTTATGTTGCGAACAAAATTGTCATGGTGATCGCCTCGCTCGTACCTTCATTGACATCGACACCAACAGGTTCAAGCTAGTAGCTAATAACACATTCCGAAAATAACATCAACAGAAAGCAACAGTAAGTACACATCCATCCCAAACCATCCCATCCTCCGAGTTTGTCTCATGGTCGCACTGCACGCGAATAGACAGTGACGGCTCTGCCTATTCACCGGCTGGGTTGGCAACATTTCAGACCCCGTCGCAGCGACAAATCCAGAATACGCGGGCGCGTGTATGCCAGCGAGCACCCTAAATACAATATATGATGAGGCCAGCCCATTGCCACTTAGCCAAGTTTCTCAGGGCTCGTTCGAGCTGTCCGAAAGCACGCCTTAGTTCAGTAAAGGGCTCTTGGTTGCTTGAATTTTGTCGACCGAGTTTGCCATCCGACACGTTGTGAACGCTCTCTTGCTTGAAATGCAAAAGCAGTTTCCTTCCTCTGGATGAGAGACCACATACGCCAGGAAAACTTTGGTAAGATACCTGCCCCTGACCCTCTTTCGGACCTGCAGATGACATTAGCCGGCACAAAAACTTAATGCACGCGAAAATCTCTGTCGCTTGTCTATGCAGCTACTACTGTAATGCAACCTACTCGTTCTGGTAGTAAGACCGTCACTGTCAGCATGTCTCGCATGTGAAGGTTCCCAACCAATTCGTTGGGCTGACATAATGGATTTGGATCATCAGCTCGTTCTTGCTTCCCATCATTCATGCTTTGCTTACCGTGCTTCATCCCTGAGGACTGCAGATCGCTGGAGGGTGCGTCTCTGCAATCTTTGTTCTGCTCTCCTATGATCGAGAACCGGAATACCAGGTCAGCTTTTGCAGCGATTACTTGCCGCTTGCTTTGATTAGCATAATGTTGTAGCGACTTCACCTGCTACTAGTACTCCATTCTTGGAAACTGTCAGATTGTCAGGGAGTCTGTTATCTGTCCTGACCTCACGGCTCTAAACTCAGCCATGGTTGACCAAAATGAAAACAAAAAACATAGCAACTTCTGCGGTAGTCAATAGTCTGTCTCAGCAAATGTATCAATAAAGAACATACAAGCCAAGTGACATTTATGAGTCGTAGCAGACTATCATCTCTCAGCGAGATTCCCACCGTCACCCTGTCTAGCCATTCTTCAACGAGTCGGCTGAAATAATACAGGGCCAAAAAGGGCCCGAATAGAGCGCCTTTCCTCCCCTTGGCAATAGGCCATAGCCGAACCGCAAGGCAGTGTGAATTAGGTGCATTCAATAGTTTTGTCCAGTGGTGGCTTGTTCCCATTTCTTTGTCGTGAATTGGCTTTCTGTCCTTCTTTCGCAGATGGCAATCAGATGGCTGTTTCTATCTCCTTCCATGAAACGTCGATCAAAGTGCCGTATAATGACTGCATGGATATTCATGTTTATGCAATCTGCTTGACAGCGTCGTTCACGGACCGCTCTTATCTTTGCACTTCACCATAGAGTCGACTTTCTTCCGGTGTCATGTCGTTATCACGTGTGATATCAAAAGCACCTTTTCTGAGACATTATGCTTTGAGTCACTGGATACATCTCTATCACGCTCTGCCACATACTCTAAACCATTAAAAGCTGCTGCTTTGCCACCGTACAGCACCGCGGCCGGGGGGAACAGGTACTTACGGTCTAACCTCAGATATCTCAGGTCATGAATAATATGTGGTGTTGATATTACTATCTATCGAGCCAGGAGTTTCAATCTGGTACTTTCAGCAGTTTGTACCTCACCATCAAATGGAGGGGATGATGAAGAAGAGACCAAAGCCGTCAGCCACGATAGTCCATCAAAGCGTCGAAGCAGCAGTCCGACAAGTAAGCAAGCCCACGCCCCACGGTATATTAAAGGAGAAGCTGTATGTATGGATGGGGCACATAAAGGAACTTCGGGCACTTCGAGTGCCACCGATCTGGGCTTCAAGTCATGTATAAGTGGCAGATCATGGGCAGCGGGCAGCCAGCCCAGTATGCAAAAACTTGGATTTTCCACGAGAACACACGCAAAGCGAAGATATGGTAACCGTATTTTTGAGCCGCACCGCATTACACATTATATAAACCTGCCGACTGCCCGTCATTCCAGTAGTGTACAAAGATACCACAGAATGGTATTTTTTTTAAACAATAGCGGATCACGAAGTAGCAGGTAGAGCCAACTTGCTGCTGCTTTTCTTGGTCAAGACCTTGGTAATTGCATGCCTGATCGTAACTCCTGCCTTCTCAATCTCCTTCTTCGTGAGGCCAGTGGTGATGCAAACCTTGAGCGCTGGCTGGAGCTTCCAATCTTCATCCTTACCACTGCTTGGACCGACTGGCATACTCTTGAGACGAGTGATCAGAACCCCGTTGGCAAGAGACTAAGTTATATTAGCCAAACCTCCAAGCTCGTGGAGTCTGGTGCTTACCTCGTCAACACATTCTTGAAGTACACGCTCTTGTTCCTCGATTGTCAGTCGCCTCGAGTTCACAACATCCGGTTTGAGAACTAGCAACATGACCGGATTTTCAGGAGCGCTTGTGCAATGCACCCAGTCACTCCGAGGGTCCAGCTGGGCACGCATAGCTTTAATATTCTCTCGACACTGGGCAAGGATCTCGGGTGTCGTCTGAAGCATATTGAGGGTCTCGCTGGCGGTAGTAGCAAGCATGGCGGGCAAAGCGGCGGAGAAAGTATACGACGCAGCTGAGATTCGCTGATGCTCGACAACATCGGTAGACCCAGCGCAGAATCCACCGCCAGCACAAAGCGCTCCAGCAAGTGATCCGACCAGCATATCAACTTGCGAAGCATCCACGTTTTGCGCCTCCGTAAGACCCCGACCGGTTCTCCCGAGTACACCAAAAGACCAAGTTTCGTCAAGCATCAGCCGGAACTTGTATCTGAGCTTGAGTTCAATCTGAGAGTGTGTCATTAGCGCAAGTCTATAAAACCCAGCGAAGGCTTCATACCAATTTGGGGAGATTAACACAATCCCCTACTGTTTCCGACAAGCCCTCTGTGACAATAAATCTTCGGGTCAAAGGTTTCTTTGCTTGGTCCTTAATGACCTTTTGCAACACTCGCTCCAAATCCTCCATGTTATTATGTTCGTAGTATCGAATGGTGCTTCTGCAGATTTGAAGGCCCTTTCGAATGGCATAGTTGACGGCACGATCCGCAACGATAATGTCTCCTCTCTTACAAAACGCAGGAATGACACTTGATATTGTTGAAAAAGCTTGAGCGTAGACAATACAGCCTTCAGTACCCAAGCAAGAGGCAATGTCGGCTTCCGTCTTCATGTGCACATCTTGAGTTCCATAGAATTGAGGAGGCCCGCAGGGCCCAACACCGTATGTCCGCAGGGTTTGAATTGCCTTCTCCTTGACCTGCTCATTCCCAACAAAGTTATAGAAGTTGTATGACGCGAGGTTTGTTACAGTTCTGCCGCTGGAAAGCTTGACTCGTGGACCCGTGGCACTATCTCCAAGTCAGAGAGGCGGTGGATTATTTTTCTTACAGATCTCACGTACCCAACAATAATAGGAAGCTTTTCGCTTTCAGCTTCTTCGAATGAAGTCTGCCGAGCTACCAAGGGCTCTGGTGTCCACTCGTCCACCAAGTCGTCAATCTCCTACTGTCTAGTAAGCATTTGGCCAACCAAATAGCCACGGTACGACTACCTCTTCTGTGAGCTTCACAAAATTCCCAGTATGCGTTGCGTACGAAGGTGAGAGGAGATATCGAATGAAGAAGATGACCAAGATCAGTTCAATGGCGGAGCGAACAGGATCGTCTTGGTAGCTGGATTGGATGTACCGGATTAACATGGCAGAGCCAGGGACCTTTTGAAATGTGCTGGTGATCTCGTTAACCGAACGAACCACGAATCTCTGAGCATCTTGGAACTCCATCTTGTCGATGGAGGATTTGGTTGCAAAAATTGGACATGCAAAGCTGCGTTCGTGTTTGAGTTCAGACTTGAGTCGCAATCACGCTTGCGCTCAAACCTCAAGATGTCGGCAATCGCTGACCAAAATCTCCGATAAGGTCATGTGCAGCTAGACAACGACAAAAACTCCTCACAACGGGAAAGTTTGACAGATTGACAGGACGATTCGAAGAGCGAAGCACTATTGACCATATAGCGATAGTCAAACGTCTCACAATGATAGAAAGGTCTTCGATGGCGGAGATACAAATATTAAGGCGACATGTATTTGTATGCTTGCTTCACGGTATTTGATGTGGGTGTCTAGGTAGATCTCATCAATTTGTATCAAGAGCCTGTATTATGATCCTGCTGCATAAACTGCAACCATTCATCCAGCAGCGACCACTTCATAGCCATGCGTGCCGTTGCACACAATGTCGTCGTTCTTGCAAGGCAAGTGCGGAGAAAAGGAAAATATGTCTATGCCGTTACCATGCAAACACCAAAAGCAATTACTGGAAAACACCACCACGACTATCGATTGCACCCAAAGTCGTGAAATACACCCTGTGTCAACCTATTTACTATACAGCCTGGCATTCCATTTATACATGCATCTCCTCTAGAACAGTCTGATTCTTGCATTGCCACCGGTGGAGGATGCGGTGGCCGAGGCAGAGGCACCACCAGCCTTACCAGTTCCAGTCTCGGTGTCGTTTCTTGTATCGTTGTTGTTAAGACCGGTTGGCTGGAAAAGATACATCGTATCTGCCGGCTTCGCGAAAATGGATTTCGTGTTGTCAAGAATCATGGATCCTGCAACAATCGGCCCAACAAGCAAAGCAAGGGCAATGACAAGCATGAGGAAATAGAGAACGGCATATCTCCAAACACGTCTCTTTCTGAGCTTTGATTGCTTCATTGAATAGATTGGTGGCCTAATTTGACGACTGAAATTTGTTAGATCATGATTGGTCAAACGAAAGAACGGAAGAACATACCTTGGTCGGAGCCAGAACAACATCACAGAGTGTGCCTTGTCAATCTGGGGGATAGCAAGGACAGGCAACATGATGAAGAGAAGGACATGGCCAAGAACGAAATCACCAGCGAACATGCCAAGCTCGGTGATTTTGCACAGGAATTCTCTGGCTGGTTGAGAGACCGAGTGCCATCCCATGGAGTACCATTTTCCAGTCCAGAAGGCGATGTTGGACGTGTCGGACTTGAATTCTCTTGTCAGAGCCAAAGAAATGATAAGCTTGTAGATGAAACGCTGAATGGCAGTGGCGGCAATCATTCCCAGCAAGGCTTTTGCGAAGACGAATCCCTCCAGGAAGAACATGACCTCGAAGAAAACCAGTAGCATGACAACTGCTGTACCGTGGGCTATAGCGGCAAGAACTGTACCGAACTTCTTGCAGCACATGCTAAGTACCGGACCCATACAACAAGCCATACCAAACATGGCGGCGAGGACACCCGCATTGATGGCGATCGGTGCGAAGGCGACAATAGCAACTCGAATGAGAGAATTGGTTGCATACAGCGTGGCGTCGGGATTGCGACCATCTTCTTGGTTAACACCGACCTGAGAATTGATGAAGATGTATGGAATTAGTGTCACAGCAACTATGAGCAATGGCCCAATTATTTCGCCAAAGAATAAATTGGTGAATGGTACTCGTGGTACATCGCCAGACATCTTCGAAGAAGGGTCTCCTAAAGCCTTGCGCTTGTATCCAGTGATTCTGGTACGAGTCAAGCGGCAGTACGCGATCCAAGAAGAGGAATGCGAGCGGGAGTTTCCGCGCGAAAGCCATCTCAAGAAGTCGCGGTAGTCGATGAAGAAGTCGTTCCAGGCGAATTGATGAGGATTATAGATGAATGGAGACGCGCACATGGCAAGGAGAGTGACCCAGAAGTATATCAAAGCTGGTTGCCAAATTGTGAGAGTAGCGAACAGTAGCATCATCAACGATCGAGCGCCAAGATAGATTGCAGGGCCAGCGAATCGAGAGAACAGGACACCGAACGGAATACGTGCTGTTGCAAAACCACGACCGGTACCAATGTATCTAGCACCTCCGAAAGACAGATCTTGCTGTACTGCGTTGGCGTAGATCTGGCAAACAAAGACCTCGAAGAAGGGTGACAAAGAGCAGAACTGCTTGCCGAGACGAGTCGCAGCACGCCAGAATCCACGTTCTGTCAACTCCTGGACCACAAGGGGCACGAAGGAGATGAAGAAGACGATGAAAATGGAGATAATACAACGGTACACCCAATCTAAAATTGGAGTGAGGTTCGCGCAACCGGTAGGGAACAGAGGATCGGTGATTGGGCGATTGACATCGTAGTGGCAGAGAATGGTCTGGTTGCGGAGAGCTCCGAGGTTGATCAATACAATCATGAACATCTGGACAGACAACATGATGAACATGTTGTTCAAATGAAAGCCGGGATGAGCATAGTAGAAGGACAAAAATCGGTCAAGCGGCAGTTGAGTGCCCAAGTAGTAGTACTCGCGCGAGAGCATCTGCTCACCCATACCGGTTCCAATTTTAGTCGTGAAGTTCAAGATGGATCCAAACCCGAGATCACGACCTTTGCCGCATTGGTAGTACTCACAATGCTTAATACGACCACCTCTCAGGAGAGCAGTCATACCAGCGTAGATATCCTCGTTCAGATGAAGACCCTTTTGAGCCTTCGACACACCTCCTCGAGTAGTCATGAAGATTCCGTTCAAGAAATCAGGATGTCCATAATGCAATTTCCCTCCAATAGTAGCCAACGTACGAGCAAACAGAGTACCGAATGTTTGTTCTTTTCCAGCGGCAACATCTCCCAGGATACCGATGTTTTCAGAGAAAATGTACTCACGTGCTCCGAGGATAGCAACAGGGTCGGTCTTTGGGTTCTCAACACCAGGCGTGTAGGGCGAGACGTTTTCAGTGGTCATTTCTTCAAATTCCGCCAAAACACTTCTTATCTTGAGACACTCCTCGAGGTAGTTATCTTGATTGGCATCGATGAGCTGGATGTATTCTCCACGATAGAAGATGATGGCGTGGTTCTGATTGTCTGATTTTCCATCACCAAGAATTGGGTTTCCAGATAATTGGACACGAAATTTGGGGCGACGCATACCATTTTCCATGATTTCAGAGTGGCCATCAATCAGAGCGGAGTAGAGACGAGGCTCCTCGCCTTCGACCAACGGAGCCTCCTCGTCCAGATACGCAATCTGAAGATCAGGGTAGGCACGGAGCAAGAATTCAGTGTTCTCCATCTCCTCCTTCTTGAACTTGGCATAACGTTGCATGGACACAATGAGCTTGAACTTGCGACGTGCCATGCGCTCCAGCTCGCGCTCGAGTTTGTCAGAGTTACCACCAAACATCTGAACGACTTCTGGATTTTCAACACGGTAGAGCAGTTTGATAGCACGACTGTAGTTCATGAATCCAGATATGGTACGGTAGAGGGTTTGCGAGCGTAAAGATGCCCAAATACGGGTACGGAGAGTGTATTCTGGCGCGGCTGACTTGAAACCAATACAGTAGAATGGAAGATCATCAATCTTGCTCTTGGCTGTATCCTTCTCGCTCTTCTCGTAGTCACCATTGAATTGAGACGTCTCATCAGCGAGAATCTTGGTGTCCTTGACAAAGCAGTCCCACTCGTGGGGGTGAAGCTGCTTGAGATATTCGAGAAGTGTGACACGAGAGTACGGCTCATCTTCACGAATGATCTCGCGAAGGGAGAGCAGAATCTTCTCACTGTAATGGGGAATCAGAACGGTAAATGTTGGCATATTGTCCACTGGAAGGGGTTCCGGAATTGGGGTCGAAAGAGATTGGGCGAAGAACGAGATGCGGCGCTCAGCCTCGCTCTGGCTGGGGAAGAATTCTGTCTTGAAAGAATGATCTTCTTGAGACACAAAAAACGTCGGAGCTCGTAGCGTACGCTTTCCCTCCTGCTCAGACGGAACTTGGTGGTAAAGTAGCTTTTGGACATGATCGATGGCGAGAAGGTGCTCACGGTACATGGAAATAACGATAGCGTTCCAGATCTGAGAGATCAGAACCTTTGGCTTGTACTTGATCTCCATGTCGGTCGTAGCGAGAACCTTGGAATAGATACGCTTTGGCAGTCGAGAAAATATGTTTCTCCAAGGCGTCCATATAGAAACGCCAAGGTAGAAAGATCGAGCAACTGAGTAAACCGTGTTCAGAATGATATACCACAAGAAAGTGTCGAGAAAGAAGAGACACAGGTCGGTGATGAACATCAAGGCCAACAGAATCTTCGGCTGGTACTCGCAGAGATATGTCTTGAGAATCCGGTCTCCTTGACAGCTGCTGAGCTTCATGGTTGACAGGTATCTGATAGGATCACGGAAGGACAGGGTCAGAAAGAAGTAGGACTCTACAAGTTTCGCCACAAAGACGCATAGCCAAAGACCATAAGACATCCACATCTCGTTGCCCACAAGACGGGGGTAGCTGGCAGTGAACGTTTGACTCGCGACATACTGTCGGGAATTCTTCGTCAAATAACTGCCAAACAATCCACCCAATGGCATGACGGCGAAGAAGAAGAACGAAGCAATGGCGATGAAGAATTGGACGATGCCAAGAATCAACGAGAGCTTGTCTTTTTGCTTATCCGGGAAGGCGAAGATGTAAACACTAGGACCGGCGTTCAGAGCGAACATGACGATGAGGAACAACAATCTCTTGGTAAGATGCTGTGCTCCGGCCCATCTACGCGGGACGTAGGTCCATTCAGCAATAGTGGCAGAGATCATTATCAAGCACGCGACAGCACCACCTAAAGCAGCAGCAGACCATTGCGCAGATCCCGGGGGCTGGTTGTTTCGCTCTTGCTCGTAGTTCTTGACGAGAAGAGTTGGCGAGTTTTTTGCAGTGAAAAACCAGAAGGACGAAATGTGGATGACCCAGATGCGGTTGAAGTTGACCAACATGTGGAACCATGACCGAGTCTCCTTGTAGGTCTTGAAAAACACCTTGTTCCAGTTCACATCCTTGAGCTTCAAGAATCGTTCCGGGGGCGGAAGGTCAACAATTCGGGACTTATCCTCCATGACGATGAGCTCAATGCCTTCGGGATACCAGAACAGTTGGTTGCAATCGTCGTAGCCGATGATTCTGTTATGGTCTCTCTCACGGCGGACGTACTTGCCATCCTGAATCTCGTAGCCTTGGTCACGGCAGTATTGGTACAATGGGGTGATAACGTTGTTGAGATAAGTAAACTCATCGACAGGCTCTACCAAGTTCTGGCATGCTGGTGAATTGAGATAATCATCTGCACACTTGAAGATGAAGCAGAGACATTCGGGCATAAACCGGACTTGGTTTGCCTCCCCCCAGCATAGAAGATAGAGGGCGACTTGTCGGACGCGGTCATGTTGAGACATTCGGTTCATGCGAGTTTTCCATCTGTACTCGGCTGCTTCAAGACTGTTATCGCCCTCAAGTTGTTCGAGAGTCTGGGCTTCATTCTGCGGGTCCATCCCTTGCTTCTTCTTCGCAGCTCGTCTAGCCTTGCGTGTTCTGCGATTGGCCTTCCCTAATTTCATATTGGCAAATCCGACTGCGTCATCCAGATCGAGGTGAGCGGCGAAATACCATTTTCGGTAATTGGCATTATCACCTCCAATGTAATCGGCATGGAGAGAAAGGAGCGCTTGGTTCGGGGTCATTCGAGACGCCCGAGAGTCGAGGAGCGTCATTAGATGATCGTACATGTTTCGCATGCTGTCACGCTGGAAACCGAACTTGGCCGTGAGATCCAGGAAAATGTCTTCTACCTCCTCCTTCGACAGAGGTATTTGAGCATCGGAAGTCCAGGCTGGGTATGGCTCGCGGGAGCGCTGGCCGGCTGGGAGAACATTGTTGTAGTCCATGCCGTAATTTGGCGTTGATGCCCCAGACGATCTGTTACCACCATAAGAAATTTGCGATGAAGGTGGCCGGTAACCATTGCCTCCCATCTGGCTTTCGTTATAGCTGTTGTATCGCTCGTCTCCTCGGCCATAGTAGTCCATGTCGGCAGCCCGAGCCATGTCCGACCTCATTGTGAAATCACTGAATGTCTCCGAATCCTCTTCAGAGTCCCCTCGACGTCTCGGTTGTCCTTGACCGTGAGGATGCTGCCTAGCACCGGGTGCTCCTTGGTCGTAGTATTGGTCGTTATAATACTCATCCTGGTATTGACCTCCACGATCGTTACCCTCATAATAGCCTCCCTCTTGCTGGTACGGGTTGTTGGCATCGGCATTGTAGTAGCCCCTAAGAAGAAATCAGCTTTTGTATCGACAGCTCTGAAAATTTTGCACTCACGACTCGTCGTAATATCCATCGCCTCCTTGGTGCTGTCCTCCGCTGCCCTGATCTGCATACTGGCCTCCATTGTGATCGTAGTATTGTTGGTCATCTTGATAGTACGAATCAGTGTTTCCCTGTTGATGGTGGCCGTAGCCGTCATCATAGTGACCCGGCTGCCCAGCAGGCTGCTGCGGCGGATGTCCCGACATGATTGCTTCACTGAAGTATTGCCTGCGTATAGTTGTATGGTTAGCTAATGATCGTGGCCCAGAGCCATTTGAGGAATGGAGATTTCAGGGGTAGGCCTCACAAACGTACAATCAAATGCCCATTGGAAGAATGTACAATTCTGTGATAGGTTCGAAGCTGGGTGGACGAACGGAGATGGAAGATGGAACGATCGTGGGCGACTTGTTGGCAACAGAAGGTCTGAAAGAACAGTGCGATCGATGATACAATAAATTGCAGCTGGCAGAAAAGAACGCGCTGTGATGCCCTCCCTTATCGGTGAGGGTGAAGTGTAGTGAAGACAAGAAACAAGAGAGAAGGGTGAAGGATGCTGAGGCCTGTCCTGTCCTGTCCTGTTTTCGTCTGCCTTGGTTTTGGCGTCGGGTGGTTGGTTGGGCGATGTGCAGAGCCCGGTTTGGTGATGGTGAGGCAGTTGAGCCTTCCAAGTGGGAAACGAGTGAAGACGCTAAAAGGTCGGTCGGCAATGGCAACGACAATGGCGCACCAGAGAACGAGTGTAGAGAAGATGAGGCACAAACAGAACAGAGGAGCAACACCGGGACCGTTGTTGTCCGAGATGTTGCAGAAAATGTTTTGTGGAGGAAGAAGAAAGGTGGTTTGGATTCGAAGAGGGAGAAGGGGAGAAGGGGAGAAGGGGAGAAGGGGAGCGAGAAGGGGAGCGGGAAGGGAAGGGAGGGAGAAGGAGGGAAGGGGGGCGGCGAGATAGCTAGGATTCCTTCCGGACAGGCCTTACAGGCTTTGCAGGCTCAGGCTGGAGGCTGGCACACATCAGTTGCAGCAGCGAAGCGAAGCGGAGCGATGCAGACCCAGGCCAGGCGAGCCAGGGCAGAGACAGCACCGCAGCAGCGGGCAGGCAATCAGGCAAGCTAGTTTTAGGTCGTGAACCTGGACTGGCGCCCCTGGAATGAGGAAGGCAGGCTTTCTGATTGGACACAATTGGGCCCAGGGGTTCGCTGCGAAGGCTGGGACAGGGGGGGCCACCTAGGGGCTGCTGCGTTTTGCGACGATACAGACTACCTACTACTCCGTACTCCAGTACCTTTTCTTTCCTGCCAACCTTCTACGGTAAATCTGCCTCCAGAAGGTGAGGTGGGCACTTCAGTCTACTGGTACCTAGAATATAGGTAGGGGGCTGATGACCCCACTTTCGTTGTGACTTCTCCACTCCGGTGCTGCACTGTACAGCAAGTAACTCTCTCCCGTGCCTTCTGCTGCTTCCTACTGTAGTGATTCACCCATCAGATGGAGAAGATACACATCTCATGCCCGCTCAAGGTACTCTCGTCAGCCATGTTTTGCGCAGAAAAGTGGCCGCCCATCCTGTTCTCCCTATCCGTGCGTGCGCCGTCCGCCGCCAACGGCGATTGGCGATCGCGCGTTGTGGCTAGGGCTCTCCTTATGGTTATCGCTGCTGTTAATTGGTATCCTATCCAGCCTCTGGGAGTTCCTTGTAAATTTATTTACCCCTGCCAGACTTCCAATTTCCGAGCGTTCCTGAAACTTTGGTATTGCCATTCGCCGCCTCACCAACTGGGCTTCAACCGTCAAGTGAAATAAGATCTCATACATTTTAACCTATCAATCTCGATGATTCAACCTACAGCAATGCCACATTCACCTGTCAAACGATCCAAGGGTTAATCAAAGCTCATTTATGTCTTGAGCTTCCATCCATCCTTCTAGTGCTGTATGGTATGGTGGGGACCCACCGCTCGCTCCTGCTACCGATCTAAAACTACTACCAAAAACCAGTGGCTAGTTTTTTCGCTTCTTAGCATTCCCTGCCCCTTCAGTGCCTTCCAGCCTTCACACATCCAAGTAGTCGAAGAGTGTATTTAATTCGAGAGGACTTTGAATCCACAGACTAGCACTAACAAGCAAATACGCTGCCCCGAGAAATCATGATAGGAGTTAGCTACCGCGTTGTAGAGTGGGCACAGCTTGGTGCCCCAAGAGAACAGCTCGGACATGACAAAAGCTCTATTTACGACATGAATACCTTATGCAGCTTGACCGGAGAGGGCCTCTCTGGCTGTTGGCTTGCTAACCGTGACTCGACAAGCACCTCAGCAGAAAATTGATTCGTCGCGTCTACATGACCGTCTGGACAAGCTTGTCGTGTTCAAAATCGCGTTATGTCAATAGCAGATTAGGATTAAGCAGTCGAGGATCAACTTTCTTGAGCAGTCCTCGTAAATTTACAACGGGCTAGAATCATGACGTCCTCGTGCGGATCCTTGGCTGTGCGCCGCTCCACATATCCTCGGACATCCTCGTAACGGTACCTGTCTAAATGGCCTAAAATAGATTTCGCCACCACCCGATTCCCGAAGCATGGAAACTTGCGATAGTGGATCGTCCAACGAAAATTACTCCATTCTTGGTCAACCAGACCCCTATCATTCTAACATTATTTCCTCTCGAGCCCTAGTAGCTCCGCAACAATCGTCGCTGTGGTCTGTGGTCCGTGGTCTCTGGTAAACAAAGATCAAGAACGTCCCAATAGGCACCGCGGAGGGTGCGTCGCTTGCGATGCTCACGAGCAGTTAACGATTGAATCTATTGGGGATCAGCCAGACAAGCTTCTTTCCTATGCTCCGCCCAAACGACCGAGATGGCCTTCCGCATCTTTCGCCTGGTCGAAATTGAATTTCAGGATGTTAGATAGCAATACCAACGTTGAAGCTGCCGAGCCGCAATCTCTTCTTGAGACGAGTCTGATACCGGATGACGGACTGTTGATTCTTCTGAGGTTCGGACCTTTCTATCAGCTGGCTCTATCTCTAGCTCAAGTGCGCTGTTCTATTTGTCCCAACGGCTCATTATCGTCCAAGGAGATTTTTGGAGCACCCAGGTTATGAAACCCCGTGATGGTAGGCGGTACAAATCAGCTTGACCCTGCTTCGGCTGATGAACTGAGCTGGGATTCTGGGAATGACCTGACGACTGCTCCAAAATCGTACAGTACTTGCGTACCATGGCATCCCGGTACCCGCCTGAGCAGCCCACATTCCCATGTCGTGAGGGCTTACCTCCGTATGTGCACCGTGTTCCAACCTCGAACTGTCTGTGTCATCTTCTAGCAGTTGACTTCGTGTGTTTGCTGTGTTGCCGGCCCCGAGATGCCAATCCGTTTCCACTATTCGAGCTCCACGTCAGCACTGTTCTCTGGGGAGTTCACCGAATCTCATGAAAGCTGCAGTAAACTGCCTGAAGTGATCGCAATTGGCCCTCGATTGATTTTAGCGTAACTTGTAAACATGCGGTGGCGGGATCTTGCGCCGGTAAGGTAGGTTGTCACTCAGGCACGCTGCGGCAAGTGCAGCGTCGTTCTGAACTTTAATGTTTTGGGATGGAGCATAGGTATGGTGAGACGAAAACTCTGATACTGTATGATGGAATACAAGTATCGCGACCTTCCGGCTAGCAGAACGAGCAACTCGCAACTACGAGCTAGAAACACGTCAACTCGAAGCGCTGTCCAGCCAGGCCGCCGTAAATCCTCATCTTGCGTCCCGTGAGTGGAGCAAGCCATGGCGTGTCAGAGACCGACGCGCGACCCAGTGAGCCAGCGCCCCTACAGTAGAAATGCGAAACCAGCTCCGGCCTCCTGTCACACTCTGCCAGGACTCTTGTCCATCTCTTGGTCAACTCTTGTTTCTTCTTTGCTCCGCAACACTGTCCTGCCCAGTCCATCTGTCGTTAATTTTTCTCTTCCGGCCATAGAATACTATTTTGCTGCAGGTATTTATTCCTCACAGCTGTAGCCCGACTGGTCAGTCTCGACACTCATTGTTCTGCGCTCAGAGCATCTCTCGTTCCCTCCTTGTTGTTGAATCGGCGTTTGGCAGGCACGAACGCATTTGCATTGGAGACGCCGCCGATTTCTGCTGCCGCTCGTGTTGAGCATATTGCACTCCACGGCACATCACGGCGTCGCATCGTGATAAGAATTATCTTTTGAATAACCATTCTTCAGCAAATATGAAGATCTCCGGAGTCGCTTCCATCGCTACAGCTGCGCTTGGCGGTGCTGCTTTCCTAGCTACATCCGTTGCAGCAGCAGATCTCCCACCTATCGTTATCAAGGTAAATAGATCACCAAGCCAATATGCCAAGTACTTGCTAACGTCAATTAAGGGATCCCATTTTTTCTACGAAAACGGTACAGAGTTCTTCATTCGGGGTATCGCCTATCAGCAAGATGTTTCGTCGAACGGGACAACTTCCGGCTCATCCACATTTACCGACCCATTGGCGGATGAAGCTGGGTGTAGACGTGATATACCCTTACTCCAACAACTTGGCACCAATGTTATTCGTGTGTACGCCATCAATGCTTCTTTGGATCACTCGGTCTGCATGGGCTTGCTACAAGATGCTGGTATCTACCTCATCCAGGATCTCTCGAACCCTTCATTCTCTATCAACCGGAACGATCCCACCTGGACAACTGAATTGTTCGCCAGTTACGCTGGTGTCATTGACGCCGTCGCCAATTACACAAATGTTCTGGGGTTCTTTGCTGGTAACGAGGTATCGAATGAGGTCAACAATACCAACGCTAGTGCTTTTGTTAAGGCCGCTGTCCGGGACATGAAGGCGTACATCAAGACCAAGAACTACCGAAAAATTGGTGTAGGCTATGCTACAAATGATGATCCTGCTATTCGTATTGATCTTGCTCACTATTTCAACTGCGGCGATGTTGATGAGGCTATTGACTTTTGGGGCTACAATATTTACTCGTGGTGCGGCGATTCATCATTTACGGAATCCGGCTATGATCAGAGAACTCTCGAGTTCAAGAACTACTCTGTTCCCGCCTTCTTCGCTGAGTATGGTTGCAACACTGTCCAACCCCGTAAATTCACCGAAGTTGGGGCAATCTATGGCAAGAACATGACCAGTGTCTGGTCAGGTGGAATCATGTATATGTACTTCCAGGAAGCTAACGATTATGGTAAGTGAGAGCTCAAGCGTTTTATTTGTGTACATCTATCTTGGTCAGCGTAGCTGACAAGCCGTCAGGGCTCGTTTCCGTCTCGGGCAGCACTGTCTCCAAATTGCCCGATTTTGCTGCTCTGTCTAGCCAACTGGCCAGGATCACCCCCAGCAACACACCTTTGGCCAATTATGTCGTCACAAACACTGCTGCTCAATCTTGCCCAACTGTTGGAACTGACTGGGCTGCTTCCGACGCTCTTCCTCCAATTGCCAACGCAGACCTCTGTAACTGCATGGTATCGTCGCTATCATGTGTTGCGAACACTGGACTGTCGGGAAACAAGACCGCGGAGCTGTTCAGTACCGTCTGTGGCTTGGATGAAACTTCATGCAACGGAATTACCGCAAATGCTACCACAGGTATTTATGGTGCATACTCCATGTGCACCGGGTACCAAAAGCTGTCATTTGCTTTTGACCAGTACTATCAGAGCCAAAAGAAAGCATCAACAGCCTGCGCTTTCGGCGGGAATGCCAAGGTACAGACTGGATCTACCAGCACTAAGTGCAAGGGTCTTATTTCACAGGCAGGGAGTGCTGGAACTGGCACTGTCACAACAGCCCCCACGGGAACTGGCTCGACAGGTAGCTCGTCTGGATCCTGGTCAACAACGACTAAAAGCGCGGCAGGTGCAACAATAATCCCTCGATTCAATATCGGCTTTTTGCAGATGGGAATTTACATCTTTGTTGCTGGAATGGCGGGTGCTGGCATGGTTCTGCTGTAGACCCATCCCATTTCCTCTCTGCTTTGTATGACTTGCATCAGCGGTTTTTAGTTAGATATTGGCACTGCGACGAATCGTCTTCAAGTCGCCACATTGTATTCTTTTCCTTACTTCTCATCTTGACCTGCTCAAATATCCTCGTCGTAGAATAGGGTTTTCAGGTGGAATAGAGTTGAAACTGTACGTCATGATGGCAGCTAGCTTCAGGACAACACAACATTGAGACAGAACTTCACAGTCCTTGCTATATCGACTCACAGTGGGGACAATGGGTATTGCTTGCCACGTCGCACGCACTGTTGTTCTCTCCTCTTCGGATTCTTTGGGGTCCATGACATTCAACTCAAAATTTTCCCAAGCTCGCACCATCAATATGCCAAACTTCCAACTGCAGTGATAAGTGAAAGGTGCTTGGCGCACGCTGGCTGCTGTTACCAGGTGGGAGGGATTTGAGAGAGATATCGTACGTAATATAAGAAATTCAAGGAACCAGTTGTCCATGAGAATTAGACAGAAACTATGATACCTTAAAAACAAAACATCAACACGCCTCAATAAATGTAGAATCTGTCTAGAATCAGTCGCGGCAATCTATATTCTGCATCGAGGTCATTGATTGCGTATCAAGAGGAACTTGTGGGAAGTGCATTGTGCTGTATATCTACCCAAATAATCAATTTTAATGCCTGGAGTGGGACAAGCTAGTTCAGAATTCATTTCTTGCCTTTTACCAGAGATGACCGTGGCTCATGCCCAAAATACTCCATTCCACCAATCTTTGAAACCCAAATTCTGGCTATCCAGATGATCACTTTTTGTCTCTTATTAGTCCACCTTTCCGTCCGGGTTCCGACTTATCTGAAGGAATTTCGATCTTTTTTTGTCCGAATTTTCTCTGGGCCGAGATACTGCCAGTTTCAAGCGAGGCACCGCTCAGAACTCCCACTGCTCTCGCTCACCCATACACACTCCTAGGTACTGAGTACGGGAGATGGGCCCTGGGGGCAGGCCGCGGTTGTAGCCTTGTTTCCGACCAATTACCGTCGGCTCTTTCATTCTACTCGTACCAGTTTGTGCAAGGCTGAGTTGGCAAGCAGCTGGGAGGATCATCGTCGTTGGCCAGCGGATTCAGGCACACAAGACAAGAACGCCTCCAGAGCCCGACAAAGTCATTCAATCTTGTTCAAACGCAGAGCAGAGCAGTTCCGCGCCCCGAGCTCCCAGAAAGACAAGCAAAATCGATGAGAAGGAAGCAGAGATGACCACCTTTTCCAGCACGCCACTCTTCGGAGGAGCTCTCATCGTGGATATACCGGCCAGCTTCGCCGACGTCAGGTATGCAGGGTTTCATGACGTCCTCATATCCGAAGGGGTAAACACTAACAAACAAGCACAGCACGATCCGTCAAGTCCCAGATCATCAGGAGGTCTACCTCGACAAAGATGGCTTCACAAGTATCATCTTCGACATCACGGAACGCGTGGGCCTGCCAGGCACAGGACCAGCTGTTGACGGTGCAGCCTTAACCACGCACCTAGAAGATATCGTAGACTCCGACGATGATACTGTCAAAGTCTGGAATACGAGTAACACACAATTCTCTAAACTCCCGTGAGTCTTTTCCCTTGGAGATCGATTATCAAGCACAGCCTCGTCACGTGGGGTCCACTGATTTTTTCATCTTCAGAGAAGGAATTCCAGCCTATACACTCATCGCCACACAAACACCGCCTCCGAAACCTGGTTCTAAGAGCCCGGATTTCACCGCCATTGTTCTCACACTCATCAGATTGGAGCAAGAATCGACAGATGTGCTTGTTACAATCAATGTCCCGCATATCAAGGGCGAGTACACGGAAGAGGAAATCGATATGCAGATGGGCAAGCAGGGAAAGCTGATTGAGAATGCGGTAGAGTATGCGGCGAAGATTTGGGAGACATTTAAGATCAAGGATTGGGGTCTTTTCAAAGAAGTTTAGGGATAGTAGTTGTGACCTATGAGTCAACGGCTGCGTGGCTATTACGATTTTTGCTATTTTTCACTCGATGACGTCCAGAGCGAGTTGATTTCATGTTTCGGCGGTTATGACAATGGGAATGGCAGTTCAATGGGTAGTAAGATCGGCTGGAATAATGATGACTCTCCTGGCGCGCCATATATCTTCTGTTCACGGACTTGTCAAATCCAGAAAGTCAAGCTTTCTAACGACAGCTCCGACATCGTCACTTGGAATTCCCCCTTGGCTCTCCGTGACCTCATCGACGCTGATAGACTTCGTAGTCTCTCCTCCGCCGCCGCCAAGTTTCGCAGCTTTGTACAGCTGATATTCCTTCCCCACCAGTCCCATGATGTCCTTCTGTGGACTCTGAGGATTTTCTTCTTTGAGTCTCCTCATGTTCTCCTTCATGAAGAGCTGATACTCGCTGAACTTCGCCGTCCCGGTATTAGCCCGTGGCAAAGGTTTTGTCTGCACCAGCTTGCTTTTGCAGCTCCCACACTGGTGTCTCGTCGGATCGATGCTTCTGCTGTGGCGTTTGAACTCCGTACCGCAACTCTGACACTCCCAAATGTACTTGTAGTCGATGGCATAATTATGTCTTGTCGTTACCTCGATGCCCCTGTCTACAAAGTGTCGAGAGCACTTTGCTGCCCATGCTTTGAATTCCTTGCCGTGAGGATTCGTCTTAATGTTACTGACCATGAAGTTCGCAAGGTGGCAGAACTCGTGAGCTATAACATTCAAGAGGCGTTCCTCGTCATCGATGACTTTCTCTGCCAACTCGATAGCCGCGTGATGTCGATATGTTGTTTTCCCGTCAGAGGCACTTGCTGATGACTTGATGGTTTCTCGTTTCCAATTTGCGCGGCCAGCAGTTGTGTTGAGCTTCTTGCTCCAGATGATCTTGACACCTCCGGTCGAAGCAGATAGCTTGGATATTTCTCCGTTGGTGATCTTGGTGTCCAGCTCCATCAGAAAGGATTCAGCGAGTGAATTTTTTGATTGCGAGAATGCTTTCTTGGCTTCCCTTGCTGCTCCACCTTGCTTGACAGGCCTCTTCTTGGGTGATCCTGCTCGTCTGGCATCTTCACTAGCCTTTGACTTACGAGCTGAGTTCTTTTGAGGTGAATACTCGTCATTCCAATCATTCACCACGTCCTGTTGCCAGAACTCATCCATACTCGGTCTGTGAGGAGTTGATGGGATGCGAGGGAATTGCTTCCTTGGAGATTGCAGTCGGTTGGGCTTTAAATCTGGGCTTCCAGGCGGTGTTACAAATTGGGTTTCTTTAGCTCCATTTCTGATCTTGTTCTCGGAAGGTGAACTGGATGAGACGTTAAAAATGAGAGATCATCAATAAACTAGACCCTAGAGACTTACTAGCTGAGTATGAAGGGATCTTCTTCGTCAGAGGTCAATAAGTCGGACTCCGGGATGGTCTTGCTTGCTTTTGGTCTCTTTGAATAGGTACCTTCACTGTTACTGTTCAATGCCCCTGTTGAAGGCTCCAAAACACCTCGATTCTCTACGAAGTCCTCTAAGTCTCGTGTAGCCTTCTTGGAATCTGGGAAAACATCGTCGTCGACGTTCAGCTTGTTCATACGACACCCGAGATCCTCAGAATCAGAACTTCCGGATTTGATCGGCCGCCCTCTTCCCTGCACCAGTTTTCTGGCAGGTCTTGGGGGGGATGCTTCTACGGCCGATTTCTCGTCTAGAAAAGAGCTGTCACCGACAATGAAGTCTGAAACTCCAGAAGTCCCTTGGTAGTCCTCCTCGTCCGATTCGAAAGCGATAACCATATATTTGGCTGCTTTGGGATTTCGAGCTGTCCTCTTCACAGCCTTGGGCAATCCGCCAGGTTGGCTTTCAACGTCATACTCGCTGCCGGCGTCTTGTTGTAATCTATCATAAGAAAACCCATTTGATGGTTGATGCCTGGACAATTTTTGTTTTTGTACTTCAGTCTTTGCTGGTGACGTTCCCATGCCATGGGATCTACTTCTGTTTGGAGTGGAATTGGCCAGCGGACGTAACAGTGTATTATCAGTGGTCTGATTTAAAATACGTTTCCTAGGCCTCGACTGTGCAGTTTCGGTGCCCTCTCCCTTCTTCGAGTTGGTTCTAGAGTCCCCAGTCCTGCCCCGAGTAGGCCTATCGTTCGCTGGGGCGGCGAATGAATCGTCCGCTGTTTTGGCTTTTTTGGCGAGACAGGATCCTGACGGTGCAGGTTTTCCAGATGCGACCTTGCGATGTATGATTTCCGCAAGATCTGGGAACTCATCGTCGCTATCCTCCAATACTTTTGCCATTGTTGTCTTTGATGTTGTGATCACGAGTATATCAAAAGCTGGCAAGGACCTTGTTGAGACGTTTGTCAGATGCGTTGGCTCGACAACAATAACCCCAACATAAACAAACCTACAACGATGAACTTGCCCAAGATATCCATTTCAGGACTGAATCACGACAGATCTGGTTATCTCAGGCCAGAACTGAAGAAACACAGTTGGAGCAACGTATTGTAAGCTATGCTGTCAATAAATACCTTCTATGTAGGTAAACAACGAAGGGTGTATCATCACGTGTGTATAGCGGAAATCCCGAGATATTGCCGAGCGAGCTCAGCAATTACCCCGCCATCACCTCTCTCCCTGTGCTCCCCAATCAACCCAAAGGATACAAACTTGAAGGGAATCATATGAAAGCAGCAATGGCAGCCTGCATCTTCTGCAAGATAATCAAAGGTTCCAATACCCCCAGAACACCTGCCAAACCACAAGCTGACGAAATTCTATCAACAGGCGACATACCCTGCTTTAAGCTCTTCGAGTCCGACAAAGTCCTAGCTTTCCTCGATATCAACCCTCTAAGCAGAGGTCATGCCGTACAGTCATCGTAATGTATACAAGTCTAAGATAGCTAAGTCATAGGCAGCTTGTCATTCCGAAGTTTCATGGCGTAAAACTGCTTGATATCCCTGATGATCAACTGTCCGAGATCCTGGTACGGGAATCGCACAGGGCTCTGGTAGACTTATTGGAGCATTCGCTGACGATACTCGTTAAAGCCAGTTGTAAAGAAGTTGGTTAAAGCTACGGGAGCAGAAAACTACAATGTATTACAAAATAACGGTCGGATTGCACATCAGGAGGTTGATCATGTAAGCGTTTCGCGTGGTTCAGTCGGACGTATGGATTGCTGATCAATTACGCTCTTGGTTTTAGGTACATTTTCACATGGTAAGCCTTACTGCTACATGCTTGACAAATTTCAATTGCTGACTCCTCGGGCAGATTCCAAAGCCAAATAACGAAGAAGGGATGTCGATTGGATGGCCTCAGCAGAAGACTGACATGGACAAACTGAAGGAGCTTTTTGCGGATATAAAATCGAAGATGTAGTGTATTTTGAAGGGGGACAAGGTCCGGGAGAAGTTACTGCGTTACATGAGGGTTGCCAGTTTCGAGGATAATATCAGGAGAGGCTCTCGGGACAGTCAAATAGCAGTGTGAGCGCGTTTGTTATGTGAGATGTGAGCCTTTTATTTTTGGGCTCTAGACTTCTTCGTCAGTACTGCGTCTATCCTAAAAAAAGTCATTGTCACTACCACATTATTATCATACAAATCCGAGTTTATCTGCTTCATCATTTCAAGATCGGTCGCGGGTTGGGATTCTAGTCCACATCTTCGGAGGAAGTCTCAGCATCCTTTGTCCCATTCCCCAGGGATGTAGCAATTGCCTCTTTGCTAGGGTAGAACTGTAACTTGCCGCCTTTCTGTATCAAGCCGACACGGTCGTAGATGGACCTAGCACGAACGTACGGGTCCAGGCGCCAGTAGTCATCTCTTAAGCTATTGGCCAGCTCGTGTCGTCTTGTCTTCACAGCTTCCATGTCCCTACTTCCATTGATCCAATCCAGGGTGGCCTTCTCATAGTCATTGACAAGAACCTCCCTTTCTTGAAGCAACCTGTCTCTAGTAGCGGTGTCCTTCATCAAGTCATTCTCCCCAGGCAAAGGCTCTGGGTAATGGTATTCCCAGTCTTCCTCTCCGCCCAGTTCCTTAATAATTTGGGACTTTGGGACGAATTGTTCCATTTCATCGTTGTTGTTGGTGAATTGAACCTTGCTAGCTACTACAGGATCTAGCCAGCCTCTGATAATCTTCCAGATTCCTAAATCGGTCAGTATTAAGTTTCCATAACAAGCGATGCAAACAAACCCTGGAAGATCCACGGAGCTTTGTGAACCAGGACTACACCTAGGGATTCTGGGTAGTTTGCCTCGAAGCACTTGATCATGAACTTGACCGGCGCGTAATCCTGCATCGAGATCAGTCTCATTTCAAATTCCGTAAAATCTCACAAACCTACCATATTTGCCATGGAAAATCCCGTCATATCAAATACAACACACTGAGTCCACGTCAGCCCGTTCATCTCAAACAATACGCACATAACTCACAGCTGTATCAACAGGAGGAGACAAGATCATTCGAGCAGACTCTATTACGAAGACTGTGTATCTTTCAAGACTCTCCTCACTCTGTTCACCTTGCCTATGTAACCGTACCCTTACAAAGCACATTGGTCTTCCTGCCTTATCCAGCCCGTGCAGGAAGCTCTTCCCTAAGCGCATCTGAGCAAGAAAGTCGTGCCCGAACTTCTTCTTTGCCGGATCACTGCTGTTTGCGTCATTGAGAGAGCCAAGCTCTCCATTTTTCATGATATCATCATCTACATGTACTTCTGTTGACCTCCATCGCATAGTTGAAACCATCATTACCAATGCCTTGTCAACATCCCATTTTCTGGCCCTCAAAAACCTCAGGAGCAACGCGTCTGGATGATCGTGTTTCACCATGCTCCAGAAAGTGGCTCGAAGTGATTCTGGGGACATATTTGCCAAAGCATCGTGAAACTCCTTCGTCTGCCCATATTTATCGTCCTCAGGTTGTGCAGCGTGTGACTTCGAGGTCGGTGATTTCGAGGCAGCCTCATCATCCTTCTTCCTAAACAGTGACATTCTCTTCTTCTTCGGCTTTGTTGAGTCGGAGGTATCTGATCGAGCTCTGCCATTATCACTAGATGCATCGTTCACGTCTTTCTCCAGCAAGCCGAATACTTGAAGTACTGCAGTCCAGAACTGCTTTAGCGATTCTTCCTGTTCTGCGGTGAGCGTTCCCGGTCGACCAGGAAGTGATTCTCCAGTCATATCTGCGATTTGGGTTTCTTTGCTATCTTTTGATCTTGGTAATGTCTTTGCTGTTCCCTCTTCGTCTCTGGACTGTCCACTGTTACCGCAATACAGGGCGAAGAAGACCGCTCCGGTGCAAATGAAAATAGTTGCAGCTGAAGAGGCGAAGCTGCAGTTCAAAGAGTTCGTGACAGAGCAGGACGGATTACTGAGGGCTCCTCCAAGAAAATGTCGGTGTGGCTGGGTCGTGAGAAAGCGGGTAGAGAGTGGTGGTCTTGCGCCGCAATGCGATGATGCGTGCAACTTCGGCTTTGGACTCTTAAGGTGGATAAGGGTTTGTAACGGTTTCCGAGGTTCGTTGTGGTTGTTAGAGAACCAAGCGGAGACTCTGATCTTGTGAATTCTAGGCCTGCGCAACAAGGCTGGTTTCAACAGTTGAATGGCTGCTTGCTTGTTCATGGACGAAGCGGATAGAAATATCTTTGCGGTGAAGGTGGGGTGTAGATGCAAGATACATGTAAGCCACGTAGGGCCGACCTCAGAATTCGATGTGAACAAACAGGATGCGAGGATTGGGGACGACTGGACTGGAACAACTTGAGTATACTGATGGGTCTGCTTTTGCTGTAAAAGCACGCCTGGAAGTGCCCCTCTCATCCGAGCCTGCCGCTACTTTGTAGGTAATTATAAGTCTTGGCAAATACACCTCGTCCACTTGTGGAGGGGTCACAGAGGTGCGCCCATCCCAGGTTTACTATAGGTAATTTCGAAATGCCCCGTGATCTGCGCAGCCAGCAGTATTCTAACGGCGACAACAGTATCTCGCTCTCGTTCTATAGTAGCCCAGTGGCCTCTATGCTTGAGACAGTACCAGAAACAAAATGTCCAATTCAGTTGCTTGTGGAGCTGGATCCGTTCCGAGGGGCTGCTTCCATTAAGGTAGGTAGGTACCTAGGCAAATTTAGGAAGCAGTACGGAGTAGTGGTTCAATGTTTTCACGGTCCCGGCGCGTGCCCCTTCAACAACAAACTGCGATGAGCAAATTGTACAAGAAGCGCAACAACAACACAATTCGCCGCAAATGCACTAAGATACCACTGTGGAAGGCAAAGCTCTCTCCAAGCTACTGATCTCGGCACATTCAAGTTTGCAAGAGATCTTCCAACACGTCCGCGGGCCTGACAACGACAGTTCATTGTCCATGATGTCTTCGAGAACACCTCAGACAGAGGCTGGAAGCAGTGTGAAAAGATCAACTTCTGGTACCCGCAAGCCTCTCTCGCGTCCAACAACCCCTCTACGACCCTCGTCTAGATCCTCTATCCGCGAATCTGGGAAAACTAGCTTACGAGGCGTATCGGATTTCCCACTCGAAACTTTCGAGCCATCCTTTGCGGAACTGAATGACAGCCTCGCGGATTTAGACGCGAACTTTATGCATTTGGCCCTTCTACAAGAAAGCTTGAGTCGGTTCAATAATAATTTCTCGTCATTCTTGTATGGGTTGAACATGAATGCTTTCTGCGTTGATTTCCCAGAGGTGAATACAAGGACATAGGAAGCGGACCAGGCTGAGCACTGATTTGTTCACAGGCACCGATTCCAGATTCATTCCGAAGAGCGCGAGAACAAGAGGAAAAGTTAGGTAGGGTCTATAGAAGCACAACACTGATATGCGCTAAATCTCCTAGGACGCTCAATAGGTTCGGATAGATTTCACGGAGAGATTGACGGAGAGACAACTTTCTTGTAAGCCACCTTCATTGAATTTTCTCCATGGCTCTGGCTCATTCTTTCCAGAACAACCGATACCTCATTCGTCGAAAACCCTCCGTCGTCCAAAATAGCCTCTAAATTCTCAACTCCCGCTCCAGCGTCAAGAGTCGGTGGTAGTCGAGGAGGAGCAGCACCTGCAGGAAGAGGAGGGGCGGCCCGTGGTGGATTGCGTGGTACCCGTGGTAGTGGTCTTGCAAGAGCTGCGAAAGGTCGTAGTGCGAAGCAGTAAAGATGCTCATGTCTGGGAGTTACAGCAGAGATACCCACTGTAGACCTCGAGCTATTAAGTTTCCGGTAGCTATGTCTCCGAAACTTATCGTGTGCTGGACACATCGACGTTCACGTGGTGTCGTCCAGGAATCCGGAATTCTCCATATCTACCTCAATATCTTTGGTATCTTCTTTGGCTGCAAGCCGAGGGCCATTATCCGTTCGGAGTCCAATAGCTGCTTCGGCTTCCTTCTGTGTATATGGTTCCGCCTTCAAAGCTTTGACCCTGCATCAAATCAATACCGGAAATCTCAAGACATTTCTCTCCAGGTACGTACTGTCTCTTGTGCGTGCTACCTTTGCGATGTGTGACCATACTATGCTCGCTTTCGAACCATTTTGCGCATTCAATACAATAGAACTGGCCGAGACCCGGTAGGTCTTCTGGTGCCTTGCTATTCTTGTGTTGCAGCAGGTGCTTTTGATCGGCAATATCAAGGTGGATTTGATCCAGGTCTCTGCGTGTGTTCAGTAACGGCCATTCCGAGGACTTCTTCGCAGAAGAGAATGTTTTCGAAGTCGGACGTACCTCAGGCGTCTCCTGGTTTTTGTCTTAGTCGACTTCTGAGGGATCCCCATTATTGTGGTTGTGCTTTGGGAGGCTGATGTGCTGCACTCGGTCTGGATGAAATTGTGTGAGTTTCGATTTCAGGCAGACCCTCCAAAGAGCTAGCCCAAAAAAGAAAGGCGTCTTCTTGTGAAATGGTCAGAGGAGTCCTCCATGACCAGGATCAGAGTAATGTTAACGCTACTTGTACCTGTCAGCCGAGGATGGAAAATTGCGGACTCTCTTCTGGTCGCTCCCTGGACTTTAACCTTTTTCGACTTTTTAGTGTTCACTTCCGAAGCCAGAGCGGAGCCGTCAGAGGGCGGATGTCGCCGACGAGAGCGAAACCCGGCCTTGGGGCAGTGAAAATTGTATTTCAATGTCGTCAAGAGAACTTAGGACAATGATGAAGAGAGTATTGCTCTTTATCCCAACATACGGCACCCGGCACAAGATAGTGGCAGGGTCTCAGTCATGTTTAACTGGGAGGCGATCTGTCTGCGATCGTGGTGTTCACCTATGATGCAAGCTGAGCGAGCTCCCGTCGTCTTGCTTGCAATTGCTACCCCACACCCTAAACCTTTCTCTTAAGTGCCCTCAAAGTCATTTCAAGCGTGCTTCGATGCCCCAACAGAGGCGAATGAAACAGCTTGTAAATACCGCGCACGCCGAAGGTTGTTTTCACCCAGCTTGTGATTGGTTGATTCGGTTCTCGGTCCCGGGCTAGGGAGCCCGCCCGCCTTGTTATCTTGAGCTTCTCGTTTCTCAAACCTCATTTTCTCTTCTTTTCTTCGACACAACACCTCCACCTCCACTCAAGATGCTTTCCACTTCGCGACAGCTCTTCGCTGCTACCCAGCGGCGAGCAATAGCTCATGGCATCCGCCGCATGGCGACTGTCAGCGACTCGCCATTGGACCAAAAAGTTCCCCAAAACGTGCATGAAGCCCAGAATTTCATCAATTACAAGAAGATGTCTGAGAACCTCGCCATTGTCCGTTCAAGATTGAACCGTCCTCTTGCATACGCAGAGAAGATCCTCTACTCCCATCTCGACGACCCTCACGGCCAAGAGATTGAGCGTGGTGTCTCCTACCTTAAGCTCCGACCTGATCGTGTTGCATGCCAGGATGCCACAGCTCAAATGGCCATTCTTCAGTTCATGTCTGCTGGTATGCCATCTGTCGCAAACCCTACAACTGTCCACTGTGATCATTTGATTGAGGCACAAGTTGGTGGCGCAAAGGATCTTGCACGAGCTCAAGACATCAACAAGGAGGTGTACGACTTCCTGGCCACATCTTGCGCAAAGTACAACATTGGTTTCTGGAGACCCGGCTCTGGTATCATTCATCAAATCATTCTCGAGAATTACGCTTTCCCTGGTGGTCTTTTGATTGGTACTGACTCGCATACCCCCAATGGTGGTGGTTTGGGCAGTAAGTAACACCATACATCTCCACAAAGCGTCAAATGCTGACCATTCTTAGTGGCTGCTATCGGAGTCGGAGGAGCTGATGCTGTCGATGTTATGGCTGACCTTCCCTGGGAATTGAAAGCACCAAAGGTCTTCGGGGTGAAGCTTACAGGACAACTCTCTGGCTGGGCCACTCCAAAGGGCAAGTCATGTGCCTGCAAGTTCTCTCCACCATACTGACTGCGAACTAGATGTAATCTTGAAAGTCGCTGGAATGTTGACCGTCAAAGGAGGCACCGGGTTCATAATCGAATACCAGTTGGATTTCCATGTTCCAGAGATATTTTGTACAATTGCTAACTTTATCACAGCGGCAAGTTACAAAACAATTTCGTTACATTTATCAGATTGGTAGGGTACACTTGCCGTAGGGTTGGTGTGCGCTGCCTACCTGGATTACCATGAAGCAGCTCTCTTCTCACCTGCCTCTCTGGTTTGCCACATGTTCCCCACAACTCTGCTCTGCTCCAGGTCTGCACAGCTCTTGCCATGTACTCACTGAGCTCTCAAGGGGGGGCCCCAAGATTCTCGCCTTCCTTGAGAGCTCACCCTCAGGTCTGTTCTTAGGTTTCCATAGAGCTCTCTGGGGAGGTCCACAGGTACCTTTCTCTGGGAGCTCACCCCAGGTCTGTCGATTAGCTGCACATGCTCTTCAAGCTTCAGACAATGTCAGATAATTGTAGGTACAGCTTGATAACCTGCCTCCGGCAATTACTCACATCTACAGTTCTCTTGTCCACGTGCCGTTCAGCACCAGCATTTCAAAAGTACTTTTGGGCAAAAGCGCCTTCGCACCTGCCACATGGTAGAGAGATACCTTCCTCACCACAGGATCGCAGCTATTACACATCTACTCCAGGCATGCCTTCCTCCGAGAGTGAGCAATGTTATATGGGAGCTCTCAACCTTCAGATCTCGCCGTTCCGTCCTCACCAGCACTCCTCAGTTCTCAGCACAAAGTCAACCTCAGACGTCAAGTCAAGTATATCAGAACTCTCAAGACCCATCAAATCCCAATCGGTAGGCCTGATCCATCTCTGCAAGCGCATCAGACACTAATGTAATGGCAGCTTTCCCGAGTGCTGCACAGATTTGTCGTCTGGGTGGCCTGCACAGCTGCTGGAGACTCCCTTTACGATGGAGCTGTCCGCAATCGCTCTCTTGCTCGTGTCATGGACCTGGACTTGCCTCTGCTTGGCCCCTGAAAAGTCCAAGAATCCTCTGTACGGCTTCCTCCTCCCAGATGCGGCAGCTCTGAAACAGATCTTCTCGTCGATTTCAATCAACCTTGCACCTGGCTTGTATGAGGTTCTCAAGTCTTCTACTCCGCCCACTCTGCAGTTCTTCAAGGATCTCCCCAAGGACTCTTTATCTCTCAGGAAGATCTGGGCTATCTATGCACTTACTCTGGAGAAGATTGGCTCAAAGCCAAAACTGTACATTGGCTCAGCGACCAATACTGCTGGTGGAGTTCGTGCGCGCTTTCTCAACTACGACAAAGACAACAGCGTATCTATGTCCATTCGCAGAGCTCTCGCGGAAGGGTACATTATAAGTCATCAAGGCTGCTTGTGCTGGACTCCGATCCCCGGAGCAGTCTCACAATCAATTGTCAGAACTCTCTTCATCGCTCTGGAAGCTCTATTCTGCTTGGTGTTCTGGGCTCTGAAGTCAAAGAAGAACTACGGAGATGTTTACAAGTTGTGTCCATGGGATCGTGAATCTCTGAGCTGGGACGGGCTATGTTCGCATATATGTCTTGATGAAAGCATTCCTGGCTATCATGACCTCACTGCTGAAGAACTGGAAGCCAAAGAGGTCGAACTTGTCCAGAGACAAAAGCAGCTCAAGAAAGAGTCATACGAGAGAATCAATTCTGCGGATCCCGAGGCATGGAGACTCCACGTTAATGCAAACGCCAAAGATTGGAGAGAGAAGAATCCTGAGAAAGCCAGTGCCAGCTCGAATAAGTCCCATAAGAAGAAGGGAGCTGAGGCGAAGCGTCTCAAGTCGTATGTTTGCGAGCTTTGTGACAAAATCTACGGAAAGGAGTCCAGTCTTACGATACACCTCGCTGGCTCAAGGCACGCTGCCAAGGTAGCACTCGGAGGTCTTGTCAAGAACACTCGGAAGAGACCTGCCAGAACAAGGCATATCTTGAGAAGAAGCTCTATTGCGACTTGTGTGAAGTTCCCTGCAGCAGTCCATCAAAGCTAGAAAGACACAAGAGCTCGAAGTCTCACCTCAAGAAGGCCGCGGCCGTATCTCTCTCGAGCTCTATGTTCGAATGAGGGATAACATCAGCTACGCCACCCGCTTTTGGACTTGCGGAACAGTGTTACAACGCAAAAGTACTTTGGGTGACCAAGCTTGGACCTCTGAGCTACCGTTTCTTTTTCTCAAGTAGAACTACGCAGAACCATGGAATATATGTTTCGCAGACCTGGAGCAGACCTGGAGCAGACCTATCTTAGACTTCAGACATGGCTTAAAGATGTATAACTAACACATGTCACAATATAGGCGAAGGCACAAACTCTCTCTCTGCCACAGGAATGGGCACTATTTGTAAGTTCTCTTCGTTCCAAAGTACTTCCCAGGACTGACGACTATAGGCAACATGGGAGCAGAAATTGGAGCTGTGCGTGACTCTCCCATGTACATGGCTTTTGTGCTAACTGAATAGACCACGTCTCTCTTTCCTTTCAACGACCGCATGTACGAGTACCTCGCAGCTACGAAGAGAAAGAACATTGGCGACTTTGCCCGTACTTATGCAAAGGAACTCCGCGAGGATAACGGCGCTGAGTATGATGAATTGATTGAGATCAACCTTTCCGAGCTCGAGCCACACATCAACGGCCCTTTCACTCCCGATCTCGCAACCCCCATTTCTAAGTTCAGCGAAGCTGTCAAATCTAACAATTGGCCCGAAGAACTCAAGGTCGGCTTGATCGGATCCTGCACCAATTCTTCCTATGAAGATATGTCTCGCGGAGCTTCCATTGCCCGGGATGCCCTTGACCATGGTATCAAGGCGAAGTCCCTCTTCACTGTCACACCTGGCTCGGAACAGATTCGCGCAACCATCCAGCGTGATGGACAACTGCAGACTTTTGAGGAATTCGGGGGTGTTGTATTGGCGAATGCGTGTGGACCTTGCATTGGTATGTCTCGTCTCACATGTGTTTGGAAGTATAGCTAACTGTTCTAGGTCAATGGGACCGTAAAGATGTCAAGAAGGGCGAGGCAAACTCCATCATCTCTTCTTACAACCGAAACTTCACAGGTCGTAACGATGCCAACCCCGCCACTCACTCCTTCGTTGCATCTCCAGATCTTGTCGTGGCTATGACCATTGCAGGGAGCTTGCACTTTAACCCTCTCACAGATAAACTCAAGGACAAGGATGGAAATGAGTTCCTGCTGTCCCCCCCATCAGGTGCTAGTCTGCCATCAAGAGGGTATGACCCAGGACAGGACACCTACCAAGCCCCTCCTGCGAAGCGCGACGCTGTTAGCGTCGCCGTTTCTCCCACCAGCGACAGACTTCAACTTCTTGAACCATTTACAGCATGGGATGGCAAGGATTTTACCGACATTCCCATTCTGATCAAGTGTCAAGGAAAGACTACTACCGATCACATCTCTATGGCCGGCCCTTGGCTGAAGTACCGTGGACACCTCGACAATATTTCAAATAACATGTTGATTGGTGCCACAAACGCCGCCAACGGTGAGGCGAACAAAGTCCAGAATTTCACTACTGGCGAATTTGATGCTGTTCCTGCCACTGCCAGAGACTACAAGAAGAAGGGCATCCCGTGGGTCGTCATTGGTGACTGGAACTACGGAGAAGGAAGTTCGAGAGAACATGCTGCGCTCGAACCAAGACATCTGGGAGGTATTGCCATTATCGTCCGTTCCTTCGCCCGTATTCATGAGACCAACTTGAAGAAGCAAGGTATGCTTCCATTGACTTTCATTGACCCCGCGGACTACGACAAGGTTCAGCCATACGACAAGGTTGATTTGCTCGCTACCGAGCTCGAGGTTGGCAAGCCAATGACTCTCAGAGTACACCCAAAGGATGGGGAGGCCTTTGACATCAAGTTGGCTCACACTTTCAACGCCCCACAAATTGAGTGGTTCAAGAACGGCTCGGCTTTGAACACGATGGCAAAGGCCCATGCGTCGTAAAGGATGGGAACGCTGGTGTTAGGTTGTTTTCAACGCCCCTGTACTTATGTTTCAATGGTCTAGCGCGCTTCCCTAAGTATCAATACATTTTCCGTACTTGTAGTTAATGAGTCCAAAGATATACCCTAGATGCCTGTGCCAGCTCGCTATCTACACATTATATGGTTTAGCACCCTTCCTAGCTTCATTGTTTCGCGTCTTTTTAGGTATAATACTGCTTTGATCTTTCAAGGCTTAACGGAATTAAAACCAAGACGTCCTACTACTTGAAAACAAATCAAGTATCATCAAAGATCCTTAGATTAGCAGTTAATTACAATACCTAAAAAGTAGAATGTTAGAGGTGCCTGATCTGCGTGCTAGACAACTTGTGTAGATTATAAGCATAGACTAAAGGCCTTTCTAATTCTTAGAGGCTAGCTTACGTATTAGTCTAAAGATTCTGACTTATAATTAGTTCTGAGGTCCTCCAGACGTATAAAATAGTCACTAGATAAGGGAAATATTATTTGAAGTAAAGAAGAAGTAAATTAATCAGATGGACGTCTATCTTTCTTACCTATATCTGGAAGCTAAAGTATTCCTTAAAATCCTAGAAATAACACCGATCTAAAACAGAAACGCCAACCTTACCAGCAGCACCGCGGACAGACTTGTCAGGTTTGCAGCCTCAAACTGCAGGGATAACCCAGTAAGCGACATTTCACGGCCAATTCCCAGCAAGAGGACCTCACCTTGGAGGACATTTGCCAAAAGCATAGAGCAACAACAGCAGCGATGTTGAAGACCAGCCCCGCAACAGACTGAACTCCAAAGTCCTTCTATCCTCAATCGCCGAGATTTCCAAAGGCCCGCCTCTTAAGCGCTACATTACTTTGACCGTTGACGTACAATCCTCTCTGAAAAATGGCGCCCAGTCTTCCGCAGTTTTCTGCTACTCGACTGCGCTCGTACATTTTCCGACTTCCTCTATTTACTCGGGTCATCATCGTTGTCATTATACTACTCTGGATTGCGAGTATACAGTCGGTTTGGGACGTACAGAAATGGGGAGCTTTAATACCGGAAGAGATTGGATTGAGCACCAGTCTGTCAATCCCTCCTTCACAACACTTACCACCCTTAGTATGCTATCCATATGCGGGTATAGGCTAACTCGCACGGGTCTACAGTGTATCGGACGAATACCTTTCCACTCGTCCATGCTGGCTTCTTCCACATGTTCATGAATATGTTGGCACTGACACCATTACTGGAGCGATTTGAGGCAGAACATGGGACACTCACGACATTGGCGCTCTTCATGGGAGGTATGATATATAGCGTTCTTCGGAGAGCATCACCTTGCGGAGCAAAATGTTGACGGAGATGGTAGCCCTTTCCACGATTCCGGCACTTCTTTACACATTCATGGAGAGAGCAATCTTCCACATGAACACGACAATCCTGGGAGCAAGGTCAGCATTGTGAGAGCTATACTTGAATATTGAAGATAACTGAAGAACAGTGTTTGGGTGTTCACGTTAATTGCAATGGAGGCAGTTAAGACCTACAAATCGAATCCATACTTCATGCTTGGAACGACACAGATACCGACATGGATCACACCATTTGTCATGGTCCTATTCGTCTCGGTGTTGGTCCCAAACACAAGTTTTCTAGGACATGCTTGCGGACTATGCTTTGGTTATGGATGTGGGTGTTGATATTCTCACGTTCCTAACGACGCACTCGCTGACTGTATCAGGGGGCCTTGGATATCTCAAGTTTCTCGCTCCCCCGGAAAAGGCTCTACGCTGGATAGAAGGAAAGCTAAATCTACTTGGGAGACTTCCACATTATGTTTCGATAGACCAAAAGACCTACGGACGATATGGAGTCCTTCCAACGACAAACGCGAGCATGTCAAGTTCTGGGGATCTTGGCTCGGGCTACGTGGCTAGCTCGCAGAGATTAGGGCCTTGAAGAGGGCGGAATGTAGGTCAGCATGACGTAAACTGCTGTGCAATTATAAGCATATTCTGGCGTTGAGCGGATGCGTTTGCTGGGATATGGGCAATGACCCCTGGTCAATGTTGTGTCCATAGACATTGGGCAAGAAAATCTTTTTTGATCTGAGCATTAGCTACAGTGGCTTGTGAAAGTGTCTTTCGCAATTAATGAAATTCCCTCTGGTTTGCAGTAATGTGTAGTGACATTGTTATGTGTGGAGTGAATTTTCCAGTGTCGTCGCTTCAAGAAGCGCGTCTTCCCTTCAGGGAGCTAGCTGCAGCAACACCAAATGCGCTACCAACTTTCAACACAATTCGCTCCTTGAACATGGTCTCTCTCTTATGCAAGTGACTTCCTTACACCTGACGACCAATCTCTAACAGTTTCTAGCTTCCAGTATTTTGCTGCGGCATAATCCATTGCTCCTCAAGCTACCTCCATATCTGTCCTTTCTCTGCATAGTTGTTGGTGTCGCATGGCTGCTTGTTTTACCTCTAGACGACTATTCACGGAAGACTTATATCTCAGAGAACGCTCTTCTCCCGGGCCAGGTCCATACTTATTTTGCTGGGAGCGACCAGAACGTGTTTCGAGGTTATAAGCATGAGGTTGATGCGCTGGAGGGGAAGAGTAACATCGAGTATGGAAGCAGGGTACAAATGCCGACTATTGGACTGACGGGCTGATAGGATAAATAACAAGCTGGAGGAGTTCTTTATATCCTCTGGGCTGAAGGTCGCTAGGCAAAAGTACGAGTACAAGTCTGCAGGCGAAACATATTTCGGGGAGAATATATATGCCATACTTCACGCCCCCAGAGGAGATGCCACGGAAGCCATTGTGCTTGTAGGAGCCTGGAAGAATATCGAGGAGGAGCTCAATCGGAGCGGAGTTGCCCTCGTCCTTACGTTGGCCCGATACTTCAAGAGATGGTCTCTTTGGTCGAAGGATATAATTTTCCTGGTCACAGCAGATAGCACAGCTGGACCGCAAGCTTGGGTTGACGCCTATCATGATACACACCAATCTCCATCAATTGACTCACTTCCTTTGAAGAGTGGAGCGTTGCAAGGAGCAGTGGTCATTGACTACCCATTCGATCACCGTTTCGAGTCCATCCATGTTGTCTATGATGGAACCAATGGGCAGCTCCCAAACTTGGACATCTTGAATACAGTGGTATCTATCGCAAGCGGCCAGATGGGTATTGGAGTTTCTATTCAGAGAATGTGGAAGCATACGGACAGCTACCAGGACCGACTCCAGACTATGCTTCGTGGGATGCTGAAGCAAGGCCTCGGTTATGCATCTGGACCACACAGCAGCTTCATTCCCTACCACGTTGATGCTATTACGCTACAGCCCTTTGGAGACGGATGGCAAGACGAAATGGCAATGGGAAGAGTCATCGAAAGCACCTTCCGAAGTCTGAATAATCTGTTGGAACATCTGCATCAGAGCTTCTTCTTCTACCTGCTCATGCAGTCCAACCGTTTTGTCAGCATTGGCACTTACCTTCCAAGTGCCATGCTGGTGGCCGTCAACTTCACCATCATGGCGATCTTCCTTTGGATCAAGAGCGGATCGCCCAAGAGTCCGCCGAAAGAGTCATCCAAGGAAGGAGAAAATAAGCAACTGGATCTGGTGAAGGGAGCTAGTGCAATTGTACTCGTTCCAGAGGAGATTATGACAGTGCGAGAGCGAGAGCTTTTTCTACCACTAGCTGTGGTCGCTGGCATCCATTTGCTAGGAATTCTGCCCCTCTTCATTTTCAATCACGCGCCTCAGAATGTGAGAAGCTTTGCCCTCCTTTTCAAAACATAATCTAACATTGCCTAGATGCTACGAGCTGTGTTCATCTTTACAGTTGCGTTGAATTGCATCCTCCCCTTCTTCCTCTCCAACAGCCTAGTTCAGTACTTCGCTCCAACCACTCAACAATACACGCTAATAAAAGCGTTCTCGCTACTTCTCCTTGGAATGTTCCTATCTGCTCTTGCCACACTTAACTTCTCCCTGGCGTTCCTCGTTGGCTTATTTTCTGCTCCTTTAACCTACATCCAACCACTTCCGAATAACCCTATCATTGCGATTGCCATAGCCTGTTTATTGACTCTACTGGCGCCTACCACGGTGGTGATGGCAGGGTCGTGGCACTGGGCATTAAGCATTGGGCAGGTGTTGAAGGAGGCTGCTTTTGGATGGGACGTCTGGGGTATGAATACGCAGGTGGTGGTCTGGTGCGTTTGGTGGCCGGCTTGGGTTGTAGGCATGCTTTTGTTGTTTGGCAAGCCCAGGTTGGACGAGGAGAGAAACGGGGAAGTGATTATAGTGAAAGCGTAGGTGGGATATGTAGGTGACACTGAACAGAGATGCCACGAAGGTCCCTTGACCAAGACGCCGTATTGAGATCCATACGTACCATGTTCTCCATGCCATGCCCCAGTGTGTTGTCCTGATCTAAGGCAATTGGACCTACCCATAGATTATCCAGATTTTTGCGATTATGAGCAGTGTCTCTATCCTCATTAAATTCAACTTCATCTGCCTTGAGGACGACTCCTTCGTGAGCAGAAGTGATTTGGAGGAAATTCTTTTCATTGCAGTTGTTACACCTTTGCGCTAACGGTGAAGGTGTCTTGTTCGTAACGGACACTGCCTGTCCCATGCTCAAAGATATCTATCATACACCCCAGCAATTCTCATCATGCCCAGACGCCATGCCATGCCAAATCACGCCGCCCAAACATCTTGACCCTTAGATTCGATCCAATTGCCCAGCTGGTTGACACTTGAATCCCATTCCTGAAGTCTTAATCGCATGTTGTCAATTTGCTTCATGTCCAGCACCTTAGGCTGTACCCAGTTGATCCGTGCAATCTCGTCCACCTGGTCGATACTTCCTCTCAACAGTCCTAAGCTCAATGCCTTCATAATTAAGTGCTCAATCTCATCCGGTCGAACCTTGGTCTCCTCAGCAATGGTACGGAAAGACATCTCACGGTCGTGAGGTGGTCTTCGGAACACAGTCTCGGTCAAAGCAGCCAGATATATTTTCTGTCTTAATTCATCGCGGTGTTCTGCAAGAAGAGTATTGGAGGAGATGTGGCCAGCAAGAACGTCGTACGCAGCAAGATCTCCGCGGTTGAAGGCGAACAGGAGCTCATAAAGCCAAGTATCGTCCTTCTTCAAGTCGTTCAGGATTGGATGTAAAAGCAGTTCACCGAAGTTGTAAATGGTATCCGAGACCAAAGCTGCGATAGCAAGGTCATAAGCCCGGCTTCTGCGTTCGGCGGGTGACAAATCAGTGACTTCGATACAAGCAAGGTAGAGGAGGGCATTTCGGTAGTAGGATGCGAACTCGAGTTTAGACTATCATGATTAGCCGGTCTCTCATTCTCTCTGGCGGCAGACGAACCTGGTAGTATTCGGCATTGACCCGGTAGAATGCTGCATGCACAATCGTCTCGACAGAGTCGAAATTATCCAGGATCTTCTCTGACTTGTCCAAATCTTTTCTCGCGCCCTCCAGATCCTTCAACTCGAGCTTCACAGTGGCTACAGCTACGGTGGCGTAGACATAGGCATCCTGGGAATTGGGGTTGTTGACTTTGTTTGCTGCTGCGGCAAGGAAAGACAGGCGCTCCTCACTGTCTGCAAATCAATTAGACGATGTTCAGAGAATACAGAAGTACAGCCATACCTTTGCATTGAGAAGCTGCGCTCAAGGCTAAGGTTACAAGCTTGAGCTGATTAATCTTGTCGGCGAAGGTGAGGATGAATGTTTTGTAGAAGGCCAATCGTTGCGAGGCGCTATCTTTGTGATTGAAAAATTGTATGAGGGTGTCGGTCAACTGATGCCACAGCTTGCGCTCCCAGAGATCTTCGAAGTCGAGGTACAGATGTTGCAGCTCAGCAGGGGCATCGTCTCTCTGCTCCTCCAGAAACTGCGGGACATCTACAATGCTCATGGCGGCGGAGGAAGGAAGGGTTTCTCTGTGTTCACTTGCGAAGAGTATCAGCTCGTAGTGTGGGAAACAAACGGTAGAGTCTGTTCTCGGGCGAGAAGGACAGAGGAGGGTGGGGTTGAGTTGAGCTGAGTTGGGAGTTGAGTTGAAGTCTGGATGACCAGGTTGATGCTTCGCGCGTGTACCTGGAAGCCTTTTGGTGGAGCTGCACCAGTGCAGATGTGTTAGTCCCCACTCAGGTTAGCGTGACTTCAGCTTCAGGTCCAAGAAGTGACAAGGGTCAACGGCAGCGGCAACCTCATCGCTCGATCGCTCCGTTCCTCAGTCGGCTACCTCTTCCACAACAGTCAATTGATTTCGAGCACGACTGCAAACATGCAGAAGTCCTGCAGTCCGTCGAGTATAAATGGTCTCCGGGCTGCCGTACAGCTGGGGCAAAACGCTGCCAGCAAGACCCCTCGTAGACGGCAGATCAGCGATGTTACCATCACGAGAACTGGCAAACCAATTATTCGGACACAAGGTGGAAGGTTGGTACTTCTTATGCTGAGCGAATGACCGTATTCTAACTTATGCCATTAAAGATCATCCCTCGGAGGTATATCTCAGTCTATGAGAGGATTGGAGAGCTGGGCTGATGACGGATACTAGGACACACCGTGACGGTCTTTGGTGCAACTGGCTTTCTGGGAAGATATATTGTTAATAGACTTGGTTCTCTGCCCGAGGTCTCTTGCTGAATAGGATTCGAGACTGACTGTCGGTGGAATAGCTCGGCAAGGATGTACCGTTATTGTACCTTTCCGCGAGGAAATGGCAAAACGGCATCTAAAGGTTGCAGGAGACCTGGGCCGGGTCGTGTTCATGGTAGGCCCTAGAACCGTGCTTGTGGGTACGTTGCTGAACATTTCCAGGAATATGATCTCAGAAATACACAGTCTCTAGAAGAGAGTGTTAGACATTCTGATGTGGTCTACAATCTCGTTGGACGAATGTACCCTACGAAGTAAGTCATGAAGTCTGGATGGAGGACAGGTCTGTAACAGCTATAGGAACTTTGATCTGGAAGATGTCCATGTTGAAGGTGCTGAAAGAATTGCGGAAGCAGTGGCCAAGTATGATGTTGATAGGTTCATTCATGTCTCCTCATACAACGCCAGTGTCAATTCTCCCTCCGAATTCTTTGCGACAAAGGTTAGCACCCATTGCCAAAATGAACCCGCCAGTCAGTGCTAAGATAATTTGTCTAGGGACGGGGTGAGGCTGTTGTACGAAGCATCTTCCCTGAAACTACTATCGTCAGGCCCGCCCCTCTTTTCGGATTCGAAGACCGTTTACTGCACAAGCTTGCCGGTGTGACAAACGTGCTTACGTCAAATCATATGCAAGAACGGTACTGGCCTGTTCATGTGAGTCTATTGTCCCTCAATTTATGTACTGAATTGACTTGGTGATAGGCCATCGATGTTGGAGAGGCACTCGAGAAGATGCTCCACGACGATAGCACTGCTGAGCAAACGTACGAGCTCTATGGCCCAAGAAACTACTCAACAGCTGAGATCGCCGAATTGGTCGACAAGGAAATTGTTAAGCACCGCCGTCACATCAATCTTCCCAAAGCCATCTTAAAGCCAGCCGCTGGTCTCCTGAACAAGGCTCTCTGGTGGCCAGTAATCTCTGCCGACGAGGTTGAGAGAGAATTTATCGATCAACGCATTGATCCAGCCGCGAAGACATTCAAGGACCTCGGTATCGAGCCAGCCGAGCTCAGCAGCCTCACATTCCACTACTTGGTACGTGGTTATTGTCTCGATTCTAAATACAGTCCTAACCTGCTTGTAGCAAGGATACCGCAGCGCTGCTTTCTATGATCTGCCACCTGCGACAGAGCGTGAGAAGAGAGAAGAGAAGAAGTATCTGCACGTCCTTGACGACCAATAGAGTAGAAGGCCTCTTTGGCATACATTTAAACTGGGACAGCATTTGTACATATCAAAACCTTGAACTCTTCCGACTTTTTCCTGCATAAAAATACCAGTTGATGTGAATATGCTGCAAACGCCTAACGATGGACGAGTTCCTCATCCAGTGCATCTGTCTTTGCAAATAATGAACTCACTTGTGGGGATGAATCAGCTTTGTGGGCACAGAGGTACCTCCAATTCAAGACCTAATTTCAATTTGGGCTTAATCGGCCTTCACAGACCTACTATGTAGCTTTTATATATTGTAACCCAATTTTAAAGTTCAATTAAAGAGTGTTTGTTTCCCTCCGGGGGCCACGGCCGTGGCGGCCGAACTTTTCGGCTGTCACTGTCACAGCCTCCGCTCAGCTCTCAGCTCTCAGCTGGAACAAATCCCGGAGAGTTAATTTCAAAAAAATGGTTTGGTTTGGGGAACGATGCACTTGGCAAAATTTTCGCGGCAAACCCGCTGCACAATCCTTGACAACCAACCCACAAACGCCACAAAGCAGACCAGAAATGGACGACACAGACGAAAGCGAAGTCCCGTAAGTAAGAGCCTCCCTAAATACATCCGAAAGCTGAACTCGCCATCTGAGCGTTCTTTCGGGCTCCGCACTCTCCGCCCTCAAAGAATTCTACGCCGAACGTGAGGCTCGCAAAGAGCGGTTTGAAGATCTCAAAGCAGAAGCCGGTAATAATGCTACCTCTTCTCTCAGTATGGATGCTTTTGCGGAAGATTGGAATGAATCGCAGTTCTGGGTTCGTGTTTTCGGTCCCTTCAACTAAGATTTGGAGCGTGGAAGTCGAGTTTGGCAGGAGGTCGCTGACAGCCCAGCAGTATTCCGACGAGACTGCGAAAGCACTGGCTGAAGAGCTCCTCGTGGGTGCTGGACCTGCCACAAGTATCGCTGTTGTATCAGCCCCGAGTGTTTTTGTCCAGATGAAGAATATCTTGGTAAAGATTTCCATTGTCCACTTACGCCAAATTTGATACTAAATGATACAGGCTGCAAGTGGCACAGATGAGGTTCAGAAACCTACGTTGTGGCTTTTGGAGTTCGACAAACGATTCGAGGTCTTTCCGGAGTTTGTGTTTTATGACTTCAAGAATCCCATGAAGTTACCCAGTAAGTTTGTGAAAACTCCTGAATTCTTCGAGTGGATAGCTGATGAGATGCAGGGGGTATGAAGGCTAGCGTTGATCATATCATATGTGATCCTCCTTTCTTGAGTGAAGATTGTCAGACCAAGGGTAGTATTTTTAAGCTGAGAACAAATGAGATGGCTAAGTCTCTGTAGCTGCTATGACTGTTCGATGGCTATCTAAGTCTTGGGGAGTATCACCAGACAAGAGATCAATAGATTCCCGACTCATTCTCTGCACGGGGGAAAGGATGGAAACGCTCGTCAATAGGCTGTATCGCCCGCAAGGTATTGCAACGACAACCTTTGAACCTATTCACTCCAAAGGATTGAGCAATGAGTTCTTCTGCTACACGAATTTCGAGTGCGACAGATGGAAGTGGAAGGGTCAGGACGAGTCCAAGTCTTGACACTGTATGTCTGGGTATGGAAGTCAACGAGGCTCTGCTAGCCAGAATTTGTAACGTACAAGGGGGAGCCAGAGGTACGGCGACCCGTAGATCATGCTTTGTGACAAGGGTGCTTGGTTTTCAAAGCCTGGGTATTGTAACATGTGTCCCATTATTGATAACACCTGAAGGAATATCCATCCTCTCTACTTTGTGAAAAACGCCATGCTGCCTTTCATGCCAATGACTGTATGACGTAGAATAATATAAACGCCTCGGAGTTGAGAACGTCCGATTTTGAGGCCAGTGTAACATTATGGTCGTTGAATTTAAACCACTGATTACCAACACGCGAGTATGAGATGTAGTGACCTGTGGAGGTTAGGTAATTGCTAGTACATTCCATGCTAATAACCAACCTGTTTCGAGATTACCAACATGCACAACAACACTTTGAAGTTCATATGTGCAGCCCCTTGCCAACTCGGGGTTTTGCTTTGGATCTTGCCCTCGTGCTCGATTCGTGTAAGGGTACATATCCAGCTTGAGGGGAAAAGAAACCTTGGTCTCAATCTTCGAGGCAGAGCCATTGCTTTGTTTGAAACGCTGCCATACTTGTCAGCGGGCATCTAGAAGATAGAATAGAGACACAAATACCTTCAACTGAAGGGAAAGAACATTAGGTAGGCTCTTGATGCTTGATAGCTTCTTGGCCTCTTTTGTTCCGCAATTGTGACAAGTGTATTCACAACGCTCCGCCTGCTTATATTCCGCTTCCAAGCATCGTTTGACGCTCAGCCCCGTGGTCTTGATACTCTTCTTCTTTGAGAGCACATCGAGACCAAGACTAAGATCCATAAATTGTTGGACAGAGGTTCTGATCTCGCCACAGCCCTGACATGTGATGGTGCTTTGCGTCCGGCCGTAAAAGGTCTGGTGAACGATGCAATTACAGGTTGAATCTGGTCTGGCACGCTTGGGTGAGGGTGCCCCATCCGCCAACGCCTGTCTGTGTGCATTGGCATTGATTTCATGAAGCTCTTCAGTCAGGAACTGAAAAAACTCATGGGCATCCTGCTCCTTGTTGCTGGCAAGCTCTTCGTATGCTTTCCGTTTCGACATCCAAAAGCAGGCAAGCATGTTATGCGCCGAGTACCCAACCGTCTCAGGCTGGGCGTGGAATGCCTGGAACATTTCATCCATGGCACATGCCACACAGTTCTTACGAGTGCACTCGGAGCTTCGGTGGCCGTCGCCCAGGTGGAAGTTCCGGAGCAACGGGTTCTGCATCAAGCTCTGGAGAATGACATTCATGTAGCATGTAGCCCCCATATTGTATATGCCCCGTATACCACTAGCTCGGCAAGGCGTATTGTTTGTGTTGACGGACATGAGCTGTGAGTCCTCTTTCGAGGCGTCGGTGAAAAGGTCGTCCAGTTTTCGTTTTCGTGCTGTTATCAAGGACGTCAGCTTCCTGGAACTTCTGGGAACGAAGACAGGGGAACAAGGCCAGATATGCAACCTACAAGAAAAACTTCCAGTACCAATCTTGCGCAATCTTAGGCCCTCAAGAGTTGGGTCAAACACGAAGTCATTGCACATCTGGCAGAAGAGATAGCCATTCCGAGACTCGACATCTAGGAAAGTAAGTTTTTGTATCGTCGTTCTCTATGATAGGAGGTGATAGGAGGGCACATACAGAACCGATGCTTAGTCTCCATACCATGCTCAACACGGCCAGACGCTGTCGTGGTGACTTCACATTGGAGACAGAGGTAGTTCGGTGTCAAGGTCGTCAGTGCTTGTCCAGCAGGAGTTTTGGAGGTTTGAGGTATTATTGGTGTCGTATCGGAGACCACACACATACAGGTCCTGTAGGCGCGTATAGTATTCTCTAGAATCTCAACTGGTCCTTCCAACAGTATGCGGACATGTTCTGGAGGATGATAGTTGAGTTAGCAGGCTGGCGTGCGAGGCTACGAATTTAGGGCAGGGCAAGGCAGGGCAGTCTTGCCATACACACCACAACCAAAGAGAGGCACACCTGGCTGAGCAGGTTTGATCTTGGGTACTCTGGGTGACGCCGGCGTCACAGGCCGGGAAGAACTCCCCATATTGTCGATTGATTGACAAAGGCCCAATCCCAGCGTTGAAGAACGATGCTGAAGCCTCGAGGTTGGGCTCACGAATCTGTCGGCAGCGGTCGGGCCAATCAGCGACGGGCGAGTATAAGTACCTTTCGTACAATATCAGAGCCGAGGCAGGGGCAGGGGCTTAGTTCCTAGGAGCTCCTACTGTAGGTAGGTACAAGTAAATGCTATCAATTACAGCATCATTTCAGAGCAAATTCCTGTTCCGGGCAGCCAGGCTTGCCCTACCTACCTACCTACCTACAAAACCACCTACAAAACCACTTACGAAACCACCTACGAAACCACCTATCTATTCGCCCGAGGGGTCCTAGACTGTTACCTACCTAGGTACTCTGCAGGCATCCCGTCAAAATCATATGCGATCTGCACCTCGTTTTGCCAATAACATCGCGAAAATGGCTACACAATTGGTCCCATTACAGAATGTGGAGAAGTTGAGCCCTTCCGTTATTCGAGTGCTTGGAGGGAATCCAGGAAAGGTGAGCCACCGATTTCGAGCCCCGAGCCGAGTCCAGCACACTGTCACTTTTATGTATTATCCGCCTTACAACCTGGCAAAGGGCAATTTGGGTATGATGACTCCCATGCGACGGACTATCCTTTGAGCTCCCCTCATCTCCAGCATGGTTGAGAATTCTCAAAAGTGCGTTCGCTCCAGTGGGTGTTTTGGATGTAGCCAGTCCTGTGTGTTTAAGCTCCAAACACATCTAGACTCTCAAGGCCCGCAATCGGCTTTGTACAAAAGACTATTTTGAGTCTGATCGCGTCGACTGGGCTTTTGAAGACAACTTTTGTTGCGACAATCCATATGGGAAGATGTTCGAGGAATCGATACCGTATCTTGTACTGATAGGCATGGACCATATTCACAACTCTTCTCTTCGACTTCAATCTCTCCAGGGCTGTTTGCAGCGTTTCATACTTTGCTACTCAAAAGACACTCTCAAATATGCCTACCTACGCATTTCACAAGGTCTATGCTAATCAGGTCTATAGTTTACTTTACAAGGTGACCAGCCTGACTAGTCTCCACTGGTACCGTTGTCTAACCATACCTAGGATCAAATACTTATATTGTTGGTACCGGAACGCAGCGGGTTCTGATCGATACCGGAGAAGGGAAGCCTTCTTGGATTGCCTCCTTGAAGGACATCCTACAGAAAGAAAATGCAACGATCACGAAGGCTATTATCACTCACTGGCACCACGACCATCAGGGTGGCATCAAGCATTTGCTAGAGTTCTCGCCATCTACCAATATTTACAAAAACCAGCCAGATTGCGGACAGCTTGATATTAGCGATGGGCAGCTCTTCCAAGTAGAAGGTGCTTCCTTAAAAGCGGTTTTCTCACCCGGTCATACTCAAGATCATATGGCATTGGTTCTCGAGGAAGAGGATGCCATGTTCACTGGTGACAACGTACTTGGTCATGGAACAGCAGTTTTCGAGGACCTTCTAGTATATTTGAAGAGTTTGGAGACGATGAGAGGGAAATTCAGAGGTCGAGCATACCCAGGACACGGTCCTGTTCTCGAAGACGGTCCAGGCAAGATTTTCGAGTACATCAAGCATAGACAACTCCGGGAAAACCAAGTGATCCAGGTTCTGAAGTCCAAGAAGTCTCATCCAGGCATTGAAGCACCGAGTGATTCTGATAACTGGACGTCGATGGAGATCGTCAAAGTCATATACAAAGATGTTCCTGAGAATCTTCACTTGCCAGCCAATGGTGGTATCTTGCAGATCCTTCGAAAGCTCGAAGAGGAAAAAAAGGTTGTCGAGGATTCCGTGTCTGGACAATGGAGTCTAAAAAACCGTGCCACTTTGTGAATCGAGCCAGTGGCAGTATGATCACGTCTGGGGTGGATGTCAGGACAGGAGTGGGGCCCAGAAGCACGGAGAAATGCCTGTCCTCGTCTGGATGTTATCATTGTCACTCAGAACGGCTTTGGAGTGTTTATTGCTGTGTTTGTGTAAGGGGGACGGAGGGGATACTGCTGTGTCTGACAGAAATGCGCCTTGACAGTGGACTCAATTAGTACCAAAATCCAAAGAAACAACTATTTCGAAGCGTTCTTGAATAAGCGGGTCATTTGCACACGCATTTCGAATCTCTGAGGAAGTCGTACCCATCAAGAGGCCCTAGAAAGTGTCAGACACATGGTTATACCAGCAAACTGCCCTCCAATTGCCTCAGACTTGGGTACGCTCTGGTTTGGTTTCATTTCAAGATCCCAAGCAATACCATATCCTTCTCATGTGAGGCAGATATGCCTACATCAGCAGAAAGCTGCGTTTGCATTACTCAACAGACGTGTGGAGAGAGGCCCAAGTACCAAGACGAGGAGCCTACAGCCTTGTTGAGCAACCCAAGCAGGAACGGCAGCGAGATTATTTCTACTTGCCGTCAATGAGCCAATGAATCTCACTCGGAGATTTGCTCCTCCGAATTCCACCCAACCAAAGCCAGGAACCCTTCTGGAGGAGCCTAGGACCATCACATGTGGACTTGACTATCAAAACCACCTGCAGCGTTCGGTCTATGGCGGCAGAGTCGGTGCTAGTAGTTATCACATTTCCGTGATTTCAGAGCAAATTCGCCATGAGACCGCGGAGCGGGATCAGCGTCATCATGAAGAAGCTTAACATACAGTCAGGCAATTGGAGACGGTCTCGTTGAGGAATACTTGGTCATCTCATCGGCGTGCGACCGAATTTTATGACATACCTACCTACCTCGCCGGCCGACTACTATTGTCCACTGGGCTTCTGCTTGATGCAGCGCATGTGACAAGGGTGGGTTGGAACTGGATCTCAGCCGGACTGTTCCTCTGCTGCTGGACAAGACGGACAGCAAAGAACATGAATCGTATTTAGCTCGAAACTCCTCTCGGCCCCTATGGCTGCCGTCAGAGAAAAGTGCTCACATCAGTGCCCAATTTGTCCTGGGCTGGTCTGGGCTTCCTCGGTCCCAACCTGGTGTCTGAAGCGTGTGACCCGATCGCACTTGCCGACAGCTACAGTACGGGGAAACGGCACCTCATCCAAAAATGAGGGCATTCATACATTCTGCAGAAGTGGAGTCCGTTTTATCCGAAGATGCCGGCAGCGTCTAGCTTCCCTTGCGACGCCGCCTGGCCGCCAGACGTTTGAACAGCCACTAGGAACGTCGTTGGACGCATGCCAAGCCAGCACCCTGGTCGTCGGGAGGGTGGAAATCTCAGATCGCACGCAAATAATGTCGCCAGCCTCGCCGCCAATACAAAGCACTGTAGCGTAGCTGTGCTTCAGATGGGCCTGCGTCTCAGTGCTAGCGAAGGGGTGTCTGCTGAATCGGCATGAATGATATAACATGATGCGTCAGCAAAGTGTGCTTTGCTGAGCTGGTCCGTTGTCCTGACATGTCTCCTCGCACAGCCAACTCTAACGCTGGTCCTTCTCATACGTACCTATACCTACCTATCTTGGGCTGACATAAGACTGCATTTCAGTGCTTATTATTGAGGGATAGTTGCAAACAAACTGTTCCCCATAGTACTTCGGAAACAGGGCCAGCTCACAACAGACACCCAACCGGCCTCTACTGACTCACACAGCAGGCACAGGCCCCAGGCAGTCTCGGCCAAGGCACCCTCACCTCACCCTGCACCCTTGCCTCACTCTTTTCCTCTATTTTGCATAGTCTGTTTGACCGTGCAGACGTCTACCCTGTCCTGTCCATCTGGCACCACACTGCGTGCCCTGATGTGATCGTTCGAGCTCGGTGGTCGGGCATAAGAACGGATTTCTCGGCCACCAGATGAGATAGAACATCGTCATACCGCTCACTCCGTTTGCGTTGCCTTCCCAGAATATATATGTTTCTTCTGCCCTCTTTCTGTCTGAAGGTGACATTGTAGAGCCAACTCCCACTAACTGTACAGCCTTACCTCCACACGCACCCCTCTTCCTAAGCTACCCCTCCAAAGCTAAACCACGGAGCTATCCCCGCCAGCTCTCTACTCGTCACAGTGCGCATTCCTTAGCGAAGATTTCACAACAAACACATGCTTCTGCAACGGCGCAGTTGTACAGCACTTGCTGGTGCCGTACTTCTCATTCTTGCCAGTGCAGCGCTCGCACACGGTCATGATGATGACATGACAAAGAGCATGGACGAGCCAGCTCCTGCGCAGCCAGCAGTAGCTCCCGAAACTTCTTCAAAGCCAGACACCTACTTCCAATATGGCGAGCACTCGGCGCTGATATCGGCGCACATAGTGCTTATGACAATTGGCTGGGTTTTCATTTTGCCAATCAGTGGGTGCCTCATGGCCATTATGGAGATCCATCCTTCTAACAAACAAACTTCACAGGCGTGATGTTCTCGATTTCTCGATCACGGTTCAGTCTTCCGAGCCAAATCATTTTCCTGGCCGTCAATGCGATCGGTCTGTTTCTGGCCACCATTTACGATGCCAGCACCCCGGATCTGTACCCAAATAATGCACATCACAAAATCGGCTGGGTTCTGACATGGATGATGAGCGCACAAGTGGTCATGGGAGTAATACAAGTATATGCGCGGAAAGATCGCCGCCTAGCCACTGCCGAATTCACCCCCATTTCTGCAGAAGCAATTACAGAGCATCAGCGCATGCAGTCCTTGACACAGGCACGGATCCATCGACTGTCAAATGATAGCGGACAGGGCACTGAGCCAAATACCGAATCTCTTAGAAGCCGAAGCCAATCGCTCACCTCGGCCGACTGGACTGACAGCCTTCCTGAGCTGGAAGCTGGGGATGAGGAAGAGATGGAAGAAAAGCATGGCTTGATGCATGGCACTTCTGTGGACACTTTTTTGACGAGCAAGGACCCAGATCTTATCTCTTCTCGCTTGCTGCGAGTCCTGAAATATATATACAACGCCATCGATCGGCTTGTATTGATTCTGGGATTTATTGCCCTCACTAGCGGCATTGCCACCTATGGCGGCTTCTTTGTGAGTTCACATCATAAAAGAGTAGAACTCAACTAATCAAACAAGATGGGGTCTCGCGTGTTCAGCGGGCTGGCACATTTCATCAAAGGTGGTGTGTTTTTCTGGTACGGCATTCTGACACTTGGGCGCTGGGCTGGGTGTTTTGCCGAAGTTGGATGGTCTTGGAATCTCAATCCATCACGGAATGATCGACCATCAGCAGAACTTGTGGAGAGCTTCTTGATATTTATCTACGGCTCGACGAATGTCTTTCTGGAGCATTTGGCTGCGTGGGGTGGTGAGTGGACAGCTCAGGACCTCGAGCATCTCTCGGTCACAATTATGTTCCTCGGGGGTGGATTGGTAAGCTGTAACGTCTAAATTTTGTAAATATGCTAACAAGTTTTAGTGCGGCATGATTATTGAATCCAAGAAAGTTCGAGACTTACTGAATACCACCAAACAATCGACGATGGCGCACTTTCCCTATCACGCTGGTGAGTCGGAAGCAATTGAAGAGCCCAGGAGCTACAGATTCTCAATGAATCCTCTTCCTGCTCTTGTAACCTTTTTACTCGGTATGATGATGAGCTCCCATCACCAGGAATCCATGTTTTCCACTATGCTTCATAAGCAATGGGGTACCTTGCTAATGGGAGCTGCGTTTACCCGTGGGGCAACTTACATCCTCTACTATTCATCACCTCCAACGTCAATTCTGCCAGGAAGACCACCTACAGAGTTAATCACTGCATTCTGCTTGATGGCTGGAGGCATGATTTTCATGGCAAGCGTGAGTGTCCGGGCCTCTGATTAAATATTCTAGTATCTCTAACAAGTCTAGGCTCGAGATACGGTTATGGCAATGGAGAACCGCGGACTGGACGCAATGTTCATCTTCACCATTTCAATGGGAGTGATCACGTTCCTGGTGGCTTGGATCATAGTGGTAATTGCCATCAAAGGCTGGGCAGTGAGGAAGGAGAACAGGACGTTCGCATATCGTGGAGTTGCATGAAGGAACAGAGTCGATAGGCTTAATGGACGGACGGATTTGATCTCGCAGTATTTGAGATGGCTCATCCGGATGATACGACTTTGATATTTCAGGATTTCTATCCAGAAACTAGTCATTATCATCCTAATAAACATTGGATGAGTGACATCATTCCAAGGCTGAAGCCTGCCACTTCCTTTACCTAGGAATTCTTGCGTAGCCGCTGCGACAAAAGCTTAGTAGCGCAACTCTACTTTTCAAATTGCATTGGGCATCCGATAATTTCTTGACCTGAATGGCTCTTTTCATAATTCCAATGTTGGAGTCCAGCCTTACGCAACCTTGCTCCTGGTGGCGTTTTGCATATCTCACGTGATCTTAGCCAAATAAAATATCTTCGAAAATCCAAATCCGCTTCTTTCCAAAAACAGAACAATAAGTAAGAATGGCCCAGAAATCGAACACCAAGCCAAAACGTCACAAGAAGAGAAAATCGAGGATCGAGGGTATGCGATTCTCGAAGAATGATGGAGCAGGATGCTAATACAATGTAGTGTCATCAGACAGCTCAGACAGCGAGCCCGCCAGGTCCAGAACGCAAGTCAAGAGCGAAGTCTCCAGTGCTCGTGATGTAGAAGAACCATCTTCTTCATCCTATGATTTATCCAATGTCAGCAGTCCCACCGCGCCCTGTCTCGCATACCTTGACCTGGTTCATTTACTAATCCACCTACTTAGACCTGTGAAAGAGCGTCCGTTGCAAAAGAGCCCATAGAAGCAGATATCGAGGCTGCGTTCGCAAAGTTCTACATGCAACGTGCGACAGCGGAGTTTGCGGAGGATCTGGAGAGGCTGAGAACGAGTGATGATTTTAAGGATGAGGCTGTGCCGATGCTAATTTCGGCGCTGAAAGGTGGGACTGCCATGTTTTCGAGCGATGAGAAGAAGAGAATTGTACTTGCTAGTAGGAAGGATATTTGACCTCGTATCCTGGGAATTGTGTGCATTTGCCCTCATTGATGGTCCCTGGGGTCATTGGCCTGCCATCGAAGTCGGACCCGGCTCTCTAGCCGGGAAGAACGGTAATCTCAAGAGAAGACGACGTACAGCTATTCTTCAGTTTGGCGTGATTCTTCGGTAAATAACGCCGACTCACCGACTTTTGCTATAGACCCTACTAAAAGATGATGACCTAGAATTGTAACCTCTACAACTCTATCAAATCTCTATCGATTTGCCTCTAAATTAGGTTATTTTGAAGCTCTTAAACTCCCCTCTCTGTTTCCACTTGATATTCTCGAATATACCTCTAAAGAAAGCTTGAAATAGTCAAGGGAAACCTTCTAAAAAGAAGGCTCTACGCACTCTACTTCTCCTACCGCTAGTAGCACCTAAAATAACCCTTAAACTTAGTATAAGTTAAGCTAGTAGTTCTTCTATCAGTTCTACTATTAGTACTTTAGCTTCTATACCTAATTTAAGTATAGGAGTAGTTATGCTAGCTGTAGGATTAGTAGAGCCTCTATTACTACCCCCCCCTCCACTTTCTAAGCCTTTATCGATTCTATAAGCTCTCCCCCCGCTAGAACCTCTTATTATACAGTCTCCTATACCTCTATAGATTGAAATATAGGCTATAAACTTTGAGATTTAGTAGTACTTTAATAGTAAGCGAATAAGTAATATAATAAAGAAGGTGATAAATAAGCTAGGTATTAGAGTTACTTATAAATCTATTAAAGAAGCTGTAGAAATATTAGTAGATACTACGATTAAGTTAAGGAGTATTTCTCTACTACAGAGAGATTATACTTACTAGTATAGTACCTATAGAAACGTTTAAAACCCCATGGAATATAATATCGTTAATAAGGCCGATTTTAATTATTTTATCGAATAAGTTCGAATCACAGGGAAATTAAAGTAAGGAAAGCTTTAAATATACTTTAGTATTATATAGATACCTTAGAATATAGTTTAACTACCTTAGAAAGACCCTCCTGCTCTAAAGGCTCTAGTTATTACTATTTTAAAGCGTATATATTAAGAGGAGGAAAGCTTAATAGCAAAGAAGCCATGTACTATAACGACTTATCTTTTAAAGGAAGTTAAAAAGAATCAGGAGGCTAAAAAGGGAACTATATACAAGATTATAACTGCTATTTAGGTACAATAAGCCTATAAAGTCAGTTCCTATTATTATACTACGAAGTTTTACTTTATTAATAATAGTAAATACTACTACCTTTCCCTAGACAATTTAAGGCGTTAGAGATATGATATTAAAGATAAATTAACTATAATCGACAAACCTTTTATTCTCTATTAAGTTAACCTTTTAAAAGAGCTTATAGCTCGTTTAGAGCCTTAGTTGTTAAAGGCACAAGGGAAAAAGAAGTACCAGAAGATATACTATAACAAATCGTTATCTCCGGAATAATATTAATTAGCTCGATACCCCTCGTAGATACTATATTAGCCTCTAAATGCCTTCTTATATTAATATCCGCTAATACTACCCCCTCCGATATAATCTCTATACACTAGTAACCCTCCAAGTAGCTATTCGCTAGCCCCTTACTCTCAGCTAAATATAGCTCCTCTAGTATACGAATATATAGCTCTAGAGCCTTAATTACTACGTATTCAACTGTAAGAACAAGTTGAAAGTGACTTTATATTAATAGCAGATCTACAGGAGTCGAGTCTATTCTATAATAGTAGTTCAGAGGTAGAGAAAGTGTTATTTACTTTGAAATTATTCCTTCGTTAAGTTATACTTCTAATTATAGCTTCAGTAGCCTCTTACTTCGATTTCACTATTAGAACCTTTATAGAATAAGAATACGATATTAATATAGTTAAAGATATATCGATTTCGGAGGTAATAGAGCTTAGAATAAAAGGTAGTGTTTTAAAGATAATTTAAAAGTAATTGAAGCTATTTAAGAAGTAGTATAATTAATAAGCTCTTATTTAGGAAAATAACGAACTTAACGAAGGCGAAGATAAGAGTAACAATAGAGAATATAAGAAGTAAGTTTCAGTAGTATTTATAGCTATAGTTTCTGCGTAGTTTCTATTTAATTAACCCTTATTCTATATTAACTTCGTCACCTTCTTCAATTAGTACGCCTTAATAGCCTAAATAGCGAAAGTAGCTTTTAGCTCTACGTTTAGCGTCAGCTCCTACTCCAACTGACCTTATAGCTATTATTAAAAAGCCTTTAAATTCCTCCTAGGTATACTTACTCTAGCGCTAGTATCTCCTAATCCACGATTTTAAGTCTATAAAGCTCTCTTTAATAGGGTCAAAAAAGGGGCAATATAAAGGGAGATATTCGAGTTGAAGACTAAAGGCTATATAGAGAGCTGATACTTAAGGGTTACTATAGATTAACGCGTTATCTATTATTACTACCTTAATTCTAAGCTCTACGTATTCAGGTAAGATACTCTTTTCTAGCTATTCGGTGAAGATTTCAGCTATAATCGAGCCTTAGTATATTAATAGCTAATAATAACTATAAAGTAAGTACGTAAGGAGAATCGACTACCTTATTAACTGTTTAAGTACTCTCTAAACCTCTACAGAAGCTCCCCTAGGAGCCTATCCTCTACGCCTATCTATTATACGCTTATTATAAGCTAATTTATTAATAAAGTATAAGTCCCGGGCCTTCTAAAACACTATCTTTCGCCTCTAAGCCGCGATTAATTCGTTATTCCTTTAACTCGCAGAGACCTTAAGTACTTTCTTAGTATAATTAAGCCTTTAGAGAGCCTTAGAGACCTGATTAACTAACACGTCAACTTCATAAGCCTCCTATAGATACGCTACGATTTCGTCCTAATATAAATCTAGCTCCCTCTTAAGTAACGCCTTAATATATTCGCCTATATCGTTAGTAATAACAGGTAGAGAGCTATAGTAACAACGTTCCGAAGGTAATATCTAACGATCCAGAGTCTATTTCCGCTTATATATCATCTTATATATCGTTCTAAACTCTCTAGTAAGAGCTCGTAGGTTAATATCAACTCTATAGGACAATATTCAGTCGATATTCGATACTTTCTAAGCTAGCAGGTTCAGAGCTATAACGTCAGATAGCTCGCAGGCTCAGGTTCGAATATTCAAGGTAAGAGCTTCAAAATGACCTAATTCCGAAGAAAATCGATAGAGATTTGATAGAGTTGTGGAGGTTACAATTCTAGGTCATTATATTTTAGTAGGGTCTACAGCAAAAGTCGGTGAGTCGGCGTTATTTACCGAAGAATCACGCCAAACTGAAGAATGGCTTATACCAAGGGAAACAGCAGCTGTAAGCATATTCCTGAACAACCGGGACCTTTGCTTTGACCCGAATTTTTGGTGAGAAGACATAAATTGTGCCATATGATCGTCTATGGACAGGGTATCTCAATTCTCTACAATTATATTAACTTATTTGGCATTGACCCATGTCTACTTCGCGTTCCATTCACTAGGACATGTCATCCATGGGACATACCAACGATCATTACCTCCAATTTCGTGCTCCGCCCTCTTGCATAGAAGGGGAGTTCCATGTTGTCATAAATTCTGAGCAGATTTATTACAAAACGTTCCATTCCCTCAAACAATTCGAGCATATCTGTATCCTCCAGAACATGCTTTCCCCAACAGAGGAAATCTCACGCTAGCCCGACATTTGTGACCTTGCCTTTCACAAAAATATACTGGGATCTTGGGACATTTGCTTCTTCTATCAATCACTCCCTGCAGTTCCACATACAGCGGTTGGAACCTTCCCTGGATGCTCTATATTCCGGGCGTTTCCCTTTCTGAGATGTCAAGCGTACTTCACTTCCTTGGAACGTGTTACGTTTCCTCTTTGTCCTTGACGAAAAAGGGTGGTATTTAAGAAGTCTCCCTGCAATCAAAATATCACCCAGGAACACACAGATTGCAGACAGGCATTCTCAGAACATCCAAACCTCACATTCTGAAAGTCAATGGAGCCTAGGTAAGGCAGGAGCTAATTGTATTTCGCATGAACAAGGTTTAGTATGTATTACTTGTGCCCTCAAAAGTAAGTAAGAGCTTTACGGTCCTATTGAGCTTCGAATGATTGAAAGTACGGATTATCAGTATATTTCTTCTTATTGCATAGCGTTATTGAAAATTTGTCTCAAACGGCTGGCGTTGTACAGATAGTATGATTGAAGTCATTGCTACCTACCTCTAGCTCGCTCTAGGTACGTACGAAAGGGGGTTGACAGTGGGTCTTGCCACCCCCCCTGTTTCTGCTGTATTCTATAGCTATTTATAGTAATAATTTACTATCCTGATAGTCCTCCTTTTTGTAGTCTGACCTTTTCTAGCCTTTAAGGCATAGTATTAATAAATCTATTAATTGTTTTAATAGATATCTCGTTTTCCTAGATATCTAATATAGCTCTTTTTAAGTCCTTAAGAGCCTAACTACTGTGGGGATTCCGATTTCTTAGCTTTTGCTTTAGAATTCGCTAGATATTCTTAATCGGATTAAGGTCTAGCGAGTAAGGAGGCTAGTTAATTGAGTATATATAGCATTCTAAGCGTACAGTATTATAGAGTCTATGATTCTGTCGAGTATCTGTCTTTCTATGAACCTTACTATTATCCTCCACGTAAAAGAAGTCTCCTGGTTACTCGAATATCTCCTTTAATAGACCCCTTAGAATTTGATTTATATACTTCTTTTAATTAAACCCCTTCTCTTCTCCTTTATATGAGCAAAAGTATATCTTCGATTTATATCTATAGCTAATTGCTACTCACGCTATAACTGATTTATAGCCTGAATAAAACGTGAATTAGATATAATCGAGTCTCCTTCTTTCCCCTCGTTTCCGAAGGACTTTTTATCTACGAAGGATATCCGTTCGAGTGATTGTTTCGTCTGTAAATCGTCCTCGCTACTAATACTCTTTAGATCGGTCCTAATTAGTAATCGAGAAGCTCTAACGCTTAAGCTTATTCGCTTTAGATATAAAAGGCTTATAATTAGGAATATAATAATAATAGCTGTATCGTTCAAAGGCCTGAAGGAGAGTAATATCTACGCAATTAAGATAGAATTACTTGCGAATTTGTTATAAGGAAAGAGTTCATCGATTGTAGTAGCCTGTAAACCACTTAATTATTTCTTCAACTTGTTTATTAGAGACTTTCGGAGGAGCACTAGGAGGCTTTACTAATCGATTAGGTTTATTAATAAAATATCGTGCTGAAGAACGAGGGATATTAAGCTTACGGGTAGCTCCTTAAACTAAGTAGCCTTCAGCTAAGAGGGTTTTGAATCGCACTCGAGTTAGTGTATCATGTGTCCACGGCATTGTCTTAATGATTTAGTAATACTAAACAGAGTGAGAGTGTCATTCATATAGTATTAGAGGCATAGGTTCTACGAGCTTCGATGATACTCACCGCCTTACAAGGGGTGGCGAGACCCACTGTCAACCCCCTTTCGTACATTCGGCATTCGGCTACGTAGCGAACTCTACCGTGTCGACGAGTCGACACCGGAGACCGGGTCAGACACCATCTTACCGAACCCGCAAATTCTCGTAAGGTCCAAAGGGTCCCTCGTTTCGCGGCAGAGCAGAGAGCTTTACGCACCGGGGAAACTCTAGTTGGCATTCAAACTGAGTTATTCGGCTAAAATTTTTAGACATTTCTGGGCACTCAAGAATTTAAGGAGGAAAGAGCGTCACCTTACTTCAATTTGACGCACGCGAATATTTTAGGATCCTGTTCAAAAAGGATAGGCACGGAGAAAGGTGGAAGAAAAAAGGGCATATTCAGAAGCCAAAAGATAATTCGCCGTCGCGAGCAGGATTTGAACCTACGAGGCCGCTATTTGAATTAACTATGTTGTACTTCCCATTATACAATTTTTTGTACTTACAAACCATAAGATGACTGAACGATGAATTCAAGTCTTACCCATTAACCACTCTGGCATCGCGACATCGCAAATGTTTGCTACGTTTGACAGAAAAATTTCTTATTTCAGCAAATCACACATTGAGAATTATACATTTTCCCATTACAAAACGGCAGTCGCATCTGTCCGTCCATCATCTTATATGCAAAGCTGGGGACAGCTCAAAGGTTTTCTTATATTGAAAAATTAGTCTTAGATTTATCAAGTCATGCACGAGTATAATTGAGGTCTGCGGTAAACTGCCCAAAGCTGTTTAAATAAACCCTGGGGTGTACAGATAGACCAGACAGCGTAATACAACTTCACACCATCCAAAAGCATGTGGATTTATTGCCTGATGCCATACCAGTCTTTGGAAGTACAAGACCAGGACATGGATCATCACGGGAGTGCACCTGGGGCCAACCTTAAGCTCCAGCAGTCTTCTAAACACATCCCAAAGGAGATGCCCAATTGAAGCCTGGCTCGCGCGAGTTAAAATGTAATCAGGTATGCTTAGTATACTAGCTCATTATCTGGCGTGGCAAGGGCTGTAGAAATGGGTCCTGATCAACTATTGACCAGGGGGAGCTAGGCTGGTATGGCACAGTCCAAGGGGCTTCCAGGTTTTAATCAATGCTTCAGCTGTTACCGATGCTGCTCCTACTGGTATATGTTTCTGCGAGTCATTGGCATATATTCGGATGGCATAATATGGTCTACTTCAGGCACACAGTCTTTTGTCTTTCGAGAACAAGGGTTGTATTGAAGAACCTCCTTTACAGCGTGGAAGTTGTATGCTACCTATGCGGTATTCACCAGCGAATATCTATCCGGGAGCTACACTTAGGCAGCAATTGTGACCTCGACCTCGACACCGGCCTCGATGTTGATGATGATTTGCTTGACAACCTCAGTGGGGGCGTTAAGGCTAGACATACGTTAGCATTGTAGCAACTTACACAGGGCAGATGACATACTCAATGAGACGCTTGTGGATTCTCATCTCGAAGGTATCCCAGGTCTTGGAACCTTCACCACAGGGAGTCTTTCTAGTGGTGACCTTGAGAGTCTTGGTTGGCAGACGGACAGGGCCCTTGACGCGGAGATCCTTTCCCTTGGCACGCTCAATGAGCTCCTGGCAGACCTTCTCGAGAGATTGGACCTTTCGGCTGGTCAATGTGATGCGGATCTTGTGGGTTTTCTACGAAAGTGAAGTCAGTATGCGCCTCGCTTCCAAATTTCAATGGCGCAACGTACTGGGCCCTCGCCGAACTCCTTCTCGGGCTTTTGGTAAGACATTGTGCGTATAGGAAGGCCTTCACGACTCGATCGTTGAGAATCGGCAAAGTGATGAAGGGTGATCTGGTTTCGGGCTGCGATTGTCGATGAGGAGATGTGTGGGATGTGGAAGTTGAAAAAGAATGTGGGCGAAGAAGTCTTGGCGCTAGACAAGCGAGACGGTGTTTGATTGGTGACTAAGGTGCTTTATGGGCAGCCTTTACCTAGATAGGTAAGTAAGGTAGGTACCTAGTTTTCAGCCTTGCTGTGCTGTGCGTGCTGCCATCACCGAGAGCGTACCCGCAGCATTGATTGGAGCACGCGAGGCAGGTAAGGTAACCACTAACTACTAGCTACCTCACTCACTTTGAGTCAAACGGCGAGGGACTTGGATCTGATCATGAATAACGTCGATTTCAAGTGGTCCTGATGTTCCCAAGGAGGGTCCATGTCTGGAGAAGTCACCCTTGCTCAAACTGTCCATCGCGACATTTCAGTATGGCCCTGTCCAGCATCCCAAAACTTGTACCCTTTCCGGGAGCGTCATGGAGGACCCATATTGTTGCGGAAGAATGGGACGCTTGTCTTGATGCCTGGATTGCCCTCGCTGGAGCTCACCTCGCCTTGTCCGCTCCTGAATTCGCTCGGTCCTCAACGACCGATGAATCCTTGCTGGTCTTCCTCACCTCTTATGCTGCGGCAACAGCAGTACCACAAGATACTACATCGTCTCCAAACAGTCCTAAGGAGAAACAGGTACGGAAGCTGGCCTACCTGTTATCAACTCGACTTTTGGATTCCCAGCACCCTCCTAAGCCAACCCTTTCTTGGGAGTTTCTTGCAGATCTTAGCAAGATCTATGGGCAAAGTAATGGTGGGAAACTATTAACTCTTGTTTGGACCCGGCATTTGTCTTCCTTGGAGACCTCTCTGACTTCTCTCAAGAAGTCTCTGATAGATGGGCTTGAGTCCGGACTCGATGGAGACTTAAAGACTGTTGAGTCGAAACTCAAACGCTTGAATCATCTACTCCATACAGCTCCTCGGACCGCTACCCTTTTCATGGCTGGAAGCGATTTTGTAGACTCTCTCATCGGTTGCTTCAAGATAATGAACCCTCCCTTGCGAAGATCTATTGTCTCGACTCTGTATCTCTGCTTGATTGGTCTCACGGATGGAGAGAAGCCTAACCTCTCCTCACTAGTTGACCAGCTTTATTCTCTGAGAGCTGCAGCAGATGCCCACAAGGCTGGGCCTACAAATGTCAATGATTCACTGGTAGCTGAGTTGGTAACCGAAACGCCAATTCTCAAGCAAGTACAGCAGCGACTTGACACATGTGGCACTGGATCAGCAAGAGCAAAATCCGTCCTCAAGTCTCTAGCTGAGTTCAAGAAACCGTACAGCAATGGAAGGCCAACACGGATTAGCAAGGAGAAAGTCAACAAAGGTAAGCTGAGAGCGATTGATTCATCAGATCACGGGAATATTCACGTCCACCGGATGAGCTTGATTTCCCAGGTCCAGGACCTATTTCCGGATCTTGGATCGCGTTTCATTGTCAAACTGCTCGATGAGTATGGAGACAATGTTGAGCAAGTAATTGGTCACTTGCTGGATGGGTCTTTACCACCATATCTTAAGAATGCTGACCGGTCAGAAGAGCTGTAAGTAGCCCCATGAACAAATCTCAAATACTCGTGTCTGACAGACTCAAGTGATGCAAATCATAAATACATACCGAATATGGTACCTAGTTCTACACCTCCGCAGTTACCAACTCGCCGGAATATTTTCGATGATGACGAGTTTGACCAACTTGCTGTTGATACGTCAAGGTTGTATTTCGGCCGTCGAAATCCCGACAAAACAGCAGATGACGTTCTCCAAGATCGACTGAATGCACCCAGCAAAGCAGCGATTCTATCAGCGCTGGCAGTCTTCGACTCAGACGATGATGAACGCGACGATACCTACGATGTCGAAGATGTAGGAGGCACTGTGGACTCCGCGACACCCGGAAACAATCCCGAAGAGACCAATATGGATGTCGGAGGTGCCCACGACGAAGCTCTTTTCCGAGCATACAAGTCAACACCAGAGCTTTTTGGCCGTGATGCCGCAACCCGCAGAGGCGAGCGTAGACAAACCCTTAAAGACGACACGGGAATGACAGACGAGGCTATTGAGGGCTGGGGGCTGATGCTATCAAGGGATCCCAGACAACTGAGACGACTGGAAGCGAGATTTATGTCTTTCACGGGCGCTCAACAAGTTTTGGGGTCCTCGTCATGGAGAGCTAGTCCTACTGGCTCTGGTACCGAAGACTCTGATAAAACCAATGACCGTGGCAGGGGAGGCAGGATTAGAGGCGCGTCTCGTGGGGTTAGGGATAGAAGCCGTGGAAGTGTCGCTGGTCCCGCCGGCGACAAAGAAACTGAGGCTGCTAGGAATCAGAAAGAGGCCAATAAAGGCTCGAGAGCAAATCACAACCGGAGAGACCAAAGGGCTCGTAAAATGGCTCGAGGAGGTCTTCCTGGCTAGTTTTGTGGATACCGTAAAGTCGATTGATAGAGCAATATATCACAAGTACGACTTAACCGGGGTTGGTTATTTCGGGGAAACGTGCATGTACTGGAAAGTAACGAAACAATAAATTGCGTCTGTCCATACATCCATTGCTAGGGATAAGAAGCATTCGGAGCGGCCCAGTCAAGACCCCATGACCTTCTCCTTTAGCCCCTCAACCACACTATTCTTCTCCTTGAATGTCAACCCACCACCAAAACTATGCTCACTGTTCCCTCCACCATTGGTCACCAGGCCTTCCGTGACGCCAGTCTCGTATGCACAGCTGCCCATGTCTAGTTTCTTGGCTGGTCCGATGGGCGAGATGTCGAAGTCAAAGATATCCATGGGCAGGCCGAGAGTGGTGCAAGCGCTACAGAAGTCAGGATATACAAGGCATGATTGGGAAAGGCTTACTTTGGAATATCAACAATTCCTGCAACATGTCCTTGGACTGGGGCACATGACAGAAGCAAGTAAACCTGATAGTCTGAGTATCCAAAGCGGCGGAGGTACTCAATACACCCTTGGAAAGGTTAGTGGTTTTTCACCTCCCCGCCAAAAAGGTATATACGTACGTAGGATTGTCTGCCTGTACGCTACAGTAACGTCCATATAATGCTATAGAACCAGTCAGTTGCGCCAAATTTCTTTAGGTGCATGGTTCGAACCTGCTTCCCATGCTGATCAATCGAGAATCCTTCAAAAGTCAAGTACCTCCCTGGACCATAATGCGGCTCTACTGGGCCGGGTAAATAGATCGGAGACTTCATGTCCAGATCCATCATCCCATTTTTCATCACTGTGAAGTTGATAGTGATCACGCCGGACATCTCAATAGCACCACAGAAAGATATTTCTCCGTCTCCTTGTGAGAAATGGAGATCTCCGACACTGAATTTGGCGCCTTGGACATGGACTGGTAGGTATACCTTGCTACCGCGGCTGAGGTTCTTGATGTCGCAGTTACCTCCATGTTCAGGGCGTCCTAGATTTGTCAGCATACCTAGTAGCGAAGCTACCTTATATTATCCAGAATGTGACTTGCCTGGGATGGTTCTCGCTCCCTCGCGCCCAACTTTCTCTTTGATGTCCTCACTAGCCGAGCCAGCGTGGACGTTCTGTGGATTGGGGGGCTGGGCAACGATTCGGTCAAGCTTGTTTGCTGCGATTAACTCACCTTCTCGCTTGTTCCAAGTTGAAAGAACCTGTTAACGACTTAGATTTACTTCGTTAGTAGATGTGGAGAACGAACCTCAGCGGAGGGGGCGCAGCCAAGGATGCCAGGATGGATCAAGCCCGGGAATTTTACGTGTGGCAGATGGCGAGAAGTGCAGTAGATGCCCTCGAAATCCCAGATAGCTTTGGCTCTGCCAAGAGTCAGCACGAATGAAGCTGGTTGGGGTGTGTCTTGTGAACACTAGAATATAAGTTGACCAACCGCAAGATGGTAGGCCATACAGGGATGTTCGAGACTGTGATTTCTATTATTTGCGTGCAGCCGGTGTACCTCCATCTTGATTGCTTATTGACATCAAGGAAGAAAACCATAGATCCATTCTTGGACATTGTCATCCCTCATATACAAAGTATAGGAGCGATTTGACGAGAAGAGACCCCAGGAAGAAGTAGATGATAATACAAAGTAACTTACGCTGAAGGATAGATCTCATCCAGGAAACCACCACCGTTGTTTTTCTCGAATACTCCTATAACCAACCTTAGCAGGTGAGGCCATTACTCAGACAATTCCACGAACCAGTCTAGACAGAAATCAGCAGACATCAGATGAAAGAGATTCATATACTAACGAATCCCCAAGGGTGTGCTTCATGTGGCTGAACATCCATAATCTCAACGAGCAAGACATCTCCAGGCTCGGCACCTTCGATCTCAAATGGTCCCGAGAGGTAATGAATCTTGGTTAGATCGACATTTTTGACATCGTCGGCACTATCATTATTGCCTAAGCACTGTAAGCAATGAATTTTGGAGGATAACACGATCCGAACCAATTTGTCCCCCAGTCCAGTCGACCTTAGCGTTGTAAGTAATGGAATTTCCGAACGGTCTTGGACCACTTACACATTCAATCTTCACAGTTTCTCCATTTTTGATAGTTGCTGCAAATGGAATATCTGGATGCCAGCGATTATGAAGCTGTGGCTGCTTCTCCGCCGGGATATCCAGAGAGACTGTACAAATGTTTCTAATGCCGGTCTTGCCCATGTTGCAGGTTGCCGTTGGGAGTATGGATTCGAAGGCGGGGTATGACTTAGCAGGGTGTAAGGACTCTTGTTTGACAGGCAGCTGAAAAAACAATGCTAGAGGAGTACAACGACGAAGGGGTGCATCATGGAAGTGAGATGGGAGATGGGAGATAAACCAGTTCGGATATTTTCGAGCAACCCCGCATAGTAATGTCATGTCATTCCAGTAGCGGGATTAGTACTTGCCATCATCACCATTTTGTCTTGTCACAGGAACGAACGAGAGCTGGCTGGCGGCCGATAAGAGCTGGCCGACGTTATCGGCTGATAGCCCCTCTTTTGGACAACCCAAGTCCAGACACACACCTCTAAGTGGGCGAAGTATGTCTCCAGTACGCTTCCTTACTTGAAGCGGGGTTTCTTATGAGTAATGGAATCGGGGTACGTTGTTTTTCTATTGGGTGGAATGGTCCCGTTTTGATGTATTTCGTGGCCAATACTTCCTACCTACATGTATACCTCTGGCGAAGTCAAATATTCGTTTAGCGTGGCTCACGTGAGGAGATAGTTCCAGTCAAGCTATGTTATTCTATTGCTTGCAATTGTCAATCACCTTGATCTCAGCTCGGTGTATGGCGGTGGCGAGCCTGAAGGAACTCCAGATGAGCTCGCAGTATGCAATGGATTTTGAGCAGCTTGACTTGAGCCCGAATCGTTGTGTTCAGTGTGAGCATCGAGGTTCCACAATTTCAGATTTAAGAACTCGTGTTTGTTCTTCCATTGTTGCTGGCTTGCCGCAAAGCCTTCACTCTGAGCTGGTGATGGAGGCGGATCTGTGACCTTGGTGATGAGATATGCCGTCGATGCCTCAGCAATTCCGTAGATGAGAACCCCCAGCAAAGGAATTCGCAAAAAGATATAGAATCCAACACCGAATCCAAACAAGAGCCCTTCTCTGTCGTGGAACCAGTGCTTTTTTTGTTCTTTGGTGAACCTTATTCTGGAGAAATATGGTTCAAGCTGTAAAGCGCTGTTAGTTAAAGTCCAGTCACCAACCAAATTGAAACTCTTGTCTTGTTTACAAAGCTATAGCATCGCATGAAGATTGGTATGGAAGGAAAACAACTCACAAGCTCTCTCATCAAACTCCTCGAGGAAAAGTAACTTTGCAGGAAGATGACCAGATATTTTTTGGGCAAAAATATACCGGTTCCAAAAACGATAGCTGCCGGGCCAAGCCCTGCTACCGAGTTGAAAGTATAGAAACTAGCAGCTGGAAGCACCAAACGCCCAACGTATGGGATATATGACAGAGCGAATACGGCAAGCGACAGCCCTGCTTTCTTTCCAAACCTCATCAGGAACATAGTGACAGCCTCTGCCGTACTTGTGGAGTTTGTGCTGCCGTCTCTAGTGGGATATTTCCGTAAATTCGGGTAGTAGGTCTCTCGTAGACTCGAAATGTCTTCCCCTTTGTGCTTTGCGTAGTATGTTTGGTCTACCCAGGCGAGCGAATCCATGAACCTGAGATTCTGTCAGTTCATGATGTCTAAAGGCAGCGGGTAGACTTACATATTATCAAGTGTCGGTGTAATATACCTCATCAATGTCATAAGGAAGAAGGGAACTTGTAGAACATAGTTCTGTATAAAGTCGAGCCCGCTGACAACGTCATCGTCCCATGTTGTATTTGTAAAGTCGAAAATGAAGCCCAAGAACCATAGTAAGACTTTGATCGCTACGACCTGTGGGGTGCGTTTAGCAACGTCGACCTCGAAGCCCATGGGGTCCGTATCATTCTTACCGGAATGAGAATGAGTAGCCGTATGGCAATGCCTGCCCCTACAGCTACGGCAGCCTGCTTATAATGTTCAGATGTGAAGAGAGCGGGATTCTGCAGTGCTCGTAGAGCTTCATGAAATCAGCAGAGCAGTTGGAGGTGGGATATCAAGGCATGCTGACCTCCAACGACCGTAAGCTGGGCTCCCCTAAGGATGGCATTGGGATCGAAGTTGGACACTGCGAGTTTCTTCCTGAGCTCGTCCTGGGTAGGAAGTGGAAGCGGAAGCGGACGTAGCTTCTGGGTCTTGTTTCTGCTCTCCGCCATGACTGTTGTTCCCATTATCAGCTAAAAACTCCAGGCGCTGGGTATGATGAGGTAGGTAGGCAGGCAGGTAGGTAGGTAGGTAGGTCTGGAGCTGTTGTGGACGGTACCTACCTTGCCTTGGGGGGCAGGGGGGATGGGGGGATGGGGAGGCAATACGGAGGTACTGAACAACGCGACGTCAGTGCTATGTACGGTGTTGTGCAGCGCATGCTGGCTGGCCTGTGCCCGGGCAGAGGCCAGGGCGGGGCACGGCCGGGCAGGGCAGGGCAGGGCATTAAGGATTTTTTTTAGGTACCTTGTACCTGTTGTACCTACCTTCTTATTGGAGGCACCATACCTGACTTTGTTACCTACCTGATGGTACCTAGGTAGATAAGGTACTCCAAGTATAGTAAGGTAACTGGAATCAATCCATGGATGGAATAGGTACATTACCTAGGTACTTACTCCACCCCACCCCACCCGACTCCGTCACGCGGTCGCGGTCGCAGCACTCGCGCGCTCATTACGAAGCTAGGTCCATTTCGTACCTGACGGCCCAGGAGCTTGGATCCTCAACTACTTGCGCCGCAGATATATTCATCGCATCGCATCGCATTGCTTCGCACTGCCTTGCCTTGCCTTGCCTACCTATCTCTACGAGAAAATATCGACACAATCAATACCATCCATTTGCACTCGAACTTCCGCCAACTCAACTGCACTGCACATGTTCTGGTGAAAGGCTGTGCTCGCAGTCATTGTCTTGGTCAGAAGGCGTTCTGCCTGCCACTTCCCAAGTTTGCATGGAAGTAGCTTATCGCGACACACTGCATCTCAACCTCAACAAGCCACGAATATCTCCGTCTGGAATCAGTCTTCGCTCTATCATGATCACCAGGCAATAGAGAGTAGCTCAAGCATTCAAGTGACCCTATGGCTTCCTCTCCGACTACTCAAGCCCCACGGCGTTCGTCCAGCCTTCCCGTTGGACGACCTCCTTCAACCAGTCCAGATCCGCAGATTGAGATCCTATTTACATTACCATCTGTTCGCATCATATCATTCATAACATCATCGAAATCTACTTCAAGACCTGGCTCAAGCAATGGTCCTGCAGATATCGAGGAAGAGCCTGGAACTTTATCATGGGTCTCTCGTTTCGAGAGAACCATTGCTGTTGGTACGGAGAACTCCTAGCCAAGCTCATCTTACTTTTCTCAAATCATCTGCTGACGGAGAGCCCAGGTCCTTTGCGTATATACAGAGCTCCAGGATCGGTAGCATTTTTGAATTGCGCAAATGCATTACGGCCAATATTGCCGAAATCTCAAGCATGGTGTGTGGATGGCAATAGCAAATTTGTGCTACAAATTAGACCCCCACAATATTGGCGGATCGAAGTTCCGCACAAGACCTTGGATGAAATTATTATGATAGAGGATCTCAAGAAAGTCCTGGAACAAGTTCTTCGGTATGAGAAGACAGCATGCCCATTTAAGAGAGACTTTGTGGTGGAACTTCCGGAGAAGCCAGCAACACCTGTGAAGAAACGGCCTTGGAGACCAGTTGAGAAACCTCCAGGAGGTCCTCCGCCGAAATCATCGCCTCTATTACAGGCTTCAGCACCATACGACAGTTACGCTATCGTGCCATTGCCCGAATCGCGCCCTTCAACCCCTTGCCCGTCTTCAGAGTTGTCAGCACCTCCTGGGAGGCCTACAAGTCAGGCTGAACCCCACAGAGATCTCGAATCGCCTGCAGGTACATCGATAAGCGAGATTCGACAGGCCATCGAGGCGGTTAAAATGCCTAATCTGTCCGGAATCACCATGCCAGAACCTTTGGACCGACCTCGCGAGCCCGAACCAGCTGATCTTCGTCCTTTGCAGCCATATTTGCTGGATACTCCTGATTCTGAGTACATCTTCGGGTCGTACGCGGGTACAGACGAAGAAAGCGATAGCTATAGTGACGCAACGGATGACACGAATTTGACTCCAAGAAGTGGCAGAAAGCCGCACCTTTATCAGGTCGTTGAAAGTGAATCTGATAACGTTGGAAAGCCCCAGTCGATACAAAATTGTAATCGATCAGTCACTGCTCCTCCCATTCTCTCTTTAATTACCAGCCCGCCTTCGAAACAACGAACCAAATCTCCACTTCGGTGTTCAACGACTTTCGAAACAAGCTCAGATTGTTCATCAAGTGTGGAATCATTCCACAGCGTGCAGTCATGGCACTCCCCTCTTGCTCCTCCGTCACCCCCTGCTTCTGAGCCGTCATCGCCAACGTCGACTTATCGCTATCCGCACGAGAACATTGTCCTTTCAAAGCGGCCGATTCACTCCCGCGATATATCTGAACTCACCGTGACTCCCGAGACTCCCAAAATGTGGGATAGAAACACTATATCACATGAACGGTCTAATGCCCGGAGTCTTTCGCCTCCCCCAAGAACTCCACCTACTCTAGTACACGATGGGAGTGAGAAATCAGACGAAGAGCATTTCGAATTCGCAACACCACCAACTATAAAACCAACTGTTCGACATCGAGCTACGACGAGTAGTAACTCGAGACGACGAGCACTATCGCCCTTACCAGCAGCAGTCAATCTTTTTTCGCCACCAAAACAAGCACAGCGCCGGCTCCGGACTGCCAGACATCTCCCAACCGCAATCATCCAAAAGACCTGCGAAATTTTGCTCAGTCCACCCAGCCATATTTTCCAACTGATGCTCAGCATTGCCTCCAAGATCGCTGCAGGGGAATGGAGAGGCATGCTCTCGGGCTATGGAGAAGCAGTCCACTGGGATTTTGAGGACGAGTACGGCCCTGACCCTTCTCTGTACGAAGATGATTATGGTATGAGCCTTGCAAAACCGAGAATCAGCCAAGAAATTGCTTCGAAATCCAGCACGAATATCACTGGTGGCAGCTGGGAAGTTGACTGAATCTGTTCAACAAGACTTTTTCTGATTTAAATGACTGAGTGTAGGTTTTTGAGTTTTGCATTGTATGATAAGATACCACCGTGTAGGGTACTTGGCTTATGTATCTGGGAATGGCAGGTGCCATTATCTCATAGAGTTTAATATGGTATGATGATATGTTGGTTTTGCTATTCTTGCCATGGGAGGGTGGGTTCGGGTTTAGCATGTGAGGCGTTTATATCAGTAGGGGTGGCTTTGGACGTTTGTTTGTAATAGGTCAATCTTTGTTGACGGCCTTGGTATCTGTGGGCGGTCTGGATGAGCTGGCTGGATTCTGCTCCTTATATGGCAACAAATGTTTTGACTTCGTTTGTTGTGTGTGGATCAAAGTGAAAGAAATGATCATCAGTTTGATGTTACAAACAGTAAGATGGCATTCAGAGGTCATGAATGTCGCTGCATAAGCTCGAGGTCGTTAACTTCTCAGCGAAGCGCACGTCTGGGCGGACTGGATTTGACCTGTAAAGTTCGAACCCACACGAAATAAACAAATGAAAATCGTCAAGCGAGGGTGCATTAGAAGACAGCATGTCAGATGTACTCCAAACAGTATCTACTTCATACCAAACCACTGGAGAGCAGACTTCATGCCCATCAGACGCTCCTAGACTGTTCCAATAATTCAGAAGTCCCAGTGACACCATTCCCGTTTTGGCGGCAACATCGGCATTATCCCGGTTGGGAACGAACCCGTCTGCTTTGCATGCAAGTACGCAGCTTCAGTCCTGTCGTCATACATTTTCTCGTCCACTTCGGTGTCTTTGTTAAACATCGGAGGCCCTTCAGGGAACCAAATCCTCTCCCACAGGCCACTTCGGCTAGTAAATCCAGGCTCAGCACCTTTGTAGTCAACGTGCTTGCCCTTGAACGTGGATAATTTTCCACTGGAGTCTCTGGAGATATAAGAGCCGATTTGAGGGTGTGGAGCTCCGAGCTGGACATTTGGACCGTGCCCGTTTATAGCCGTTGGGGCTTGAGACTGTGGAGCGAATGTGTCGTCGCTATTGGGTAACGACGAGGCACCGGTTACGGGATGGCCAAAAGGATTAGGGTTCCGAGTTTGAAGTGAAGATGGCCCGAAAGGATTGACAGCAACGGGAACCAAAGCTATTGTTGCCGGAGCGAATGGATTTTGCTGTGGAGCAGCATGCGCCACAAACTTATCCTGCAGCGCTTGTGATGTTTCAGTAGGAGCTCCAAATGGGTTTTTAGTTGGAGATAAATCACCAAAAGCTGGCTGTGATCTTCCTAACGAATTTGGCTGAAGATCGCTGTGCCCGCCAAATGGGTTTGAGCTCGCATTCGGATTAGACGGCTGACTAAATGGATTTGGTTGAGCTGTCTGTGATGGCGCTCCAAATGAGGTCGAAGGGGCTCCAAACGTTTGGGAAGTAGCAGGCTGGGGAGGTCTTTGGAAAGCATTCGCCGTCCCAGAGTCCGTAGGAGCTCCAGAAGTTGGCATTTGGCGAAACGGATTGGGTGTGGCAGTAAAAGAAGAGAACGGTACAGCAGTTAAAGCATGTGCTGCTGGGGCTCCGAAGGGGTTGGCTTTCTGGCCCAAGGCAGAAGGCTGTCCAAAACCAGTGGCACCAAGCTGTGTAGGTGCTCCGAATGCTGGACTGGCGGTTCCAAAAGCATTAGTTTTCTGGCCCAATGCTGATGTTTGACCAAAGGCTCCACCTAGAGCCGAGGGGGCTCCAAAAGCTGGCGCACCCTGCGATGACTGACTTGCTCCCGCAAATGGATTTGCGACAGGACTTTGTTGCTGAAAAGAAGGCTGACCGTTAAATGGATTTGGCTGAAAACCAGCTCCAACTTGGCCCCCCCTCACAATATCTATTCGATTTGGATGTTCTTTCTCAGAACTGATGATGAAGTTTATAGCTCCGTCGATATTATTAGCTGCAGTCTGGATTTGCTGTTCTGAAGCTTGCCATAGCCTCTCTGCTGCCTGAACCTGGGACAAGTCAGTCGTCTGCACATAAAATCAATTGCCCTGACCTACTGCTTGTTGCGGATTACCCTCTGCCACTGCCATGTAGTGTAAGAGGCGCATCTCCTCGAAACTGTGCTCCCGCATAGGTCCGCCAAAGAGCTGCGCAGGAGCATGTCTACCTGGCCCGTATGCAGACAATATCCATTGTGGTTTCTCGGATGTTAAGTCGACCTGTATGGTTTTTTTGTCTAGGGAATAAGGCAACTCGCGGGAAGGCGATGCTATGGGGTATCAGAATGTTCCGAGTATAATTGACATGCATCTTTCGTACCTGCTCTCGCACTTCCACCTTGGTATCCATTGCTGCTGGCGCGGGAGCCGAACCTGTCTCCTTGAAGAGCAGCGTATCGATTGCCATTGGGAAGCGGTTGATTGTTTGGATTCGAGTTGTCGGTATGAAGGAACTTGCACCTATCTGCAAAATCTTAGCTTCATTGTCAAGGCCTGGTATTTTGAAGCATTCTTACCTCCGTTTCGACAACTACCTTGCTGCCAAAATTTGCACACAACTGGTGGCATCCTCACAGTCGCAATCAGGTCTATTAATTGCAAAGTCGCGCATCTCTGGTCATCATCGCATGGTTGTCGCACGACACTTGAACGTATGTGAATAGGACTTCGACTTGTTCGAATTCACAGCAGGTCAGACAAGAGGTTGTGGCCGTCTCCAATTCGAAGTCAAGACGGTACCTTGGGGAAAAGGTAAGGCTGATGAAATATTTTGGCGTTTCTTTCGGATATCGCGCGTCGGTGTTTGCAAATGGCTAGTGCTCTCGTGACCTTGGATTCCAAGAGTTTTGGTACCTCAATTGATATGTTTGTGAAATTGTAATATCTGTGATTTCCAATATCGCTTTGCTTACAGTTTACCCGCTGCTTTCTCTAAAGAAAAAAAAAGACACCGCTAACGTTCACGATGTGGATTCGGTTCCAAATGGAGGGAACAGAGCTGGTCATCAACCCAACTTTAAAACCAAACTCATACGAGATAGCTCGATCACAGGCTACGATTATACATTCATTGGATCGTATATGAGTCGTAAGCTTGGACTTCGTAGTCCTAAGATGGGAATAGAGTACAAAGCCTGAAAGCCATCTGCCAGCTATGCACCAATATCATACATCTGTAAATATTACGTGCCGGAGTAGACGGCTGTCACACCTCTACCACACTCTATCCTTTGTTCAACGCTGACATTTCTCCCACCAAATCTAATCCTCGTCCTTGGAGTGATCTGAAATCTGTGCTCCTCCCTCCTGCCCTTTTCTTTGTCGGCTTCCACGTCAAGAGGGGCGATGTACGTCGGGTTATTCACGTTATTTCTCTTTCCAGTTCCGACTTGGTAGAACTCATTGCCTCCCCACCACAGTACATCAGCACCCCAATTAGTGTCGTTCTCTGAGCTGTGCCTGTTTGCTCTCAAATGCGTGATGTTGTCCATAACTGCAGACATGTGTGTAGCCCCAATTGACATAGACGCTAGCCGAATTGGTACAACGGTGCTGTTCGCCTCATCATACTCGTAAAGCCCCGACAATGCTTTGATCTTTGTTGGCACTCCCTGCACATGTGTCCATCTTCCATTGCCCAAACCCCCAAAAATCCCCTGGCCACAAGCCCAAGTGTCGGCGGTCACTCTTCCGAGTCCACGAGGATCTTCTTCACCTTGCCCAACGATTCTAGTAGCTTCGATAGTGAAGAAGCTGTTCACTCCCCCAGCAGCTATGTTTGTGACCTTTGGAACCAAAAATGTGCCTTTGTAAAGTTTGTCGATCGGAAGAAGAGATGGTGCATCAATGACCGGTGACTCGGGAGATGGATCAAAACCTAGTTGACCGACAGAATTATCTCCAAAAGAAAAGACTCGGCCAGCTCTATCAGCCGCCAATGAATGGAAGTCTCCCGCTGCAATATTGATAATGTCAAAGCCCTTCAGTGTGATAATCTCGTGTGGTTGGTCGACTGGGCCTGCAGGTCTTGTTGACCAAGTCAAGCCGGGTACTCCAAGTTGTCCTTTCGATGGAAAATCTTCGGTTCCTGTCGCAGCGGAGAACAATCGCCCCTTTGAGGTCAAGAGGAGACTGTGCTCCAGGCCAGTGCTGATATCCGAGACTTTTTCTCCCCAGGACAAATCTTTAAGCTGAATTGTGCGATAACTGATATTGGATCTGCTGCGCCAGAAGGGGAACCAGGTACTCTCCAGCGGCTTTGGCCCAGCCAATTGATCTTTCTGGCTCACAGGAACAGAATAGACATGTCCAATCGACGAAAGCGCCACGATCCGATCCCGAGAGATGGTCAGCTTCACAAGATTCTTACCTGTGAGGGTTGTCGTGGGGCCTGTTGTCATCGTAGAAAAGCCAGTACCCCATTGTAGCAGGTCTCCACCTTCAGTGATTGCTGCTCCAAAGTTCCTGTCTAATTTGATATCCCTAATGAGCTTTCCGTCAAAATATGGTATCCGTCGAGGTGCTCTGATAATGCTTTCGTCCAAATCGGGTGCTACCACTTTGCCACTATTCGAACCCCAAGCATAAACGCCGGGATTCTCCCAGCTCTTTTTCACTTGTAGATGCTGCGAACTGATCAAATCTCGATTCTCTTCGCGGGAGCTCGCCTGTCTTCGTGGTTTCTCGAACTTGACCTCCGCTGGATCCGCGGTTTCCTCCGCATGCAAAGTCCTCGGGTAGCCTAAGGAATATAGAACGCCACCTCCTACTGCGACTGTGAAAAATAGACCTGCAGTACGAGATCTCGATGCTGTCGTCGCCGCAACGGTAACCCTAGACTTGCTCTTGCCTCGAAAGCATCGTCGTTGACTTGCGCATGCTCCCTGAGACACTTTGCTGGCTCGATGCGCAAATGAGAAGGGTCTTGAAATGGCTCTAGAAGGCATTATTTCGAAGGCTAGGTCGATGTGATTGCACAGTGGGCGCTTAGTCCATCGATGCTCGCAGACTTCAAACGAGGGCTGGGAGGAGGCGGGTGAGGATAAGAACGAGGTTGCGACATTCAGCCTCGTCTGTCAATGACGCTACGATCTTGAGGTTGTATGTAATCTGCTCGCGCTTGGGGCACTTTCCGGCCATCTCCCAAGCGCGGGTGGAGGTGTTGGCGTTCCCTGCCACGGATCTCACGTGTCCACAATCCAAACCAATACCAAAAAACATAGCTAGGATGTATGAAGATTCCTGGTATAGCTATGTGCCGGATTCGCACTCTAGAAAGGATGAGCAAGTCTCCCAAGCCTCTGGCCATCGGAGGAGAGAGTCGTTGTTGAAACAGTCCAATGTTAGCAACCTTTGCTGCGCAAGTACAAAATGATGCTAAAAATATGGTAGGGAAACAACCAGATATCCAGTCCCCAAGATCATATACTGGACCTGTTTGAAGAGCCCACAGGTTTGAAAGGTCCTCCTGCAGCGACGCTTGCCAGGAGAGCCAAATCCTACTGTGACTTTTACGATGCTGCCGTGACCTTTCTCGGGAAGGGGAACGTGGTTGAGCAATCTCGAGATGTCCTCGAAGCTGCAGAATCACCTCCAAGCCTTGCTATCCTCGAGACAAGATTTGAGGGTTTTGAGGAAGAGCTCCTCGCTGAGAGCCAGGAGCAATATCGGTTTGTTCATCCCTCGTATCTCCACCACGTTACTAACCACGGAACAAGACTATACAGAGACCAACTTGTCTTATCAGAGCGGCATCTTGACACATTGCTAGCTGATACAACGGACGCGCTAGACTTACTTGCCTCTCTCTCCGAGTCCTTCAAATCCGTCGAAGCGGAAACCACAACTTTCCAGGCCAATTGTGAAGACCTGTTGGATGAGCAGAAACGACTTCGTAGTTTGGCGGATGAGATTGGAACAGACCTTCAATACTATGCCTACCTAGAACCTCTTACTCGCCGTCTGAACGCTCCAGGATCTGGGCGACTAGTGAGGAACGACGACTTCTTGGAAATGCTCATGAATCTGAACACTTGCATTGATTTTATGGACCAGCATGTAAGATACCTTTTGCTTCCTCTCTCGTCACCCCAAGCAACAACCCTACATCACCGCCGATGGACCTGATACTGACTGCTGAAGCCAAACTACCGTGATTCAACAGTGTACAAAACTCGGTACTCAACACTGCTTGAGCGAGCACTCAATCTTGTGCAGAACGCCTTCTCGATTGCCCTTCGTGACGTCTTCGATGATGTTTCGAAGGACCTCAAGGTCAAAGAACACAATGAAACTGCCGAGTACATTCTGCTTTACGGCAAATACGAGACTGCATATGAGAACCTCGGGATGCCCATTCAAAAGCTACTGAAAAGTGTAGATTTTGCCTTCGGCCAGAAGGGTGATGTAAAGGCCTCCAGTCCTTATGTCAACCAATATCACGAGCTCTATAACCAGCTCGTCGATGCCTTCCTCAAAAGTCGTGAGCCTGTTGGAACTTTGGTATCGAAGAATTTGCGGAAGTTTGCAGCGAAGGAGAAGCCAGAAACCGATTTCGAAGTATTCGCTCGGCTCTGTATTCAGCATGTGCTTGATGTTTGTTACAACGAGCAGAAATTAGTGACGCATTTCTTCCAGGACGGCCCTCTCCTGGCAGATTACCAGCCTCTCGTATCATACACTAAAAGTAGTGAGTACGCTGGCCGTCTTGAGAATAACATACTATCACATCTGGAGACGCTTCACGCCTTCCTCATGCCACACTTCAGTAACGGGGATCTCCAACGAATATGCGGACTGGTCAACTGGCTAGAGACCATGTATATGGTATCCAATGATGAAGACTTGGTCGATGATCAGCCCGCAGATAGTCGAGGATCAATTGCTCAGGCTTTCTTGAGCAAATACCTCTGGAACTCACTGGATAGTCTGTTTCTCAAAGCAGCTACGGAAATCGAACACTTCAAACCAACTCAAGAGGATCTCAAAGTCCAACTCAAACAGAAGATCATTACGAACGAAACCACGAAATCGACAAGTTTACAGGATATTGATGGGAAAGTCCGGGTTCACGGCAGTCATGCTCCACTAGTCTCAAACTCCTATCCTACAGTCAAGACAGCTGTCAAACTCCTGGTCATGTACAACGAGGGCGTCTACGACAGACCAGTAAGTGCATATCCCCTTGTCAAATGCTATTATAATTGCTAAGCTTCATAGCGAACCAGCGATGTTCTTTACGAGATTGTACACCAAGTCACAGATTCTCTTCAGAAAGCTGCCACAGTCATCAAACGCACGTCCAACATGATGGACGCACAGCTGTTCCTGATCCGCAATCTCATGTTTATCGAGAACCTATTCATGACACGGGAGATCCCAGACGTTGTCCGACAATCTGCCGAATTTGACTTCTCCCCAATCTGGGATACGATTCAGGAACTCCAGGAGCGCAAGCAGCTATTCAACCCTCTCGCCTACATCACTCCTCTCGTGAAAGGTAACCTACTTCCTGCAGTTGTAGACCGTGTTTTGGATGCACGGAAAGAGCTGGAGAAAGTGCTTGTGCAACAAATCACGGCGTTCACGAGGACGTGGCAATCCCGCTTGGCGGAGCAGGATCCTAAGAAAAGGGCTTTGGTTGCTAGAGAGCTCGAAATCTTGTTGAACAAGGCATTCGATGACGATACGACTCGGGCCGCACTATCAAAGATGATTCGAGCAGAGGAGATAGAGGGAGCGGCTTAAGTCACTTGTGATAAGATATCGCCAAATTACCCATGAAATTTCCGGTGACACGAAGCCTGTTGCTGTTTCCAAAGTCGAAATGCCCGCTGGCAATATTCAAAATGCACCATCATTGATGGCAGTGAGATCCGGGTTGTCGAGAAGTCATGGCCTAGTTTCATACTATCCTTCCAGCTCTCCCCACACATCCTCACTTAGCTGACCAGCTTTCCTGGTCTCATTCACCGACCCAGGACCCCCATAGTACTAAATACTACTACACCGCTTCAATCGAACTTGTAGGTAGCTACGAAGAGAGTAGTTCCACAATCTGGTCTTAATCATTCACTTGGTGCCGCGACTCCATCCAAATGCCCATAAGTATCGCTTCTAAGTAACGAACCAAGAGTGCCATGGCATTTGAAGTACATGTCGGCAGTAACAGAGGGTTCTGGATCAGCAGGTTCAAGTGCATCTGCTATAGCATTTTCCGTCATGCCATAATGAATACCAGGAATTTTCATGGAATCCTGGCACCATTCTCCCCCCCCCCCCCTCAAAACCAACAGTCTTATTGTCAAATATCGCGTGAACTTCACACGACGTTTGTGGGTATCGTTGATACTCGCGAAAATGAGAAAGTAGCCATGATCTGTTTCCATAAGCGATACGGTCTACTTCCGCGCAGTCCTTCGTGGGTATTGCTTGCTTACTATGATAGAGCTCGTCATTATCAACTCCCCACGTCACGTAACCCAGTACCTTATACATCAGAGTCAGAGCCTAAACGCAAACCAATGTACGGCAACTTACTGCATCCAAACAACTTTGGTTTTATATCCTGAGGCTCACAATGCACCTGATAAACGTTAAACTGGTAACCCAGGTACTATTTTCACTGGTATCAAGCAAGCCAGCAGTCCAACGCCTTCCACCCACCAGCAAGACGTACGTGTCGGCCTTCCCTGGAGGTCTGTACTTACTATATAAGTTATACCTGAGCCACGATAACCATCATCTTGAGTGTTCTCTATTTTGAATAAGTCACATAATTGCAAGTCATGTTGCTGCGTCAAACCCGGCCACTCGCGCACTGGCGTGATGGCCACACTGGCAGGGGCTAATTTTTAGGGCAAAGCACCTACATCCAATGAAATTGTTTGGCTTTTTGGATGGCAACTGGTTGGTACCAGAACACATGTTTGCTACTTATGTTTAGTTGTTAGCAACGCTGGTCAGGTAGCCTCTCCAGTTTTGGTTAGAGGATCATTGTATTTGCCAGTACCACTTACATCTCAAAGCTAGTTGCTGTGACTCGCGAATTTTCAAGCGAGGAATACGGAAATGGCACGAGAGCCTAGTAAAACTGGAGTCATCAAATGGGGTATTCCGTATTGATAGAAACAGTAATGACCATTACTGGAGATTTGCTCGCTGTTGAAATACATCATGCAATTGCCAAAGAAACCACTATCACTTCTCCAAGAAGAAATTGACGAATTCCTGATCTATTCCGACAGTTAGGTATAGGTCCACGAAAGAGGCTTTGGCCTCACGATGTTTCTAGCATGAGACTCACAATCGATATGTCCATCTCCATTCTTGTCAACTTCCTGAATCATGACCTTCAGATCCTCATCTGAAAGATTCTCGCCGAAGGTTTTCATAAGCTGGCCGAGCTCATCCACAGAAATAGTACCACTGCCGTCCTTGTCGAAGACGTTGAAGGCGCTGCGCATCTCATCATCAGCATTGGCGGGTTTGGTCTTGATGCTCATCATCTTGATAAATTCTGAAATGGATATCAGCTTCAGACTTTGCAGAGACAGCCTGGTACTGACCTTCCAGGTCAACAGTGCCGGTCTGGTCAAGATCCACTTCGTTGATCATGTCTTCAATCTCTGACATAGTTGGGTTGAGTCCGAGAGAGTTCATAACAGCGGACATCTCTTCCTTGGTGATCACGCCTGGCTATTTTAGCAAGTCGTACTTTTGAGAAAGACAACAACTATCAACCATACCATCATTATCACTATCCTAGCTGACTGTTAGTGTCATATACTCGGTGATCAGGGGTAGAGCCTACGAAAAGCTGGAAAGCCTCTTTCAAAGCGGCAACATCTTGCTCCTATCAAACACCAACCCGATCAGTATGTGGATGAAAGGTGGCCTGGAAGGCCATGTTGCTGGCAAGAAGCCTTACAGCTGGGCCACCTAATTCTGGCATGTCGAGATCGAGAGTTATATTACTAGGGTCGAAGGATTCTGGTGCGTTTTCTTGTGAAGGCTGGAACGAGTGTGGTGAGGGGTTGGAGGGGTTGAGGGGTGAGGAAGAGAGGGGCATGGCAGTTTTCAGCTGCGTGGCCATCACATGATTGGCCTCACTGCATGCATGCAAATGGAAGCTAGCGTTTTCAGACGTTACACTCTTGACTTTATGCCAAATACCTATCTTAAAAATCTTGGTCGTGAAAAGTATTGTTCACTGGCATAGTGTACCATGGTGCTGTATTGATCTGGATTTGAATAGAGCGGGTTGAGTACCAGACCTGAACTGGCCATAAGAAGGCAGAACAGAAGCAAAAACATTCTGCCCTAGGGCAAGTAAGTCCTACTGGGGAGAGGCTATGAGCTCAAATAATCGTCTTACAGCTTCCCGGATTTGACTCTAGCCTTCTCAATACTTACAAGATACGCTAGATTGCCAGCAGTTACTGTAGGCGATTGCCTGCAGACCTACAGAGAGGGGAACCGGCTATTACTGCATGCCCCTAGATGAGACAATAAGTTGGGAACAGTTGGCTGGATGACATCATCCTGGTATGCAAGGCTCTAGAAGCCTTCTACATGAAGAAGGTCCGGCTTGTAGACAAGGCCACATTGAGAATTCAGTCTCGCCATGGTTCTGAGAGTGCCTTTGGAGCTTCAGCTCAGTCGATAATCATCTGCCATGCACTACCAGATTCCACTACTGTACCATTTCACCACAATAAATAAATCCGCATTTCTGGGCTTGGCAGCAAGCTTTTGTATTCGTAGCTAGCAATCACGAGGTACATCCCAGTTTCCACGCAAAATAGCTCCAAAGGTCCTTGACGAATTTCCTTTCGCTCATGCCTGGGTGGTCTTAGCAGCAGCCTGGTTAGGGTTAACCTTCTTTCCATCCTTGTTGTATCGGACACGAGGAGGCTATGTCGAGTTAGCAGTTGCCCAACCGAAAAGTGGATACCAACATACAGGAGCACGATTGCGGCGACCTTCACGGGAACGGACACTGTGAGAAAATTGTCAGCCCTGATGTTCTCACAAAGAAAGGATGCTCAACCAAGGTTCATCTCAGTTCTCAGTGCGTGCATACCGGACAATCTTGCCATGAATAGCACATGAAACGCAATACTGGAGCTTGAGGTACATCTTGGGAACGGTGTATTCTGGGAATACGGAAGCGTCCGAGATATCTCCTGTGGAAATGACACCGCGTTAGCCAACTCGTCTCAAGTAATGTCCGCATTCAAGGCCACAAACTGATTGCCGCGCTCTCTACCATATTTCTGGGGGGTGTTAGCCATTATTCATCTTCTCAGGAATCACGGGGGCTTACCTGATCGTAAAGCGCTTGATTGCCTTATCCTTTGGTGTGCATCGTGAGCAGTTGCTGCAGCGGATGGGCTTGACATGGCCTCGGCCATTCTTGTTGCGACCGCTAGAAATATGTCAGTACCATGCCTTTTGATGTCCGAGATGGAAATATAGGCGGTGGCGGTCGGAGATGTTGCTCAGATACGGAGGAAGCTGTCGCAGACTGCATCAACCTGTGAGGGGGAGTTTGGATGCTGGTGTGGCAGGTGCAGTTGAGATCGCAGGGGATTCGCAGGTGAACTAACTTGCTTGCGCGTTTCTTGACCATGGTTGCTGATTCTGAGAGGATGGTGATTAGCTGTATGTCGCGGAATGTTTTGGGAACACTCAACACTCACTGAATGGATATGCCGTTCAAATATTTGGGTTTGATGGAATTTGGTAGGAACGACGGCGACGACGACGACAATATTTGGTACAAGCGAGTCGCTCGTTCCGTGTGCGAAAACCCTAAGTGGCTAGTCTACTTTGGGACTAGCGCATGATTAGCTGAGCGCGCGCACATTTTCGCCAAAATAGCCATTCCGCCCCAACGATTTTCTTTCCTTCAGGATTATCGACAATTGAGGAGAACAACTTTGCGAAAGTTGTTTAGATTGCCGCAATCATGCAGATGTAAGCCTGTCAATCATCATAATACCATGAGCGCATGCTAATGATCTTTTCCTCAGCTTCGTCAAAACTTGTGAGTTCAGGTCTCCACGACTTTCAGCACAATCTCACCATTGCGCTACCAAATGACTATCTTTTAACGTAATCCCAGTGACGGGCAAGACAATCACTCTTGAAGTGGAGTCCTCGGATACTATTGACAACGTCAAGAGTAAGATCCAGGACAAGGAGGGCATTCCACCCGACCAGCAGCGCCTTATCTTCGCCGGCAAGCAACTCGAAGATGGACGTACTCTATCCGACTACAACATTCAGAAGGAGTCCACTCTTCATCTAGTGCTCCGTCTCCGTGGAGGTGCCAAGAAGCGCAAGAAGAAGGTCTACACTACCCCAAAGAAGATCAAGCACAAGCGCAAGAAGACCAAGTTGGCTGTTCTCAAGTACTACAAGGTCGACGGTGATGGAAAGATCGAGCGTCTTCGCAGAGAGTGCCCAACTCCTGACGTAAGTCCTCAGTTCCTATTGTGAATTTGACGTGTTCTAACAATCTGCAGTGCGGTGCCGGTGTCTTCATGGCTGCCATGCACGACCGACAATACTGTGGACGTTGCCACCTTACCTACATCTTTGATGAGGCTGGAAAGTAAAGCAATATCGGCAGGACGTGGATGGACGGCTACTGATGAGCTTGGCGTGTATCTACATTGAGACAAACGAATGCTGAGCCGTGCTGAGAATATGGGTTTTGACTCTGGTGATCATGTCCTTTGTCTTTCGTGATCGTCGTGGTGACTGCAAGCCCTCTTCAGATATCCTGGAACGAACAAGGCACCGGTCACTTGCACAGCTGTCATTGAGACGATCAGACCCTCTAAATAGAAGTACAGTGCCTCGCAAGTGTTAGTACTTGGACTGCGTTTCGTCGACAAACTGTTGATGGCTGCTATCAAGTGTGGAGTAGCATGCTCCAATATCTTCTCCCCACGATAGCAAGCTCAGAAGCTACGTGCTTTGTGGCTGAAAGACTCAAAAATAGCGTCAAAACCACGCTTTGGACGAAAAGACCTTCAACATCAGCCGCGGGACGTAGTAAGGGGAACCTGCTCTATCGTAATTCTCTTTCTCTGTGCTGGCGTATTCAGCGAACAATCATACTCAAACGTTTGAGAGCTTTCGATGAGTGCCGCAGACAGAGTTTCATGTAGTAAATTTACCTAGTTACTTTCCGCTTGCCAGGTTGAGGCGACTCGTACCAGATCGGAAATGTCCATGCTCAGCTCACCAACCCCTCCACTCCTCCCCCGCGCCGCCAAGCCCGCTCTTCTTTCACCCTCCTTCCCAGATCCAATGGACGACATCATTTCGCAGCTAACTCACACACCTGGCATTCGAAAGCAAGATTTACCTGATATCACCCCTCCCTTGGCGTACCAGGTTGGGTGTACTTTATCGCACGATCCGCTTTCTGGCAAGACATCCCGCACGCTTTACTGCTCATGCTTGAAGTGACGTAGTCTTGGCAGCATTGTCCTCCATTCAAGTTGGATCGTAGTTCATAAGGAGGCGGCAGTTGGCTTAATAGCGTGAGCTATTTACTTGAGGACGCTTCTCCTGCGTAGAACCGTTTCTTTCCTTCCCCAATTCTTGTCTTCCTCCTGTTTCCTTCGGTATAATAGACCAATCTCTGCCAAACACCACAATCTTCAAAAACAAGATATCAAATCAGCCAAACGGCCCTAACAACATGGACTTCGTCAACAAGTTTACCGGCGGTGATAAGCAGGGTGAGGGTCAAAGCCAACAACAACAACAGGGCCAGGGTCAGAATGAGCAAGGCTCAAACTCTTCTGGCGGGGGCGGATTCCTGGGCGGAATTGGCGATAAGCTGAACTCTGCTGCTGGAGGTGGGAAGGAGAGCGAGAAAAATGAGGATTACCTTGACAAAGGTATGTCACTTCTTTACGCCTCTTGTCTACCCGTCATTCTCACCTCACGTATACCTTCATATTGTCAAGCCTCACCTGCTCTTCTGTGACAGTTGTGCCACCAAATCTAAACTGACCTTTCCCAGGAGTCGATTTCGTCCAAGAGAAATTCATGGGTGCTGGACCGCAAGACAACGAGTCCGCTGTCGAGCAAGCCAAGGATGAGCAGATCTCAGATTTCATCCGTGGTCAATACAAGGGTACGACCGGCAGTGATATTCCCATCAAAGACAAAGAGACCAGATTGGGTTAATTCTCACGGGAGTTATACATGGGTGGACTGTACTGCCTGGCTGCATGGAGATCCTGCTTGCTTGGTAAATGCATACATGATCCTCGGAGCGATACGGGATGGGAGATGGGATGGAAAACGGGCTGGGATGGATGTACGATTGTGGAGTATTGGAGGGCTTTAGCAATTGTGGCTAGGACCTTTTGAACTTTATGCGGCGCTTTCAATGGAAAATTGTGCTCCGGCAATGTGAAATTTGTCCCGCGATTGATAAATCTGGTGAAGTAAGAGTGACTGAAGTCATGTCCCGCAGAAGACTGACACAACAATACAGGAATGGGAACGGTGCTACCTCGGAGCATGAAGCGTGGCGAGTAGCGAACGATCCCATAGAGAATTCCCAGACCACTGGTGTGGGAAAGGATTTCATTTCTGAAAGCCATGGAAGCCGACCTGGACGGCCATTCTTTCTATACTGGCCATGGTAGCGCCAGCTAGTTGCAATGATCTGCTCTTTTCTTCCATTCCCTTCATTTGCTTCCTGTCAATGCCGTGATAACGAATCTTCTGCCGACCTATCCCAGCAAATCCGATGTACAGTACTGGGTATCATAAACTCGAACCAACATACATCCAATCGTCCACGTAACCACTTGTAATTACATTAACAAAAAGTGCCCAGTACATCAACCAGTTTCTGTTTCTTGTTCTGCATTAATTTGGAGTGACGCCTCAAGGGTTCCGCAAAAAAACCTCTCTTGGAGTCTGTCGTACTTCCCTGTATCTTCTTCTCTACCTTTGTCATCTTATCTTCAGAGACTTCTTGGGAGGCAGAAAAATCAGATATTCGACATGGAGCCTCAACGCGAAAGAAAGCTATGCTCCCAATGTCAGGGGTAACAGCGGGCTTGATATCTACCAAGGCAGGGTATTGGTTCTTGGGATGATCTCTTGTGAGTTTGGTGAAATGAGGATCAGAGCGTTCCGTAAACGCACTTCCGTAGAGCGGTTTGTTCGGACTGTTGTAGACTGGTGGCTTAAGGACTTCCAGGTGCGGACCGAGACGAAGCGAAGCCACAGGTACGGAATTGACAAGCTCGTCGTTAACAACGACTTGCTCGCCGATATTGACTCCTGCTCTGTGTAAATCCCGATCGCTTCTCAGCTCACCAATCTTGGAAAAAATTGTGTATGGAACGAAGTCCCAAGTCTCCAGCGAGTAACATGTATTGAAGATATGCTGGTTGGCAATCCCACATCGTGTTTCCTTGAAACTCTTATCAGAGTATCGGATATCTGAAAGGTCGCCCATGCTCTGCCAGCTATCCCATTGCTGAACAGCATTGGCATTCTCCTTGGATGTTGAGAAGGCTAGGCTAGTGATGAATGTTGCCACATCTGCCCGTGGAATTCGATTCACAAAGCAGTCTTCGTCTAGCTGCTGAGATGAGGCTCTACGAATTGATTGGCGGTCTGCTTCACCGGCGGCTCGCTTGTTGACGGCTCGTTTAACACATATTGCCTCGAAAAGGCTCAGAATGCCAACATCGAAACTCGATCTCCATCCAAAAGTTCGAGCAAGAACTCGCGATCTTGCATCGAATGTGCAACCTCTAACATCGAACAGCGCCAGTACAGGGAAGCTGTTCAGATAGGTAAGAGATGTTTCTGTTACTTCCTTGTGATCCCAGAGCTTGAGGATTCTCAGTACAGAAAAAGGTCCTTCATCTCTGGCGGCTTGATGCCAAGCTCTGATGAGACGATCGCTAATTCCGCTCTGAGCTCCGTCCCTCGAGGTATGAACGATTTCAAGGATGCATAGATTTTTGACACTTGACAGCTTCACGAGTTGGGGGACCGAGAACGCCGTTGTGAGACTTATGGAAGCAAGGAAGTCAAAGTTGGAAGAGGTTAGTGTGGTCGTATACGTTTGGAGGGACATCCGGGGTGAAGGAATGACATGACGAAATCTCAGGAGACTGAGCGGTGTATTATTCTCAGCACGTAATACTTTGGAGAAGATCTCCCAAACACAGAAGGGAATGACGTATCTGCAAAACAACATTAGCAGCACTCAATTGTTGAATCTGGGAGAATGAACAGCTCACCTTTCACTGGCCAGAATCCAAATTCGGAGGACCAGTTTCTTGGGTAAGCAGTCAACGCCCTCGAAGGTGACATCCACCAGATTTTCCAATATCGTCTCGATAGCAGCATCTACCAGAGAACGAGTACCTTTTCGAGGACGAGGTTGGTGCTTGATCGACTTGAGGGACATACGATGTGGCCTTGTCCAATTACGCGCTTCACTGCTTCGTGTTGAGATTGTCGTTTCGGTGTACATTTGGCCTGAGGATTCGTCGAACTTGAGAAGACCAGCTCCTGGTGGTGCCACTGGTCCTGGATCACAGCCATGGCGAGACCTTTTGAGAACGAGTCGGTGCTTAGAGAGAAGCCACTTCATCATGAGCTTCAATTCGTGGTGGGGATGTTGATGTTGGGGCTGGCGGTGTTCCTGGCGGGAGGAGAAAACCAAACTCAAACAAACGCGCTCAATCGCGCGGATATCGAATATCGCGTCAATTGTCCATACCATACTGTGAGCTTGTCTCCCTTTGCCTACCTACCTTCGATACCTAGGCAGGCAAAGGTAGGCAAGTCAGGTACGCGACCTCGAGCCGCGTGATACCGAGAAGGGATGGGTGGACGCGCTTCTCGCTATCGATAAGGCAACAATCAGCTCAGCACAGATTGCCGAGCAATAGCACCTGGGAGTCTGGGACAGGGACGGGCACAGGGGCGGGGGCGAGGGCGAGGGCGGGCGGGGCTAAATTGAGGCAGTTCTCTCACCCCTCTCCACACCCGCACCGCAACCTTCGAGGACAACACCACATCACATCACATCACATCACATCACATCACATCACATCACATCACATCACACGACTTCGCCTATCGATACTCTCCAACATGATCGAAAGATCTCAGTGAGCGAGCTGGCTCGTCATTAAATATGTTTAGAAAGCCCACCAGCTTGCTTTCATGCAACAACTCACATTCTCTCCAGGCCTTCCCAGCTTCAAAGACGTCATCATTTCATACCAAGGCCAAAAAGAGCCATCTGCAGAGACAACAATGTCGCTCATATACAATGGTATCCGACGGCCATAGTCGTCATGACCACGGAAAGCTTCGTTGGCCAGAGATGAAAACCACTAATACTCCTACGCCTTACCAGATCTTCGACCAAAGAAAAGGCTCCCCTTACTCAAAACAGAGGTTCTACGAGCTTGTCAAGTTGTACCATCCTGATCGACACGACCATGATATTGCAAGCCACGGGCTATCATATGCAACCAAGCTGGAGAGATACAGACTTGTGGTTGCTGCCAACGATATTCTTTCGGATCCCATAAAACGAAGTGCCTATGATTATTACGGAGCAGGATGGAACGGCGCACCGGATGTTGTCAAGCCTCGAGATGTGTCAGACCCATCCAATGGCTGGGGAAGCTACACTGGCAGGGGATGGGGAGGTGGTCGTGAAGGACCTAGCCAAAATGCGACTTGGGAAGACTGGGAACGCTGGTATCAGAGAGATGCCAAGGGACCACAAGAGCCGCGATATGTCTCGAACAGTGCATTTGTTGGCCTGATAGTTGTCTTCGCCTTCATTGGTGGCATCGGACAAGTTACACGCGCTGGAAGTTATGGCATGAGCTTCGTGGAGCAACGAGATGCATTGCACAACAACATCTCCAAGGATCTCATTCGGAGGAGGAAAGAGGCCACAACTGCTTTTGGCAGCAGAGAGGAGAGGATTGACAGCTTTCTGAGGCACAGGGACCCTGTAGGTTATGGAATTGTCGACCCGAAGGAGGAAAGCTATAGAAAGGTGTTGCCTGCGCCTCAAATTTGCTCAAGTGAGGACATCAAGCAGCGGCCAGTATATATTTATCAGCAGAAGAACAAACCCTCCAGCAAAGCCAGCTAGTGTGGATGGCTGCCTGGAAGCTAAAACGGTACCTGAGTCGACTTCAGAGAGCTTCAATGGATCGCAAGTGCCTCTGGGTACGTACCTGGTTAGATGTAACGGAGAAACAGAGCGAGGAACAGAGACGTCTTGGAACGTTATCAAGGAGAAACACTGTCCCGTCTTGGCCAAGTCATCTTGGATGTAGGCTCGACAGGTTCGTGCTGTAGTCGAGCTGGATTTATTACCCCGCCACTAATCAGAGACCAATGGCGTACTGTACATAGCTGTTCCAATTTGTCTCATCTACTAGCCTAGAGCTGACAACTTGTGATTAATACACATGAATGAATCGTGGCATGATCTGAAATCTCCAAGCTGAAGCATGAGTCCCTATATTTTTGTACATGGCAATTCGTCGCTCACATGCTGAGAGTAGCTGTGCTTTTGAGGCATCGTCATTCCATAGTGAACTGCTCGGCCTCGGGATTGGAGCTACAACCAATCATCCTGGTGATCTAAGCCTCACATTGCCCTGCTTCGAACCGAATTTATAAATAATCGCATGCACCAGCCACATTCACATCTCTCCAAAGTGCAGACCATGTCAATTCAGAATCAAAGGCCATAACCAATTCACCACAGTGGCTCCAGCCCATCGGCTTGTCCCCTTTACCACAACTCTGCTGGTCTTCCTCACTTGTTTTCTCGTCGCTCTTCATTTCCCCGCACTACCATTTCCCTCTCCTGTGACCTCTAGAGACAATACCAATCATTGACAGCAGGATGGGCGGAAGCGATGGATATCGTGCTGTAGCGTATTTCGTCAACTGGGCCATTTATGGAAGGAAGCACAAGCCTCAGGATCTTCCTGCTGAGAAGCTCACTCATATTCTCTATGCATTCGCCAATGTGAGGCCGGACAGCGGGGAAGTGTAAGTCACTTTGCTTGTAAAGTACTCGTGAATAGTCTGATACATTTGCTGAAGCTCCATAGCTACCTTACTGATCTTTGGGCGGACAAAGACATCCATTTCGACGGAGACAATTGGGACGACGTAGGGAACAACCTCTATGGCTGCCTCAAGCAGCTCAACATTCTCAAAGGAAAGAATCGTTCTCTCAAAATGCTTCTCTCGATCGGAGGCTGGACTTACTCGTCTAACTTCGCTGTACCGGCATCTACAGCTGCTGGTCGTGAAAAGTTCGCCACTTCAGCGGTCGAGCTTCTTAAAGACTTTGGTTTTGATGGGCTAGATATCGACTGGGAATACCCCAAATCTCCTGCTGAAGCAGAGCATTTCGTCCTCCTTCTGAAAGCTTGCCGTGATGCCATGGATTCATATAGCGGCAACCTACCTCACAAGCACCACTTTGAACTCACTGTGGCGTGTCCAGCTGGGCCACAGAACTACAATATTATGGATATACGAGGAATGGACAAGTATCTTGACTTCTGGAATCTGATGGCTTACGACTATGCCGGGTCATGGGATTCTTGTGCTGGACATCAGTCGAATATCAAACCATCCGAGCACAACTCCGCTGCTACACCTTTCAATACCGAACAGGCTGTTGAGCATTACAAGCAGCAAGGTGTTTACCCATCCAAGATTGTATTGGGAATGCCTCTGTACGGACGAGCATTTCAGAATACAGAAGGCCTTGGGAAGGCGTACAGTGGCGTTGGAGAAGGCTCTTGGGAAAACGGCGTGTTTGATTACAAAGCTCTTCCTCTCCCTGGCGCGGAAGAGAAGTACGATAACGAAGCTATGGCAACCTACAGCTATGATTCCGCGAAGAAACATCTTGTTACTTACGATACGTGTCAGATGGCGAGGGAAAAGGCTCAGTGGATCAGGAAGTGCCAGCTCGGAGGGGCAATGTGGTGGGAGAGTAGTTCAGATCGGGAGGGTGAGCATAGTCTGATTGGGACTGTAATAGAAGTGCTGGATGATATGCAGACAAGGAAAAATTGTATTGAGTACCCGAACTCCAAGTTTGATAACTTGAGAAATGGATTCGCAAACTGTTGAGGTTAATGGTCAAGTAGCATTGGAAAAATATTCCCTTTCGTAGTCGAGCACGGGTCTCTAGTCAAGTTCCAGACATATGGGAGATGCTGAGCTCAGACCAAAAATGCAGTAAACATTCTTCTCATCGTCACGACTTTGTCACACCTTACCATGTAAATGAACACGCTTCAATATTACGACTAAGGAGGAACTAGTTGTGTCAGATAAGACACGTCGAATGACTAAAGAGATTCGACAAATAACTTTTGTGTCCCGGGAAATGAACGGGACCACGTGCAACATTGAGTCTGAATATTTCTCCTGGAGAAAGAACTTAGCAGCTATGGCCTAAACACATACAATATAAGCCAAAATCCACGAAAACTCAGCAATCACAGTTCCTCCACGTGCTCGATCTTCGAATTGTGTCCAAGAACAGGTTGTGCGGGATCCTCTATGTCAGCTTGATCTACAACAAGCTGCAAGTAATCGTTGACGATGAGCTTTGCCACATTCATTCCCATCAGGGCACTGGTTTCCATCGTGCTAATGAAGCTCTCAATGCCGCTAGTATAGTAAAAACCTCGCGCGAGCTCTGGGTCCTCAAAGGTGACGCGTGGGAACTCATAGGGATATGAATGCCAGACTTTGGAATAGTACCAAGTTATTGCCTCACCGGAGTCTGGGGTCACGGCGGACAGATCTTGAGGGACTGTGAGATGTCAGCATAGTGCCGCTTCATTTGTGCAGAAGTGACAAACCATGGGTGCCAAAAAGCTTGCAAAGAAAATTGGATGTCAATTTCTCGGGAGAGAAGACCTTGTAAAGGTACTCTTGCTCCGAAGTCGCTGGGTTGATAACTTGGCGAAGGGTGCTTATGCTGAAGAAACCTGGTGAGCCCACACCTTTCGTAGGATCTTCTGGAATCTCGTCCACTGGAAGAGTGGTGAGAACGGTCGTGGGGACCTCAACGCCAGGAGCGAGGTTAAAGAATGACGGGCTGAATGTCTTTTTGGTGGTGAAGAGAGTTACATGTAATGTTACGTAGGGAATCTCATCAGGTGTGTGCTTTAGAAGCCCCTTCTCAAGTTTCAGATCAGAATATTGAAGCGGAGCGGCAAGGACGACCGTATCGAACAACTCTTGACTAAGCACGGTCCGTAGGGTGGTGGAGTCCTCAGATTTTGTTTTGATGCTGTATCTGCCGTTGGTCTTTGAAATTGCGCTTACGGTAGTGTTGAGCAGAGTCGTAGTCTTCGTCGTCTTCAACATGCTATCGAAGATTTGCCAATTTCCTCCGTCAATTTGCATAGCTCCTTCGATAGCCATACAAACCATTGTTTCCAAACCGTGAATTGTAGCAATATTTTGACCATAATTGACTCGTGTACTGGCTTGAACGATATCGGTCGCAAAAGAAGCACCAATCTAATGCCGTTAGCAATTCTTATTGCTCTGTGATAGAATAGCAGCACCCACGCTATTACTAGCAAGAAGCTCCTGTCCTGTCTGTGCGGTTACGGAAATGAGATCAAGGTCAAGTGCTCTATCAGACAATGATCTAAAAGGAAAGAATGGAAACTGGTAAAGCTTCAAGAACTTGCCAACAACTATTCGCATCAGACGCTGAGTGCGATATGGAGCAAGACCATATTTCCAGAAAAGTTTAGCCAGATCCCAGTACTTCCAGCCACCCTCCTTTTGAGTATAGACGAAGGTCTTTCCATTCCAAATGCCGAGGATCTCCGTGCCGGTGCCGGATTCTTTTGCATGGAGGCCAAACTCACGGCTAGCGTTCTTAAGAATGGAATTAACTTCGACGAAAATACTTGCTCCAAGCTCCACAGGTTCCAGAGGGTTGCCATATGCATTGACAGTCGTTGTACGCCCGCCAACATAGGAATTGCGCTCAAATACGGTCACGTTGATTGCAACTTCGGACTTGTTGGCAAATCGTTCCAGGTAATATGCCGCCGAGCTTCCTGCTGCACCAGCTCCTATAAATAGGTGTCAGTATTCCTTCCGCAGAAAATCGACCGTTTGTTTGGAAACTTTAAGGATTGATATTCGGTGATGACTCCAGAAACTCGTTGGGATCTCTGCTCAAGGACAGTACTCGTAGAGTAGTATTGAACCGATTGAGAGAACTAGATTCAACTGATTTCTCAAATTGGACTATCGAAAAGTAAAAGTAAACGTAGCCCGACGAAAATTTTATAATTGTTCCTCTTACTCAAATGATAGGGCTGGACATGCTTGTGCTTTAGCTCTTGATGGACGTATCCCCTCCAATTACGGGGAGATACAAGAGGAGAAGGAGGCAGCTGAACAAAGCATTTTCGGACAAAATCTATGACATGCAATTGAGACGAGGTAGTGGACACGTACCGATTATTGCAATACGTTTGGCACCTGCATCTGAGTAAACGGTGTCGGGAGCATCGGTCGAGGCGGAAACTGTAAATGGCCAGAATCCGCGACTTTGGCGGACAAACGACGTGATAATGAGCGTCAGAACGAGGTTCCAGCCTGCGAACATTTTGAAGATGTGATACCGAGTGGAGCCCGTAGACTTCGGTCAATGACTCGGCGCATCGTCAGCCTCCTGGAAGTGGTGATGTGGAAGTTGTCAGCCTCGCCAAGGGAAAATATCGGCCGCCGTAATCTTTAACGAGAATACTTTCAACGCAGCCGCGTCGATTCGCGTCGGACACAGGAAACCGTTGACAAGTAACACTTTGGCAGCGATACGCCTCACGACCTCTAATACACAACATACCATCTCTATCTTGTGCAGCTTTCAATATGTCCGCCGCGCAGCTTCTCAACCCGAAGGCAGAGTCAAGGGTCCGTCCTCCCAGTACTACCAGAGAAAATATTTACTGACCCTAGCCAGAGAAGAGGAGAAGCTCTGAAAGTCAATATAAGTGCTGGTGAAGGTCTGCAAGATGTTTTGAAATCGAATCTGGGTCCTTTAGGGACGATAAAGATGTTCGTTTCCTCAGAGATTCATGTGTGGCCATAGCTAACAGCTTCCAGGCTTGTTGATGGTGCTGGCGCGGTACGAAAGAGCTCCCAAGAATTTACCCCTTCCTTCTACTGATATCATATCCGCAGATAAAACTGACCAAAGATGGAAATGTTCTTCTGCGAGAGATGCAGATTCAAAACCCTACGGCAGTCATGATCGCAAGAGCAGCTACGGCCCAAGACGACATCTGTGGCGATGGCACAACCAGTGTGGTTTTGTTGGTTGGTGAACTGCTGAAACAGGCGGATAGATATATCTCAGAAGGTTTACATCCTCGGATCATTACCGACGGCTACGAGATTGCGAAGACGGAGTCCTTAAAGGTAAGCTGGACGAACAATATTTTGGAATTTCAACTGAATCGCAGCGTTTCTTAGTTCCTGGACAGCTTCAAATTGGAACGTGAAGTTGATCGCGAACTCCTGCTATGTGTTGCGCGCACATCCCTCTCTACCAAGCTCAACCACACACTTGCTGAAAAGCTTACCCCTGATATTGTCGATGCTGTTCTGGCTATCTACCAAGCCCCAGCAAAGCCCGATTTACATATGATCGAGATCATGAAGATGCAACACAGAACAGCCTCAGAAACCCAGCTCATCCGAGGTCTTGCATTGGACCATGGCGCAAGACATCCTGATATGCCAAAAAGGGTCGAAAATGCATTCATTCTGAGTTTGAATGTGAGCTTAGAGTATGAGAAGTCTGAAATTAACTCGGGGTTCTACTATTCAAGCGCGGAGCAACGGGACAAGCTAGTTGAAAGTGAACGTCGATTTGTGGATGAGAAGCTTCGAAAGATTGTTGAATTGAAGAAGGAGGTTTGTGGTAACGACCCAAAGAAGGGTTTCGTTATCATCAACCAGAAAGGAATCGACCCCTTGTCTCTTGATGTTCTCGTCAAGAATGGCATATTTGCTCTGAGACGAGCCAAGAGACGTAACATGGAGAGATTGCAGCTGATCTGTGGAGGTACTGCTCAGAACAGTGTCGACGATCTGTCTCCGGAGGTGTTGGGATGGGCAGGAAATGTTTACGAGCACCAACTCGGTGAAGAGAAGTACACATTCATCGAGGATGTGAAGGACCCGAAATCGGTGACGATTCTCATCAAAGGCCCAAATCAACATACCATCACTCAGATTTCCGACGCCGTTCGAGATGGTCTTCGCAGTGTTTACAACATGATTGTGGATAAGAGTGTTGTTCCGGGTGCGGGAGCTTTCCAAGTAGCATTGGCAGCCCACTTGAACAGTGAGGCTTTCCGCAAGACTGTCAAGGGTAAGGCGAAGTGGGGCGTGCAGGCGTTCGCCGACGCTATGCTGATCATCCCCAAGACACTTGCTGCAAATGCTGGTCACGACACTCAGGACGCACGTAGGTTTGCCGGATTGCTTTTCAATAGCAGGAGCTAACATGACCAACAGTCGCCAGCTTACAAGATGAGCAAGCAGAAGGAAACATCGTTGGACTAGATTTGACTTCAGGCGAACCAATGGATCCGGTTCTTGAAGGAGTGTACGATTCATTCCGTGTTCTCAGAAATGCAATGGCGTCCAGTTCCGGAATCGCATCCAACCTTCTTCTATGCGACGAGATGCTCAAAGCTAGACAGATGGGCAGACAAGGTGGGCCTGGACCAGGAATGGACGACTAGTGGAGATCAGAGTGGTCGTTCTTAGATGGGACATCTGTCATGAAAAATGTTTCTCTTGGCGCATTTCCATATAACATTGCAGATGTACAGTACCGCACTTATCCATTTGGCAAAACCATCAGAGGCGTTTGTTTGTATTGGACGATAGATAGCGTCCGAGGTCCTAGTAAAGATCAGATGGGATAACCTGTGGCTCATTACCAGATAGTAATACATGTACTTCGGTGCCCATTCCGCCAAGCAAGGTCTGGACTGGCTACTGCGGCTTTCATGGGCAGGCGGCATCCCAAGATCCTTTCCAATATTTATCCGCTCCAGTAGCACAACTTGCCTAAATGGTACTTATAAGGCTTCGCTGCTAGAGCAAGCCGCCAAGTGTAAGTAATGTAGCAGTGCCTTGTGGGAGCTGCGACAGCGTTTGTGGAGAAACGGTGGAAAATAGACCTATCTAGGTAGGTCTCTCCAATCCCGTCTCAACATGCATAAGTTGTAGCAGCCATGGCTGGGTACTGACTCCTGAGAAACCCTGTTTCGGACAGAGCGCAGAGCACAAATGGGGGGCATCAGATTCATTTGAGCATCTTGTAGCTCATCCAGGTACCATAGGCGCAGCGCAGACTGAACTGGTATAATGAAATGATTAACATAAGCTGGTATACATATTGATGCATATCGGTGCGTATCGGTGCGTATTACATAGTGAGGTGAAGCCGGGTGGCCCAGCGTCCCGCGACCCCTTGCTTTAAGCGCATTGGGAAAGCCAAGCCAGAGGGTCACCACTTCGCTCGTGGCCTATAGACTTTCGGACACTCTTCTACGTATCCTTTCTGTTCACCTGTTATCACTGTTCCTTCCGACCTTCAATCTCTGTGTTGTCTGAGCTGCCGCGCAGATCATATATTGTCGAGCTCTCCAAATGCTCCATTCGGTTTCTCCAGCTGTTCACGTATGAGCTGTGTCGTGTGCCAGCTAGCATAACCTGCCCGCCCCCTCCTGGGGCTACGAAGCAATTTCGAGATGCTACGACTTCGACGCTACCGGGTGTTCCTCGTCTTTGCAGTTCTATTCGTTCTCTTCATTTTCCATTTGAGGAGAACGAGCGATTGGTCGCATCCCGCGCACATTCAAGATTATGATTCTCCTCAACACCAGCAGCCTGCACACGACAATGTCGGCACATCCCCAGCCAAAACACCTCCGCCTGGAGTAACCAAGGAGAGCTCCAAGGAAGCTCTTCTCCACTCATCTACGCAGATTCTAGCCTCCAAAAATGTCCCGACCACCTTGAGTGCAGCTCTTGCAAAGTCCCCGACTGTGAAACCCCAAGAACCAGTACCGCAGGTGGTCTTACCAGATAGAAAGCCAGTGCCACCGACAAAGGTCAATGGGTTTGAGGTGGAAGATGACATTCATGCGGTCTCTCCACCAGGGAGACAGGAATACCCTACCTTCTCCGCAGAAGCGGTTCCAACTATACACTGGGAGAAGCAGAAAGAGCATTTCCCAGTAGCTGCAGCATCTCTCATCCAACTGCCAACAGGAGCACCTATCAAGATACCAAGAATTCAACACAAGTTCAACGACGAGACTCCAGACGCTAAGATAAATCGGGAGAAACGGCAATGGAAGGTTAAGGACGAATTCAAGAAGGCATGGACAGGCTACAGGTCAAAGGCATGGCTCCACGACGAGCTATCACCAGTTTCGGGAAAGTTTCGTGATCCTTTCTGTGGCTGGGCAGCAACTTTGGTTGATACATTGGATACACTATGGATAATGGGTTTGCATGATGAGTTTGAAGAAGCGGCAAAAGCCGTGGATTTAATTGACTTTACTACCAGCCCAAGAGGTGATATTCCGATGTTCGAAACAACCATCAGATATCTAGGTGGCCTCGTAGCGGCCTACGATGTTAGCGGTGCTAAGTACAAGAATTTGCTGGACAAAGCTGTGGAACTAGCCGAGATATTAATAGGAGCTTTCGATACACCAAACAGGATGCCAGTGTTATATTACCACTGGATGCCAACCTTTGCATCCCAGCCTCATCGAGCCAGTACTCGTTCAAATCTAGCAGAGCTTGGATCCTTGTCCATGGAATTCACAAGGCTGGCCCAATTAACTCAGGAACCGAAGTACTACGATGCTGTGGCTCGAGTTACAAATGCATTAGCTGATTTCCAAAATCGGGGAACAAAACTCGACGGAGTCTTCCCTGATAATATCGATGCTTCAGGTTGTAATCGGACTATGCCATCTTTGCCGCAATTGCCGGTAGCTGTCATGACACAAGAACGTCCAATTTCCACAGAACCTCCAGTTGGATACCAACCTCTCAGCCCTGATCCGGTTCCTGAGCCTGTTCCCAAAAAGGCTAGCCCCAAAGATGAACCATTTGGACCTGGTACTCTCGAGGTACAGGTATCACCAGGCGAGGCGAGTAAAGCCCGTATCGTCGGCTGGGACGAGTCAAATGCTTTCGGAAGCTCCAAGCGCAAGAGAAACGCTGTGGGAGAAGTACCGGCTGGAAATAGAACCTCCCCCACGCCTACTGTCGATTCCGTCACTGGGTTGCCCCTCGACATCCCTGCGGCAAAAGCGAAGATAGGTGCTGGTGTTGGTGATTGGGACTGCGTAGAACAAGGACTTGAATCATACACGTCAAAGTATGGTATTGATAAATTCTCCATGGGTGGCGGACAAGACTCAACCTACGAGTACTTTCCCAAGGTACGGCCCCTCACTGATCTCACATAAACTGAAACTGATAATTGAAAGCAATACCTACTTCTTGGTGGCCGCGAGGACACTTACCGCAAAATGTATATCAAGACTGTTGATGCCATACGGAAGTGGATGCTTTATCGCCCCATGCTTCCAGATAACAACGATATTCTCTTTTCAGGATCTGTTACAACATACGGCGACCCTGCCACGGATCTTACTTTGGCTGCAGAAGTGGAACATTTGACCTGTTTCATTGGTGGGATGATCGGTATGGGAGCACAGATCTTCGGAATTGATGGTGATCTTGAGCTTGCCAAAAAGCTTGCTGATGGATGTGTCTGGGCATATGGAGCCACGAAGACTGGAATCATGCCAGAAGGTGCGGTCGTTATTCCTTGCAAAAGTACTGAGCATTGCCTCTGGAATGAGACAATCTACCAGGAATACCTGGACCCTCTAGGCTACCAGAGAGACAAGAATGTTGCTGAGTATGAAGTAAATAAGAAGAACCGGGAGGCAGAGTCGGAAGCTGCGAAGCAACAACCACCTGTCTCCCAGCAACCTCTAGATGAGATTCTACCGCCTGAAGGCGCTGGGCACGTCTTCAATTCGTCCGATCCCGCCAGAGATACTGATTCTGTGGAGAAAACCGCTCCAGTTTCATTGCAGAAGCGTCAGACTTCTCTCAAGGATGATTTGCCACCGCCGGTGACCCACAGTTCCAAAGATGACACTTCTGCGGTCAAAGGAGACGCTGCAAAGGTGCAGACTGTTCCTGCATCAGTCCCCAAGACTTTGACACCCGATGAGATGTATTACGAGGCGAAGTCTAATGTCGCGGAATCTGAATTAGAGAACATAGCGACCACTGCCGGCCATCAACTTGAAAAGCCTGTCACAGACGGCCAGTCTCCAGTTGCACCAGGCGAAGGCAACATAATAGGTCCTTTGATAGATCCCATGAGACCCCTCACCCACAAAGAATATGTGTCGCAACGGATAACTCAAGAGGGTCTCCCCCCTGGATTCGTGTCTTTCAAGTCCAAGAAGTACATCTTGAGGTAAGCCGCACACCTGACCTGCTACGAGCTATGCTAAATAAGATCTAGACCGGAAGCAATCGAATCAGTGTGGTACATGTACCGTATTACTGGCGATTCGACCTGGCAAGATAAGGGATGGGAGATGTTCAAGGCAATCATAAACGCCACATCGACGGAACATGGCCATTCAGCAATATATGATGTAACCTTGGATGACCCTGTTCAGGTTGATGAGATGGAGAGCTTCTGGCTGGCAGAAACTCTCAAGTACTTCTACCTGCTCTACTCAACACCGGACACGATCAGTTTGGATGACTGGGTTTTGAATACGGAAGCTCATCCATTCAGAAGGCCGATTGGAGTCTAAAATGCTGTGATTGTACGCTAGCGAAAGCTTACCATTTTTTGGTTTGGAAACTTTGCATAGGAGTTCTGGTTAGAGCTGCTTGTCTTGATCGCCCAGCGTGGCTGGCAAGCATTGAAGGTTTGAAACCCAAGCATGTACCGGGCGTTCGGAGCATAAATTCCACATAGAGACTACTTTGAGGCTTTCGAATGTAAAATCCATTTCTCGTTTCACTAAATTCGCCTGAATGTCATAATCCCTTACTCGGACTCAAAAATGTCCAAGTGGGCTTAAAAGATCTGCCCTCCTGACCCCTTGAAGAAATCCCAACAGCCCATAAGAGTACTCGATGTCAATTCAAGCGAAATATGAGTACCGGCACTGTGATATACAGAAATTTAATTTGACAAAAATACTGATACTCCATCGGCTCTCATATACGTGGATGTTGGTAATGCTTCTTCCCAAAACTCCCCTCCTCAAGCTCTCTCAAGATCTTCTCGTTATGAGCTCCAACCCTCGGCACGGGCCCAATGATTGGATCGACGTTACTCGGAATAGCTGGCGGAATACTAACTCTCATCTTCCCCATCTCCGTTCTAATCTCGGTCCACCTTTTTCGCTCTTGCAGCTGCGGATGGTGCCACACAGCTTTCATGTCATTGACCTTAGCATTCCCAATTGCCGCAGCATCAAGTCTCTGCACTACTTCATCGGTATTCATGCTTGCGAACACGTCTTCGACGATCTTTTTGAGTTCCGCTCTGTTTTCTGATCGAGCGTTGGAGCCCGCGAAGCGAGGATCCGTTGTGAGGGATGGTTTCTCGAGGACTTTGGTGCAGAAGCTGGCCCATTCTCGCTCGTTTTGTAGGCCGAGCATTACAGTTCCGTCTTTTGCTTCGAAAGGACCGTAGGGGTAGATACTGGCGTGTGAGGCGCCTGCTCTTGGTGGTGGACTGGCTCCATCGTATGCATAATATAGCGGGAAGCCCATCCATTCAACCATGCACTGATGAAGTGTCAGTAGTTATCAGGTACCTCACCGAGTGTTAAAAGTTTCGGGCTAGGAGAGGATGCATGTCATACTAAATATGTGAGAAATTCGGGGAACCATGACTTACCTCTAACATGCTGACATCAATTTTGCACCCCTTCCCTGACTTGGCTCGCACCAGCAACGCAGCCATGATATTGCTATAAGCATACATGCCTGCGGCTATGTCTGCGATAGATGCACCCATTTTTGAAGGCGTGACTTCTGTCCCAGTCACACTGAGTACACCGGCCTCTGCTTGAATAAGCAAATCATAAGCCTTTCTATTCTTGTAGGGCCCATCGGCTCCATAACCAGAAATATCACACACAATCAGTCTCTCATTCGTCTTGCGCAACTCTTCATAGCTCAGTCCCAACCGATGAGCAGCTCCTGGGGCGAGATTCTGCAGGAAGACATCCGCTTTAGTTATCAGCCTCTTTAGCAAAGTTATATCTTCCTCTTTCTTGATATCCAGCGCAAGACTTTGTTTTGAGCGATTCGTCCACGCGAAGTGAGAAGACAGCCCAGCAGCTCGGCTGTCATAAGATCGTGCAAAGTCACCTTTTCCGGGCCGTTCAATTTTAACTACTCGAGCTCCCATCTCAGCTAGTTGGCGAGTGCAATATGGACCGGCTATCACCTGCTCAAGAGCAATAACTGTGATACCATCTAAAGGTCTCGGTCTCTGCTGCTGTGCGGTGCTGGTAGGTGGTGTCTGTTTTTCTGATTGTCGAACATTCTGCTGCGAGCGATTCTCATAGATGAAATGTTTGTTTCTCTGTGGATCCTTCTCGCCTTGATTTGATTTTGACACCGAGGTCGAATAGGTGTGCCGCCATGGCGACGGGCGCTTTGTTGACGCTGCTACACGGGAGCCGAAATTCCACTTTCCGCTAGCGAATTGCTGAAAACTCGCAATACTCTTGTTGGAATGCATAATGAGAAATGTACTAATATAATCTTGTACGATGGAGCATGATGTACGGATGTGTGTACGGATGGAGAGAGCACCGCTGTGCTTGAACGTGACCCCTCTTTGCTTGCCCCCGAGGCATTACCGTGGCTACCTACCCCGCGATTAGGAGTGCGATCACATGTTTGCCATGGGAAAGGATCGGAACAGGTACTTCCTCTAATTAAGTCGTGGCCTGTCCAAATGATCCGGGCATGATGATGCGTTTAGTTCTTCAGGACCTTCCCTTCGAAGCGGCCTTTGCAATTGCTTGTATGCCAAGCGTTCGTACTATCTCCTTGGGACAGGTCAACCTTCACATAGTAAGTGGAACAGCAAGTCTTACTTGCCTTTGAGTGGACAAATAAATGAATGCAGGGAACACCTAAGACAACGAACAAAGTGGCCTCAAAGATTGCTCGTCATTCGTTTCTTTTGCCCTCCGCCATCCCTAAAGAATTATGCATTCGCCTTAAAGCTCATATTGGTACAATTCTCCGAAGACATCATGGAATACATTCATCAGATCCTACTTTCCTTTTGGTAGAACCTCCCGAATATCCTCAAACTTAACGTTCCCATCACGACTGACCTCCGCATAATGAAAGCCCGTAGGTACATCGGTGAACTGCTTTGTTAATTCTTCGCTCCTTTTTGGCTGTCTGGCCAACGTGACAGCTGACTGTGCTGCTCCGGCTGGACTATCAGCAATTTCATCGATGTCCCTAGCAGTCAACACTTCACTGATCCGTGTTGCTCTCGAAGATAGCAAGATTGTCGTTGGACCTTGAAATTTTAAGAACAACCGATCGCCCCATATTGTTCTCCTCGCCGAAGTCCGCAGGTTGAAGAGAAGATTCGTCAATCCTCTCCAAGTGTTTGTCTCTCTCATCACACGGAAGAATTTGATATCTGGTACCAAGTATCCGAGTCCTAGACTTGGAACTTGGAATCGAAGACTTGATGATTTAAGTCGGTATGGTAGTGGTGGGTGGGGTGTGATCGTGTATGCAACGACATTTCCTGGATGAGCCACATACTCTTCCCCTGCTTCTAATTTGATTTGGTAGATCTGTCCAAGCCCAGCTAGGGCTACGAGACCCCGCCCTGTGATTTCTGATTTGCCCCAATGAGCCAGGCTCATTCCCCTGTTGACTGTAGGCGTGACTGAAAGCGTATGTCCTGTCCAAGCTAGCAATGCCTTCCTTTGCGCCACTATCCAGTCTATGGTCCCGTTAAGATGTAACACAGTGAACGAAGTGAGGGGTGATTTGGTCGAAATTAAGACCGTGAGTGGACTCGTAGAAGAGACTCTTTGATATAGGAAAGGAATGCCGAGGGCGCCTCGCCGGAAGGGTTCCAGAATGGACAATGTCGATTGGGCCTGATAGCAGTCAGCAACAGCTCTACGGCCAGTACTTAGCTCTGCTCACGTTTTCTGCCTTCCCACTGACTCCAACTAAGGTACCTCTCCTAGTGTAGAGCTTCTGGGAAGCTGATAAAGAAACAGATAAAAGAGAATATGGCGCCCCTAATACTTCGAACCGAGCATCTGGACCAGCCAACATATCAGCAAGGCTCTTCCAAGTAAAAGAATGTCCCTCCACTTACCTGCCGAATCTGTAGAGGCATCAATTGCGTTACTGAGAACATCTCCAGTCAGTATTGGCGACTCTGTTGTTGGTGTCGCGCCGATCTGAATCCCTCGGCGGCCGTGTCCCCCATTGCAAGGTCTCTGGAGCTGCTGGAAGCCTCTGGTAGCTTTTCCCAGCGCAGTTCGACCACGCATCGTTGCTGTCGAATTGCTGGATGCAATTTGCTAATGCGCTGGAATCGCTTCTTGATGGATTGGACTCATTGATCTGCCTCAGGCGAGAAAGCAAGGGCAGCTGCAGCGTACCGCGCTGTCACGTTGATGGCGCAATAGCTCGGAATCTCGCAGCACGACCCAGAGAGCGCAGAGCTTCGTTTGCTCCTCGGACAAATTGAATCCCCCAGTCTCTTCTGCTTCGCTGCGATCATTGCTGCTTGGAAGTGGCAGCTTGCAGCAAAGTAAAAGAACACACCTTCTGCGATCGAAAAGCAGCTCCTCGCCACTACCCCTACATCTTCATCTCGCAACAAAACGATGTGGGGAAGCACATGAAGCTGAAGCAGGGGCGATCGAAGAGCTTCAATCGCAGTGAGGATGATTGTCCGGAATCTCCACAAAGCTTCGTGCTGGAGCGCGCGAGTGTCAGTACGGCCACAGTCATGGAAACAACCTGGAATTGGACTGCGAGTTATCACCAGCACGAATCACTTCTCCGAGGCTGGCCAGAAAGCTACAGTCATTCAGAGCCACGCTCTTCGACAGCCACGAGTTGCAGATGATGTGCCTGGAACGAAGCCAGAAACCGCCCAGAAGCCAGCTGCAGCAGTTCCAGGACGCAAAGACCCTCTTGCGCTGGATGATAAGACGAATAAGGAACAACGGAAAGCAGATTGGGCTATTATGAAGGAGATGGCAAAGTACTTGTGGCCGAAAGACAATCTTGGGACACGGTTTCGGGTGGGACTCTCTTTGGCACTGCTCGTTGGTGCCAAAGTGTTGAATGTCCAAGTGCCGTTCTACTTCAAGAGCATTGTTGATTCAATGAACGTCGATTTTGTGGCCGTTGGAGGCACGGCTGCTACTGTCGCTGGGTCGATGATCTTTGCGTATGGCATGACCCGAATCGGAGCTACGATTTTCCAGGAAGTAAGGAATGCGGTGTTTGCGAGCGTTGCTCAAAAAGCTATCCGAAGGGTAGCTTGCAATGTGTTTGGTCACTTATTGCGGTTGGACCTAAATTTCCATCTAACAAAGCAGACGGGTGGGCTGACCAGAGCCATTGACCGAGGTACAAAGGGAATCAGTTTCCTTCTCACTTCAATGGTATTTCACATCCTACCTACAGCTTTAGAGATCAGTATGGTCTGTGGTATTCTCACCTACCAATACGGTGCGAAGTTTGCCGCCATTACAGCATTGACAATGGTTGGCTACACAGCCTTCACGATTTGGACAACCGCCTGGCGAACCAAGTTCAGGAGAGCCGCGAATGCAGCAGATAATAAAGGTTCCACGGTCGCAGTCGACTCCTTGATCAACTACGAAGCCGTCAAATACTTCAACAATGAGAAGTTCGAGGTTGGCAGGTACGACCAGGCTTTGAAGGAGTATGAGGAATCGTCCATCAAAGTTGCAACATCACTGGCATTTCTCAATTCGGGACAAAACCTGATATTCTCAAGTGCCTTAACCGCTATGATGTATCTAGCAGCGGATGGAGTTGCAACTGGGAACTTGACTGTTGGTGACCTGGTGATGGTCAACCAACTTGTTTTCCAACTTTCAGTACCACTGAATTTTCTCGGCTCGGTTTACCGAGAACTTCGTCAATCTCTCTTGGACATGGAGACCCTCTTCAACCTTCAGAAGGTTAATGTCGCAATTAAAGAGCCTCCGAATGCAAAGTCGCTCCAACTTACGAAGGGGGGCGAGATCACTTTTGAGAATGTGACATTCGGATACCACCCAGACCGGCCAATTCTCAGAAACCTGAGTTTGACCATCCCAGCTGGAAAGAAGATTGCTATAGTCGGACCTAGTGGATGTGGCAAGTCAACAATCTTGCGACTCCTCTTCCGTTTCTACGACATCCAAGAGGGCAGAATTCTCATTGATGGCCAAGACATCCGCGATGTGAGCTTAGATTCTTTGAGAACGGCGATTGGTGTTGTACCACAGGACACACCGCTATTCAACGACACTATCGAGCACAATATCAGATATGGTGATCTTAGTGTATCTCCTGAGAAAGTCTTAGCTGCAGCCCAGCGAGCAAAGATTCACGACATCGTGTCAGCATTTCCGGATGGGTACAAGACCATGGTAGGAGAGCGTGGTATGATGATCTCGGGAGGCGAGAAGCAACGTTTGGCGGTCTCAAGATTGATCTTAAAGGATCCGCCATTACTTTTCTTCGACGAAGCTACCTCGGCCTTGGACACTCATACTGAGCAGGCTCTGATGCAGAATATCAACAGCATCTTAAAGGACAAGGCAAGGACCAGTGTGTTCGTTGCCCATCGTTTGAGGACTATCTATGACAGTGATAAGATCATTGTCCTCAAAGAAGGTCAGGTGGCTGAAACTGGTACACATCGTGAGCTCATTGATACTGGCGGCGTGTACTCGGAGCTCTGGAGTGGTATGTGTACATTCCCTTACGAAATCTACCTGTATTCTGACAAAAGTCTGCAGCTCAAGAAACCCTATTTGATGACGATGGGGAGCAAAAGGAAATAGAATTTAACGATGTCGAGATTGGCGAGGATTCGAAGGATCGGCCAGTGTCGTGAATACCTAGCAAACTTTTCGGCGGAGGCTTCAGCATTCAGACAAGTGGTCTATGTCAGGAGTCTCAGTATGTTGTAGTTCCACTCCAGTTTATACCCGCAGTTACGAACTATGGTGATTTACAGCTGTAAATGCTGTGATGCAACAATAGGTAAAGTCCTGTATCGATATCCATAGAGTAGAAGCCGTCACTCAGCCGGGTGCAGGGACGAATTTAGATCTAAATTGCATGTGCACTCCATGTCCCAGCCGCGTGCCGAGAATTGGGCTGATTGCTCCTCATCAAAGAGGATCCCTCGATCACAAGCAAGTATCTTTCGTCCCATCAATCCTGCTTCCCGCGAATAAGTATATCGTATTGGCAAACTCTGGTAGAACGGCATAGACCACGGGATATGCAGAGTTCTAAGCCTGAATAGCTACACGCTCCAAATGTGAGGCATATATAGATACAGAGTAGAGTAACACTACCGCAAACCAATTAGAAGCACGGCCGTCGAGACAACGCATCGAATCTTCACAAGTTGTTTGGAAGTTCTGCTGCACCTACATGCACAGAGAGTTTTCGATATCCGTGCCTCTGATTGTGAAATAGGACAAACTCATAGCATGCTGCTACGAAGATCGGAACAAAGATATGGTACAACCCTTACACGAGGACAGGATGAGCGTATGAATCATTATGCAGATATTGTTCATCCTGCCGTTGTGTCTTGGTGGACTGACGGATCAGGGATCGATGTCCAGAGGCAATTGCATAGAAGACTCTTTATAATACAGATGTCCTCCAGTAGTTTAAAGACTTCGCCGGTGTCGAGGTACAATAATGCATCTCAATGTTCCAGCATAAGCATAAGCATCAGCTCGAGCTCCTCTCAAGCCACCACGTTTCTCGAAGCCATCATCGGGCCACGCCGGCTGGCGCCAAGTCCAGGCACGCCAATGACACGGTGTTCCGGGGTTTCTAGGCTCGCTTCTAGCCTGGAGAAGAAAACTGAGGGGGCAGGGGGGCGACGGGGGGAATGGAAAGTGGAAACCGTCTATCGGGACGGCACCCTACAGTACTGTAGTATCCTATCGAGCTACGAGTATCCTATGATTCCTATGATCCTATCCTATCGTGTCTGAGCGGCCCGTGTCAGGCCCGTGTGCTTTGACGCATCCAGTGTAGAGTCCGAGGTTTGGCGGCCCCAGATAGGCGGGTCGGTCGATTCGGTTGCTTGCCCTGGGCGTGGACAGGGGCTCGAAGGGGCACATCCCAGACATCCCAGACATCCCAGCGTATCTGCGGACGCTGGCAGCTCTTCAGGCTTCAGCACCCTTTAGCCTGCAGATTTTACTCCACCCGACGGGCTTGGTTAGGGACTACGGAGGCAATACTCTAATAATCGGCTAATAAATTGCTTTCCTGTACTGTAACTCTAGGATCACAGCGGAATGGTGGGCTGGCTGGGGTCGTCTGGCTGTTTTGGGCGTGCCCAGCGAGCCGGCCGGCCCAAACCCAGCATCGCGACAAGGAGTATGGGCTGGGACCATGCTTATCGTCAGAAACTTCCTCTGTTTGTCTGTCTCTACTTTACTTATACTAGTCGTCTCTACACTTCGGACGAGCTTTCACAGTTTGTACCTCTTGGAAGAATCAGCAGCACTCAATTGATCGAAAGCGGATTATGCAACAGCTCCTTGATCTCACAATAAACAGCGCCTAGCCATCCGATATTTCGAAGTCCTCTGAATCGATCCACCTTGGAGCAAACTGAGCCGTCTAAGAGGGGTACTAAGAGCAGAAAGGAGTAAACGACAATCATTCAAGAGAAGCCTGTAACACACCTTGCGAAAGCGATCGATTCCATACTGCGAACCTCATATTCATCCTTCCAATCCTCGGTTCAACACTTTCGTCACCCCACCCCACCCTTCACTCCAACCAACCATGAATCTTATCGACCTGATCAATTCCAAACTGGAGCTCTTTCGGCTCGAACAGCGGTACACACGCAGACGTAACCGCCGCAGCACATTCGTTTCCGAAGCTCAATACGTGGACGGAGAATACATCTACTCTCCCACATCTCAACACTCTGTGAAGTGCAGTGCAGCTGGGAGCAGCGACAGCGAGGAGGTAACAGGAGTAGCCAGCAAAGAGGCCAAGAGCAGTAGGCGGATGAGCAAGATGGGACTCGACAAGATGGACTGGCGCAAAGGGAGGGATGGGAAGAGACAGAGCCGGGTGCACGTACGAGAAGTAAAGTGGGATGAGGGTGTGCGCAGTTGAGGTGTTTGTTCTCTATGATATGTCAATTGCAGGTGTGCGTTGGAATGGATCGTGGTCTTGTTGGCTGCATGCGTGCATATTGTTGCGATACCTCGTGAGCGGTCTTTATGTCTTTATGATTTCTGGGGAGGATGAGATGGGAGTTTCTTGTATATGGCTTTTTTCATTTCCTTTGTTGTTTCAAAATCCATCTTGAAGCTGTAATCAGATGGCAGATTTAGAAGTTCAAGATGTTATCCAGATCATGCATGCCAGGCAAATGGAACTGGCCGTTAACTTTGGGTTTCTGCCAGCATTTCCCTGATATATCGTGTTTCCAAAATGCCCGCGACTTTCAAGTTCGTGGTTGCCAACCAAACCCTGGCAAATACCTGTTATTTTTGCTATATTTTTCTTTCATTCGTCATACCGATATGACCAGAACGAATTGTCTGCTCTCTTGTTCCTGTGGCCAAAGCGAAAGTGTCACCCAGAGGCTTCTCAAATTGAGGAAAAAGATAAAGGCGACAGTCCTGACGCATAAGCCAGCCATGCTGACAATTTACATTACGCTACTAGATAAGAAGTCCTGAAGTGGAAGTCAGGCTTTTACGAGCACGCGCAACTATAAGTACAGAGCACATTGTCAAGTTGTACAAGGGGTATTATGAGCACGTTAGACCATGGACCGTTGTATGAGACTACAGACCGGACTTGGACATACCGGGCAGCTAAGCCTTTGGCAGGCAACAGTAACAACAACAACATTGCGAATGGAGATGAAAGCACCGGTACCAGTAAAAATCTTGATCCTCATCCTTACGACCACACCCTGACCTTCAGAAAACCGTGGCTTAGCACGGATCTACATGGAAGCATGTAGAATAGCGATTCAAAGCAATGTGCCGCTGAACCAAAGCGGTCATGGGACAGCGACAGTATCAAGCTTCCTAAAGAGCAACTTCGGAGAATTTTTGTGGTGCGCATCAGCCGCCTTCAAATATCGGTTTGCAACCACTGACATGCACAACCTTGTCCCTCTTCGTCACTTTGACACTTTGACATAAGACCAGAAAATAACGGACCTTGATTAGACATCTTAAAGCCAAAATCTCAGTTTCGTTCGCGGGCTTCGGTCTCGACGAATATTGACGATTTCCGGCTCTCAATTTAGCAGATTTTGTCTCTCATGTGCACGCCCGGGGGATATTGACACTTGGAGAAAGCCTCGTTGGATCGCTCAATCACAATGGCCTGCTACTCCACGCTTCCGACCGCCCGTTCGTGCCTCCATTTCTCTCTGGATCTTCCAAAGAGTACTAGGTTGGCTGACACGGGTTATCGCATGAGCAAATGTACAGCTCTTACCCAGCCGTAGGACTGGAGTTCAAACCAGGGCTTGGGCTGTAGGAGCCGTCATGTACTGCCTCGTTGTGGGCAAACTCAAGACTGCACGGTACACTTTCCAACACGTATGCACAAATGGCTTTTGGAGAACAGTGGTAGAAGACCCTGCCAACTTCCAGACAAGTCCCGGAACTTTTCCCTTAGCCCGAGATTCATCAACGTTCTCAGTCGCTACCCTATAGACCCCAGATGACCCAGTGGCAAGTAGAAGTTTGTTGAACGCCTGGCCAAGCTATGGTTAACATCTTGGTACGATGACGAAGGACTCACGGGTAAACCCACAGGTGCTTTCTGATCTGGGCCCAAATATACTCCCGGGATGCACTTTACGTAGCTACATGGTTCTTCAGCCTAATCTACTTATTGATAAGAGATTTGGAACCTGGACGCCTGTTGGTGGGCCAAAGTTCTCGAACCGAATTTGATTTGCTGCTTTTGTTTTCTGACGTTATAAAACCAGAGCCGATTCTGAGGAGGAAGAAAGATTATACTCTCAGCTTCTCTCTTCCCCCAACGACGCCTTTGGATGACGAAATGTAATAATATTGCGGGAAAACTTGGGTACGCATCATATGGTGGCACTGGTAGATGGAACAGCTCACATGGTGACAAAGTCTTCTTCGAGCGCAAAATGTTCTAGTTGGAAAGCCGACAACCCACTTTCCAACCCAGCTCAAAAGTCTGTATCCCCTCAAGCGGTGGTTCGGTAACGCCTTTTAGCGCCTTGGCGGTCAGAATCCTCACCAAAAATCGAGGGTATTCAGAGAATCGCCACAACGCCTCTATTATTTACTATGATACCGGGCAAAGCAATTGCTGTCTTTATAGAGTGTGACCTTACAGACTTTACAGCCAAATATTGAGGCTTTCCTACATCCGGATCCTTGAATATTCGGAGGGAGATTAATGGAAAGCTCCCCTAGAACCTTCCTCCGCACTCGCCGGGATACCCCCTCCTTCGCATATACTACGCAATTCCCTTTAACCTGAAATCGCTCTAATATATGCTCAGTTGCCTGGGAAAGCTCCCTAGGGTCTTCAACAGTGGATATTAAAGACGATTTGCGTTTTCTATGGTTTTCCCTAGCAAATCTGAAACATTCCTTGAGAACCTCTGTTCGGAACTTAGTCTGATCAACCCATTTACTCTCCGGAGGCACCTGAGAGTGGAAACTGAGTTTGTAGGCGTTTATAAGAGCTGTATCTAAGAGCCACGTAGTTAAGGCTTGATGGCCCACCCCTTCGACAGAGCTGTTTAAGAGTATTTGGCCTTTTGAGTTGATTTCCTTGGTCTACACCTCCTATTTGGTGATTATACTTGTCCTCAAACTCAGGAATCGCAAGTATAGCTCGAGGATTTGGTCCAAAGGGCTTCCGAGCGGTCTTTGCGGCAGAAGAGGTTTCAGATGGGCGTTTACGGAGCCTCTCTACTGTGCTCTGTCCATCAGAAAAGGTAGACATAGAAAGGACTAAAGTATTGTCTTTCCACGCTATCATATTGATTAAGTTGTCCTCAGTTGCTTCTGTAAAGAGACGGCCCCAGGGAATCTGATCTTTCCTCTTATCCTCTGCCTTCATATCCCCGAATCGCTTCAAAATACCGGATTTTGCGGTATATGTGCCGGTAGCACCCTAGCCACGTTCTCTACTATATTTTAGGAGCTTGGTAGTTGTAAACAGGTTATCCAGGTAGACTAGGAACCCTTTGCCTCCATCCGGAAGCCTCCCCATAAGGTAGGCACAGACAGCGGATGACGAATTGCCACTGAAAACCGTAGGGCGAGGGATATTCCAGGGGCCTCTTAATGTATCCGGATTCGACGATTTCTTCCCTTTTCTATGGAAAACCCAGTCTAAAAAGTAGCCCTTCTGAGCCAGGACCCATATCTTATATCCCCGGGCGATTGGCTTGCTAGGAATCTTCAGTGTATCGAAGGAACGACCTTGGAACCGGACCATAGCCTCATCAATAGCTACGTCACGCCCTGGAATCCAGTAGGCTCGAGAAACCCTTTGAATATAGGTATTTAAAGGCTCTAACTATCCAGGTAGTTAGTAAGTTATCCGGATACAAAGGAATCAGGCTTACTCTTTCAAAAACAGCCTTAAATTCATGATCCGGATCGGCAGTACACACACGGAACGCTGTGTGGATTGCCTCATACCTCTGAAGGCTCATAACACTTGAAACAGGGTGATCCGGCCACTGATTATCCCCTAATCTCCAATAATCCCTTGACTGGTTTTCTTGATGGATTCCCATATATATACGTATTCCAATGTATCCATATGCTTCGGGTATTGTCATAGGGTGCCAGCTACGGATCCGGGCATGCGGGAGTAGGTCTGGATCATGTTTTAGAGCCTCAATTTTGAGATCCATATGCTGATTCGTGTTCTGGCAGATGATCCGGATGATTTCCTCAGGGAAAAACAGTAAGAATATACCCCAGGCATCAAGGGGGGTAAGGTGTGGAGGGAGGTTGATTGAGGGGGGGAAATCGGGTAATTCCATAGGTATAAAGCCCGTTCCGGTCTTTTCAACGGGTGGTAAAGCCGGCCGAGTGGTTGCAGGGTCGGTAGAATCGGAAATAATGGGTTGCACAGGCTTGCACTGCATTTTGTGTGGTGTGGAATGACAATTATTTGGGTTGTTTACATGGTTTGTTTACCCTGAGTTTTGGTGGGGAACCCGCCAAGACGCTAAAAGGCGTTCCACCGCTTGAGGGGATAGAACACACCTGTGATCTTTGTTTAGAAGATTTGAAGCTATGATTGGCTGGTGTCGTTGTATGTGGCTTGCCTTACATATGCTTAACAACTGAATGATAGCTGGGCTTGTTCTTCAATATACTAGGGCCTATGCCGGAGTTACAGTATCAACTCTCGTAATTAATAATACATCAAGGCGGAGCAGAACACTGCTAAGGCCATTTTATATTTTATAGGAACATGGCCATAATTTTCAATATTCGAAGGCTGAACATATTTAAAATAGCTGCCTCATCAAATGACGATTGGACAAAGGCATTCAAGCTGGATTGAAAGCGTGACAAGCTAGTAGACCTGGCCTCTCAATTCTTCATCCAATACCTGTGAATTGCATAGCTTGGACTTAGACATGTCAACGACATACCCGGTCCGTATTTCGCCACCGCTGCGAAAGTGGTTAACATAGCACTCAGATATGCATTCATGTCAAGAGCAACTTCTTACCAGCACGTCACCATGGGACGGGATTGAGATGCAGAAACGAATTTGCCAAACGATAAATCCGTCCCGTGTCCTAGTCGTCAAGCAATTGAGCGCAACCAATTCACCGTCAATAAGTCCGCGTCGGATTTTGTGATACGTAAATACCTTTCCCTTGCCGGGCCTGGGCAAAAATAAGCCCTCGCTTGGAGCTCGCCAAAAATAAAGGGGCCTGTCATCATGAGAGCTGAATTGCGTTGTGGGGCTGCTTGCTCACTTCCCCATGACTGCGATTGGCTTGAAGCAAGAGACCGGGCAGATCAAGCAATGATTAGCCAACGCTACGCATGCGGTTGCAGCAAGGCTGTGTGCTTCCTTTTCCTTTTCCCCTTCTTCTTCCTCCTCCTCGGCCTTCGCGCGTTAGATTGCGAGAGCGAGCTTCCCTTCCCCTTCCCAAAATCCGCGGCTTTTGAACAACTCCCAAGCGACGTGTATGTATGTATGTATGTTGGTGACTATTAACACGATATTATAAGTATGGGCGAGTATAAAGAGGGCTCGGCCCCTGCTTGAACCAGTCGCTCTTCATTCTCCATCTCTCGCTATTTTCTTCCAATTACCAACCTTGCGCGGTTGCAGCACTCATCTAACGAACCACTGCTCGCATTGCTTCCTTTGCGTTGGAACACAAGTAGAGTGCTGTAGAGCCTGATGTACTGCTCTTGATAGACTGTCACCTCGAATATCCTATATCAACCTGCAACTCCTCAGCAGAAGCCATGATGGCTACGAATCCGCCAGTTTCTTGTGCATCGACTGTTGTGGACGAGAAGATGTCAGATCCGATCGAGAAAACGCCATACGAGCAGAATGACGGGGACGACGGCCACCCCCCTTTCCTCGATCGAGTTGGCAGCCAGAACAATGAGACCGATGCGAATATGTTTCCCAAACCAGCGGTCGCGGCAGAAGCAGACTTGGAGAAGGGAGGGGTTAATTCGAACTCTGCACCTAAGCCCGGCGGTGTCAACCCTGCAGACTTCCCGGATGGAGGACTCGAAGCATGGCTCGTTGTGGTAGGAGGTTGGTTATGTCTGTTCTGCAGCTTTGGATGGATCAATTGCATCGGTGTGTTTCAGGAATACTACCAGGTCCATCTCCTCACCGGATACTCCTCAAGTACGGTCTCATGGATCCCGTCTCTGGAACTTTTCATGATGTTCTTTGGCGGGCCCGTATTCGGGAAAGTGTTCGACAACTTTGGACCAAGATGGCTTCTCTTGTGCGGGACGTTCTTCCATATCTTCGGCTTGATGATGACCTCTCTCTCGAGACAATACTACCACTTCATCTTGGCGCAAGGTATCTGTTCTGCTCTCGGCGCTAGCGCGATATTCTATGCTGCCATGAGCTCTGTGGGGACGTGGTTCTTCAAGAATCGCGCGACTGCTTTCGGTACAATGGCATCTGGTTCATCGTTGGGAGGAGTCATTCTCCCGATCATGGTGTCGAAATTGATTCCGCGAATTGGATTTCCATGGACAATGCGAGCTGTTGCTTTTACGATGTTCGGGATGCTGGTTATTGCCAATTTTACTGTCAAGTCTCGCTTGACTCCGCAGCCGAAGAAGCTTGATTTGATGACATTCATCCGCCCGCTGAAGGAACCTGCCTTCTTTCTGCTCTGTGTGGCATCATTTCTGTTCTTCTTCGGGACTTTCTTACCCTTTAATTACATAATCATACAGTATGTCAGGATGGCCCTAGTCACCCACTGAACTTTACTAACAGAGCAATAGGGCACAAAGTCATGGGATGTCAACAAACCTAGCGATATATCTTGTCCCTATCCTCAATGCTGCTTCGTAAGTCCCCAGTTGTATGTCTGCCTGGAGATTCTAACCGACAGCCAGAATTTTCGGACGTATCCTTCCAGGTATCGTTGCAGACCGTATCGGCCGCTTTAACGTTATGATAATCACAACTGGTTTCTCAGCCATTATCGTACTGGCTCTCTGGCTTCCATCATCTGGCAACATCCCGATCATCATCTTCTGTGTCTTGTATGGCTTCTCTTCTGGAGCATTCGTTTCTATGGGACCGTCGCTCATCGCTCAAATTTCGCCTATCCGCGAACTGGGCACTCGAAACGGAACATACTTCTTGTTCGTGGCCATTGGCGGCTTGACTGGAAATCCAATCGGTGGGGCTTTGATTGAGAGTGATAATGGAGGGTTCCATCATCTACAAATTTTCTGTGGTGTAACGATGGCGGTAGGCACTTTGTTTTACGTTGCTGCTAGATGGGTGCAAGTTGGTTTTAAGCCGAGTGTGATTTAAGATTAAAAGCACCATACATCGAGTGACCGAAAGTTAGAAAAGGCACAACTGCCTTCGAAACGGAAAGATAGACTCCATTACTAATCTCATCTCCCATGAAGCTGTTTATCACCTCATCAGTGCGTTTTAATCCATTGAGGTTTTCTGTAACGCCATTCGAAATTCCCCACCAAACGTAGCATCTTTTCAGATGTATATTAGAAACGACACTGGAGGAGTTGATTGAAGAAATTGTGTTCGCACTCATGTTGAGTTCCACGGATATGCTTCTCAAGTGTGGGGCGCGTCGCTCGGTCAACCGCCGCAGAAAGCCCGAGACGACTTCCGAAAACATCAAAGGAACAGAGAAATCATCCTCGCAAACAGCCAAACGACCAACGACCCTTGATCTCGAACAGGGTTCCAGCCTTGTGTTGCGCATTTCATTAAATCTCTTTCTTCTTCGCATCAATTGGTATCCCAATTGGTCTATCATGTCTGTCAGAGGTAATTACACGCCCTCTCTATGAGGACTTCATGGACTAACAGGCAACAGTGGTGGCGCGGATTCGGCCTTTACTTGCAAAGGAACTCGACAGAGATACGATTGTACGCGCAGAAAGCAGCCAGGAGGGAAAGCCTAATAACGTCGTTCGAATTCCGAATCCCAAGAATGAGGCCGAGGAGTTTAGCTTCACCTTCAACGGTGTTTATGACATGGGCACAACACAGGAGGAGCTTTTTACGAACGAGGGTACGTCAATTGGTTGTTTTAGACGCACGCAGTCTGATGAGAGATAGTTGCCCCGCATTTGAAGAGTCTATTCCAAGGTTTGGATGTTATGGTGTTTGCATACGGCGTTACGGGTACGGGAAAGACACATACGATGAGAGGCGGCTTGAAGCTGTCGGAGAGAGGAATCATCCCACGTCTGCTAAGTGGAATATATCGACGAGGTAGAAAGGTCACGAAAGACTCTGGAGATGAAACAACAGTCACTGTTACACTCTCTTATTACGAAATCTATAACGACAAGGTGTACGATCTCTTTGAGGCGCCGGACAAGAGGTCACTGGCGGGTTTGCCAATTCGGGAGAAGGACGGAAAGACTTTCGTGGTTGGACTTTCGGAACATGCATGTGATGACCTGAAGGATTTCGAAAGACTGTATATCGAAGCCAACAACAACCGGAGTACAGCTGGCACCAGTCTTAATGCGCAGAGTAGTCGAAGTCATGCAATTCTTATGGTCAAGGTAACACAGACAAACGGAGATGAGACCTTGATCAGTACAGCATCTGCCATTGATCTGGCTGGTTCTGAAGATAACCGGCGAACAGATAATAATAAGGAGAGATTGGTGGAGTCGGCGAGTATCAACAAGAGCTTGTTTGTACTGAGTTCTTGTATCGATGCAATTGGAAGAGGCGACAAGAGAATTCCTTTCCGGGAGAGTAAGATGACCCGAATCCTCAGTCTGGGTCAGAACAACGGGATTACGATTATGATCTTGAATCTTGCGCCTCTGAGATCGTATCATCTGGACACGCTCTCAAGCCTGAATGTTTCGAGTAGAGCGAAGCGTATCGAGGTTCGGGAAATCGAGAATGAGGTCGTGTTCACGCAGCCACCTAGAAAAACTGTGCCACTTTCCGGAACCTCAATGGCGCGACAACCATTGAGACCCTTGGCGAACGCTCATAATACTCATGCCAATGCAGCATCTCAGAAAGGAGATAAGCCTGCAAAATCCTTCTCGGTCTACACAGATAAATCGAAGACAACAGGACCACCGCGTGCACCAGCTCCACGAGCAAATACTACCTCCAAACGCCCCTCGGATTCCTCACTGAATACTCGACCAACGAAAATGGCTCGAGCAAATCCTACTGGGTTGAGATCTGGGGTGGAGCTTTCATCGGCGAAGATCGAGGAAATGGTTGAGCGAAAAGTTCAAGAAGCACTTGCTGCACGACAACCAGCTACTGTCCCTGTGGGACTTAGTGACGAGGTGCAGCGAAGACTCGAAGCCCTGGAAAAGAAGATAGAGAGTGGAGAAGCTGAGGATGCTAGGGCCGAGGGACTACGTTTCTTGTTGATGGCACGGCAACATAAATCCCGCGGGGAGGAATCGAGTGCTCTGAAGATGTACGAGCTGGCGCTACCTTTCTTCCCAGAACAAGAGAAGCTGCACAAGAAGATCGAGCATTTGAAGGAGAAGATTCGAGCTAAGAAGGATGACGCAGCTGTGAGATCTGCTGGACAAAATGAAGTGGAGAAGCGCAAGGCTTTAGCAACAATGCCTATCGTTATACCCCCATTGCCTCAAATGTCTTCTGAAGGCTCAAATGAATCACCCAAGCCCCGAAGAGCGAAGACAGGTACGGACTCGGACGATGACTTCAATGGATCCGCAGTTCTCCAAGCCGATGACTACGACGACGACGACAGCTTTTGTTACAGAGCCACTAAGGCAAAGAAGCCGAAAGCCAAACCAGCTCCCAAATCCGCACTCCGGATCTTCTCCGATGAAGCAGACGCTGACAGCCTTGAACCACCAACACCACGCACCCGACACCTCCTAGATATTATCAACTCACGAAACGTCACCATGATCAGAGGTCTCAGCGGGGTTGGTGCGAAGAAGGCCCGGGACTTAGTCGAATTCCTTGAACTGCAGAACGAGGACGAGGGTGGTAACATCAAGAATTTACAGCAATTGATTGCGGTACCCGGCCTGGGTAAGCGGAGCGTTGAAAGGGCTTATGAGGGTATCACGGCTTTACTTGTATGAATATGGGGATTTTGGCGTTGCATTTCTTGGTGTTTGCAGGCTTGGTGGTTGGCTATTATTGTTTGAACGGGACTGCATATATGAATTTTGTGGCGGCGATGAGGAGTTTGGAGTGGGATTGAGGGGACTCAAGAGAGTCGTGAATAGATAATGCTATCGCGTATTCATTCTAGACATATAGACTTTTTGATCAGACACGATCAGTTGGATTCATTCGCTTTGCTCCTCGTCTAAACAACGCCTTGCTCACTAATTTCTTACCTAGGGTAGTAGTGGCCTGACGCAATAGGTCACCGAACGGACTCTGTGTGACGTTAGGCTTATTGTCATGAAGGATTCTGAGCGGGAAAGGACTATCGGTGGTAGTTCCAGTGTGAAGGCCAGCTCGCAAAACTTCGGAAATCTCGTCTCTCACGTCTCTCTTCACTGCTTTCCCCCAAGAGCAGCCAAATCAGTGATTTATGTCCCATTCCATCACAGAAAGACTCGAATTCAAGTATATTTGTTTTTCCAACTGAGGATTCAGCGAAGCAAGACACGAACTCATCCGCGGACAGTCAACAGCCTCTGTACCATGCTCTGAACTTTCGGAATATCAGTTAGAAGCAACTGTGTCTTTGGTAAGAAATAAATCTGGAGTACAGAAGTTCTCTAATCGTCGTCTGGTGGATGCCAAAGCGGAACTGAACTTTTGGGCCGAGGTGAAGGTGGCCTTCGACTACCCCTCCACCACTTCGCGACTCCTCTACAAATTCTCCAAAAGACGTTCTCGTTTTATCATTTCACTGAAGAGGAGGCAGTTGACAATCCCTTGTAATATGCGCAGAACGTTGTCTCAACACGAGCTCACAAAGCCTGGAGAAATCCTGGCTAGCTAATTGAGGGTGCAGTATGATTGTAAATCACACTTAAGCTTGATGCCAGAAATGGCACTTGTTTGTCGAGAAGAACTCACAAAACCTGGCAATTGTTATACTAGGAGACCCTAGATCGAATGATTTTCACAAACCATTCCTCGCACCGGGTCACAACTTCTCTGTGAGACTGATAAGCTTTTTTGCACCATCAGCCTTTCGCTGATGTAGTATATGCGTGCTTAAAATAGTTACGAGTCATTGGAGTGCTCGATCAGTATTATTTCTTCATGCTTAATAACTATTTTAGAGTCTACCAGCCACTGATTCTCGTGAAGTGAATTACTATTTCCAGTCCAATAAGGACGAAGTTCGTAACATTAAAACGTGCCTCGCTTTCTTACATGGCGAACGGATCCATAAATACTAATATCGAGCCAAGAAACGACTCGTCTAGCCGCTCTTCGCTTTTCCAGTAGACCCTGAATTACCTCGAACAGGTCGGAAACAATCTCCCGGCCACAACCCAACCAGCCCCCTCCCAGGCGTAGCTCGCACATCCAGCTTCCTACTTGTGTTAATTTCTTCGAGAGAACTTCAAAATTCCCAAACAGTATAATCAGCTGGAAGCAGATCGCTTCGACACGTGGCTACCCATTTGGTACCAGCCAATGGAAGTCACTAATATCTAGGGATCACGGGTCCCGGCCAGTAAGATGCACCTGAAGTCGAACAAGTGTCAGTTGGTCAGTCACGGCTCGCTAAAATGCTGGGGAGGCCCCTGTTTGTTGATACTCAGGCTTTTGACTGTGTTGGCATTGCATTCGTAGTCAAGTTCAAGTTTAATGCCGAGCAAAGTTTTGCTTTTTAGCTGTCAATGGAAGAGAATATCAAGAGAGTAAGAAGAACAAGAGAGAGAGGGATGTGAAAGCTAAATTGCCCGGCTTGTGGAAGGGCTTAAGCTTGGCGGTATGTGGATATTATTGTAAGTTGCCCTCCATTTTGCCGTTTCCGCTACTTCCTCGTTCACACCTTTGATTTGCATTCGCCTTTCCTTTTTGCCCTTCTTTTCTCGGCTGGGGCCATACAATTTCTTTGACCAATTGCTTGTTCAAATCAGGAAATTAAAGTGTTGTTATATCAGGTCCCGATCTAGATCCAAGTCTGAATCATTTCCTCCGCCGCTCCATCTGGGGAAGACATGATTTTCAGCCATCGTTGGGTTTTCGTCGACGCCTCACAATGAAGTGCCGAACACGGAATCTCCGTCCCTACGTCCAATCGCTCTGACCCCAACCCCAACCCCAACCCAGAGCTCAGGTTGAAAAAATGGAACCCCGCAGGCCATGCTTGCCGTTCCTTCACCACAAGCTTGTGTTCTTTCTCAGTAGGGAGCAACAGAAGCGGGCTCAGATCACATGACTAGACCCAACCTGAAGCGAGGGCATCAGAAGTCAGAGTCAACTCAACGCACGCTCTGACGCGGGACTCTGTCTGAAGTCCCGAGGCCAGGCCGTGTCTGCCACGTTTTTTCAAAGTGGCTGGTGCAGCAGTTACCAGTGAAACTCTGACTCTCACTTTGTTTGAAAGGCTCTTTTATCTTCCACGCTGAATGAACTTTGCTTACAGAGTGGTGGTGGCAGTGAGCAGTACTCTGTACACTGCTCGAGAGGGAGCAGATAAGTGGCCAGTCCAACCAAGCTTCTTACCAAATGTCAATGTCTTCTTCTCGCGTTTTTAAAAGTGTAAAGCGGAAAGGAGAGTTTTCTCGAAATTTAATTTGCGCTTCAGGACAGTGGAAGAAGGAAGGGAAGAACATGGCTGTTAGGGGCGTAAAGTTTAAGATGGTGAAAGCGACGAAAGCGAAGCCACAGCGCTGACCGTTTGTTGACAAAGCTGAGGGGTAAACTTAGGTGCCGTCGCTAAAGAATTAACATGGCGGTCTTCTTCCCGGCTTTGCAGTGGTGATTGCAAACTCTGCACTTGGGGATTGCACGGGGAGAGTTGCACGAAATTTGAGAACTGTATTGTAACTAATGATAACATACCAGAAGAGTAAGGTAAGTTAAGCAGTGGAAGCAAGGGTTAAAAATAGGTTCGGCGGAAAGCGAATCATTACAGTATTATGAAGATCCTGGCGATCATCATCCACCAAGCGATCTCGTCTCCGTCATCCAGCCTGAAGATCCGAAATCCCTCACCTTCCTGAACAGCTCAGATCGTCACGACGACCAACGACCCCTCCAATTTCCCCACGGGCAGATCACAGCCTCTTGTGTGCTAGAGAGCTCATCACAGTTGTGGCTCGACACCTACGCCAACGCCGCCAGTCTCGCCGGTGTGGCGTAGGGCATGAAGCTCGACCTCTGACTCGCTCGACGATCATGACCCTGCGTGCAGGACTGTTAACCTTTAGAGCGGCGCTTTTTCTTGGGATTCGAGTCCAGAGGTCTAGACCGTCGTTTTGATCGTCACAGAGCACCACCGCGCCACAGAACAGCACGTGGGTTGACAGCCGGTGCCAGTGCTGCTTTTTGCCCAAAGTCTCAGTGTCTTCATGCTTAGCGGTGTAAAGCCACAGATAACCAGTTGATCGCCCAACATCCTTTCCTGACTCCCCCGGGGGGTGTAGGTAGCCAGGTAGTTTTAACATGAAAGCTCAACCACACCTCTTGCTGACTGTCAGTCAGGTCAAGCCTCACGCTAAGTCTGCACGTCCTCACATGAGTCTTGCCTGCGTGCGGTTGACGCATAGCAAAGCAGAGAATGGCATGCTGCAACGCGCTGGCAAGCGAGAGTTGCATTGTCGGTCCTTGCCAGTCACCTCCAATCGAAGAACCTAGAGTCGTTGCATTTCCGCAGGGGAGAGCTTTCAGTATCGAATTGGCAGAGCCTGTTCTGCTGCAGTCTGCAGAATCCTGGACCAGCTGGCCTTTGCATAACGTGGGCGTGCCTTACATATTGCTGGTCCCGTGGTAATGTCACCCTGAGAAGGGCTGGTTGCTGCTGCAAGCGATCGATCGTGCTGAGTGGGACAAAGCAGCGAGCAAGGGAGGACACATCGAGGGCCGAGCAGGTACCGAGTAGGTAGCTGTAGCCTTAGATACGGAAACACATTGTGGAGATCAGCATCGCGCTCTAGGTACAGTACTTCCGTAGTCCGACGATGCCTTCTCGCAACGTTCTCCTGTTTTCTTGAGAACGTAATTCAAGAGTACGGAGGTAGGGAGGTACGGAGAGAAAGCCTAATGAAACTGCTAGCCTACCGGCGCCGGCTCGACGGTAATGTCTCGGGGTGAACGAGCACATGAAGTGGCCGTAGTAGTCGGGATGGACGGGATGTAATGGTCTGGTGGTACTTCTGGGCAAGTCGTAACGGCTTCGAGAATTTTAAGTTGTCTTGGTTGTGGCAGACTAGAACGGGCTTAGGTGCCTTGCTCGTCTGGTCGTCTCTTGTGAGGCTGCTGTGGAAGATCCAGTGAGAGCAGCCGTGAGCTGGAGCCAAAGCCAAAGCCAATGGAAAAGGCAAAGCCAGAGAGGACCAATGGAACAATTGATAGCCCAACCAACAGCAGCCCAGCACCGCGTGCTCGGCATGTCTCATGGCCACCTCATGCTCATGGCTGTTGCTTCGCCTGCTAGTGACGACAGCACTTGCCACTTCTATACTGGAAGCAGCATCTCGGCAGATGATCTCTTGTGGCTGACCCGTTGTTCCGTGCAGATCTCAGCGACCCGGGACCCCTCGACGAGCGGACGCGGACGCGGACTCTTGGTGATCCAATTAGCTGGGTCCTCGGCTCGAAGCGAGAACAGCTTGGGGAAATGATGTTCAGACATCAGGAGATACTGTAAATTTACTTCCGAGTCAGAGAGAGAGACACAGAGTTGTGTTTGAGTCAACAATGGCTCGTGATGCAGGGTCCAGAACGGGTGAATCCTTGGGAAGCTGAACCTACTGCATGCTGGAATGGAAGGGCGAGAAGGGCGAGAAGGGATCCTTCTGCACTCTTGGCATGTTTGAGTCTTAAGGACTTAGCGACTGCTTAGGCTCGAGCCAAAATAGCAGGTGGAAATGTTAGGTAGTTCTCCGGGAAACCCCATTGTGGGCTAAACACATGTCAGAGTGCTTGGCAGTGACATCTAGGCGCGAGGCCAGCGACTTGTGTGTTGAACACCACCGTGCACATTATTGAAAGAGTTTGGGTCTGGGTCTGGGTCTGGATACTTGAGTTTGAATGGTTGCTTGATTTTTTTTTAGCAAAGTAGCATTGTTGTACCACTGCTGCATATTGCCTGGATCTTCACCATTTGTCACCATCGCCTCCTCCTCCACCACCACCACCACCCCCCTCTGTAGCCTGCGCTTCACCATTCTGGAGCCAAAATACGCCAGTTCCCTATTCCTGCCATCCTTGGCAACTCGAAGGGGAAATATTCGTGTAATCGTAACGCCGTGTATTGTTCCTCATGAAAGTCTGTGTACGTCGCCCTGGTGAGCTTGAAGTGAATGTAATGCAAGCAAAGCCTGCAAAGTATGTGCAAGAAGGCAATGGACGGTGTAAAACCAACGCCCCAAAGGTCAAATAAGCCCGATTACAATCTGCCGTCCGACCGAGATGAGAGTCTGATGTCGCCTTCCCATGCAAAACCTCTAGGTGATAACTTAAGGACCGATATCGAGCACAGTGTGTTTTGTTCCAAAGAGGGAACTGGTATCTTAGAAAGCAACGTGACGCCGTTCGATGAGCCCACCCACCATTGAGGGCAAGTACATGGTGGTATCGAAACAATTACATGACCAATTAGTCGAGTTCGTCGGGGTATAAATTAAGAGGCAAAGAATTGTCGAAAAAAAAAATGTTAAAACATTAGGCGAAGTTCGTATCCTTCAGTGTGTGTGACATGTTGCGTTCCGCTGGCACTGTCGCTGTCCACAGTAACGTCGAGAGACATCTCCCATTCGCGTTTGAGTTGAGGAGATGGGTTGCGAATCTCGGCTATCTCCATTACGAGGTCCTGCCCCTCTGCTAGTTCGCGAATAACATCATCGTCCATCTCGATTTGAAGGCCTCGTTCGAGCACATGTAAAGTCCGCATGATCTTGGTGGGCTCGATATTCCATTTGATAGCAATCGCATTGGTGAAGTCTTTGAGTGTTCTTTGCATAAGGTAGATCGCGCGGTAGTATTCGGCCTTATCTGGCTGATGAGGATCGCGGTGGAGAATATAGAAACATGCAACTGGCTTGATGGGCCGCTCCGTGGGCGCTTTGTAGCCTGCGTCAACTCCCAATGCTTCAATCCAGCCACTGAGGTTCCCGGCTTCGTCAGTCTTAGGGAGCTTGGTGAGTTGGTCCGGGGGGCTTGCCAGTTGCTGAGGATTCGATGTTTGCATCTCCGTTGGGGCCATAGAGTTGAAATCGCTCCATGGACCTGGTGGGTTCGGGGCTGACGTGCCTGGGATACCTTGAGATTGTAAAGAGAGGGAGCTCGGCGAAGGCGACACAAGGGATGATGTGCCAGTGGTAGAGCTACGGTCGCTGCTTCTCTGTTGCCAGATGGCACTGCCTCTTGAGTCCACCTTGGTAAGATCCAGCGGTTCACCAACCAAAGCAACTGGGTGGAGGTCTGGATCGTCCTGCTCAGATCCTCGAAGGTATAGAATGCTCACAGGCCGGGTGCTGGTGAACATGTCCTGCATGGTTTGCAGTTTGTAGTGAAGGTCCTCTTCGATTGGTACTCGTCCACCAGCTGAAGAAGCTGATGACATGGACCATGTCCTCTTGTGCTTTTGGACCTTTCCAGGACGTTGACTTGGCTGTGACTTAACCGTTGTAGATCCAGTGCGCTTCCGCTTGCCAAAGTCTTTCATACCAGTCTCAGCTTGTGCAATCTGTTGCTTGAGCTTGTCAATTGTCTTCTTCACATGCGCAACATCATTTGACAGTTTCCGTTCCGCACCGTGATCGCGGAATAGCTTGACTTTGCAGAAAGCAACTTCCGAATATTCAGGTCCGGAACGAGGCGATCCTGTGGAGACCGTCTCCGTTTTCGCACACAGTCGCACGGGAATACCCTTCACTCCTTTGGAATGACTGAAATCGGTAGAAAGGAAGTTAAAGCGAACAGCAATGTTGCATTCTGTTGATCCATTCGCGCCTGGAGTCCAAATGACCGAAAAACCATCAAAAGAGGCAGTGTCGATATCCACGCGCGTCCTCTTATCGTCGTTCTCAGCAGGTTGATTTGCTTCGACATACTCAACTGCCTGAAGTTTACCGCCTCGTTGGTGTGCTTCGTTAGTTCCTCGCCCTTCCTTCCACAGCTGCCAGCAAGTCGCAGGTCTTTGTCGTTGCTGCTCGTCTTCGAACGAAATGCGGATAAAGGTTCGATATCTAGCGCCAGTGGGGAGAGGAAGATTTGGATTGGTGTCCACAATCGATATTGAATACGCTTGTCCCTTGTTTAAATATGTGATGGGGATCTCATCCGTGCTCTTGATCATCGCCGTGGGAGCGTTCAAGGTCACATGAAAGCGGAATTTCTCTGCAGAAGCAGGCATTGCCGAAGCTATGTTGTACTGAGCTGGCTGAAAACTCATCATTGGAGATTGTTGTTGCATGGTTGCTTCCATCGAACCCATACGGCCATCCTCGTCACCCATTGGAGAGCCGTCTTGCTCCATAGTCTCATATCCAGTATCCTGGTGAACAAACGATGATGGCGCGTAGGACTGCTGTTGATGTTGTTGCTGCTGATGATGATGGTGTTGCTGTTGGTGGTGATGGTGTTGCTGCTGTGGGGCACCAAATGGGTTGTAGTTGTGAAACTGAGGTGGCATTTGGTGACTGAATGCGGACATATCCATCATCGTACTGGCGTGCATGCCATCAGCAGAAGTAGGCAAAGATAATGGTGTTCCTAGACCCATTCCCATACCCATCCCAGGAGTGTGGAGGTCGCCAGCCTGGTTGTGATATAATGTGTTTGTGCCTCCAGGGGTTGGTGTGTAGTAGCCGGGCGGCTGGTTGGCAAATGCGGAAAATGCGAAAGAGTTCGGGTCGAGGAGAGATGGGGTGAATCGCCATGGCTCATGTTGGGCTCTAGGAGTGGGGTCGAGATCTTTGATGTCTTCGTGACCCAAACTGAGGTGTCTAGAGTGATCAGCGCAAGTCAACCAAATTTAGGGCCGTGTAGGAAATGCAGAGCCACTTTGCCCAGGACATTATACTTCCACGATAGCCGCTGGACCACAGTGAAAAATACCATGTTTGACAAATTATATGAAATTAATTACCTAGTTTCATTTGGGCCTCCAGCAGTCGCATCGCCGAGAGAAGTATTTCCAGAGCCGGAGCCAGCAGTTGAAGTTGCGACTGCTACTTCCGGGAAGCTTTCTCTGAAATTGGCAATGAAAGCATCACCCGGCTTTTGAGATGAAGTTCTATTCATTGTTAGCTACCAATCGTCCAGAAACATGAAGATATTGCGTGGGGAGCTGGACTGTCGCGTTTGCGCCGGCGTCATCATTTGGGCGACTTTGGTTTGTGGTCACTTACCGATTTCGAAACATCTGGAGATGGGGCGAGAGAGCTGATACAGCTCTTCATCTATTTTCAGAGTTGGTAGTCGAGGACGTACTCCTATCTTCTCAAAGAATGGTGGACAGTTAAGATGGGATAATTGCTGCTCTTGTCTGTTGCATGGAAGCTCCAAGTGATGCACAGACAGAATGTCTAGAAAGTGTCTGTCAAATAGGCGGTAACTGTTGACAAGTGTAGTAGCGTGGTAGTGGTAGTGGTAGTGGTAGTGGTAGCGAGCGTGAGAGGTAGCACTTCTTCTTCCAAGTGGCACGGGAGAAGAGGGAGGAGTAGTGGAGGAGGCTGATGTTATATGAGTGAGTCTGAGGGTGGATGCGAGTATGCAGTAGTGGTGATCGAATGACGGCGGATTCCACTATGGACTTTGGGGGACCAGGACATGGGGGTCCATCACATATAAAATAAAAATGGAGGGAGAGGACGATCGATGTGGAACTACGCAAGTGGCGGGTGGGTGTGCGAGTGGTGGGAAAGAAGAGAAGAGAAAAGCAGCAGCAGCGGAGTAGTGGAGTGGTGCTGAGGATCGAGGAGAGTGAGTGAGTGAGGTGAGGTGAGGTGCGGTACCCAGGTCTAAGTTACTACTCGGGGCAAAAGGCGCACGGCTGCTGGGAACTGGGACTGGGACTGGGACAGGGACTGGGAGTTTGGCGTCTGGCGAAGGCTAGATACTCCGTACAGTAGGGTACCTAGGTGAGGTAGGTTAGGTTGGGTTGCTGGGAAGAGAGGTGGAGCAGACTTTCACACTCGGGGGCACTGTTTTTGTGATATCGGCCAGGGGTGCTTGTCGGGGCGGGGGGGGGGGGGGGTACTGGTAGTGGATGCAGAGGGAAAATAACGAAGGGAAGTAAAGCCGTCCGTCGGAGCAGGATATGGACGGACGAGGGGTAAGCGTGAGCGTGTTTAGCTGGCTGGATAGATAGACCTGACCTGATGTGAAGTAACGAGAAAAGAGCAGCGAAGATGAAGAGGAAGAGGCAGAGGCAGACGCAGAGGCAGACGCAGAGACCAGGGTCGAGAGGACCGACGGTGGTCGACAGATCGAGCGACGGTGCGAGACTGCAACAGCAACTGAAGCGAAAGCACTGAAGGCACGCTTACGCTAGGCCAGGGTGTCTTCGGGGCAGCTAGAGCTAGGCTAGAGGGGGCTACAGGCCACAGGTACGGTGGGACCCGCGAATAGGCAGGCAGGTCTGCGACTGGACAGCTGGACAGCTGGACAGGCTCTGATGCTTGGGTGGGTTGGTGCTGGTGCTGGTACTGGTACTGGTGCTGGCGATATGAGATGGGATGGGATGGGATGGGATGGGATGGGATGGGATGGGAGGAAGGGGAGGGATGAGATGAGGGACAAGGCCGGGGGCCTGGAGCTGGAGCTGGAGCTGGAGCTGGAGCTGGAGCTGGAGCTGGAGCTGGAGCTGGACCGCGGCTGCAGGTAAAAGCAGCGTCGCCGGCTTGGACGTGCTGGTGCTGGTGCTGGTGCTGGTGCTTGCGTGACGACTGAGCCACAGTACACTCCCTACCTACTTCTACTCTCGCTACTCCACTGTTGCCCATGCCCGTATGCCCATGCCCAAGCTCATGGAGGAAATGATTTTCGATCGCTGTGGCGAAAAGCCCATGCCTATTGCGTCGCTCTGCCAAGCACCCTCAGGACAGGCTCGACACGACAGGGGCCTGGGGAAAGACGGAAGCGAACCTTTGGAGGTGGCTGTTGGTGCTGGGCTTAGCTGGGCAGCTGGGCTGGGGTGGGGTGGAATGGGATGGGATGGGATGGGATGGGATGGGAGAGGTGAGGCATACCTCCGTCAGCATAGGCATAGGGATACAGACAGGGAGGTAGGACTAGAGTCTTGACGGAAATGCAAGAAAAGACATCGAGAAAAACTCACTACTGAGAGACAAGAAGACAGAGAGATCGATCCATCATGTTACACCTAAAATAGCCTGCCAATAGCGACAAGTCTGGCAGCACATACAACAACACCGAGACACGCCGTGTTGCACTCCTGGATACCGACCGTCCCTCTCGACTTCTAGCGAGTGGCTGGTGAGCGCCATGCTACTCTCCTGTGAAGCCCCCGTGTTACGAGATGATGGCATTTCCTCGCTCTCTATCACTTATGTTGTAAATTGATATCAACATGCATCAGTAACCGTTCTGAAGCACACAACTATCGAGACGAAAACTGTACAACGGCCCTCGCGCGGCCCGGTATCCTTTCCATTTCCTGGATGGCAACATTGAATTTGTTCTTTTTACTCGCCCTCCCAATCTGCATTGCTGGCTGTATAGCTAGGACTTTATCATCCTATCGTGCCTTCTCGTCCACTCGTTGTGTCTCTGCAAGCCGGCCTGAGACGGCACTGCGGGGAGAGCTGCCTCCTAGAAGGGGTGTTGCTGTTGCAATTGCAGTCAGTGCTGGAGCCACGAGGGCCAAGTAAGAATCAAAAAGAAGACCTAGGGATCCCTTCACTCTATTGGACAATCTTAGACAGTGCTAAACTTTCATCTCAATTCCAATGCTGTTCTTACATTCCCTTCCCTCTATCTCCCCGAATTCCCACTCCCATATTTCAGCCTTTATCCAGCCCAGGCCCGGCCCATATACCCATCATCAAGCGGCCTCGTCCCTGTCATTTCCGTTATGCGACATGGAAAACCCTATGGGTGGACTCGAGCCGGTCCCAAGCTCAAGCTCAAGCTCAGGACGGCTTGCATGTACCGTACCGCCAGATCCCCCTTCTCCTGCGCCCGTTTCACGAGTACCTCCCGCCGTTTGACAGAGGGGCATGATTTGGCGCACACATTTCCCAAGCTCCGCTCTGTGCTTCTTAGTACCGTAACGGCGGGTGCAAATCATCGCGTAGTGCGGTGGGTACTCTCGTCCTATCTCATCTCATCTTCTCATTATCATCTGCAGCTCGAGGTCGTCGTGGAGTCCGAGTGTTGAGTCTGTCGATGGCCAGGCCTCAAGATCTCCAGTGCCCACCACACCTCAGCCACAGAAACGCGCAGCCACACTGTTCATTGATTAGCGGTGGCTCAAATTCGGTCGTGGCAACTCTCGAGAACTGCTCCAAAGGCTGATTCGATCAACAAACACAATCTAGCCACAGCAGCCATCAAGCAAGGTTAGTTTTAGACGGGAAACGAAATAGTGTCAACGGTTTGTTATACTAAATTCGGCGCTACTCACACTACATTTCCGTGATCAATAGCCATATATGCATCGGAGATGAGCGCCCAATATTGACCGAAGCCAACCGCCCGGGAAGCCACTAGCCCATCGCAAAGAACGCCTTTCTTGACATCTCACTTGTCCACCAGTTCGTCAAAAGAGTCCAAGTCCCTGGTTCGAATCTATTTGTTCTCCAGGATTGCCCATCATACTCTCGGAGCTGATGCGGGATATTTCCCCAAACCATGAGCTCAATTGGCAACCAGTTGCGGAATGAACAAGCATAACCATGTGCAATTCATGCTTTCCTAGATAAGGAAGCTTTCTCGAAGCAGCATTTGCCGTTATTAATCCGATTTCGGTATATAGCATTGCACATTTGCATCGAAGATGACTTCCTGCCACGTTACACGGCTTAGATATCAGGCTCAGCAACCAGGAGTCTCCAGATGTTGTGCTTCAGTGTGAGCAGACCTGCACTAAGAATTACCGGTGAAGAACAGGAGAGAATTCTTCCTTTCCTCTAGCCAGCCTCTGTTTCAGCGTTTCGTCCGTTCTTCAATCAAATTCGGTGCCGGCACGTCTCGATCAGTAGCGCACAACGGTGGGAGAATGCATGACGGAGCTCTTTCAAACTTTCGGCCTCATCTGACGCCCTTTGTCATTAGTCATTGGTGGATAAGGATGCTATCTTCTCACACCGAGACGTGTGTGAGATCTTTCTTTGGCCTGCCGCGCGTGCTAGATGCGCTCTTTACTTGACGCTTTAACAAACACAAGACACAATCCATCCCTTGAGCATTTACGAGTTGACCGTCGTTCGGACTCCACAAAGCGGGCGGGAAGCACAGCCACAGGGACTTCTAGAATCGACTATAACTGATCAACAAACAAACGGCCCAGAACTGTGCCCTCAGCCTTAAGAAGGCCACGCGGCGAACGTTGGCGTCTGTCCAGTTGAAAATCTCCCGTCGATCAGCAGCTTTATGCTCGGCCTGGCCAGTATTCTGCGGGGTGCCGGACCAATACAGTAGATTTAAGGGTGCTGTCACAACGATCGAGGTTGCATCGACTGCTGTCATTGTGGCGGTGCTTCGCTGGGGCTCATGGAGATTATAATTCCCATAGCGAATGTGGTTAAACAGAGACCGCAATTTCACTCTGAAACCTGCTATGCCATTGGGCAAGCGAGGGAGGAGCCACAGATCGAGCAGCCATGATCGAGCAGAATAGTGAGACTGTCAAGCCACATGTGATGGTCTAACACGTCTCATACGATTTCAGGACGGGGTCTTTTTCGTTTCCTCCGTAGAAGATCATTTCCCAAAGAACCTCTGGGATGTGGCGTCGTGACGTGGCTGAGGAAAGGTGGCTGAAATCGAGCGTTCTAGCGAGGCGGGTAGCTTGACCTGCGACTCCAGGCAAATCACAGTCTACAAGAACGACACGCTCCCTCGGAGGTCTACATCTCATCATTCAGGATGGCTTTTCAGAGTCATTGCATGTCCCCGCCAGTTTTCGTTTTGTTCTTCAAAATCCGTCAACGTGGAGGGACCGACACCAAAGCCGGCTGGCAAATAGCCTCCCAGCCGCTCCCCCACATCAATATCAGCGTCGAATGGGGCACGATCACGGAGCGGCTCCTCAGACTCCACCCTGAATCAGGTCATTCTCAGTTCCTTCAAATCTCGGATTATCACCGAGGCCTCGATGAATACTGTAACAACACCGGCAACTATCACTGGTGTAAGCCGACTTCAAGCAGGCTACGGCCAATGATGGTTCTTCATGCAACAGATTTCACCGCTTTTTGTGCCTCATCACGGTCTGTTGCGATTGTTGGAGAATGACGCTGCCACGACTCATTTCAACCAAGCAAGAGCTGCATTAGGGGAGCTGGGGAGCAGCTGACCGATTAGACAACGCATGCGATGCAGCCTCGCAGGTAAATCATTCGGCTGCATTCTGGCTGACCTCAAAGTCTGGAGATCGAGGACAAGAAGGTCACGATGCGAAGCACACGTACGGCGCGGTCGCCGGATAAAGCGCTGGAAGGCCTCCTTCTTGCTCGCATTAATTACTTGCGTTCCGGCGCAAATGAAGCATAAGGCCCGAAGTCGATTTTTCGATAGGCAAGCTATAGCTGGCTTGAACAGGGGTCCACGGCAGAATATCGCGAACAAAATTCACCTACGTCATCCCTTTGTTGGTTGGTTTCTTAGTTTTCCGAACTTTTTTCTCCCTGTTGCGCGAAGTGCTTTTGCTCGTTCGATAGGACGAAGCACGTTACCATGTTGAATTTGGTTGTTTACATCAGTCTTGCGGGCGAAATCTAGTGCAGGTTTTCAACAACATGCGGTAGTATCGTGCCTTGCCTTGCCTGCTCTGCCATGACCTGCATACCCGGATTCCAGGACCTGCAGAGAAGACCCTGAAAAGGGGACCCTTTGGCCTGCCATCTCTATATTGATTGAGGGGAACAGGCTAGTACAAAGCCTGAAACACTGAGAAACGGTCCCATGCGTGAGCCTGAAATGAGAATGCATGAGGGGTCAAGTCCCTCAGCGTCGTATGGCGCTGAAGTTGCCCATCAAGCTCTAGGCCTCATGTATGGGGAGGGGGAAGCTCTAGGCCAATCTCAGGTCATTTGTCTGCACCACTTCTGACCCCCTCCTTGAGAGTTACAGTACGGTACTCGTGACTATTTTCTGTGTCCATGGCATTTTTGCGCTTCTCTCCTGAGCAAACAATTTTGAAGATATCACTACACCCCTCGCTATCTTGCCCCCAAATGCTCAACAGAGCACTCTGTCGCAAGCGCCACCCTTCCCGTTGCCTGCAGATTCCAGCCACAAGCCGCTCTAACACAGTGACATGGATGTGCATCAGAACGAAATCTGAACTGCCGCCAACGTTCAGGCATAGAAAATTCCAACACACGTCATTGTCATTCTATATCGATACTTCAACCTGTCAAAAGGGATGGGTGGTTTCTTGTCTCCAGACAATTCAGGAAACATCTCCGGGGAAAAACTTTCCCCTGATATTAGTCTTTGAGAATTAGTCCCAGCCGTCATGGGTATCTTCTACAGCTTCCAAAGCGCGCCACACCTACCCACGAGCGGATGGCGACGATTGAAGTAAAGATTGCCTATCGCTCGTATCTTCTTCTCCAGAAAAGTAAGAAAATGGGCCCCGCTCCGATGTCGATTATTGAATCTGGTGAGGCTCGGACCACATGTTTCTTTTTATATCTCGAGACCCCTAGATCTGCGAAACTCAATTGAGGCCGATCGTCGTGAGAATTATTTATTATCGTCTGACACTACGTCATGGAAGCGATTCCAAAGTTTGCGAGATCCACCGATGTCACCTGAAGGGTCCTTGTAAGCCCCGGCCAAGCACGCGCTTCGAATCGGCTTCCTATCCATCTTCTCATTTGTTCCACACTAGAAGAACGGAATGTCTTTGATCGCCTTCCATTTGTCTCTCTCCAGCCATTTCTCCGACTGGATGACCACTAACTCCTAAAAATAAGGGTTCTATTCCCATGAACCTCACACCAACGTCCTCAAGGTTTGTGCTTCCACTATCTTGCTTTCCTCGGACGAGCTCAAAATTTCAGTTGCCGACAGGCAAACAAAGAATTACAGTACACGCCGCCGATGTTGGCCCTTGCCATAAGGGTTCCCCCAGTCTTCGACATTCTCTTCCTTGTAGGAAGCGCAGCACTGCTGCTGTGCCTGCACATTCAAAGCATATACTCCGTAATGCATGTAACGCTGCAAGTCTGCCAGAAACGAGTTTACTATCTGCCATTCGCGGCACGCATTCACAGATGGCATTGCCCACTGCCGGATGGAGAGATGATACCGAGGTTTCGATGGGGTTACATACCGCTTCGAGCCACGGCTTTTGTCCATGGGTCAAGATGGGGGAAAGCCCCGAATGAGACGTTGTGATTCTGGTGAATGTTCCCTGCACCGCGCCGGCCACTCGGGGAACGGTGACCACCAGATGGGGCGGCTTGAAAGTATCGTGATTTTAGTGTTTCCAATATTACCTTATTACTGTATAATAGGAGGACTGCCCTGCCTATATGTAGATTATTGGTATCGGCATTTGCCTCGACATTTGTTGAAAACTCCTGGGAATATTAAACTGTCTGCAGCCAGAGCGAAGATAATGGCAAGGCATTTTGCTCGAGTCATGAGGTGAGACTCAGGTACTTGGGTAGCGACGTCGGATTTGGCGGGTCTGTCAAGGGGAGAGCCAACTGCTTGTTTGATATGACGACGATCTTACGCATACTTCGCGACCTATGTATGCATGATACCAACGAGCAACGTGTAGTTTTTCTGCTTGCCAAAAGCTTATGGAGAAGGATATATCGGGTTCGAATTACTAAACTTACATAACGCAGCCCTTTTTCAGGACGCAACTGGCCTTGGCACATCCAGCTTTTCGGGTAATGGTGCCGTGTTTCTGTCTATCCAAATGGCATGGAAACGAACAGTGTCTTGCTGGAGTTAATGAGGTCGAATCATGCACTACTTGTTCGGCAAGCTGCCTGCTTACCAATAGACCACAGTGCTTGCTTTCAGTTGGGCTTACCTTTGATAGTGGTAAAGTAGCCTCATGGCTCATCGCATCTGTCTGTCACTTGACGAACAATTCAAGACAGAGAGTTGAGTCCCGTGGTTCAATGATTCGCTAAAAGCCGCCTGGGCTTATCATGATTCAGGTCAGTAGGTGGTATCAGCAACGTTGAATAAGTGCACAAATCGAGTGAAGGTTGCAACCAAATCATACTCCGGTACCGACATGCACCCTCACTCTTTATAACATGTTTTCCTCTTTCTTTATTTCCCTCCAAAGCTCTCCCTTCCATGATTCGGCCTGTTTCCGCAGCTCCAGCCCATGTTTTGTTGAGATCCAAAATCGCTAAACGACTCTAAAACGGCCCGCTATCTCCTTTCTTATCGCAAGCGCCTCAAAAACGTCACCAGGCTTGGGGCTCGGAATCGAGGACAATTGCTTCCTCGTCCAACCACCATTCAGTCACGACGTTCCACAACTCGATATCACGCCTATCCACGAAGTCCTAGCATCTAGTGCTCAATCTGTCTTTGTATCATTATGGCTTCAGCTTCTTCGGGCTCATTTGAGCCCTCCCCGGCTTCGACTGCCCCTTCCACTGCGTCCGACTCTTCTGCGAATAACGCCTTGGCTACGGCGGAAAAACCTCCAGATGATACCTCGAAACTGCGGATGTTCTTGGGTATCTTGAGAAAGTAAGATGTCAATCTGCGAGGGCAAGGACGGACCATAATTCTTTCCTTCACCGCTCTATCTTCGGGATTTCAAGTCAAATTTGCCTCTCACTGTTTCAGAGATCTGAAGTCTCGAAACTAGCTTGCTGTATCATGGTAGAACTGTACTGATATGGCATTCCTTTCGCAGATTCATTGGAGTAGCAGATATTGCTTCGGTGCGCTTCTCATTGCCAGCCCAACTTCTGGAGCCGACGCCTAATCTCGAGTATTGGAACTACCTCGACCAGCCGCACACCTTCGTAGCCATTGGCGACTCGGACGATGCCTTTGATAGGATGCTGGAGGTACTCCGGTTTTGGTTTACTAAAGATTTGAAGTATGTGAAGGGGAAACCATGCAAGCCGTACAACTCAACTCTGGGAGAGTTTTTCCGGGTAGGTTTGGCATACTGCTGGTGAAGGATTTGGTCACTGATGACGGCATAGTGTAACTGGGAGGTACAAGATACCGCGCCGGCCATCACGGCAAGCAAAATGCAATCTGCAGCAGGAAGCGCGGCGTCCTCTATCAAATCAAAGAAAACACCTGCAGCCTCGCGCAATGCCTCGCCACCTGCCGATGTAAAGGCTGTAGAAAAGAATGGTCGTGTGGTAAAGGTGTCATATCTCACAGAACAGACATCTCACCACCCTCCTGTCTCAGCGTTCTTTGTGGACTGTCCCGAGAAAGGGCTCACAGCCCGAGGTTTCGACCAGATTTCTGCCAAATTCACAGGCACAAGTATACGAGTCACTCCTGGGGAGCACAACCTAGGGATATTCATTACGCTCTCAAAACGGGATAATGAGGAATATCAGCTCACACACCCAGCTGCCCACCTGGGAGGCTTACTACGAGGGAGTCTAAGCGTGACGGTAGGAGATTTGTGTTTTATCACCTGTCCCCAAACGAAGACCAAGACTATTCTGCACTACATGGAAGAAGGCTGGCTAGGCAAGACGCAGAACAAAGTGGAGGGAGTCATCTTTCGATATGATCCCGAGAACGACAATAAGACGAAAATCAAAGACGTCCCCGACAAGGATGTTCTGGCTAGGATATCGGGGAACTGGAAAGAGAAGCTTTATTTCTCGCTTGGCCCGAAAGGGGTATGTGTAAACATCTCTGCTTTCGTCATCCCCACCCCTAATAATTTCTCCCTGAGACATGTACCTATTCAATACCAGGCAAGATTAGCTAACAGAACCAGGATACTCAAACCCTCCTAATAGACCTTGCCCCCCTAAGCGTAGCCCCCAAGCTCCTTCCCCCACCAACGGCGCAATTACCCAATGAGTCCCTCCGCTTCTGGTCTTCTGTCACCGAAGCTATCAACTCAAGGCAGTACTCGCGCGCCACAGCACTCAAGCAAGAGCTCGAAGAGCGTCAGCGCGAGAAAGCCAAGGAGAGAGAAGAAACCGGTACGACATGGACTCCTAGATTTTTTGTCGGCGCTACGTCGCCCCTGGGGAAGCCAGAGTTGACGGATGAAGGGAGAGAGGCATTGAAAGCGCTGCAGGAGGATAGGTGGGAATTGAGCGAAAACAAGGTTATGGGTGCTTAGGTCAACCTCGCTGTTCTCACTTTCATTAGGAGTTGATTCGGGTGGTAGATACATGGTGCTTACACACACAGCTAGCAGATAGATATCAGGCTACAGAGATGATATGATCAGTGAGAAGATGGTATTATGTGCTGGCATAGGAAGGAGTTGGAGTATATACGTGGAGCTCGACATACGGTGACTTGATTCGGTTGATTGGTTAGCTGGTTGGTTTATCTGATAGCACGCTACAGATGCGAAGCATAGAAGTTCATGACGTGACCAGGACTGTCGGTGGCATATTTCTAGTTCTTCTCGGTCTCTAGATTCCAGCATCAGTTGGATTTACGATACACGGGTTCTTGGGCCGTGGCAATTTGGTATTTCATGTGCGACTCGTGAGCAGACTTCCCTCTCTTGCATATACTCATTCGTTTCCTTTGGTAGTTCTATATGTTGCAGTTGGTGGCGTCGAAGATGGTGTGCATGTTTTATTTGTTTGTTTGTTGACATAGCCCTCGCTTGACGCTGTGAGGAGATGCAAGCAAAGCTGGAGAAACGGCCAGACCTGTGGTTGATGAGACTTGACGTAGAAGTCATAGCGTACTAGATAAAGGAGTATACAATCTACCACGAAAAAAGATGCATTGCTCTGTCGGGCCGCTAGTGCTTTGACATCTGTCATCCATTTATTGTGTCGTAGCTATATTTAGACCCCTTGTCTGGGGCCAGGCTTGCCTCGCCTACATGCAACCACAGGCAAGCTGTAGATCGACTCAAGTGCCACGAGCCATTTCGAATCTGCGGTGTTGGTGTTGGGTATAGGGGGATTTTACTAAGGTTGAGGAAGTCTCAAAATGGGCTATCATAACAATCCGGCCATGTTCAATCATCTCCTTCATATTTTCTGAGGTTAATAGTATGTGAATGAGACTTCCCTGCTTCGCCTGGCTCCCTCACATGCTCGTATTCCGCAGATATACATTACCACTACAAATTGCTTGTAGACGGCGCTGCTGCTATTTCAATGACAGGATGCTTGGAGCAATCGAAGTTGAACGGTCGGTTCGGCTTCATGGAGCAAGTCCTTCAACTCAACGATTTCCGTCAACGTCAAGCGGATGAGCAATCAATCGCCGGGATCGTCGCATGAGAACGCCTGCCCTTTCTCAAGAAGGGCTCCTAATAGCCGTCTGTGACTGGTCCTACCATGCACGGGCAGTACTCGCTTGGCCTGCATGTGGGCCTCTCTTTGGCAGACGAGAAACTCAATTCGACTAGCAGTTGAACGGTCGATTACTGCTTCCAATGTATCGTCGTTGACAAAAGCCCCCTCAGGTCTAGCTTCTGAGCAGAAGAGCGGATGATTATACTTCTCACCATGTCCCATATCCAATGATAGGGTGACTTTTGCAACAGAACGCGAAGGGGGACACCCTCAATGCCGGAGGCAAGATTGAAGTCTACAGATAGTCAAGCATGGATTGAAAATAAATTTTTCATCCCTCGCGTGAAAGATTCTGTTAGTGTTGAGAAAAATTGAGCCCTGAATTTCAATCGGTGCGGCGTAAGTAGTGTCGTCGTAGACCTATTCTCGAGATGAAGAGCAAGTTCTAGAGGAGTTTCATCCAGCTTGTCTTTCACATTGCGACATGAGTTGATGCTGCTATTGTCCCTGCCAGCTGCGTTGAAGAGTGTTGTTGGATCGAGGTGTTTTACTTTGCATACTTGTGTCTGCAGATGCTCGCAAATGATGCTGACAAGATAACGTTCTGCCCCAGGCTTCGAAGTGGACTTAGATCCAGCGAAAGGGATAGCGACGATGACCGTAAGATCTCGGGGATGTCTTGCGATGTCAAAACGTAAGAAGCTTGTTTCTCGCCGGTTCATTGCTTAATTTGTCTTTTGATGTCATGTCTCACTTGGGCCAACAAGATGTCGGCAGAGATGGGCGAAACAAAGGTTGATCTCAACCCTAGATTCTCGGCTAGAAATTTCTCCCGTCTGACATCCCGATCTGGTCCTAAAAACCTCAAAGGACGGGAACGCAAGAGGATTCATCACAACCAAGTATCGCTCGATCATGAAATGATCCTTTGAGACTGTCCCATACGTTCGTCTGGCGTGAACTCCACAGTTGCGAAATACTCGGACAGGTGATAGGGTGTCTTTGCCCGGACCAAAAAGAATCGTTTCGAAATAGTGTTACACCCGATAGAATACCACCAATCCTGAACGTCAGGAGGTTGGGAGGTCCGATGAGGTACTGCCAGACAGCAAGACCTGGGACTGGGGCCGTGATCGACGTCCTTTTAAGCTCGAGACTGGCAGACTAGGTTGCTGTCAATACGGCTCTCGCATAAGGTAGCGACGATGGGGCGGATGCGGCCTGGCAGCCAATCAGCGTCTTGGAATGCGACATGGATCTTCGCATTCTACACGGTAGGGCAGTGCGGTGCGGGAAGAGCTGCCACAGTCGGCTGAGACGATGGACTTAGAGAATTCCTATATATTGCCGCTTCTCTGATTCCCAAGACTCATTTACTCCGCTGGTTCACAGAGATTTGAACGACGTCTGCCACTTGAACCGCAACCCTCACAACAACAACAATTTGCGCAACAGCGCATTTCTCAATTTTACTATCGCAATCTCCAGCATCTATTGTTCGAGACCGAATTCAGATCTGATACAACCGGGAAGCGTACAAGATGGAGGACGGGAAGTATGGTTCGTTTGGACTGAAAGTCGTGTCGAGAGACTCGCTGATGACTGTGAAGTTGACGGCAGCTTATGGTTTTATGCACCAAACAAAGGAGCACCCGTAGTATGGGCATTCTTATTCCTCGTCTCCGGACTCTGGCATGCCTGGCAGTGCATGTAAGTTTCTTCAGCGCTTCTTGTGGAGAAGTCAACTGACACTCTGAAAGACACTATAAGTCTTGGAAAGTCTCTGGCGTTCTGCCTTGGTCCGCTCTCCTCTTCGTTGTTGGTTATGTCCTTCGCGAAGTGGGGGCTTTCAACTACGACAATGTCAACATCTTCATCGCCAGTCTTGTTTTTATCTATGCAGCCCCGTATGTCTTCCCATACATCGTCCAACAGGGGTCCCATACTAATTTTACAGACCACTTTACGAGCTATCAAATTACTTTATGCTCTCCAGAATTCTCTACTACGTCCCGTACCATTCTCCAATCCATCCAGGCCGAGTCCTGACTACGTTTGGTGCACTCTCAGCCGTCGTAGAAGCTCTCAATGGCAACGGCGCGGCATACGTAGCCAACACAAGTCTACCGGAATCCAAACAGAACATGGGCAAGAGCCTTCTCAAATCTGCGCTCGTTCTCCAACTCGCAATCCTCGCAGCATTTTTGGTACTCGCCAGCTACTTCCATCGCCGGTGCAAGAAAGCCAATCTCCTACCCGCCAACTTACACGCCGCACTTGTTACTCTCTATATCTCGTCCACTCTGATTGGAGTCCGTACCATATTTCGCACGGTCGAATACTTCACTGTTTCGGACCTCAACTTTGCGGCTATACACACAGACAGCGATTTGTCCCCGCTCATAAGATATGAATGGTTTTTCTGGGTTTTCGAAGGCGTCCTCATGATAATCAATTCCTTCCTATTGAACTTCCGTCATCCGATGCGGTTCATCCCAAGGGACAACACCATTTACCTTTCCGAAGACGGAGTCACCGAGATTAAAGGCCCAGGGTATCTCGATAAGAGACCATTTCTTGTCACATTCTTTGATCCATTTGACATTCATGGTGCAATCAAAGGACGGAATATGAATAAGAGATTTTGGGAAACCCATCAGGAGGGAAGGGTTGATGTGGGGAAGAACCCGGACAGTGAGGCAGAGAGGGGTGTCTCTACTACTGCTACTACTACTAAGTGATAGATAAGTGTTTTCATGGTGGGGATAGAGATGGAGATACCCTGTGGCTTTTAGTTTTCGTACTCGACCTTTCTCGTTACATTGTTTTGATGTTGAATGTTGAGAGGGTGGCTTTTGGAGAAGTGTTTCGTACTGTGCCGTAGAATGCTTGTGCTTTTGCAAATTGATCAACGAATAAGCAGTTATTTATTACAAGTTATAGCCTCTAAAATCTAACAACTACGTTCAATTTTCAGCTGACGAGAAGTCTTTTTCCACCGGGGAGCTAGACGAGGCTGTGTATCAAATACCCCGCCCCTACATAAGGCTGATCCTCGCCACTGGTTGCTTCCACTTCAATAGTACTCAAGAACAAAATTGCATACAAAACTCCTTTTCGACACGGACAGATATATATATATATACAAGTGCTCTGTTAATTCTCACCGACTACCAGAGATCTCCATGATGCCATCCCCACTTAGCACCCAGGTCATTCAAACGTCTGACTCTGTTGTCACAGCTCTCCACACCACCTTGCGCAATATATTCGTAGCACTTGATGATGGGACAGTAAGGGTCTTTGATATAAATGATGGCCATGAAAGAATTCTCCAGGCGAGTCAGAAGGGTGGTGTTTGGGCTTTGGATACGTGGTTCGAAGAAGGGAGGGAGGAGGAAGAATGGCTTGCCGTTGGAGGGACGGATTGTTTGGTTGGTATTTGGTTGGTAGGGAGTCTGTGAGTTTTGATTTACTCTTCTGTTGGTTGGTTTGAGATGTCTCTGGTAATCTTGACCTGGCTGAGATAGGACTGGGAGATCCTCGATCTGACTTTCTTTGAATAATTGTTCCAGTGAGGACTGTTGCGAAGACATCCCAACGAATAGCGATAATATCTGACCTTCCACAATTAGTGACAAGAAAGTAAGCCTTGCCGGCCACCAGATGACTGTTCGCTGCATCTCTACCCTCTCAACATCCCGAGTTCTCTCCGGCTCACGAGATACCACCCTTCGAATATGGAATATCAATACCGCCACCTGTGAAGCAATCCTCGAAGGCCATACCAAAACCATCAGGCAGATCGCAGTGAAAGACAACGTCGCCGTCTCTGCTAGTTACGATTCTGATGCGCGGGTCTGGGATTTGGAAACGGGGACGTGTTTACATGTTCTAAAGGATCATACGGAGAAATTATATGCTGTGGCTTTTGATGGAAAGAGGATCGTTACTGGGAGTATGGATAAGACAGTGAGAGTGTGGGATCCAGTTTCGGGGTATGTTGTATTGCTGCTTTTGCATCTTGATCCTCCTGGACTTGAAGTTACTTGCATGGTGGATGAGCTAACCTGGATTCAAGGACATGCCAGACTATGCTGCAGGGGCATACTAGTCTGATCACGTTCCTGGACCTCTCATCATCGAATCTGATCAGTACCAGTGCTGGCGGTGACATATTTTCCTGGTCTCTGGAAAATTACTCCAAGAACTGGGAAGTCTCAGCTCATGACAATTCTGTGACAACACTCCAAAGAAACGAGGAAATCTTCATCACTGGTGGCTCCGATGGTAGGGTCAAGGTGTGGAATGGCAAGTGGAAGCCTCCCTAGAACAGTCTCCTTAGAACAGATGAAGGAATATACTAACAAAACTCATAGCCCAAACCGGAGCAGAGATAATTAACCTTCTGAGCTCAGATGCAGTCTGGCAGGTCGCCATCTTGGGCCAGAAAATCCTCACATTATTCTCGAGGAATAAGCAGATTATGATGGAAGTAAGCATAATCTCACCTTCCCAGACTCTAGGTGGGGTGTCGGTCCGTTAACTGATTTTGACGTACTGTAGTTTTGGGCTGTGCCGGCATCATCATGAGTTGAGGCACGGGGATCCGACAAACGAAAACTGCGATTGCACCACCGAGGATTCAGGATGGTTTGAGGTTCGATCTGTAAGGACTCAACCTTTTGAGGTTTACTCCGGCCAATCATCGATTGAGGTTCTGACTTTACCTTGCGTGAGCGAAACCGAATGGAACGAGGATAGTTCTGGTTCGCAGACCAGAGGACGCTCCGCCGCCCCTCGCTTCCTTTGTTGCTCCTCTGCCAAGTCATATGATGAGAAATAAGCAATAGGGCTATTGAACTCCTGCAATCCATAGAATGAGAGTATCTACAGTCATGCCTGACACACCTGGAGAAAAGACCATATGCCCAGCCTTTGTCTCCATCCGCAGCCATCTCGCGTTTTGCTCCTTTTCTCTCTCTTGAGTTATATTTATGAATGTCGTTACAGCCCGATGGAGGCGCAACCACGTTCAAAGCCACGAGATCATAAGACGTGTCTGATCATATCCATATCATATTATATCATATCAATTGCGGCACGGAAACTGAAATAACCTGCACTCGCACATCGAACATGTCAGGTCTGCCCCTAAGTAAACCCCTGTGGAGATCAGGGACGTCGGACATGTTTTCCCCAAAACTTAAAGGAGCAAAGCTTCCAGATCTCCGGGTGGCGTTCTACTGTACTGCACTGCACTGCACTGCACTGCACTACTACTGCACTGGGCTGTCGCTGTCGCTGTCGCTGTCCTGCACCAACTCGGGTAGCCTACACGGCCGATCTGAGCACGAGACAGGGGCTGGGGCTGGGGCTGAGGCTGGAGCGAGTACTGTACGGACGTACGTACTACTGCTGCTCCATCGCTCTCCAAGGTACGCTATGGCTATGTTCGCCCCCTACCTACCTTACCTTACCTTATGTCCGCAGGGCACATGCCAACCTTTACTGTACTGTACTGTACTGTACTGTACTGTACTGTACTGTACTGTACTGTACTGTACCTAGTACCTTATCCTTTCCCCACAGTCTTACAGTACTGCAACTTACTTGTTTACTTTCAGTGTCACAGCTTCCCAGCTAACAACAACCCAACCCAACCCAACCCAACTCAACTCACCTCGTCATCGTTAACACCACCACCACCACCACCACCACCACCCATCATTTTCACCAGTTTTCAGTGTCGCCGACTCCAGACCGAGCCCGTGTTTGAAGGGCAGGACCAATTTCCAGATTGAACACATTTCTCATTTCATTTCCACCGCTGCATCGCGCGCGCTTTGGTGATTTGTTTGTTTCTTCGGGATCAAGGGATGCACAGCCCCCCATCTGATCCTTCGTTGTTTCCCTCCCCCTCCACTTCCATGCCGCATCCGTAACCAGAGCCTTGTCTCCCAACTCCCAACTCCCAACTCCTAAGTCGCCAAGTGCGGTCGGTCTTAGACTGCAAAAGCTCGACTTCCAGGCGAAATATATTGACAGTAATCCCGGCCCGCGCTGTCACTGCTGTGCGATCTGGATTGAGGACGGACTCGAGGAGCGCCAGGTTTCATGGTGTTGTTGAACAGCCGAGTTATCCCTCTCGGCTTCCCGCAGTACGTAGCAGTAGGGGTGCGTCTTTCTTAGTCAAGTAAGCCTAGGGTACCTGATACGACGTTGTCAAAATCGTCTTTAAACCTTTGCGTCCCTTCAATTCTCTTCGAGCCAGTGCGGCTCAAACATCCCACAATTCTCCGCACCTGGTTTCGAGCAGTTCCCGTTGACTCCGGAGCTGGAGACTAAACAATGGCGAACCGGGAATCAAACAATCATCGATCTCGGACGACTCGGATACCTGCGCCAGGAATATTTGTTAGCGTCGAGTTCGGCGTGTCGTTTTCAAATCGACCACCACATACGGCTTCCATGGCATATACCTCGAGACGAATGCAACAAAGATTACATCAACAGCGTCAGCAGCAAGAGGAACACCTTTTACAGCAACGGGACTATTACCAACAACCCCGAGCAACTGATTTTGAAGGACCACATCCTGCTATCTTGATGCCAGGAGTCGGTGGCTACTATAATGAGCAGCATCGGCAGCAAGAGTGGCAAGATTGGCAAGAATATCAGCCGAGGAGAATGTCTATTCGGACACAAAACAGTCGCGAAAGAGGGAGCTCTGCTCCTCCATCGCTGTCCGATCATTCCGAGTCCATCGGTCCAACCAGTCCAGTCAGTTCTATGGGAACCTTCAACCAATTCGGTGGCCTCCAGCACACGTCTAGTATGCCCATAGGTGGGATACAAGACAGATTGGAGAGGCCACTTCCACCACTTCCATCACAGTTCAGGCTGGGAGAGGACGGATTACCCTGGACTACAGAGCCTTGGTACATTGAACCAGAGTCTGAGCATCCGAATTCAACGACGACAGGAATTGAGCTTGAGAATAGGAGGCAGGAAGACCCTCAGCGGGTGAGAGACCTGGAAGCACTGCAGCAGGCTATGATGACAGTGGACAGTCTACCTCACGAAGATGCATGGGAACCATGGACTTGGGACAGCGTAGGAGATATGCCTGGAGGTCCCAGAAGCTTAGGTTGGGCAGTGCGGTCAGAAGACTCACGGCATGGAATGTCTCCGAGGGGTCCACTGCCCTATGTTGTCAGTCAGTTTGAGCAAGCTCTTGCAAGAGGTTATGTGATGAGGCCGAGAAGTTCTGGCTGAAGATACCTCGAGACAGGACTCACGCCTGCACCGAGACACTACGCTTATAATACCCCCAAACACGACTCGAGATCCGGAGCAAAGGATAGTATAATATGGCGTCATGCTTTCGATCTATATACCCGAGGACAATACACTACGAACCGCTGCACTAGATCACTTTCAATACCGTCAAATCTATCAGCATATGACGAGCAAAACCCTCGGGATCACTTGAACGGACGCTACGGCTATGGGATTGAAAGAGACATGCAGATGATGGGTGAGCGGGTAGCTTGCTCCATGGGGGACCGAGGATCAATATGGCCCAGCAATGTCGTGGATGGATCTGGTATCAACTGCACGGGTAGCCAAGGGCCATGGACGCACATTTCCATTACAGAACCTCCGTTCCATTCTGCGAGGATGCACAATCTTGTGGAGATTGAACGGCGGCTCGGACTCAGATCTTCGACAGGGTTGGAAAGAAGGAACGAACATATGCACAAGCAGAGAAGGAACTATTGATAGTAGTCTAATCCACCAGATCATCATATATCTCAACAGATCTGCTCTCCGTTTGCGGACAGCTTCTCCTTCTTCGTGTCATATTTGCCTGCTCGTTCTCCAGTTGGCAGGTGCCACACTCGGATAACAAGGTTCACATGCACGCGAGGCAACATAGGATCCACTCTCGAAGTCATCTCGCTCATCGTTTGTCGAAACGACACATCATCACATGCCGCTCGCGAAACATGAAACACAATTCTCCTGCATGCACCTCTCCGTGCGGACCACAAAGCTGGGGATATCTGCCAGCTTGGCACGACTGTGGCACTTCTCACCCAATGGCGGGTGAGGCTGGCTGAAGGTCGCGGGGCTGAGGCCCACGGGTGAGGCAAGCTGCACACAGCCACCTCAGCGAGCTTTGTCGCCTCTGTCCCGTGTTCATAGCCTCTTTCTTCTGCAATGAACCACCTCCTTGTATGATGATCTTTCAAGTAACATTATCGCACAGCTGATTTGGTTTGACCAGCGCTCCGCAACCGATGTCGTAGACGAGCGTTGTAGGAGAGCCGGGCAATATGGCAGAAGCCGCCGAGTTAACATCGGCCACTGTCAGCGTGCCAGCCTTATTCACCAGCTGCATCGAGCAATTTGACATTGCGGTCGATGATGTAAACCTTAGTGAGGAACATGAGCAGCTATTTACTCTGGTAAGCCTGTCATCTAATTTCATCTGTGATCGATGCTGACTTACTTGTAGTTCTCATTACAGCGAATCAGGTTTGGGCTTTGGGGCGAGTCTATCGGGCTGATTCCCAGTTATCACGAAGGACAAAAGCTTCGGTATGATAAGAAGCTAGATCGCCCGGATATAAATGCAGTAGTTCTGAGAATCCTCAAAAACATCAAATCCATGCTCGATGGAGCAAAGCCGATGGGCAGGGCAGATGGTTTGGGGCCAGTTGGGTTCTCTCATTCGACGTCTTCACGGGGCTTAGAAGTGTTCAAACAGCCCTACGAAAGACTCAAATTCATGTTGCAGAAGGCTCACCCAGAAGTCTCGTCCAAATATGTCTTCAGACTCGATATTCATAGAGTTGATGACTTTGAGGCGATGATCAGTCGACTTCGAGACTTTGTTGATGGACTTGAAAGTATTACCAAGTCTTTTGGACTTCTTGAACAGCAGCATGCTAAGCTTGTTGAGGAGATCAAAGACATCTCCGACGTTCAAAGTCTGAGACTGCTACGCGATGCTACTTTGAGAAAATCGTCACTTCAATTTCAGGTCTTCGAGACCGCTACTCAACGTCTCGAACTCATGACCGGATCTGTCTTGGAGCGCCTCAGCGGAGAAACTCTGGATTTCAGCACCATATACTTGGCAACAACAGCCTCGATTACAACATCTGGTGGGATGAGATCCTTACAGACCGAAAGTTTGGTCAGTAATGGCCATTCACTGTCTGAAAGCGCACGTCTTTCACTGATTTCAGGACAGCCGCAGGCACAGAAATTCCGAGCTGTTCCTCCTTTACGCCGGCCGAAAGAAAAAGCAAAGCCGGCGACGTCATGTACTGAATGTCTGACAGAACATTACAAGTGCGTCACAAATGATAAAGACCAAGCTTGTACGAGATGCCTCCAAATGGAAAGAGCATGCAGCTTCCTGCTTCTAGTGCAACATGAAGACGAAGAAGCCAATGAACCTCAGCTTGGATCACAGAATCTTTTGAAGTCAACTCCCGAAGCACTGACGGAGATTGCAATCGAGAACTCGACATCTTCAAGCGGCTTACCTCAGAATCAACGCTTACTGAGTGACCTAGTTGCGTAGGCACAACCACGGAAACCTTTGGCTTTTCAAACGGGTGACAGTCATTATGGTGAGCAGTTACAGGAAATTAAGGAAGAAGACACCAAATACTGGATAAACAATTCAGGGAAGATCGTTGCTCATGTGAACAGCGGATCTTCTGCAGCAAAGAGGATGTTTCTTGAGCTGCGAAATATTCGGTCCGGAAAAGTGCCTTTTGTCAGTGCAGCCCCTCTAGATGACAGGCTGGACAGAATACTGGCGAGTATAGAAGGACCGCCTGAGACACCTTACGAGGGCGGTGTATTCTGGATTACAATCAAATTGTCACAAAGTGATCCCTGTGGACCCCCGCTCATGCGTTTCCACACAAAAATCTACCACCCCAACATATCTCCGCAAGGGCACATTTGTGCCGACTACAAGGACAAGTGGAACGACGTGCTTTCCGCAGGCTTCAGCGAATCCCATGTCAAGGATCCCTCGGATTTATGGTTCTCGGGAAACTCAAGGCAGATCAAATGGTCTCTAGGAGCTCTGTTAACGGCAATATGCGGACTTCTAGCATCTCCTGATGTTGAAGATCCACTTGTGCCAGAGATTGCCATGAAATACCTCGAAGATTACGATGAATATTGCCGAAATGCAAGACTATTCACAAAGAAATGGGCAACCAGTCAAAGGCCAGATGAAAGGAGCTTTCTGTTTCTTGAAGACTCATTATCTGACCGCTCGGGTACACACATGCCACATTTTGCCCTTGGAAGAAAAGCCGCCAAACATTGATGTGGTCAGCCTTCAAAAGCCGTTGCGCGAAATCTATGACGACAAAGTTCTTGAAGGAGCTGATTCTATGGTTCAACACGAACCATTGATAGGGAGCTCACAGAGGAATTTTGCATCGATCGTCCAAGAGTATTCCCCTCTAGCTTCTTACGTCAACTCTTCGGTCAATTTAAATGGAATCACTCAAGAATTCTTCAGTAATCCAGCAGAATATCCCATAAAATGGTCCGCAAACTCGACTGAGAGCTACATGGCGCCTGACCTAAGGCGGTTAATTCGTCGTTGTGGTGGACGCCTGAAAACAAACCCCAGTTTTCGTGGCAAAGAACTCTCTGACGTTTCAATCTGGTATTCACTCCTAGAGATCTTTGTTTTCAACAGGCGGCCCTGGAACCGTGGAACAGACAGTGATGAAATGAATCGAGCGGTTAAAGCCTGTACTGGTCCCTATTTGACACTGTGCGAGCATGGGATATTTGAAGTGACGGAAGCCTCTTCGCACAAATTCTATAAGATCTCAATCGAAAACGTTATTGGGGATGCGGAATGGACTATAATCAGATCTTGGGACGACTTCCGCGAGCTGAACAAGCAATTGTCCATTTTCCTGCCTGGAGCTGAACTCTGGCAACCAGGATCCGCCCTTGATAGGCAAAGCAATTGGATCAACTACCTATCGGACGAAACGATCCCCAATCCTCGAGTCATGGGCCCACTGCTAGGCTTTGCCCTCAGGTCAACATTCCTACAACACGGCTCTAAGCTCCTTGATCTAGCCATGAGTTCCGGAATCATCGCTTTTCTCCGACCCACTGGAAGCTTAGATGGGGTCACTTTGCGGAACGAAGGATTTTCTGTGTATAGAATGGCTATGTATGGAGAACCACTGCGTATCATCAACTTGGGTGCTTTCATACCCCCGAAGCTCTTTGCAGTCATGATGGTGAACCGAGTAGCAGAGTACGAAACCCCAGCCTCCACATATTTGATAAATCACGGGCAGTCACGTTTCAGTCTACTTCTTCGTTCGAAGTTGGATCCAGAGTCAGCACAGAGTTTTGATCTCTACACTGTGAAAGACGTGGCTGCCTCTGAGAGTCTGACAGCTCTCGATTCTCCTCCAGTCCCGATGTTACTTTCGTTTTCAATTGGTTCTGCGTCGAATCTACATGAGTCCGAGTTTGAATCGATGAGCTTTCTCTTCTCTGATTGGATGGATTTTATATTGTGGCATGAGGTATTGAAGCTTTTCAGTCGACTCGGGCCTTATCCTGATGGACCTTGAAGCCATGATATTCCACGCAGCTACCTGCTTTCTTTTTCCGAAACTATATGATTTTCTACGCGATGTGTATTTTAATTCTGAGAATTAACCCAGCTTGGGTATTCTCTTAGACGACTTGCAGATACATAGCTGATTGGAAATCTTATGTATTCTCACTTATGTCTTACTTAGTCCGGCTCATAAGTAGATCGTACCTCCCACCACTGCATAATCATCTAAATGGTCATGGTATCATACGCATTTACAACCAAATTTGTACAGTGACTTTACTCAGAAACAGATTTCTGAATTCGTGCGACAGAAAAACAATATCTACAACAAGATCGCCCGATGCCTTTAAAAATCTGGCCCTGGCTTCTCTGTATGGCCACGACCATTTTGTTGAAAAGTACCACGACCTTGAAGCAATGTTCGGTACCACACGTCTGGTCTAAAAGGCACAGTGGGAATTCTGCGCTGACAGCCTCCAGATTTGGCGACCTCTTGTTGACATTGATGCATTAAGCGAGGTCAACTGAAACGAGAGCAAAAAGGCATCCATAAGACATTCACACTCCAGATATCCGCTGCCGATGATCAGGAAAAGAGTGCGGTCATATGTGCAACTATATGAATTGTCATAAAAACCACAAATTCGAAAGAAATTCAATTTTTTTAACTGCTGGGATCGTCCGTCAGAGTCAAATAGAGCGTGAACCCGCCCCTTCCCACCAGAGGGGAACATGCGCGAAGCAGCCACAAATATTTGATCTGATCCTGTCTGTCCATGGCAGTTCGAAATTGAATGCCATTCGAGAAGATGCAGGGAGCTTGTAGCTCGGCAGTCACAGATAAGAGCACATGAGTTGAAAGCGTTGTGGTGATCTGCATATGACGCCATGAAGTGGAAGGACAAGAAGCAGAGAATGAAAAGACGCCTTGCTCTGGTACATGTGAATTGTGATTGGCCGTCGGTAAAAGGAACTGACTTAACGTCTGCCAGTCGCGCAAGAAATCTCGTACGTTGGGACTGCCGGGGAAAAGGCAGGTGCGACTCCAGTTCAACTGGAACTACCAAGCTAGCACCCCCATTTCAGCCGCCTCGCAAACTGGCAACTGCATCGAATTGCATTGCATTGCAGGCACAACTCATTGACGTTCCCTAGCACTGCTCCACAGGGAAGCCGCGCAATCTCAGCATCGTCTCGCGCATCCCTACCTTCCGGTCGCTCGCAGTTGACTCGACTCGACTTGCTTCGCTTCTCGGACCGCATCTCGGTTCGCATCCAACACCACCACCGCGACCTGACCAGACACTCGCACTTTCCTTCCCAACAAATCCAAGCAGAGGCGTGGACGAACAACCATACACACACACTCCTCTGACAATGATCGGGACACGGACATGCCTTCCTCTTCACATCACACAGAATTTTGAGAGAATTTCTAGGATATCCACACCCCGCTTCGTCTTGATATTGAGACATCCGGAGCGAAGAGAATGTACGCGCACCAATGCTGGATTTACCTTACTCGCCGGACGACACATGAGATGTGTATTCGGAACGGAGCGAATTGATTTAACGTATTCAGCGAGGAGTGTAATATATTTCAGAATGGAATGTGAAGTCGGTATAGAATGAGTGGGGCGACAAGGCATTTCGTCCTCCTTGGTTCGGACCTGCTCGTCCGTGACCTCTGCAAGCGTGGGAGGGAGGAATCGAGTGGAGACTTTGGAGGAAATCGGGGGCAGGGAACCAATAATATGGCAGACGCGAGAGATGAGTATGACAGCATAGCAACCCCTGGAGCAGCTTGGGCTTGAAGATGTTGAGAACTGCGTTGTGAACCCGGATCCAGGACAATGTAGCCATTACGATATCATTCAACAGCAATTAGAATAGTATTTCTTTCTCCTTGAACCTGCCTCTAATGTATCTCATCACCCATCATCACCAATCCACTCAATCCAACCAGGAATGTAGTTACACTCAGGACCCCCCACCATTCTCTGTCCAGCTCATCCAACATCATAATCTCGTGTTTTCGTAAAACTCCCCTGTGGGCCCTCTAATTCCAGTCCAGGCCTCCACCAAATCATATCCAATCCCGTTTCCATCTAGAAGCGAACAAAAGAAGCTTTAGGGAGTCCCAAAGGAAAGAGGCAAAAACAATAAAACCAAAGGGGTATACACCACAACAAAAAGCGCAAGTCAACGCCTTAACATGGCCAGCTAGCCAAATGTAGTTCTAGTCAATAATCCAAACCAAAAAGACTACCGCCCCAAAGATAACAGATCCTATCGAGTACACAAAACCACCAAAAACGGCTCATGCTACAAAGTGTAAACGCCGCTCCCGATGAATGCCAGGTGTAATCCAGATCCGTGTATGTCGTTCAAGGAGAAGTTTGTATGCGTACTCGAAAGTGTGATGAAGTGGAGTGAAGAAGGGTAACGTATAGACATAATTTCGTCGGTTTCCGGGAAGTGGTACAGACACAAAAGAAAACTTTCATCCCAGACTTATTCTGGTATGAGTGTAACATCACCCTCATCCTCGTCGTCATCGTCGGCCTCGGGTGCTTGTCGCGCTGCTCGTTCTGCATATATTTTTTGCTTGCCGATATCAGCGGCTCCCAATGAATCGATGTAGGTTCTGAACTTGACGATCTCGCGAAGAAGATAAGAGGACTTCTTCTCCCAATTAGCCATAGCCTTCTGTGCGTTGGGGTGACGCGGAGTAAACTGGATAATGTTAGCGATGTACATGAACAAAATCATTACCAAATAACCTACGGCAAGTAACATAGGACTGCGTAATTGATTGTGCTTCTGGAGCTCATCCTCAATTCCGGCAACATAATCCGACAAAGTTCGCAACTGATCCGCTTCCATAAGGTTGCTGGCTCTCATACTCTGAGTTGGTGGTGTCCAGTCCGAAATGTTAATCTTGTCTCCGGGCAATCGAGACCTGAAGCCTCCGCTGGGATATCCTTGATCAAGACTCGATCTGAGAGAACTCTGAAGACTCGGTCGGTTTCCACTGGTAGATGGTCTTGTAGACTCGTTGATAGCATTTACCAACGAATTGTTGACAATAGCGTCAGACCATCCATACTCAATATTGCTGATACCGCCCACAAGCGGATGATTTGACAGACGGGCACTCCAGTAGTTGGCAGTGGAGACGAATTCCTTGACGATGTCTGGTGTACCAACCTGGAAGAGATGGACTGCTCCCGATGGCAACGAGAGAGCCCAGACGTGGGGACGGGCCTTGGAATAACCGGGAGAGGGGAGTGCGCTGGCTATGGTTTGCCTGAGGAGGAACGATCCAAGGCTTTGAGCGTTCTCCTGCCAATTGCCTCCGCCAACAACCCCTCCAGCAGTCTTACTTTTGTTCTTGTTGCGTATGCTTTTTGATGAGAAGGAGAAAAGGCTCATGTAACCCTTTTCGATAACGGCAAAGACCTCGTTCCAGTTACGATCTTTGGCCTTCTTGTCCAGAGCCTCCAGGTGATGCTTGTGCTTAACAATTCCTTCCTTTGCCCACGGCGCTCCATGCAGTTCCAAGGACTCGTCTTCAAGTAGGGGTGCGACGCGGTGTTCTTCACTTTCATCTCTTTCACTGCCATTACTTCCTGGACCTCCAATGGTCTCCTCACGAATGATAGCCTGACTGAGGGCATTGGCGAAACCAATAGATTGCTGGTAGTCGCCTTGAGGAAAGCCCGACCCGCGTGAATCAACTGACATAGAGGTGTGCGTCTTACCAAGAGAGTATTTGCTCCATGTGCTGGATGATACAGATGGACTCCACATTGAAGACTGATCATCCAAACTTGTTCGGCTAGAACCCATGCCGGAACCTGGATACAAGCGAGGCCGTGAACGATTCTTGCTTGCCCACTTTCCATTCCCTACTCGGACAGTCTCCGCCGTTCTTCCCCTGATAAAGCTTTGAGACTCTGATGGTGCTTTGCTCAGCACGCTCGGAGTTCGGCGGAGCATTCCGTTTGTGAAGACCGACAGGCTATTGGAAGAAGGTGCTTGAAGAAGTGGTTTCTCGATTGGTGCGCCAAACAATGGCAAACGTTCGTTTCGAATGGAGTTATAGAAGTCTTTGAGCACAATCTCTACTTGTACTTCCCATGTTCGCAGTGTTCCGTGGAAAGGTGCTTTTACCAATGGTCCGCAGTCGTCGATAGGTGTGTCATAATCCAGTGGGGTAGGCGCAATTCCATCAGAATCCGTCCGCGGTGGAGGCTTGAAGGAAGTTCTCCATGATGGTCTCTCAACTTCGATGGAAGACCTTTCAGGCTTCAATGAAACGTCGCTAGCTTGCTTGGCAGAATCGAAGGTCGAGCTCTTCCCAGGTAAGATTGATGGTCTAGTCGGTTCGAAGGCATCGGGGGCAAGCTCTGCCACACTTTTGCGAATGGTGGGCATCGTGTTTTTCACAAACTGGCTGCGAGTCATCTTCTGATCGATATCCGCCAGATGTAAATCTGTGTTTAGGAGGAGAATCGAGTAGCAAATGGTATGGACGACATCTAAACAATGTTAGTTATTGGCCACCAGACGAAGGAAATAAACTAACCAATTCCTTTGAAGCCATGATTGGGGTTACAGTGACACCACCGTTTGGCAAAGTTGACCAAAATACGGTCCACCTGCTGACTCTCGGCTTTCAGGACTAATCGACCACACATGAGACGCAACGCGGCAAGTATGTTAAGATTTGTAAAGTTGTAGAGCTCCATATAGGCCACCAAGGTCCTTAAACGAACGGGACTATCTTCGCCCATCCATGCAGCAGCCCTCTCCTTCTGAACGAAATCTTCGCTTCCGTCATAGATTTTTTGCGCTTTCTCGCGATCACTCTCGCTTGGGACTATGTCTTCTTCAGCTGGGCATTCGTCGTCGAGAGATTTGATTGCTTCAGCAGCGGATAACAGGCGTCGCTGCTGTGGCGGTGACTTTTCAGCTTCCTCTCTACCTTCCACCTGCAAAATTGGCAAACTCGTGGCAGATTTGTAAACCGTATCAGTCGAACCAGACATGATGCTGCTAGGTGGCTGCTTGGAATTCAGAGGCATGGCAAGGTTCGACTCGGCGAGATCTTCTTCCGAAGAGGATGCCTCCAGCCACACACGATTTTCTGTACTTTCTGACAGAGGCTGGCCCGGCACTTTAGTGGGAGTCAGCATGACCCATTCCTCATCTTTAGTAGCTAACGTTGTTTGCTTTATGCTTGACTTAGATTCAGTTGTGCTTCGGGGAGATTCCACCGTCGAGTGAGGCTTATTTTGGTCAATCTTTGATGAGGCAGTCGGTGATCGCTTTGAGTGAACTCTTTCATACTCTGCAACGAGCGCCATATCTCTGGCGACAGACGAAGCAGGCTGTTGGCCAACCTGCCGTTTTGTTCCAGAACCATCCTTGAGACTCGAAGCAGAATTGGAAGTCGCTGGGACTTCACGGTCATTATCACTGCTATCTTGCAAGAAGGTTCCTTCACGGACATCTTGCGAATCTTTTGTACTGGATGCCCTCTCATTGGAATTAGACACCAGTTTATTTTGGGGAGGCGAAGATGATAGATTGTCCAATGGCTCCCGCTCGGTTGGTCGTACAGTCCTTATGGTGGCGCTCTTGTCTGGTTCGTAATCTGGCGAGAATCCCCTCACAGTCCTGTCCTTGGGCTCTGGACTGTCGTTCATTTGTCGATCAAGATTGGAGGGGGGAAACAAGTCGATTGGGCTCCGGGCCGGGGTCCTTAAATATGGATTCATAACTTTCCTGAGACTACTGACAGGGCTGGAAGGAGCTCTCGTAGGAGCAGCTTCCCGCTCTGTCTGTAGCGGTAATGGCGGAACTGTTGGAACGGGTGTTTCTGGCTCAGAAATAGACTTCTTCCGTCGCCGAAAAAACGATGACGGCTTTTTCGTGAGTACATGTGCTTGCTCCTTTGGTGGAGGCGGGGCTTCTCGAGGGGAATGCGCATGTTGGGACTTGATTTGGGTGCCGATATGCTGAGGCCGACTCTGTGGTCGGTCCGTCGTTTCAGCAGATGTCGTGGAACCGTGCGAAGGAGGGGGTTCCGTAGTAGGCACAGGGTTGCTCCTCGAGCCGAAAACTCTTCTAAAAAATCCTGGGCGGTCTTTGGGTTGGGCGAGGCTAGTGGGTTGCTGGTCTTTCGTTTTGCCATAGCCAACTAATGGTCCAGGCGCAGAAGGAGGCTCTTTGATGAAGGCGGGCATAGGAGGTAATTCGCGATTTCGGTCTTTCAACCCGTAGTCAAATCTGCTTCCGGATGTATTGTTGGCGGAAAGCTTTCCCTTGTAGCCACTTTTCGAGGATCGTGTACTCCTTTTCCTCTCCAACTTCTGTGGTGGGCTTGCTTGTACCGGGTCTGGCTGAGAAATCATTATTGGAGATGCAGGCCGCATTCTTCGTGGTCCAACTGGCACTGTGGGTGTTGGCGCAGCATCATAGTCGTAATCGTTGAAAGGAGGAGCATTCGTCTCGATAGGTCGAGGAATAGGATGTGAGGGCACTTTCATTGCAACTCGATCACTGCCATAGTCGAAGCTCGAGGATCGTCCAGCTAGTCCATGTGTCCATCGTTGATTACTTGTGACCTGCGCGTACCCCAGCTCGAAACTGTTGACACTACTTCCCTTGCTTCCTTTCCCACCCCGTGAATGTATCCCTCTAGGAGGTATTTGCTGCGGCGCTGGAGGCCTTGTTCCTGAAAATGTCGATGTGCCGTCGTTCCGAACGCTGTTTATTCTCCCTAGATTGGTCTGAAAATTCGAGCTACTGTTACTCCTTCTTCCGCGAGACAATTGTCCTCCAGAGTATCGAGACGAATCGTCCGCAGGGTCATAATCAGAACTGTACGAGTAATTGTGCCCGATTCCTCGCCCGTTCCTTGGGGCGAAATTCTGTGCCGGTTGATATGATTCCTCGTCCCCAAAAGTCGAATATAATTGTTCCTCGTCAACCGTAGGCTGCCTGCCAAATCCGTCTCCTTCTTGTGCGAAGGAGAATTGGTCGAGGGAGAGCAGCATGTGGTCGACCAGCGAGTCGCGCGTAACCTGACGTGGAGACAAAGAAAGATCATGCGAGTCTCGATTTCCAGGTCTGCCCCTTTCTGAGTCTTGAACCTTATTGTTTGCAGGGTCGACTGGTGTTATGTCGTCCAAAAATGTCTCCCTTGGCCCAGTCCGTATATTAAGCGCCCGGTTCGCAGCTACAATATTGCCTCTGCTGGGACGATAGTTTTCCATCTTGGGCGGCGTCTGCGGGGGAGAGAAGTCCTTACCCTTCCCTTTGTAGCCAGTATCGAGATTCAATGACACCCCTAGGCGCTTTGTAGGCGACGAGGGTGTGTTCTCGAACGACTGCATCCTGACGGCCGGTTGGAGATGTCCCTGTCCCAGACTGGCACCAGCACGATGCGTGGTTGGCTGCCCATGTACCCAAACGCAGTTCGACGTCGACGACACGGATTGGCATTCGCAGAGCAAGCAGTGGTCGAGTGAGCCTTGCGCAATTGTTCAATGAATCGTCCTGGATCGTCTGCAAACAGCACTCGTAGGCTGGGATCTGATACCGAGGGCGTTTGATTATTGAAACGGCCGAGGCGATTATTATTTCTGACCCTGGTCGACGGGATGCGGTAGAGACTGTGGGTGTCGTCAGGGACGGCAACGAGGGAGATCTTGGGAGATCCGTTTCTTGCAACAGCAACAATAATTCCGTGGTGTTGACAGAGAGAAGGAAAGGGCGAGGTCGATTCGAGGCGACTTTTGGGCTGCAGCGGCGAACTGAAGCTGGAGCTGGAGCTGGAGCTTGCCAGAGCGAAGAGATGTCCGGGCGGGCAGATACCTACTGTGGACTGCACCGTGGTACTGGCAATTCCGCTAAGGAGCTAGGATACACTCAGACACTCAATGACCGCGAGACATCCAGATGCACCATGCTGCACAGCACAGGTCGCGAGGAATGTACAGGAGATGAAGAGGAAACGAGCAGCGACACCAGGACCAGATTTAAGAAGAATAGGAGCCGAAGCCCGCAAGATTGCCCACTCGATCCTGTAAGTTGGCTTGCGTAGACTGCGATCAGTTGTGTCCAAAATCTCGAGGTGCAGCTGCAAAAGAAGAGGTCTGTGTCTCCAAGTGGAGGAGGATGTACAATGTGAATGGATGGGTGTGTGGGTATTTCTCCGATAGGATGGTAAGTAATTTACTAGGTACTGTAGTGGTAGTGGACAGAGGTAATTTACTTAGGTAGGCATCTCGCAGCATGGCAGGTGGATCACCAGAGCTGCCTATCCATGTTTGGTTACCTACAGCACCTTCCTCTCTCACGCCAGATCAGATCAGATCTGATTGCCACGGGCTCGGAGATATTGATTGTGCGGGCAGCTAACTATCTACGGAGTAGAGATCAAATTGTATCATCCGTAGATGATGCAGGAACAGATGATCGGAGATCAGCCAGCCAAGGGGCGGATAGGTAGCTTGAAGCACTTTACAGTGGCCGGAGTGTTGTTTCCTCCTCTCCTTTACAGAGATGTTAATATTAGTTGATCAAGCCGTCCATGTAATCGTCTCGTTGGTTCGAGTAGTAGGAGGACTCAGACACACACAAGCAAGCACCTTCACAGTTCACACTAACCACTAGCCGGTACAGTAATAAGCCGACAGGAAAATGACTATGATCGCCTCAATATCCGGAGCTAGGTTCATGCCTTTGACCTATCAGCAGCTCACCACCTAGCATTTTCAGCCAAATGGAGTAGTCCTCTGCCACGAACGCAGCGGGTTTTCTGTCATGAATCATGGCATGGGGTGCCATACCAGCCTTTCACGGGAAAAAATCGCAACGAATTCGTGAGAGGAGAAGGGCTGACTTGTCTCATACGTTTGCTGGCTGGAGTTTCATACAGTAGGAGGACAGGCAGGAGGGGAAGCTTGCTCTTCACGCCAGACGACAGTCCGCAGACTGTCTCGTGCATGCACGGATTCTCTACCCCGTGCTGCCGGCTCCCGAGCATGCTCTTACTGTAAAGTCTAAATAGTCGGTGACGCGGGAACTTCAGGCCAGACTACTACTAGAAGAAAGACAGCAGACAAGAGCGGAGCGGTGTGGAAGAGGTCCGATATACAGTACTGTAGTAGCCAGTAGTCCGAGCACATGCACTCTCTCACTTATTCGCTGAACATCAAGCCACCTTCTCTTCTGCCCTTCCTGCCATGGAATCATATGATTTCCTCTACACAAAAGAAAGATAGGGGCAAACAGTGAGTTGAGTGCTTGGTGGTCTGGTGGTCCGGGAGTCGCATTCTGAAATGGCTGCATGCCCCTTTTGCCCTGCAGAAATATGCCCTGCTGCCATGCCAGGTACGCTGATGGTCTGGAGTGACATGCATGAGGACATGACCAACCCCAACCCCTGACCTTCGACGCCTTCGACTGGACTTCGAGAACAAGCGAGCTACCCACCACCATTTCGCGGTGCCAACCGTTGAGCCAGTTGAGCCAGTTGAGCCAGTTGAGCCAGTTGAGCCAGTTGAGCCAGTTGAGCCAGTTGAGCCAGTTGAACCCAGTCGACCCTAAGGTAAGGGAGGGAGAGGGAGCCACACCACCAGTGCCACCACTAGGCCTAGCCACCACACCTGCAGTGACCACACCAATTCCAACGGCGCAAGGGGACACTGCCAAATGAGGAGGACGTCCCGCGCAGCCGTCCGTTTTAGTGCTGAACTCATTTTGGGTGTGGCTGACAGTCAGCCGAATTTACAGTACAGTACAGTAGCGGTTTCCCGAGATCCACAAGCGTCAGCACCTGCGATGCGATGCGATACGAGCTTGACATGGCGGCTATCAAACTATTGCTTGTCGACAACATCAATAGTAATGATTTGGAACATGTGAGGCATCCGCGTCCTTGAGACGATTCACTGTACCATGGATGTGACCGCTTCCGTTACTCGAAATACGCTCAAGAAGGGTGTCACCGCCAGATAATGCGGTTGAATGGCCTTGCTTGGTTCTGCTGGTCAAACGACCCGCTCATCGCAAAGATTCCCTTTTGAGGAACTTTTGAATGGTTTTGAAGTCAAGAAAAGAGTTTCGTGATGTCGAATGTAATTTCCATTGGCTTAACGCAAGGGGCAAAGAAGGCGCCAACCGCGAAATCCAGCAAGGTTCGATGGCAGCACTGTGCGCACGGAAAGCCTGCACTACTAGACGCTGTCAAGCAATAAATACCTGGGATAACCTTGAGTGCCATTATTGTGGAAGAAGGAAAATACCTTTGCGCTGGCCATCGTTTGCAAGAGCTGTTCCTTGTCAAACCACCCCACTCCCGTTACACTTTTCATTTCTGAAGCCGTTTCTTCTTGGTATGATATTTCGAATTTCTTTGCGCGGCTACAACTTATTCCATGGTTTGCAGTCTTTTCCAGACCATATTGGAGATGTCTCAATTTTCGGCCTGTCAGATTCATCAGCAGTCAAGTGACGGAGAACGATCTGATTGACGCATCACAATCTTCATTCCTAAACCGGGCACAAAAAAGCAACTACCCCAGGTCAAGGGCAACCCAGCGACCATAACCATGGGTCAAGCTTCTCCAGGAACGAACAAACTCCCGAAACTTTCCAATCGCAAAGCTAGTGAACCCAATATTTACGTCGGAAAACTTCGATGCAGATCATCGTACGACTTTTTCATCACTTCTCCAGAGTCCTCGACTCAAGGGTTCAGGTGGCGAGTTCGTTTTCGTCTTCTTTTTTCTCGCAACAGACATGTGCCATGCGTCAGGATCTTCAAGATCGGAAATGTCTTCGGCGTCATGTGGACCGCTAAGTCACCATAATGAAACTCGTTCAGTCCTTGATGTAAGCCCCGTATCACTACTATGGCAACGTGGGAAGTTGATGAAGATGAACAGATTGCTTGTCGGCTACTTAAGAGAGACTGACTGTGGAGGTGATCGAAAGTGCGCCAGTCGTGCGGAGCAAAATGCTTTCTCGCTCGCAGAAGTATGTTGAGTAGGTGAAGGCGTGGATAACCAGATATGGACAATTTCAGACGGTTGGTACTTTGGTTTCGCACCCTTCGCTGCTTCCCTTTTACCCAACTCGCTTGGCCTTCTATTCTTTCAATCCTGACTTGGGAGGCTCTCAAGTACGCCTGAGTCGATTCATTGAAACGTTACTACATTTATCGTTCTCAGTCCTCTGCGAATTTCAATCTGTCTGCCAATATAGTTTTCTCTTTCACTCACGGCTCTCAATTTCAGCTTCAGGATCCAATCCGCAATTTCAATTGACCTTGCAAATCCAAACACTGACAGGAAATATGTCTGGAATCCCACTTAAGTATAGCATGATGCACCAAGCTGACTTTACTTTGTTCAAGCTGATTTCAAGTCCCATTTTCCTCACCCGTAGTGGGCGGTCGTGATGGTGTCCAGTACCCACAGCCATTCCCACACCTCAATATCTCGGCCAGCCACGATGACCTCTATTCTAGCACAAGAGACATGCTTCACCGTTCGTATTGGGCAGAGGAATGAATGCTTTTGCTTCTGTTCTTGGAGCTGACAGTACTGCAAACCGGGTATATAAAAAATGACGACCGCTTCAAGAGCGGTGAAGAACGATGGTCCTCAACCTTCTGTCCGTGCTTCGGAACGCTTGCATCTACGCTACATTCATCAACAAGACGGGAAATTGGATGTTATAGACTGACAAAACTACATTTACTTTTGCGGAACAAGCGGCGCATTTCTATGGGATGGATTTACACCCGACTGAAAGTAACTGCAGCATTCCTTAGCCAAGACTGGAAACGTTAATCTACCTGCGCTCTTCACTTTGGTCAGGAGTCTATAGCTTGTAGTCAGTAACAACATGTCCAAAGCTTTTGTGCTAATCTGGTACGCCTGCGCAACTTAGTGTGATCTCTCGGGCTCTCAATTGTTTCTCGCAGATCCCCAGCACAGCATTGTGAGCCAGAAGTTTGCCAAGCCATAGCATATAATGGCTATACTGATATTGCTGGAAGCTTGGGTAGTTGTTAAGTGCTACAAGATACAAGCTAGGGATGGTTACGCTGCTGTAGTAGAAGTTCATAGTCGATGGCTTACTTGCTAGATATATTGCTATTAACCATATCACATTAGACCTAAATGCATCCAGTAGCTTTGCCTACATAAAGCATCATCCACAATCAGACAGAATCATCAAAAGAGTTCATCTCTGGTGCTTCAAGATTAATTCACATCTTGGACTCATGTAACAATAAATTTTTCAATAACTGTCCTCCTTCCCCAGACAATCCCATCACTACACTACGGTGGTAGGTTGCATAATAAATAGTAAAGTATAATGGCTTCGCATTATCTCCCCTCATTCTGAACTCCCATTGTTCTGCCCTATCTCTTCCTCTGCCTGATTTTGTTCTCAGCAATACCCGAAGGTATGTATGATAAACAGACCCTCGCTTAAGTCTAGCTCCACTTCAACCTAACAAACAACATTTGACAGGCCTGAATTCAAATATGATAAGTGGACCCAGTGGTAGTAAGTAAAAATAAGATATCGCTGTGGCCATATTGTGTAAACCTTGAACAAATTCTACCACGACAGCCAGAACCTCGATCTCACGCTTTTTCTTTAGACGATTTTCGATCTACATCTCATCACAGCCTACCACATCTTATAACTAAATTCTCTGTAGGTCTCGTTTGTGATACTGAAGGTCTGAAATTGTTTTATTCGTGCACAGATCACAGATCGACATTCTCTAAGGGAGGATGTGGAACATGCAAAAAGCACATGTAGTTTTCTTTCAAATCAACCAGTTCAAATTTCCCCGCCTCCTCCTTTGGTTTTTATACAAAGACCGAGTTCTTAGCTATGTCTATGTATCATACCCTTTGTGTGTTTCTGTTACATCAATTCCTATGTTCCAATCTTCCCTCATTTGGATCTCACGAGCCACTCTCTCAGTCCCTCTTCGTTTTGCTAAGAGAATTCCGTTCAGCCCCAGAGTCTCTCACCAAAACACAAAGACTAATACCACCCTAGACACCAACCATCATGTCATCTCCACTTGAGATCCGGGACAACCTTCGTCGTCAAATCGCCCTCCTCCGCGACCAAATTGAGGCAAATATTGACATTTGCCTCGCTAGTCCAAGCGTTGCCAGTCATCAAGAGCGTGCTGTCCAACTCCAGGCCGATCACATGGTAAGGTTTGCTACTTTTTCCGTTGTACTCAGTTGTCGATCTTTGTTGTTTTTGGGGGTTCAGTTCAAGCGCCTTTGAAGTATCCCAGACTTTTTGTACCTGTGTGTTCTTCGAAGTGCTCCCCACGTCCTTGGGGCTACACCTACCCTCAGTACATCCATGGATACTCCGAAACTCTCAGAATACTCTTTTCTATCTGCTTTGAACAGTATATCACTATTTTACCCTATCCTATAGTCTTGTAAGACACTTGCGGGGAGTTTCACTCCCTCTTTGAAAGCAATAAGAGCCTTATCAGGTCTGCAGCCAAAGCATAACCCAGTCCTCATCAGTCTATTTGTAGCTTAGCCCAGGCTCTAGCTTCTTCACTCACATAAACAAACAAAGTGAAGCCCTACTTTTGGAGATTACTCCTCGGTTCCTTGGTCTCCTTTCTCCTCACCACGATCACTAATGAAGCTTCCTCTCTTCCGTTGCCCCACCAATCCCACACCCAGACTCTTTTTCGTGGCTCGCTTCAATGCCCAATAGTTATCGTTCGGAACAGACGTCCCAGATGAGATTTTGCGGGTCGGCGAACCCAACCAAAGAGCCTATGCATTCGCAATAAGAGATCGAGAATACCAGGAGGCGCTTCAGTAGGTTTTAGACTGTCCCTTCCACCCGAAGTCTGATCTTTTCTTCCTTCTTTTCTTCCACGCGTCGCGTCGATCTCCCATTTTCGAGATCCAAGCCTCATTTCCTGAGATCGACTCTCACCTTTCTCACCTTTTTTGAACAGAGTACTAACTTCTCTGGCAGAGAGCCCTCCTCGCATTCGCCGACGCCGGTGGAATTGTACTCGCTGTCCCTCTCTACAAGAGAGACTGCCGTAAGTATCCATCCACCCATCTCCACAACCGATGTCTCTATCCTCTCCCCATTAAATCCACATTCACGATCTGCCCAAGCAGACCCAGACACAAGCTAACATTATCTCAGGCAACGGTATCGTCCAAGCCCGCAAGGGAAAAATCCATCGCCTCCTCCACTACAAGCGGTACTTTCCCTCCGACCGAATCCCAACCTGGCTCCGGGAGGAGCAGGTCCTCCCCAACACCGGGATCTTCTACGCAGTCCACGCCGTCATGAGCAAGGACGGCAACATCAAGCACTTGGACCGCCTACGGGGACCAATCGGTGAGCCGGGTGAGGATGAGAGTGTTTGGAAGTGGATGTTTTGTGATTTGAGGGAGGATGAGGATGCGGGCGCTGTGGTTAGGGAGAAGAGGCGGTGGGGTTGGGCGGGGAAGTTTGGTTTGACGGAGGAGAGGGCAGGGGGATGGGTTTGGGGCAGTATGGATACCAGGGAGGATCCGGAGAGAATGTTTGAGTTGGTTTAAACCGTTCTGTGTTGGTTTGGGTGTTGGGTGGTGGGGAAGAGGGGAGTGTGGTTTGGGGCTCCTGAACCACAGCCAGAGAGATGACTTGATCTCAATGACAGATCGACTGCTGCATTGCACGAGCAAGCATATGACTTTTCCCATCGTGGTTCGAAGCTGGACAACTTGCACAGAAGAAGGTTCTGACTGTCCATTGCTCGGTCATATAACTCTTGCTTCCCAGGTATTTTCCAAGTGCAATTTGATCGTAGAAAGCCGCAGCTTCCCAAGGACGACTCAACAGCCAATACTGAGGAATTGAGCGTCCATACCGAAAGTAAACAAGCAACAGGAATAAACATTGAGATTCAAGAAAACCAAGCCAATTTAGGCAATATACAAAACAACAAGCCAAACAAACCAGATGGAGTAATTACACACACAAAAAGAACTCCAAGTCATAGCAAGACGAAGAAATATTTACTATACATTACCCCGTAATATAATCTACTCTCACTTCAAACTCCATTGACAGCCTTTCCCCTCCCAGGTGCCTCCTCGAACCTCGCCTTCCACTTCTCCTCTTGCCTAAACAAAGTCACAGCTTCCATGGCGCTTGGCGTTCCATAATCCGGATCTGCTCCTCCTTCTAACAAAGCCTGCTTTGGTCAGCTTTGCCTCTCAAGACGTGTCACTCTTCCGCTCCTCAATCAATCTCATCATTTATGATGAAGGATGTGGTGAAAAACTTGGAACCAAGTAGAAGAACAAACCTCAATAACCTCCGCCTCGCCCTTGAATACCGCACCCGCTAACGGCGTCTGTCCTCGATCATTAACTCGATTTGGATCAGCTCCGTGTTGGATGAGGAGTTTGACGAGCTGAGGGCGGCCGTGGTAGGCTGCGAGCATGACCTTCTTCTTATCAGCTGTTTTGTCTCATTTCTGTTCATTCAGATCCCGTTGCCCAAAATGACCAGTCTCAAAGACACTTGTATAAGACTAATATCAAACACGAAAGAGGGCCTATTTGGGAAAGCTGCAGCTAAGGACTGAGGACATTTCTCGGGAGACATACAAGACTATCACCCTTCTCGTTCATCATATTCGCTGGTAAACCAGCCGGTAAGGCCTGTTGAAAGATATCCATCTGTCCTGCTCGAGCAGCATCGTAAATCCTCGTTGCGAAAGCAATTGCTTCTGGAGGGAGCTCTGAATCTCCTTGGGTTGCCATCTTCTTGTCCTTTCACTTCAACTCCTCTCAGTCAATCTCCAGCGCAAAGTCAAGAATCTTCAGATGAAAACAATAAGACTCATTGAGACCATCGAATTGATATAGAATAAGCAGATTCCGAACTAGAAAAGGCTTTGTAATCCAATCTCTTCCATATTTCTGTCGTCAGATGTGCAGGGGTCTATCACATTCAGTAGGCGAGGCACTTGATGACATCGCATTGCAGTTCAATGGACCTCAGCCAAGACCTCGGCCAGCATCGGCTTCGACCCCAGATTTTGGATCTCTGCTTCTCGATTGCTCATTCTTCTCCAAACAATCAACATTTCCATCCACAATGCGCGTTCTTTTTCGACCCTCGACTTCGCTATCTAGCAGGCTTATAAGATGCTATTCTACACAGCCAACACCTTTGGTTAAAGTGTTTGATGTCCCTGCTCCGGGCAGTGGAAGAATTAGAATACTGTCTCTGGTGAGCTCGGCTTAACATTTTCCAGCATTTACTCTTTCCCCCCTCGCAGTTTGTTGTCCACAATAGCACATCTGTTCTCTCTAAAACTTATAATCCAAATTCAGAAGTACTTCTAGATATAACAAAATGCTAATCAGGTCCTCAGGCCCGCCCCGCAGCACGCAATGCCATCTCCCGCCAGCTCCTCCAAGAACTCCGTACAAATATCGACTTCATAGCCTCTGAGTACGACAGCCAAGGCAATGAGCTTCCTGCGAAGAAGATATTTGGAGGTGCGGCAGGGACGGACCATAAGGGGCCTACGAGAGCTGTCGTGCTTGCCAGTGAGGTAGACAGCTGTTTCTGCGCGGGGGCGGACTTGAAGGAGAGGGCGGGGTTCACTGCTGAGGAGTAAGTATCCATTGCTTTTAAAGACATGCAGGAATTAGTTCCAGGCTCGCACATTGCGATTGCAGTCCTCGAAAACAGGAAATTCGACGCAATTGAACGATGCGAAGCTCAATTGATACTAAATAAAGCTAACAACTCCCAGAACAGCAGCCTTCCTTTCAAACCTTCGAAACACCTTCACAGCCCTCTCCATCCTCCCCATCCCAACCATCAGCGCCGTCAGCTCTCTTGCTCTCGGCGGCGGCCTCGAACTCGCTCTCTGCACCACCCTCCGCGTCTTCTCCTCCACAGCACAGGTTGGGCTTCCAGAAACCCGTCTGGGTATAATCCCGGGAGCAGGAGGAACCTACCGACTCCCAGCCGTCATCGGGCTCAATCGGGCTCGAGACCTCATTCTCACTGGCCGCAGAGTAAGTGCACCCGAAGCATATTTCCTGGGTATTGCGGATCGGCTCGTGGAGGTTGTGCCGGAGGAGGGAAAGGAGGGCGAGGAGCACAAGAAGGAGTTGATGAAGAGGTCCAAGGATGAGGTGTTGAGTGCTGCTGTGAAGCTTGCGGGTGAGATTTGCCAGGGAGGGCCGATTGCTATTAGGAGTGCTTTGCAGGCTGTTACGTATGCGCGGGAAGAGGTGGAGAATAAGATGTATGAGAAAGTCGTTGGAACGGAGGATAGGAATGAGGCGTTGGTTGCATTTAGGGAGAAGAGAATGCCTGAATTTAAGGGAAGATGATGCTGTAAGTTATGTGAGTTGATATGATGTCTAGAAAGACAGCTTGGAGCGTGTCTATCTTGAGCCTGAAGCTCGGAGTACTTGCGTAAATCCAGAGGAGCAGCTAGGGCTAAAGTAACACATCAAAATGAAACATGCGAACAGAGCATCACATTCAAGCAGTTTTCGAGTCTGACAGGAGTGACAGGATGTGAAACTGACGTGTAGAGTTTCTTGCCATTGCTCCCCAGTTTGCATGTACTGTTCTTATTGCGGACACAGCTCCGACACGACACCAATAACAAGGGTCAGGGAGTGGTGAAAATGCCATGTTCTAACGCCATGGCAATCCCAGAATCTGATTCTTCAACACCCTGAATCCATGATAGACTTCGACAAACTATCTGGAAGGATTGTTTATTCTTCCGCAACACAGTATTCAAGATAGAAAGCAAAGAAAGCAGCATTGTACAATCACATGCTCATTCTCGTGCTCATGCACATCGCAGCGCTGTGTCTCTCCATCGACGATTCGCACTACAAGTGCCTCTTCTCTTTCCCCACAGCCCAGACGGGAGCCAGTTCAGCCAGTGGTGATGGGCGCTGGCCAGAACAAGCGAGGGGTTGGAAGGAACTGTGACGTCAACAAGCTAGAGCTCCAGCTTCCCTCATAAACAAAGCTCCTTCTCTTCCGTTTTACATTTCCTCTCACATCCATCTCCCAAGCTCTAATTCAATCCAGTCAATCCAATCCCAATCCTTGCAAACCAAAATAAAACCAAATACACCAAAACACAACACAACACAACACAACACAACACAACACAACACAACACAACACAACACAACATTCAATATGTCTTCATTCCTCACATGGCGCACCGTCACCCGTGCCACCCGGGCACCAGCTACTAGCTTTGCTCCCCGCGCTTTCTCTACGACTTTCGTAGCTCGCAAGAGTGCCACTGAGACGGTGAAGGATGGTGTCAAGACTGTGGATAGAAAGGTCTCGGATGTTCTGGTTGACGGAATTGAAGCCGGTCGTAAGTGTTCTCCATATTGCTCTTTTGGCTGGGACGCCACCCCGTCATACATCGTCTATCTGCAAAAGTCAATTCCCTAGCTTCTCGATTGGTGCTCTCTGTCTGCAAGAACAGAATATAAACATAGGAATCATCTTGAAGGAACCTTGGCTAACCCTCCCCTTCAACAGAAACCGCCGCCCAGAAAGCAAAGGAGGTAGCAGGCATGTCCACATCCGAGATGAAGGGCAAGGCCAACGAGGTTGCAGGCGAGGCCAAGGGAAAGGCAAACGAGGTAGCTGGCCAAGCAAAAGGAAAGGCGAATGAGCTCGCGGGCGAGGCAAAGGGGAAGAAGGAAGAGATCAAGGGGAAGATGTGAAGTGGATGATGGAGAATTGGAATGGATATGATCAGCGGTGGAATTGTACGATAGCAAGGCGCTTTTGCATGCATGCATTTTAATGAATGCCCGATGGGTTTATGAACTCGATACGTATTGGCATCACTTGATTGACAGACTGTGATGACATTTGACTTCAGTAAGTGATGAGAGAAGCCCGCTTATTCTGCTTGTTTCCATGCATGTAATTCGACTTGTCTAGATAGCTTCAAGTATAAAGGCTAAGTCAATCAAGCACTCCAAACTCCCAATATTGAGACAACTAGTCTCTTGGTCCCAACTTCAAACCAAGAACGCAAGACAAAGTCCTCTAATACCTAATCTTCCACAGATTCAGAACAATCATCCCACTCATTCTCACCGACCTCTTTAATTTTTTCCTCTGTCTTCTCCTCGCCCAAAATCCTATCCAACCTCTCATTGATTCCGTTAGCAAGCTCTCTCCACGACTTCGCCTGCATCGGCTCAACACCGCATTCCAACCGTTCCGCTGGACACTCCTCCTCTGATGACTTATACATCTCCCCTGTGCCCTTCTCTGTCTCCTTTTCAGCACGTATAGCAGTCATCTCCTTATCCAAGGCAGCAAAGGCCACCTTGCTAACCTCACGCATCTCCTCCTCCTTCTCAGCTCCAGACTGCACTACTCCAGATTCAGCATTGCTGGGATCGCTAGTAGCTACTTCCTTCTCGAAGGATAGAAACCCAGCTAGAACCTCTGCTCGAGTGTGAGAGCTAGGGACTTGCGGTCTCGCCGTAGACCATACGTGGTCGAGCATTTTCCCCTTCTCTACCTCAAGCTTCTGTTTTCTAGACTCGTGGTAGAGTGCAAAATATACCGCTTCAGGGCAACGGTTATTGAATTTAGGTTGTGATTCTGAGGCTGAACTGGGGATTTGAGACTTCGTATCATGAGAAGTGGATGACTCGACGACGATTTTCTCCTCGACGGCTATAGTCTTGTTGTCAGTGACAGGCTCCGTCTGTTGCATCGCTAGCAAAGCCCTAGCATCATCCCCCAAGGTAGTCGACGTGGTTTCGGGCTTTGGTAGAGAAGTTTTGATCCCGTAAGCATGCAACTCTTCAATTAGCTCTCGTTCCAGATTCCTCAATTGAGTCCTCCTTGTAACTTCCCTTCTCTCTTTCTGGATCGCAGCTCTCATCACCGCAATTTTAGTAGCACAGTAGTCGAGAAATTTCATCCCCAGACTCCAAGCCAGAGACTCAGTCACATCACGGACACACGTAACAGCAACCAACTCCATCTTCTCATAAACAGAAACAGCCCACAGCACCAAGGGACTATCGCTCAAGTGCCCACGCAACGTCCGTGGCTGATGGACATCGATATCCGCAATTGCTTGCTGAAACCACTCCTTCTCCAAGTCTCCAGTAAAGCTACCGGACTGACTTCTGATCGCACGTCTGACGGCAGCCATTGCTTTGTCTCTCGCATATTTGCGATCAGTGCCGCGGAAATCCACTTTCCTGCGGCAAAACAACAAGAGATTCTCGATCAAGAGTTGCAGAAAGAAAACTTCCAGCACTGCCTTCCTTACCTTTGCGTTGGGCAAAGGGAGAAGCGGTAGGACTGTGATGCCGATGGCGATTGGAAGTATGATGCCTATGCAGACCATCTTGGATGTCATGCGAGATGCCATGCTTCCTGGGATCGATAGGTGTAGTACAGTGTGAAATGTGCAAAGTGTGTATAATGTGTAAAAGGAAGAATCGCTTGTGAAGTTTGGGTAATGAGAAATGAAAATTGAAAGTGGGCGACGCATCTAAAAGGAATTCGAGGAGACACTTGCACATAGTGCGACTCAAGTCCAGCCTTTATGAGAAAATAATGTTCGTCATAGTCGCAATGATCTAGGAGGTTGGCATGGAACGGTCCCAAAGATCGTTTGACGGGTAGGGCTGGCTAGTTCCATTGTCCTACACCAAAGTCTCCAAAATAACGTTCCGTCAATTAACTGGGAGACCGAAGGGGATAAGGTAACTGTATTCGCGTTACGACGACAGCCCATGTGGTTCCAGAAGTATAGAACGGCTAAGAAATTGTGGACCTGCTAGGAATATGCAAGCTAGAACAGACGAAGAACGAAGGTACTACATACCAAAGAGGAAAGTGATATCAGATCGAATCGTCGGATGGTTACGCCAACAGTAGTAGTGACAGAGCTTGGTATAATGGCTTTTGTGGAGTTTCTGGAACCCATCTCCCACGGTTCTAGTGGTGTGAGTGTGGAAGAGGTTGGCAGAGTAAGTGTTCGACAGATGGTTTCGTAAGGTGTCTCTGTGCTCCTCAGCAATTGCTCTCATGTTCAATAGATTTTGGATGGTTTTGCGACTCGTCTGATGGAAAAGAAGAAATGAATATCATGTAACTTCCTCTCCTGCATCACTGATATGGTGAGAGGTAAAGTTCCATGAGCATTTTTCATGCTCCATACCAAAGGTACATTTCTGTACGAAAGACATGACACATCCTTCCATTCCCTTCATGGACCCCTTCTCCCTTCATTATCACTCGCATACTGCATCTTCTCACCAATGACCCTCTCCCAGCTTCCAACGCCCCCATATCACTTCGTGTCGCAGGAAGCCTCAGCCAACTTCTCCACACCTCTCTCAATAAACACCAATCCATGAGTTTCCTCAAATTTCATCTTCAACGTATCAAATTCACAGACCCGGAATTGGCTACCAACTTCAATAGTCTCAATCTCCTCTGAATAGCCCACCTTCAATTCTGGTCTCAGGCCGACTTCCTCAAGTGAGATGTTGTGTCGGATGCGTTCTACGTCCATTCCATGCTTGTAGCGTGTATAGCTCTCACCACTGCGGCGTGACTCGACGAAAGCTTGGGCAATCATGACTATGGAAGCGAAGGTGAGGAAAGCCCCCAAAGCAAGACCTCCATGACTCGTGATAGACCAGATGATGGCTAAGATGCGAGTGAGGAGATTGTTGTCCATATTGTGGGTAGTTTGGAAGATGTGATTGTTGCTTTGCTCCGAAAGAGTACGCCGCGTCGTTGTGATTTGTTCGAGCAGTGTCTTTGCACCTGATTTGCTATGATGTTGAGACAAGAGAAGTCGTCCGGTGATATCTCAAGCGAAGGATTGACCGTATCGAGTGCACGTTTCTGCTGTTTGCACTTTAGTGTCGAATTTCAGCTGCTGGGAAAGGAGATGACCTATTAATCACCTAACTATCAGATACCCTACGGTCTTTGGTTGCTCCTTTTGTTGCCGCCTCTTTTCTGAGCAGCTGGTACGTGTTGTTCGAGTGACTTCGACGATGGTGAATTGAGAAGTGATTGAAAGAATCAGCGACTGCCATGCAGGTATTTTTGAGAAGGAAAAGGAAATGGCTATGGATGCACCTGCTTCGCAACGCCCCTCGAGCGAAGAAACACCAAACAGCAGTCACAATCTGCTGCAAAACGCGATCGGAGTAGATCTATCAGCAGTGGCGCCCTTTTGAGATGTCCCTTACTCAATTTGGAATCCGCACGAATCATAAAATGTTCTCATTAGTTCTCATGATTCTACCCATCTGCCCCAACATCTATCTGGTCCCAAAATGCTTTTCCATGTCCCCGCTAAAGATGCATACAAACCCAAGGTCGTAAGAGAAATATGCTAACGCCACCTCTATTCTTCCGTCGCCATTTGCCATACCCTCGCTTTCAGTCTGTCCACCACCTCCCGACGGATCCACAGCATATCCTTCCCATCACTCGCAGCCTGATCTGCGAAGTCAAACAACAGCCTCAAGCCTAGCAACCTGTCTCTCTTCCCACTATTTAACGAAACATTCTCGAGAACTAGTCTCGCGTCAACCACAGTCTCGTCAGTCCCAGCGTGCACATCACCAGCACCTCCATGATCCGATGGAAGGACCAGGGCGCGCTCGGCTTTGGTAAGGGATGCAAATGCAGGTAATTCGAAAAGCCACTCGAGAGATTGGGAGGTCGTAACATCTGCATCGTTCAAAGCTTGCAGTGTCGCCTGGAATGGAGAAGTGCCAGCCTCGTGTGCTGGACAACGCCGGACGTATATGGTTTGGGTCGACTTGAATGCTGCGATGTGCTTTTCGTTACTCTCCAGATCGAGAACAAGGTTCCAATACTCAGTGCTGTTTGTTCGAACAGTCTTGATTTGATCCAGTTCAGGCAGAAGACAAGGGGTATGGCGCTGTGTCTCCTCGCCGTTTCGCAATGTGATGAAGATTGGAAGAGGCACCAGTTGGTTCGTGTCAATGTCCCTAGCGACAAGACACCGCGGCTCTGCTGCCAGAACCCAGAAGTGACGGAACGCCTGCAGGTGGGATTTGTTGTCTTGTATCGAAGATGGGAAAATTGGATAGAATGCCACTAGCAGAGCTGCTATAGCTAAATTCGACGTGCCGAATGTGAATGTGCCTCCACCTAGAAACAGAGCTCCAACCGCAAGATGAGCAGCGAGGTGGCTGCCATATGGAGTCTCGTTATCATCACGGCCGTGCATGGACCTCAAGCGTCGAAATACGACAAGGTCGCCTGTCCCAGCCATGACGGTTGCAACAGCGAGCGCCAAAAGATCTTGACAATTCCGGGCAGTATTTCTCGTTAGTTTCTTGTCGAACGTGTTGGCATCCAGTCTGCATATCCGCATAAGTTGGTCCAAATAATGGATCAGCAGGTCACGAACGACAGTAGAGGCAGACCCAGCAAACCGTAAGGCGATACTGAAGCAGATTCCTGTGAGGATATCATAGAATGGAAGATCTTCACTCGTCAAGTTGGTGACATCCTGGAGCGTGCTTCTCTTCCGATACGGCTCTGGAAGATTTTTTTGAACCCAGTCGAAAGAGGGTTCAATCTTACTCCACATTATCAGGTGCCTGGCAAGGGTCCGTAGAAGGAAAATGTCCGGGCGAATGTAGTCGAACTGGAGCAAAGAATCAGGAACATCGATCTTTCGAGCAAGGACACTGTTTTCAGACTTCATGAAAATCAATGCTATGGCAACAACGGCACCCGCTGTTGCCTTGTCATAGACATGAACGAGATCCACCTTTTTACTGCCAGCAGCCAGGGCCAGCAGTCTTTCGGTCAGCCGCATATCATGCAGACCTTTCAAGTCGGAACCTTTCCCAAGATTGATGAATCCGAGTGCAAATCCAGCAGCCAGTCGATACCCTTCATTCCTAAGCGGCTCATCCTCTTCATCCGAATCAATGTGTTCAATCTCTGAAACCATAATTTCGCTCATACGGCGATGCTGCGTGTTGCAGTACAACAGGCCAATTCCCATGATCCCAGTCGTCTGAGTAAGAGGCGAGAGATTTAACTCTGCGGCGCCCGGGGGTAGCATCCGGGTCACATGGACAGACAGTAATCTTGTCACAAGAGAGTCCATGGTGCCAATATATGATGCAGCTAAGCCAAGCAATAGTCCAATGGAAGTCATGGTGTGCTTTGGTGTTAAGTATTTGAAGGCAACCCATTTAGCCACAGACTTTAGGTGGCCGTTCAGTCCAAGCGCAAGTAAAAACCCTGCATGCCTGTTACTGAGATCCGGGGTCGGCTTGTTGTAGAGAATCCAAGAAGTGTCGATGCCTTTGGCATCACGGGATATGCTGAGACCTGAAGCAACTCCTGAGTGAAAGAATGCCCAGCCGATCTTCTCTTCGGAGAATGCCGATTTGTCTGCCGCGACAGTGTTATTGTCCGGCTTCATTATGAAGTTAAGGTTGAAGCCTTTGATAGACCACTTCTGAGTGAGAAGCGGTATTCGCGCACTATAGTATAAAAGTCCACTTCCAGATGGAATAGCTAGAGTGCGATAGGCCAGCATTTGCGCATGCTCCTTTTGGGCTTCCAGTAGCTCGGATTCGCTCCACTGAGGTTCGGCTTTGCAGCGTGCCACCGTGGTCCTCGACGTACTGAGAATCGCAATGGCCTCATTCATTCTTCGGTCGTCTTTGAAGATGGATCGAGTGATCGCTTGACGATCTACTTCAACTGAGCCATCAAAAGAGCCAGTGGACTCAGGTTCAGCGATGGATATACACACGGCGTGAATGTCAAGATTCGCTTCGTGGGTTGGTGCCTATGAGTGTAAGCAAAGTCATGACAGAACAAGTGAGCTCCTACCAGTAGAGTTGATTGCACTTGGCGTGGTCGTTGTCCTGGTGTAAGTAACATGCCAATATCTTCTCGCCCAACGAGACTGAGCAATTCCTTACTCCACGTAGCTGGAGGGCCTGCCTGGCTCTTGACTATGGCTTCTTGAAGAGGCGCAAGAACTGCTTCGGGAAGTGTGTCAAGAAAAAGCTGATCAGCACCAGCAGATGAAAGAGCTTCAACTATTTGTTGCGGCGACCAATCATGACGAATGACAGAGAAGAACCGCTCAAAAAGTAAAGTCCTCGGTGTCAACTGGGACCATTGGTCTCCAGTAGGAGCAACTGCACCAGAAGTCGAATGAGATGCCACTAACTCTGGAAGTGTCATGAACGGCGTTAAACTGCGGGTGCGCAAACACCCTTGAATCCAGTCGTAGATCGAGGGGCACTCAAAGGGTTCAGAGATCGACGAATCGATCGGTGATTCTACTTGAAGTCAGCTAGTAAGCTTTCAAATACACCCAAACGTAACGTACCAGAATTATATTCAACGCTGAGCAATGAAGCATCGTCAACTTCATAATGTTGTATCCAACTGTCCCATCCAAGCCACCTACCGATCTGAGCAATGATTGGGGCCAAGCTCGGAAGACCAGTACTGAATGAGTCTGCCATCATCGTATCCAGCTTTTGCTCTTCGTGTAGGAGATGAAGGGCGATGAAAACGTCAGCGAGCGCAGATTTTCTAGAATCAATGCTTCTGTTCCCGGATGTAGGCAACGATCCAAACATAGAATCGTGCCCAAATTTTGTGGTTGCGAAATTTCGAGCAAGCTCAACATGCCTGCGAATAAATGGCAGAGAATTGCTATTGGTGGGAGCGAAGATAGATGTCTGCGACTCAGAGATCTGAGATATCATTCCATCATCCTCTGTCAGCCATTTCCAGCCTGTATTGCTTACCCAAGAGGGCAACGGATTCCCGAGAGATGCTTCATCCGCCTGCATCAGGTCCCAACTGTCCAGATCCGGCTGGACCCCACTGCTCGAACGCAGGTGTCCCTTTCGGACTTGCTTTTTTTGTTGTGTTTGCGTCGACTCGGAGGTGTTATCCAGACTGAGAACCATTGAAAAGAGGGTGATAATAAGAGCGGTCCATTCTTCGTCCACTGTGCGGATAGACTCAAGTCGAATCCACTGCATAACATTCCACCAACACACAAGAATGCCCTCTCCACTATTCCCTACTGGAAGAACAGCTCTGCAAACCTCTAGAATTTTACAAACGTGCGGGTTTCGTGGTTCTAGTGTGAGTTGAAGTTGGTGCATTCTCCCCTCATCATCGACCAAGTCGACAATTCCTCCCGCTTTGGGATTCCGGAGGCCACAGAGAGCACGCGGTCCTCGACTCAAAACGCGTTTGAAGCCACCCTCTCGTTTCGCACCCGGAGTTGGATCATGGCTCAGATTACAAACATTGCTTATCGCAAACTGTGCAGGAAGTGTAACTTTCATCAACGTACTCCACGGAGCCTGTAGACTTAGCTCTCCATAGCCATCTTGTGATTGGGTCAGGGCTAGGATACGAGAAACTCGCCCATCATCAAGTCTGCAGGCATCTATGACACCCTTGGCCCAGTTCGAAGAAGCCAGTGAGACAACTGTAACATCTCGCTCAGATTTAACACCTGCGTTAGGGTTATTGAAGAGGTCAACGTCAGCTTTATGTGTCTTCCAATGGAGAGTCATGACGAGAAGGCGCTTCTCGTCAGGGTCAAGAACACAGATGATTATAGTGTTTCCGTTCTTGTCATCGGCTGCTGAGGGCGGCGCAGTAAGAGTAAAAATCTTGCATTGTGTTGCAGCTGGCATATGATGACTCGAGTACCGAACATTGCTATGCTCTGCTGGGACACTGCAAACTTTGGAGAGCACGACCTCCTGTCTGAGAGCATCAAATTCGTCATCATCGAGACCCATGTTGTGGAAGCCCTCGAAGTCACCGCCTGCTCGCAACTCATCCAAGAGATCATCTACAGGAGCCTCAAGGTAACCGTTCAGGCTATGATTAAACTGCGGAGCTTGAGAAAAGCTTCCGCCAGGTGCTCCAGAATATGGCCCAATGCTTATCCGGGCATGCTGGCTACCCAAGGAGTCTCCGCGGCGACTCGCTGTATGCGCATGACCACTGGTCAAGTCGGAGAATGCAGAGCGTTCATGGGTGGCAGAGAGGTCTGCTCTCGCGAGCATAGAACTCACACGTCTGGACTTCCTCCGTGGTATGGAGGTGCTTTCATAGTCTGGGTCAAGTGAGGAAGCGAAATCAACAACTTTATCTCTAGCTTCCTCATGTATGCTGCTCTTTAGAAGTCCCAAGCCTTGCTGGGCCCCACTGAGACTTTCTCTGAAAGTATGCTGGCCAGTTCCTACCGGAGTCGTAGCACCAGTAGCGGTTCCTGGTACGAAAGAGCTTCTTCTGCGTGACATCGTGCCGCTAGCAACGCGGCGCTTTTCTCCACTGGCAGGAGCCGGGTCGTCTCCAACATATGTGAACTTCCAGACACTATACATACTCGTTTCTCTGTTCAGAGTCAATGCAAGGACAAGAGGGTGTTCGCTGTTTTTGGGAGAGAACTCGTCTCTACGCGTCACATGGAGAATTTCTTCTGCGGTGTCCAAAGCAGCTGGCTTCCCTGAACTCCTTCTGCTTGTATGCCGAGAAGCTCTGACGGGCTGAGCAACCACAAGACCAATCTCTGCGAGTGGATCCGACAGAGAAAAGAGGCGTGGCCAATTCGAATCACTCTTGACTGCTGGTAGATCCCACATATCCTTCAATGTTGAATGTGGTATCGGCATCTGCTTCGGTCCACCAAGGTCTGCAATCGAGAAGGTGGACTGCTGCGAACTTGCTGCGGACCATGGCTGCGGCTGGGAGGAGATGAAGGAATTGGGAGGAACACGAGGGAACTTGAGTGATGCTGCAACCACATTGTCCACCCGCAGTTTCCGTTGTATTATGAGGCCATTGGGGGCAGCAGTCGCAGATTCAACCTCGAATGGCAGATGTATAACATGGCTAGTGCCGGACAGGAAGTAGACATGCGCCTGGGTCTTGAGAAAGACTGTAAGTGCCGTCTCTCTCCTAGCTGTATTTCCTTTCTTCTGCCGTGCCTTATTTTCCTTCGCAGCAAGTGGTCCAAGACTGGGGAATGTTGTCAAGAGGGCCTGTGTAACATCTTCCTTCTCCAAGTCGAAGTTGAAAGCCTTTCTAAACACGCCTCCTCTACTCCATATCACACATCGTGAGGTCACCAGAAGTTCGTCATCTTCGAAGGAGGAGGACGAGTCACCGCCGAAATGATTGTGCCATTCATAGGACGTGCTGGAAGGGTCTGGAGGCACAAGATGTTCCTGGATTGCATACTGAAGCCCGGTGGGCTTGTGCAGGCCTAGTGAAGTGACGGACGCCATTTCCTGGCAATGGGAGAACAGATCATGAACGCGTACGAGATTTCATGTCGCGGCCAATTTGTAGAGATCTTATCGCTCTCTCCCACGCTCGCCGCTCGCCGCTCGCCTTCGAGATGTGTTGATACGACTGTCGAGGATTTGTTGATCTGATTGTGGCTCCCTTCCTCTCTCACGGCGCGTCCAGAAGAATAACTGAGGACGCGGCGCGGCGGGGCGAGGCGAGGCAAGGGCGAGGCTGAAAAGCTGCCGACCCGCCAAACTTTCCGCCTTGCCGCTTCACAATGGAATCAATCCTTTCCACTCGACCTCCTCATCTTTTCCCCGTCGAGTAACGGCGATATCACAACACTGAAAGACCAGAGGCACGATGTTCATTAGGCTTTGTTTTAACCGACATTCCAAATACCTAAGTTTATGACCATCTTGAATGTAAACACTTCTTTGCTCTTGTTGCCAATTCTCTTCCTGTGACGCGTACGCTTCCGGTGCCAACGGTCGTCTCGGAGTCCAGCCTGTCAAGCAGCTATCACAGACGATGCATTCTTTGCTCTATTCTATCTCTATTCAACGGCTTATAACTTTGGATGCGAGGCCCGGTATATCAACAACAATAAGGTTAGATCTCAGCCATGCAATACCTATCAACAGATTCTCAGATGCACAGCCGAGTGGATATTGTGCTGCATGACATCATGTAAGACACAGCTGTCTGGAAAACCACACACACTCTAGAAAACCCGATTTCCGCATTAGTCCATTGCGTTCTGATCACTAAATACATGTGAGCGATGAGTGTGTTCGCCGCGTGCCAGTGGCTATCCAGTCCCAGAAACTGCTGTGCTTGTACTGGTACGAAATTACATCCTGAGGAGTCGACGTATCCCATGTTGAATGCGAAGTCTGCTTCTAAAATGACTTACTGCAATGGTTTAGATCTTCTCGAGTGAGTTACTCGTTGCTTGAGCAAAACGTTAGATGCTTGATGGACGGATCTGGTTCTAGAAGAGATGTGCTCCACCAGCTTAGAATTAATGAATATGCCCTTAAACCAAGGTATATAAGGATATAGAACACTCACAAGAAACTCGTTCCATCCTCCTCAACTCTACCATCATTTTTGATTCCTTAACAATCCGTCGACCCTGTAACCCCTAGAATTTATCCACAGGCGCTTATCCCTCCACTTACCAAAATCATCAACTCTCACCATGACCCAATCCTCATGCCTTTGTGGCTCCAATGTCATCACTTACGACAACAAGCCAATTGTCAAGTTGCGTTGTCACTGCACCGATGAGCCCAAACTCACTGGAGCTGCTTTCGCACTCAATATTCTCCACTCCACTTCCGAGCTTAAAGTTGTCCAAGGAGAGCTTGAAGTCTGGGGAAAGGTTGTGGAGAGTGGAAACACAATCTTTAACCACTCCTGCGGACAATGCGGAAGCCTTTTATATAGGACCTCTACTGGCTTTCTTGGAACAATGGTGTGCTCTCCGCGTTTGCCATTCCAGCTATGATATTTGGTCTGAGCACAATTGCTGTTCTGGTCCTACTCAACAGGTGATCAAGGCAGGATGTGTGAATCTTCCTGGAGGAAATGATTCCTCAACAGATTTTACTCCTGATGTCGAAATTTTCACCAGGAGTCGGGTCTCTTGGATCGAAGCTGTTCCGACAGCCAGACAAGATGTAGGCGGCTTCACCGGCTTATGATTGAGTAGATCAGAAATTACTTCTGTTGGTTCTATATGAACTCATTCAGAAAAGCTCTCTATCATGTCATTGCTCGCCAAAAGTTCTGGTTGGTAGATTGGATTTTATTCTGCCTACGCCTGGCTTCCGCGTTCCCAAAGCTTTCTAAGGGTGGGTTATACCTACCTTCATCTCCTTCAAGATTAAAACTTCATCCCACAATTTTCTACAGGTTTTTTCGTGAATACCCTTAATCCACCACAGCACCTCCAATCTGCCCCTCACATCTTCCCAGTCGCTTATGCCAAGCCTCTTACTCAGCCTCTCAATCTGGACAGAGAACCAAACTCTATCTTCACTTTGCCGCGCTGCAATTCCCCCGAAAAACAGCAGCCAGAACACCAAGCCCGCCTCCTTTTCATTCCACATTTGAACTGAAATAACCAATTCCCTCAGCCGCTTCACCATCTTCAGCGGCCCAACAGCCGCGTTGGGGAACTCTTTCGGCGTCTCGGAGATGTACAGCAATGCCCCTATTCTCAAGACTTCATCTAAAGTTCTCGCTGCGTCATCTGCGAACTCTACACTGTGCGAGTGATCTGGTAGAAGGTTGTATCGTAAAGAGTAGATATGTTGCATGAGCGATACTTGCTGTGATCCGGTGAGTGCCGTCGGACTCATCAGTATCCCAGAAACTGATTGCGAAAGTCCGTGCATGTATATCAAAGTATTACACAAGTCCGCCGAAATAGGCAATACATTGAGGAGAGCCAAGACCGAACCCAGCTGCTCGCCGCCTTTGCGGATATCTTGGGCGGGAATTTTGGGGAGCGAATTCGCTTCCGCAAAGAATGCTGGGACCAGATATTCAGAGGCTCCCTTGAGATCTGCCCTATTTGGAGTGAGCGATTTGTATATGAAGGGCTTGTAGTCCTTGTGGTAGAGATTAGGATATCTCACCGATGCAGTTTCAGTTGCAGTCCAGGGCTAAAGCCAGTCAAACCACCCTTCAAGTCCACCATTTGTTTCATTCCTCCCATGTGGAGTTTCCAGCCCTCATAGTTTCCCCTCAAGCACTACGACCCGCGTTACTTCGAATTCAAGTTTCCGTCACATCTCGGCTCTTCTGATTGATATGGATCAACACATACCTCACTCATAGCCAAACAACTGACAGCCCTTACAGTGCCTTCAACTTCAAAACCACCCACTCTTCCCATTCTATCCAACCTCTCCCTCACCAGCGCGATACTCCTCCCAGCATGAACAATCGCCTCGTTGTTCTCCGTCACACCTTTCAACAGCCCCAAGTACGTCGAAGTCGTATACAGCAACGCATGAAACAAAGCATCGTCCTTCAAAGCGCAATAAAACCATTTCGCCGGCGAGATGGGATTGAAGCGGAAAGCAGAAACGAACGGGTACATAGCGTCGCCAACGGAGATCAAGTGATGGATTATAGGAGAGAGATGTGGATGCGGGTCGAGCCCTTGGGTTGGCCCTGGGATGATAATGGCTGATGGATCACTGTCGCTCGCAACTGGCCTATTTTTCGAACTCGTTACAGGTGCATCGGTAACGGAGCCCACACTCGCATTCCTTGCAGCATTCAACTGTCTTATCAACCTCTTCTTCCGCGTGGAATCTTTCACCACATGACCTCTAACCAATTTCTTCGTCTCGGCATCTTTTGGTCGTCCAGGCTCCGTGACGTTGACGAACGCAAATTCTTGGACTGTGTTTGGTTTGGACTTTACTGATGACACTTGTAGTGGAATTCGGGAGCTCGATTGGTTTAGTGCACTCGAAATCGCTTTGTGTAAGTATTGTGAGCTCTTGTCACCTTCCGATGAGGGTCGTCGTGGATTGGAAGCAAGCCGCCAGCCACGATGAACCATCACTACGGGCTCGCCCGTCAGCGAGACTTGAAACTCGCTCATTTTTTCCTTTTAATCACAAATTGCCAACCAATGGTCACAGTCCATAAGGATTGGAATTGCTGACTCGAACGCAGGCCGTGGATGCTGTGTTGCACTGCTCGATGCTCAATATCAACTTATTGCTGCAGAATTGAAACCATGACGACGAGGTTTGTCAGACATGAGAATTGTTTTGCTAGATAGCAGCGTGCGGAAATGGTTCGAATGGTACCAATCGTGCTTACTCATTGCACTGGCCTGACAAGCTCGTGTTCAGGCTTATGCGGCCGCTTCGGCGAATCTTGGTGTTGATTACTCAACACACGATATGGGTGTCAAGCTGCGTGATCCCATGACATTCCTCGAAGAATGGAATGTCTTCAGTAATTGACAGTTCTGGGTTGATAAAGGTAGTTTTCAAGCAACATTTTGAGTCGTTCCATAATTCAGAAGTGGGTGCGACAAACGCATGCGGCAATTTCAACACCCTCACAGCATACCCTGAGAGTAAATGGTATACTGATAATTAAAGAGTGAAAGGATGGTCAAACCATGGAGGATTAATTGTAATGAGAAATAAATTGTTGATACCTCGAACATTAGAATACATGTTCATAACCTCATTACCGCCTGTCACATCCTAGCAATTCCCTACCCCTAATCTCGCTAACCGAACCGAATCAAAACAAACCCCACCTTACCCAGCCAAATCCGCGATATGGGCAGGCATATCTTTCCTCCCAGCCTTCAAGCATCATAAAGCCCATCTCCACCCTCACCATCATCCACGTCCTCCCACACATCCACCTTTCGCTCTTCCCAAACAGGTTCCACAGAAATCCTACACGTGTCCAGCCTCCCATCCCCACCCTGCAAACTCAACCTCTCAGCGAAAATATTTTTCGCATCTTCCCAGACATCTTCTTGACCCTTCTTGACAGTAATCTTAGTATTCAGCATCGGCATCTCAAGTGTCATCTTGATCTTCTGTATATCATCAACTGACCGGCCAAGAAGCTCTGCAATGCTAGTGAGGAAGTTCCAGAGCGATATCCCGGCCAGCCGAACCCCTTGTAGCCACTCTTCTGAGCATTTTGGTGAGAATTCGACTACCCAGATGCGTACCTCCGGGGCCGAGAACTCAAATGTTGACATAGACACTGGTACAATATCGGCAGCTGGAGGGCGGGGCAGCGATGTTGGGGTTGGCATTGATCGGGCTGCGGGAGTAAGCGGCGGCGGGTGAAATGGTTCGATCGTTGGACTTAGTGGTGGTGAGTGATGAAGTGAAGTGATGTTACCGCCAGGAGATGCAAAAGATCCCCTTATGATATTACCCGTAGCTCGAGTTGGAGGTGTCTGTAATCGCCTTGCTGCAGGGACTTTCTTTCCCAAAGGTTTTGATACTGCTTTGATACTTGGCATCTGTAACGGCATCTTCAATTTCAAAACTTTGCGTCCTGGCGCTGGAGAATTCGTTGAAGGGGTATCGGCTGATCTAGACATGGTCTTGCCCCTCCCTTTCGCATTCGGCGAACAAGATGGTCCGGGCATCCGTTCGTTCGGTATCGATGTCTTTGTCCCTTTGGCAGTAGGAACACTCGTTGAAGTTCTTGGAGCTTTCTGACTAATTATTATTGAAGGCAAGGCATGAAACATTTCAGAAGTCATGTTTCGAGTCGCAACTGTGTCTCCTGGACAGATAATTTCGACAACCGAATCCTGACTGGAATCCTCATGTCGCTCGATACTAGGCTCGAGAGACTCCCTGGAACTTCCGTCAGATGATCGAGATGATGATTCATTTCCAACATTGTACTGAACAGTATTCCTTTTTCGAAGTGAACGTCTCGGCCCATCGGAAGTAGGGGCTTTTCTCTTTCGGGTATTGACTTCACTTGGTGGTGTTTCCGGTCGACACGGTACAAGTACGTGGTCATCTCTCGAAAGGTATTCCATCGCGTCTCTGATGTCTGCATCCTGTTCATAGTTAGTCTGAATGTCCCAAGAGAAGGAACAACAGAGTGTTACCAGATCCTCAGGGCCGTCAAATGCATCTGCATTCTCCGCCAAAACATTACCACCAGACGGTGATGGTTTCGAAACTAATTTCCCCTCCCTGTTATGATGACTTGTTTGTGCAAAGGGAGCTTCATTTCTGATTGTACTCGACCTTGATGTCGGTCTACGGCGTTGGATATCTTCGTTAATCCCAGCGATATGATCCCTTGACGGATGCCCCGCTTGGTCCCCTCGATCTGCCAGGTCGAAAGTCTGCTTATTCTGCCTCCAAAAGAGCTGCATCAATAGCTCAATAATTCTACTGGAAATCAGTATCGGAGAACATCTCAACTCCTCCCCAGCGTGCTGCGACAGTATCCTTACCTATCTTCATCCTCTGGGTATTGCAAAACATCCGCAGACCAAGTTCTTCCGCCGCCCCAGTATCGCTCACCACATTTTTGATCCGAAAGAAAGGCTGTGGCCATTTCTCTCAGCTCTATGGATATCGTAGGCATGTTCCAATCAAGTAGTTTCTCGGAGTCCATGCCATCCAGGAATTCGTAGGAATGAAGAAATTCCCAAGTAGCCCCCATGAAATCCACAGTTTGCTCGTCCGGTACACCCTTGAGTCCAAGGAGCTCGCATAGCGTTTCAATAGGTGGTATATCCCTCTCTGTGATAGTCCATTTCTGCGGGGTCATGGGGAACAGGCTTATGATGGTATTTGAAATGTTGATATTCGATGAGCGTTTCGCTTGGGCACACTCGCCTGTCCTGAGCACAACAAGAGTCTGAAATATGGCAAATGTGGGGACATTCAAAGTCAGAACCGACTTGCATGCTAAATTTAAACTCTGGCAAAACCCATAGACTTAAGCACAGAAGATACAGGGATTTCGGTGAGGCCGCAAGTACCTGCGGATTGCTCGCAGGATGGCCATCCCGAAGAAGAAAAGTTCTTTTCCGAGTAAACCTTGAGGTACGGCACAGTTTGTTGGTGGTCGGGTTGCCGGCCACTCCATCAAATCTAACTCCAGCAAGGCACTCGTAATTCGCACATCGAAAAATCTGAAATGATTGGTTCAAAATATCTACTAATCATCCTCGAAGTTGAGTGAAATTTTTTCGTCAAAAATTAAGAAAGTAAGCAGTTTTTGTTTTCTAACTCGCTTGGCGTCTTTCCCGATCAGGTCTTTCAGCTCGTCAACACGGAGCGGCCGCAGCTTGACTTGATCTTCCTAGGTCTGCAGTCTGCCTTATCACTATACATGAAACATGCACAATCCCTATGGTACGTCACCTCTGCTGCCTTCCGAGTCAAGAACTTCCTACATAGAAAGTGCCAGAACAGCATCACCGGCACAGTGAACTGGTGTTCCCCGGCAGTACTCGACAGTAGCGAGCCCCTTTACCACAACCCACAATCAATCTCTCAAAATTAAGGAAAATAATGTATTTTATTGATCAAGAGATTGGGAAATCGTTATCAGCATTTATTCCACTGTTATGTTAACGGTCAACAGCAGTCTCCTTGAAGCCCTCTCGGTTAGCCGCCCCATGGGCCATTTTCGCTAGGCCACAGGATTATCTCAAACCATTCTAGCTACGTCTCGAATCTAATACAAAAGAGTGGCCAGAGACCAAGATACGAAACAAAGACAGGCCTCACTTGAAGCATGAACCGCGCGCGTTCGTCCTGTACGTTGCTAAAATAGTTTTTCCCTAAGGCGTGAAAAGTCCAAAATCAAAAATAAACATCCTCCTCAGCCATCTCCCCGTCCTCACCTTCAAGCACCTCCTCCCAAACCGGGTCAATCAAAATACTACACACCTCACTCAGACTCTTCCCCTTCACCTCCATCAACTTCTTCTTAAACGTAACCATCACCCTCGACCAACTATCCTCCGCTTCCCTGCCCACCGAAATCTTCGTATTGGAAATCGGCGTACGTAGTGTGAATATAACCTTGTCGATTAAATCCGCAGAGCGAGAGGTCAGGAGTGACAAACTGGCAAGAAAAGAGGGGAGCGTGAGCCCAGAGAGTCTGCCTGTGTCCCAGAGCTCTTCGGTGGGGTGCGGGTTGCGAGTTATGACCCAAAGGGGAATCTGGGATTTTGCTTTGGGAGCGGGTTTAGGTGTGGGTGTGGGGGACGCTTTGAAGGACGGTGCTGTCGCTGCTGGAGCTGGAGGTGGTGTTGGGGCCGGTTGTGGACGGGCTACTTGAAGTGGTGGAATCGGTTCAACTTCTGCAACATCCTGCGAAGGTACAGCGACAGGTTCGGAGGGAATAATCAAGGCCGGAGCTGTTGAAACTGTACTTGGAGTTCGACCTTCCAGCTGGGCTCGCGAGAATAAGACATTATCCGGTGTCATGGCATAAGGTTGTGCTTCCCGTTCGTTCGGCGGAATAACTGCTCGCTCTGCGGTATCACGTTGCAGCTCAAGTGATCCCTCCGACGTTCCTGAAGCTCGAGGTCCACTTTCAGATCTCACTTTTTCATAATGTGCTGCAAGCACCTTGCAAACGACTTGTTCAGTTCTGGGATCCGCAACACCCAGCCTCAGAACTCCCTCCGTTCCTTTTTGTGGTGGAGCAGATGGTTGAGCAGCAGGAAGATTTCCTTCTGAAGAGGTCCTTCTAGCTCCGAAATTGTTCCCGAGTGGTTTTGCCTGTGCTTTGGAGGACGGCATACTCAGCTTCACAATTTTCGTGTACGGGACAGGCGTCTTGCTCGTCGCGACTTCAGCAGCAGTCGATCTTGCCTCCTCCTGTGGATTCGAACTCGCAATCTGCTTCGTTAGAGGTTTCGGTGCTGATATGGGAGTCTTTGTTCTCGCAGAAGTAGTCATCATCGGTGCAGTTGGAGCTTTGAACGGCTTGCCCACTGCTGGTCTGGACGACGAGGTACCACCGGCAACGCCATCCATGTCAACATTCCGATCCGAGACGCTCATGATTTCCACGGACGAGTCTCGATCAAAACTGTAGTTCATCTCAGTGGTCTCCTCAACTGGTTCGCCACTGCCATTTCTACTGCTTTCGAAAGCAGCGTCGTAGTCGTCTGGGTTTGAGATGTAATCTGGATTGTAGGTAGGAACATGCTTGCGACGCGAGCGGCGAGGCTCGACGTTACTTTGATTCTTTCGTTTGCGTGGGGTGGTAGTACTTGGTTTTGGCGTTGGTTGGATCGATGGCGGTGGCTGGTGATCCGAAGACAGAATATCGAATGCCATTCTAATGGACTCATCCTGTGTCGCGTCAGTCATGGGATTATGAGCGAGAGAAGTGAGGGATATTCACAAGGTCATCTGGACCATCGAATATATCTGCCTCTCTTGACGCTTTGCTGCCACTGCCCTCGCCTTCAAGTGATTTCGCTGTCGACATCGTCTCGCCGTGGGCGAAGGCCTGTGGATCTACTGTTGCTGTCCTAGAAAATCAATTAGCCATGACGATTAAGAAGGACCACTGATCAGATTTACCTCGAAGTTCTTGATTCCTGCGAGTCCCCAGTTACAGTACTCGATGAAGGAGTTGGCCGCTCGTGTGGGACTGTTTCGCTACTCGGCGTTGTGTTGTCCCTCGACCCAATGCTGGGATCTGACTGTTTATGTCCGTACTGTAGATTATTGAATGCGTATCTAGTCTGCTTGAAAAATAATTGCATCAAGAGCGCAACAATTCTACTTCTCATCAGCTTTGTCACATAAGACATACCACAGCCTTGTTGGAGGCGAGAAGAATGTGTTCGGTTCGTACCTGTCTGTGTCGTCAGGGTACTGCAACCCAGTTGAGTACCACTTCCGCCCACTTCCCCAGTACTTATCTCCATTGTCATCTTCCGCCAGGAAGATGCTGGCCATATTTCTGTACTCCCACTGCACAAGAGGCTCGTTCCATTGCAGGAGATTGATATTTGTTCGCCCTGTTGGACTTTGATACGATTTTCTGAATGCACGAGTGGTTTCTTGGAATTTATCAGTATCCTTAATAGAAGCGCTCTGGAAACCAAGAGGCTCCAGGAGCTCCTTGATAGATGGGACTTTGCTGAGCGGAACTGCTGGCTTCTGGCTTTTCTGTTGTGTTTTGCTGCTCATATTGACGACAGGCAAGCAATAAAGCAAGTGCTAGGGATTGTAAAGGGGGCGGTTGGTTCTGAACGATCGTAAAGAACCAAAGTAAGTTCGAATCTTAACAAAAAGGGGAACTGAGCAGTTAAGATATCCGCAGGAAGGGCACCGAACAGGGTTATCGGTGAGAGGATGCAGCTGGGTGACTTTTAGTGAAGGATGCGACCAAATGGGCAGGTAAACGTGTCTCGCACCCTTGGCGATCGCGCATTTGTTGGTTTTGAATTCAGAGAATAATTTCTGAAAAATCGTGATCAGTCCCCTAAACATTAGAGATTTGAGACGATTGGTTCTTTCAACATGAAAGCCGTTGTCGAACTTGGCTCGTCTTTTGGTAGCCATTTTTGAATGTTTGGTGAGTTTTTTACTCACACTTTGCAAGGCAGATTTTTGACTTTGTGCAGATACAACCTGCAAATATCCTGGAATGCACTGAAAGTCTGCCTTGTACCCCATGGAAGAACTGAGAAAGGGAGTCATAGTACCTTTGCCTTTCGACGCCTCGTTGGGGGTTGATGGTCTGTGGTGCGGAAGGTGGTTGCAGGTAGGTAGGTGGCCTTTCCCCCCTTCTCGTCTGCAACCTTCATCTCTCTCGCTTCTTCTCTTTCTTATTTATTCGACTTCCAGCCCTCTAGTCCGCTTCTTCATAATTATTCCTGCCTCTCATCTCGCAAAATTTTCGAATGGACGTCTTCAGCCACAGTTTTCGAAAATAGTAACTTTCAGCCATGAATGTCGTTCAAAACCCCGTCGATGCCATCGAGGATTACACTCCATTCAGAAGCATTCAACTCCCAGCATCTTTGATTCTGGGAGCTGCTTTAAACGCTTTAGGTATGTCTCTCATCTGCTCCTTCGTGATTCAGCGTATCAAGATCCAGGGAAAACAAACGAAGCGAGGTGGCACAACAACAGAGTTGAGAATATTCAGAAGCGACGATGCTAATAAAACACCGAACCTTAAAGCCTGGGGCACAATCTTACTTCGCGAACGAAAAATAGGCCGACGAGTTGACAACCTCGAGCCTCGTATCGATAACCTTGAACCTCGACTTGCAGCCGTCGAGCACGAACTTCAAGAACACGTGGAACTCGAAGCACCTGAGTACAAGCAGGAGACGAACCTAGACTGGCATGATGACAGCGGGAAGTTAAAAAGCGTGAAGCGAAGCGGTTCTGCCGACGAGCTTAATGTGGCCGAAAAGTTCAACAGATACGTATGTTCTGGCTAGACAATTGTGGTGCATTACGATGCGATCATTTTTGCTGACTCCAGGCGCGATATCCAATCTTATAGTCGGACGACAACATGCACTCAAATCCCAAGACGCTCTGCACGACTGCGAGAAGGTCGAAATATTTGAAAATGCAGATTAGTGCGATTAAACGAAGAAAACAAGATACCATTAAAGAGACTGAAAGCGGCGATGAGAAAGTTACGCGATATGAAATTAAATCTGCTGGACTGCTGCGATGCAGCGTTCAAGATGCCTGGCTGACTTGGGGATTCAGAGTCGTTTTCACTGATATGGGACCGCTGTTCTTTGCCAGCTTCCTCACCAATATTCTCTGGTAATCGAGAGCCAAAGTGCAATTACTATCGCTTTCCATATTGTGGGCAAATATTTGTAGTGTAGCGGTAACTTAGGGATAGACGGGGACTATAGGAGTTCTTTGTTTGCTAAGTTCAAATGTAAATGTAAAGCGCTTGCCTGTTCACTATAGCATCACCGTGATTAGACGCAGAGAACAAATACCTACGGTAGCGAGCGCCACAACTGTACTCAGTAAGACCCACACGGATAGTCATTCAAAGCATCAAACGCATCGTGAGCAAAGATACCAAGATATCTTGCATCCTGCATTCCATCTCGGAGGGATTGAACAACGAATGAACTCCTTCACTGGCCATTTTGAGCTTTCCAACAAATCAAGTACTCTGAATGTAGAACACAGATCTTACCATAACCAGAACACTTGATTGGTCAAATTCCCAGAAAACACCAACGAATCGTAGCAGAGATCAAAGATAAACAATATCTCTCTCAGTCGTCATTGGCCAGATGAGCAAAAGAGTGCGCTGCCAATATGTATTACCACGTGACGAGAGTATTTTATCACGTGATAAACGAGCCAAAACGGACGAAACTGTAAGCAATAATCAGTGGCTGATATGCAGATAGAGACGACGTCAGAGCGGGGGGTAGCTGAATGAACAAAGACTATTTGAACGCCCAAAAAGAATCAATTTATTGTCTGCCAAGATTGTGCTCCTTCTTTATGTTCGTTCCACCAACCGAAGCGGGACCAAGAAATCCGAGTAAGAACAGGTCACAACCATGGCTGTGCATCTTTGAAACACTTGTTTTCAATAGAGGGGAAGCACTGCATTCCACATTTGCTTATGCGATTGAGTATCCGAAAGTTGTCGGGACTAGACGGAGAAGGATCCAATCAGCCATCTTGTCAGGCTCCCAGGGAGTCCAGAAAGTGGCTCTCCCATGCAGACATCCGCTCTGGGTAACCATGATGTCTGATATAAGATGTCGCGACATCTCACTATGATCTTTCCGACAAACATCACAAGCTGTGAAGATCCAGAATGCAGAGGCACTCGCTCCCTCGGTCCTTGGATTAAGATCTCTCGATATAAACTCTGAAACATCGGTACCGAAGTTTACGCAAGTCGATCAAACCAGAAATCTGGAGAACGAGCGGACACTCGTGTTAGAGAAGCCGATCTTCCTCTTCACCAGCCGAAGTTGCTCGTGTTTATTTCAAACAAATCGACGATGCGTTGCCTTGGCCTTCTCGGCTTGATATGGTGATCCCCCTGAGGCTGAATGAAATTGAGGCTTGGTTTGACGTTGGAGATTGGATGTTGAAACATGTCGGTCCACCAAGGTCCGTATTCTGGATCAATAAAAGCGATTCAGATGCAAGTTTCTGAATCTCAAGTTGGCGACGATTCTTGGACTCGACCTTTGATGTCTAACTTCCAAGACTTATAGAATGGAAGGGAGGAAGCGAAGGAAAGGGAAGGGGAAGTCCCGGATCGTGGTGCAACAATCTGGAGTTGCATGTGTGCAACAGGAAGGGAGCACCCGCCTGCCGAGGGATCACGAGCGCCAAACTCCGCAGTCCAGACTCCAGTGGACAGAAGAGAAGGGAAGGTAAGGCGCTCGCGTGCATACGTGCAGATGGCTTCCTCCGGTACATATGATCTCAATAATAACGTAGAGATTATGCATCTACCCCTGACAAGCGGGTTGCGACATTTCGAATAGTTTTTGAACCAGGTGGTGCGTCATCAATCATCTGCTGGGAGATTTCGATCCCCGGCTTGGGTGACTTCGTGGAGAAAACAATTAGCCAGGCCCACAAGTACCGTGAGATCGAAACCCACCTCTTGACGGCCGACCCCTCTTTAAATATCTACCAAGGTCTTGATGGCACCATACCAAGCGTGGTTTTAGAGCTGTTCTGGCCTATTAAATAGGCGCGTGGGTGCAGCGAGGCTGGATGGAATAATCGGAGGAGATTCTATTTATGTTCGCTTGTCCAGTGCTGATGCTTCAGGAGACGCTGAACATCGAGAAGTGCAGTAGACTGACCAAGGGAGAGATGGCGCAGCGAATAAGGATTAAAGAAACCGCAAAAACAATAATGACCGCCTCATAAGTAGGGATAGAGACGGCCGTCCTTCCCATTATAATATTGCCCCTCCTTTCCGTACCTATCATGACACTGTAAGTTCGTCAGCAAACCTTCCGCTCCCTCCATCTGATCTGATCTGATCTGATCTGGTCAATTTTGAGAGGTTTGAGTGCCCCTGAACCATACCAAATGGATGATGGAATGAAAGGCTCGGACCATTCAGAAGATGTGGGAAAGCAGCGGGCGCTCGCTACCGGATCTGAATGGCCAGTGGGGATACTTAGGCGCAGGGGGAGGGCGGGGGAGCTCCTACCTTAAGCCTCGTAGGTGATAACTTGGAAGACACACGACAAGACGGAAGTCGGAACGGAACAGAGAATCAGTAAGGAAGTGAGATAGAGAGGTTCCAAAAAGGGTTGGGTTTCGTAGTGACTTGTCAGAGCAAAAACTCGAAAGTAGAAACACCAACTCTTGGGGTCCTTGGAGTCTTGGTGTGCATCCAGGAAGATGAAGATGGCAAGACTTGGAGACTTGGACATGATCTGATGGCTGATGGTGCTTCGTCCAGAGTTCGATCGCTAAGTACATAGGTAAGTAAATTGAAGACGCCACTGCCGCTATTTCAGGGGATGAGACTAGGGACACTGGGACAGACAGGCGAGACAGGCTCGACAAGCTCGGATTAGTCTGCACTTTTGCCCCCTGTCTAAACGAAAGTCCAGCGAACTACTACTGAGCGAACATCGGCTGAGGGAGGGGAGGGGCAGGGATGGAAGCACGACCACGACTTTATCTGCTACGGAGCGAGACACTGTGTCCCACGGCCGGAAACTTGGTATCCCACAACACAGTTGGCGCATCACAAAATTCTCCTTCCGGCGGTACACGGCGGGTGTACAACTTGACACTGGGGCTCATGCCACAAGTTATTAATATTGTTTGTTTGCTCTTTTCTGTGACCTGGTAGAGAAGTTTACAATTAATGCAGCCCCAAACGGCACATTCATATGCTGTCAAACCGTCTTCTGACAAATGTGGAAAGCTGGCTTGTCTTGTAATTCCCACACCCCTGGATCGCGCCAACGCCACAGCAGAGAGAGCCCTTACGCAAGTCGCAAGTCGCAAGTCAACGCTGCAGAGATGCCGGCTTGGCCTTGGTTTTGCCAAAAAAAAAAGGAGACACATGGGCGGCACCCAGCGTTTTGCTATTCACTGACTCTGGCTCTGGCTCTGGCTCTGCCATTATTATGTTCTTTCGTTTTTTGTTATCCATATCCGTTGTTTTGTCTTGTCTTTGTGTTCATTCTCTTCTCTTACCGGAATCTTGGCATATCCATTAGTCTCCTGCAGATTAAGTTGCGACGACGCACGCATCTGCCAATCTATCCGACGACTCCATCTCTATTCCCATCCCCCCTGCCGTGGACCCTTGCGCTACCTACCCAGGGCCAGCTGCACCTGCAGTCCGGCGCTGATGCGAGCACTTCAATTGGACACATCCCCCCCTTTCACCCCACTTCCTCGCTCACATGGTAAGGGGGAGCCATGCCCAGTGCTTCCATGAGGTGGAGCCGTGTTATAAGTGCAGGTGCCCTTGACTTCCAACCTTCCATGTCCTACTTGTATCACCCTCTCCTCTCCTCTCCTCTCCCCTCCCCTCCCCTCCCCTTCACCTGCTTCCCTCTTTTCCTTCCTGCATTACGGCGCGTCATCCCCGCCCCCTACAGTCGTTAACTTTCGTAATCATCGAACCTTGATCTCTGTCCTTCTCTCACATCTTCTCAACTCTCTTTCTCGTGTATCTGTCGATTATACTGTACTCATTTTTTTCCTTGCTTCATTTTCTGTGCCGTCCCTTCTTCGGCACGCGCCTCGACTCGATTCGAAAGACAACGTCGATATATTCGGGCCTGAGTCCTGCCCACGTTTCTAAGCCGCGGCGTATTCCTATGTTCGAGCAGTGTTAGAGCATCATGACGACCAAGCCTGAGAATGTGAAATGGGTGGATGTACGTTGAGGCCTCCCCCAGTGCTTGGAGTTCGAACCCGACATCATCAAGACAAGACTAATACCCTCCAGGGTCTGCGTGGATTTGCTTCCCTTCTAGTTGTTTTCACCCATATCTGCAGAGCCTTCGACGAGGATCTATTTAAACCCACATCCGCTGAGGGAGCACCTCCTCGAATCCTCCAATATCCAATTATCCGAATCCTCTTCCAAGGCCGAATCGGCGTAACGATATTCTCCCTCGTAACGGGATACGTTTGTGCTTTAAAGCCACTACGACAATGTCGAGCAGGACAACAAGACGCCATGTTTTCTGGGTTGGCGAGGAGTGCTTTCCGACGTGTGCCTAGGCTCATTCTTCCGACGACGATGGCTACAACTTTGATCTGGTTCTTTTGTCAATTCGGTGTCTTTGAGGTGGGGAATAGGGTCAACAGCTGGTGGGTCAACTATACGAGTCCGAACATCACACCGTACATTGGAAACGCCGTCATGGATCTGATACACCATTTAATAACGACCTGGACGAAATCATGGAATGTTTACGACAACAACCAGTGGACTCTGCTTCCGCTGCTGAAGGGCAGTATGCTTGTGTACATGTTTCTCGTGGCTACGGCTTTCTGCAAACCCAGATACAGGATGATTCTCGAATTGGCGATGTTTGTGTATTACTACATCAGCAATGACTGTAAGTTGACGTTTGATGGGCGTCTAATCTGCAGCGGCTAATGAATTCCAGCTGCCTTTGGAATGCAATTCTTCTTCGGGGTGTTCCTTGCAGATCTCTCCCAGCACCCACCTCACCAAGCCTGGTGCGCGGCTCGCAAATGGCCACAAAGAGTTCTTTCTCCTGTGCTCATCCTCATCGGCCTCCTCCTTGCCTCCTATCCCGAAGACAAAGCGCAATGGATGCGATGGTCCGAAATAATGGGCCAAACATCTGTCTACATTTTCCCCAAGGACAACGAAACCCCTCGATTTTATTCTGGTGTCGGTCTTGAGTTCATCGCACTGGGCATCCATTTCTCCGCCCCAGTGAAGAACGTTCTCTCCAACAAATACCTTCTCTGGTTCGGCAAGAACTCTTTCGCCGTCTACCTCCTCCACGGCTCCCTCCTCCGCTCCCTCCTCGTATGGATGTACTTCGGGTTCAAAGTCCCCGCCGACATCAGACACGAAGACGGACATGTTGAGCCCGGCCCACCATTGACGATCTGCGGACGAGCGAGGTGGTATTTTTGGCTACCGATTTGGTTCGTCATTCTGTACTGGGTAGCCAACCTCTGGACGAAATACGTGGATCCCCTGTGTGCGAGAATTACAGAGAAGTTGGTCAGATATGTTTTTGAGGACCAACCAGCACCCAACACCGAGAAGAGAATCCTGCCGCAATGAAGTGCTCATATGGATGGGATTTGAATCACGGTGGAGTCAAGAGGAAGAGATCTATTTGATTACCAATTTCGATCGAGGATCTACGACATCTCTTTCGGTCTCGATAGATTCGAGGGCACAGCATGCATGACTGGCAAGGCTTCAAAATGCGGCATATCGATTAAATCCGCCGAGAGAAGGCGAGGCGTTGGAGTTATCTATTTCATCCATTATCCAGATTTTTGGATAATTTCTTTGTCCATATTCCTGGATACGTACAATATAGTACAGTACAGTACAAATCAGCATATGCTGGAGTTTTGGGGTGGTCATGCGAAGCAAGCAAGCTCGTATTTTGTACAGCATATGAGCAAGAGCCGGGAGCATGGTGGAGAAAGCTGGGATTGGAGGAGAATATGAGAATTCTGATCAAAGGCCTTACATTGTTTTGTACAGGTTACATAGCTCTTGATTATACCCAACTTGTCAATGCGATCATATTTTCCGTTTGTTCATAATTACTTAATAACTCGTATTCTGGTCAGATGCGTCTTGGCGAATGGTTTTGATCGTCCTCAATTACGAGGTCAGGTGGAGTGAATTGGTGGGTGGGTGGATGGGTGGGTGTTGTGGGTAAGACGCCGGAAATAGTTTTCCGTCTGCTTCCCAGTTCTGTGGTTCCTAAATTGGACAAACAAATCATCAATGCTGACCCTTTAAGAATAAATGATGAATGCTAGACTGTTACTTCTACCAAAACCGGTAATACTTACCACACCAAGCCAAAATCTGGGAGATTCAAAAATGGCTATGAAGATGCTAGCTAGCATGGAGGCAGGCGGACCGCGATATAGCATACCTATCCAACTTGAAAGATCTAGTTCTGTGCTTGATAAACAGGCACCTGTACCTGATGCACTCCGCGCTTACATTCAAGCTCCTTGTGTATAATCTGATGGGAAGATACCGAGGCGAGTGGAAAGGTAGAGGTGTCTGGGCGTCGAACTCACTCAGTACCAGTGGTTTATCCTCTCCATTCAGATTAGGCACCGGATGGTAAATGCCAAGTCGTTGACTTGTGTCTAGTTTGATGCTCCATTGCTTCTCGTAGCAGTGGCAGTAGTAGTAGCAATTACCCTCTCCCTGGGTACTCCCTCCGCTCGGATATGTATGTGTATTAAGAACAAGTTTCCTCACATGCAAATGTCCATCAAAAGCAATAGCAAATTTTGCAGACCTGCAGCTCTACCTCGAATCTTGTGAATGATTGAATGAATCATGAGCTGCCCGGGTCGGCAAAATTCATCAGTAGCTAAGTGGCCTTTATGCTGTGCATCTTCAAGATGCCCTCATGCGGCGCGGGGAGTTGTTAGACCAGACTCCTTGATGAGCTGGGTAACGGTGCAAGCTGCAATTTCCTAGACATGAGATTGCGTGTTTTTAAGGATTCCGTAGATAGCGCATGAGAATTCCATCTCTATCTCCAAAGAGGTCATGTATGCCTCGCTTACAGATGTGTAACATCGAATGAAGTTCATCGTTTGTTCTTGTACGATGTTTACCTCCTCGCTAACGTACCTAACTGCGGTTGGTAAGCTCCAGGACGCCATCCAACGGCCAGAGTTGTATGTATTTAAACACCAAATTCCATTCGTTTCCAGATCGCATATCTGACGTGCCGTGAGTTCAAATTACTTGATATGCAGTACATATACACTTGGAGAATTGCTGGTTTTCTCAGCTTTGGACGATGGATTGTCAGAATCGTAGTATCACGTGATACAACGATTTCTCAAAAGTGGTACATATCCTTCGCGGGATATGTCTGGATGTATCGCGGAAGTACATAGGAGGAACAGTTTTACATGGAATTAGTATCTTGCAAATTTGTTTTCACTCGTGTCAGAGTTTCTCGTCAAAGAAAGCTATAGTGCACTGCGACTTCATTCGTACCACATTCCTGCAGCCTGATCAATCCCATCGTACCACTAGTGCTACGAACACCAAAATCCATATCTACCTACTATTGTAATCAAATCTCGCGATCAATCATTTCTTCTCTCTATCCTCGTTATAAATCAAAACCTTGTCGTTACGATTAGGTGGCTATCCCCCGCTCCACCCTTGCCTGGAACTCTAACAACAATCTTCCTTCCAATCCTCCCTCTTTACAATCATTCCGAAAGCCATCTTTGCATCTTCCAAGTCGAATCTCTCTGATACCAACGTGATGGGTAAAATAATTATTCACGCGCTCGAGGAGAACTTGGCAGTACATGTTGTTGACCCCTAGATCCATCTCCCAGCACTGGAGAGGTGGCGTGTCAGCAAGGTATATTACAAACCTAACAGGATACTTCGACCTGCACAGCCCTGAGTCCAAAAGCAAAAGAGTCGGAAGGAAACGAAGCAACACGAGGGCCAAGCAAGGAACAAAAAGCTCACGAACTTTCGCGCCCTAATAACTTGGATGAGCAAACTCCCCAGCTAATCTCTCTCCCCATTTGCACTCTCGCCCTTGAGTTTGGACTTTGTATTAATGTCACCCAAGCAATCAAATACAACTAACTACCCAACCCTTCCTAATAGTTCTCAAGCTCCTTGCATTCGCTGCACTTCCCCCAGCATCCAAACGCAAGGTCTGATATGTAGGATCAAATCAAGAAAGTCTGTTATTGTGCCCTGTTTGTCCGTCGTAGGCCGAACTCCCGTCTCAAGCTCGGAATTCCAAGTTTGAGAGACAAGTTGTAGAACGAGAAAAAGAATCTCGAATCGGCTATTTTGAGATTGACGAGTACGGGACCAATTCACACATGTATCAATCGATTAATTCTACATCTGTAGAATGCCTTCTAGTACACAGCCCATGTTTTTCAACCATGCTACTTACCAAATCATTTGCACTTCCAGATCGCAAATTGCACTAGGTAATGAAAAGAAGATAGCAGAAATGATAGATCAAACACATCCTCAGATCTTCGCACTTTATTCTATGGACTGAGTCTATGCAACCATTCCTATGGTCAATCACATGGATGCTGCGAATCCAGTCTAGAGCCAAATCCTAGACTCGAGACAAGAGCCAGCTAGCGCACCCCTCATTATTCCATGCAGTCATCTGCCTTTTCTGTCGCCCAGCTTCGATTGGAGGCATATCTCAATCATATCCGACGCCACCAATAATGCATACCCACCTTCGATCCATCCATCCTCATCCAAATGGAATCCAAACTCAACGCACAAAGGAATCTCCGTTGAACAAGCTCGCGGAAGCATTCCCATTCAATAGTCCTCACAAATCATGGGGAAAATATCGACGCAATCAACCAACATCCTCGCATGCAAGTCCGCTCGTCCACGGTCAGGATCCTATCCTTCGGCTTCGAGGGCGGATAGCTCTGCTTGGACGGATGACTTCGTACCAATCTTCTTCATTTGCGTGTCCTCCAGCTTCTCTCCTCCTGCAAGGCGCATTTCCAAATCCTCGATGGCCCGAATCTTCTTCTGCAATCCTCGCAATTTCTTGGCATTGGGACTGCCTCCTCCTGGTGATGTGACAGACAGTTCAGGCGCATCCTGGATTCGAGACGCAGCGAGATTCAAAGACAAGTTGTTAACATTGCCTGCTTGGGCCTGGCCTTGATGGGGGTGGCCTTGATTTTGGCCATAGCTATTGTAGTAGCCATTGCCATTTTGTCCATTGCCATTTCTGACGTCTTGCGAGCGGCCTTGATTCGATTGGTAGGTGTTGCTACGGTATCGTTGTTGAGATGGGGTTCGGACATTGTCTTGTTGACCCTTTGAGCGACTCCGCTGGTGTTCTCGTCGGTCTCTGCGCTCAGGACTTCGGTTGTCACCACCTTGTGCTGGGGTGCTGTGTTCTGGGATCAAGCCAGCAGCCTTAGCCTCTGCATCCTTGGCCTTCTTTGCCTCTCTCTTCTTCTTGTTCTTCAATGCTGCCTTGGACAAACTCTCATCGCCCTCAGCAGTTCCTGGTACAGGTCCATTGGCTGGAGCAGCTCCGGGGGGGAGACTGGGTTCGACGGTTTCGGCACCTGGAACTTGTCTTCGTTGCTTTCCAAATCCATTCGATCCGACCAATGAGGTGCCATTGCTGACAATGTGGGCAGCTCCTCCCTCATCCTCACGCTTGAAATGCAGGGGGGTCGAGGTTCCCCGGGCTCCAGGAGGTCTGTATGCTCCAGCTGGCTTTGAAGGGGTCTTGACGGTACCGAGGTAGGCCAATGCTGATGAATGGGGAGTTGGAACCGGATGAAGCACATCTCCTGCCGGGAAGCTCTCGGACTTCTGAGGTCTCCATGCAACATTGTAAAGCTCCACCATATCCTGGTTGTACATGATTCCACCTCCAACGTGCCACAGACGAACACCATTATCGACACGAAGTCTGGGACTCGTAGTAGCAGTCAAGATATATTTGCTGTCCGGGCTCCATTCGCAAACACTTGGATTTCCACCCTCGATTGTACAGATCTTCTTATAGTCCTTCTCAAGATCATAGATATCCATCTGTCCAGCCAAATTACCAAAACCTGCTACCAAAACAAATCGACCAGTTGGCGAGAAAATGATAGTGTTTCGGGGACCAAGTGGGAATGTATGGGTAGCAACGGCCCGTTGGTTAAAGATTGTCGTCTTTGCGGGCATGTATCCGTAGATGACACCAAATTCTTTCGAGTTCGGTGACCACGATACATCATGAATTGGGCCCTCCTTATCCAGAGTGATTCTAGAGTCGAATCCACCGTTTGCGCTCAGCACATACAGTGTAGTCTCTCCATAATAACTCTTTCCGGTCTTGTCGACCTCAGTTTGTGCCAGAACAATCAAAGTGGTGCCAAGCTGGTTCCACTTCAGTTGAACCTTGTCACCCTTGAAGAAAGTCTTTTGCGAGACAGGGGTGGTGAATTGAGGGACATTGAAAACCTTGACGGCTGATGGTTGGCCCTGCAGATTTTGTTAGCTGATTCTGAAAATTGTTCCTTTCGTATTTACCTTGCGCTCCGGAATGAAGACAGCTACAGAGTGGTTATTGCCTGGGGAAATGGCAAAATCGGCAACACCCTCAGCACGCAACTTGTTCCAAACAGTACCCAAATCACCACTCTCGTAAAACTGAACCTCGTTTGTAACAACACGGGCGCAGTATCTCTCGTCGAAAGTGTATTGCAGGTTCCAGCCCGTTTGATTCTTTTGCACAAATCTTCCCACAACCTGCTTCTCGCCGCCAGCAGGAACGTCCTCCACGGTGTGCCAGACCTTGAGGTTCTTCACGGCATCACCCTTCTCGTCCTTGGATGGCCGCTCCCAGGTAATAATGTATGATCCTCGAGGAGAGAAGCCTAATTCGTACACGTTGGGAGTTGGGAGAGTGGTGATGACGTGTCCGACGGATGCGTCAATAACTGACACGCCCTCGGTGGAGGCCCAGGCGAAGTAGCGGCCACATGGCGAGTAGACGGAGCAGCGAGAGGAACCTTCGGGTTTCTGGAAACCAGGCAAAGATTCATAGACAGGGGCGGCATCGAAAACGCCAATCTCCTTCAATGTTCGGTAGGCAAACTGTGTAGGAACCGCCATGACTACTGAAAGTCACAGAGAAATCTGGAACAAGTTGCTTGGGTGTCTTCTTTGTCGCGTTATGCGGAGGCGTCGGTGCAGAGTCGATCGGGGCCTTGTAGTGGCAACTAGTCGAAGTGAAGGCTGCCGACGAGGTCGAGGTGCTTTGCTTTGCTTTATTTGGGCGGTGTCTGTCTCTGGTACGATGGGGAAAAGCCTTTAGTGAATCGTTCGATGGTCGCACGGTGCGGTGTTGTGATTGACCAGATAGATAGATGGCAGATCCGCAGACGGTCTCAGGATGAACACGATGAAGAAGAATGAAGGGTTGGAATTGACTACACCGGCAAGGTAGAACAGATTGACGGGTACCGTGGGGGATGGAGGCGCGTGAGGAAGAAAGAGAAGAAGCGGGCGGGCCAGCTATTTTTCGCTTTTGTGTTGTCTCGCCTGGGCCTGGCTGCGCTACTGCGTACTAGCGTCGGCGGCACTTGGTGACAGGGCGACGGAGACCTGCTAGGTAGGAGACCAAGGGAGAGGAGGACTGGATGATTTTCAGAACCAAAATAAGATAAATATTGACAGTCGGAAAAAATACAAGATGTAAAATGGAAAGGCCAATGCGTCCAATACTAAAAGTTTTATTGACAGAAAGCCCTTTGTTCAGCTACAAGAATAGTGGACTGTCAGTTATTGGTTGGCTCAGTCTCCTTCGGCAGACAATGACTCGTAAGGCTGAGAGCTGAGTAGGCTGACAAGTCAATAAAAGGGAGGAAAACTATATTCAAAGGAGTGATATTGTGAGAGAAGTTTACATTATAAAATTTACTTTCTAGGAAGGCCCCTTGACATTGTGTCGTTTTAAAGTGTTAATCGGACATTCTGGCGGCTACCATGTCAAGTATTAACAGCGAAGAGTGAGTCTCACACTGTCATTGCAGAGTGTCCTTCCTCCCACGGCCTGCTTGGTGGAAGTCCCTCTGGAAGAACGACCTAATATTCTAGTCCTGATGAGTTGCCTTTGTTTTTCAAATATAAACACCTCCTGCATTTCAGGAGTGGTTTAACATGTTAAAATGTTAAAACTCCTACATGAAGGTAGTCTTCATGTGATAGCATGTGACTGACGAGGGGTAAACATTTCATCTGCGTCAGGTTATCCACTACCCAGGATCTTACACACCAATTATTAATGTGTAGGTTGTATTATTTCTGTCTCGTATTAATCTGGGTATCATTTATCTCTCAAACCTCTATTCTTCTCCTTCATAACTTTTCCGTCTCCACAGTAGCCGCATGTCCTTTCGGTCTCTCATCACTCAAACCCTCCACCGCCACTCTTTCTGGTTGTTGTACTCCCTTTTCAGCATCCTCCTTCCTCTGCCTCCTCCTCTCTCCCGCAGCCGCCCTTTTCCGAATTCTCTCGGCATCCTCTCGCATCTGCTTAATCAATGGACTCCTAGCCCTGATTCTGTCACCATATTTATAAAACACAAAAGGGATCGGAATCAAAGCGACCTGTACCAGCCCAAGTAATGTGCCGGCCCACTGCGGAGACATTGCTTCGTACATCTTCGGGCCAGCAAGGGGCAACGTTCCACCAACACAAGATCGGACGACGCTATTCCCGGCCAGAGCCGATGCTGCGTAGATGCCATACGAGCCGGCAATATAATTCGAGGCGTAAATAAACACCAGACAGTTTCCTGCGCCAAATGGAATACCGGCCAAAATTGGCCAAACCCAATGGATCGTAATTGGGACTGATGTCCAGGAGAACCAAAGTTGGCCAATAGGACATAGAAGCGATGCGAAACATACAATACTGATCGATGCTTCGGGATAGACACGGCCTGTCTCGGGATCTTTCTTGTGTGAATTGACGACCCGGCGTGCGAGGGGCTCAGTGACGATCGCAATCATTGTACCGACACCAATGCCGATGAAAGCAAGGCCTGTGAAGCCGAGAGACCAACCACGGAGACCAGTGTAGATGAGTGGGTAGGCAACGAAACAAAGATACAAGATTCCATAGATGATCTGGCATCGTTTACGTCAGTAAAGGTTGTCAAGGTATATCCTTGTCATCGCCTCAAAGCTTTCCACGACGTCTACAACACAGAGACAGGTAATGCAATAACATACCGCGATATAAGCATTCCAGAACCATAATATTGGCTCTGTAAAAGATAGAATGAATGGTCTCGAAAGGTTGATCTTCAGCATTTCGAAAACTGAATGGATGGTCAGTGACGATTGGCTCAATTGAAGTAGCATGGAAACTTACGGCTTGCCTTCTGGTCATACCGACACCACCATCTGTCGTCCCCTGTCTCTTTTCGCATCTTTGCTGCTTTTCTTTGCAGGATAACAGGTGCATACGTCTCTTGCATAGAGGAGCAAAAGAACCACCCAGCACCTGACAAGATCATGACCAGCCAATTCGTCCATCTCCATCCCAGATACTCAGCAGCAAACCCACCAATCAGAGGTCCTGTTACTGGTCCATTCATGGGACCTATGCTCCAGATACTGAATGCAAGAGCTCGATAATTTTCTGTGACAATGTCGGAAACGGAGCCAGGGGCATTGGCAATCATAGCTGATCCAGCAACAGCACTGTTGGTATAGATTAGCACGAAATAATAATCGATCATGTCAAACACTTACCCAAAGAATCTAACAACAAGAACTTCCGAAAGCGAGGTAGCTAATGCACACGGTAACACCATCAAACAATAGAATGCCAGACTTCCGGCATAAACGATTCTTCTACCATACATCTCACTTAGCGGGGCAAGTATCAGACTTCCAACAGCCAATCCTAATAGATATGTTGTAACTCCCAGCGTGGCTACTGGCTCGCTTGTAACATGGAACTCCTCCATCATTCCAGGCATACTGCTGGTGTAACTGGTGCTGTATAAAACGACGGTCCATGTCGAATAGCTGACAGCTCCAATAACCAAACTTCGATACCACAGAGGCCAATTCAAAGGATTATCTCCATCAGCGAAATCGACTTCAAACGATGGAAGTCGGGATCCAGTAGTGGCTAGCGAAGCTCCTGTTCTGGTATATGTCAATGCTGGACGGGCAGCTCGTTCTGCTTCTGTGGCGAGATCGGTTGCTGTCAGAGCCCGTTCCAAAGCAAACAATGGGTTTGAGTTGATCGAGTCATGAGAGGAATTTGAATGTGCCGTGTGGGTTGGGGAGGATGATGTAGTATGGATATCCTTCTCGGGATCTTCTACCAAGGCGTGCTGAGCTGTGGGGGAGTGTGTCGCTGATAGTGGCTCCGAAAAATTGTCCTTCTCCGGGTCTCTGAAGTTTGACATTGTGGCTTGTTGTAGGGAGCCGACTAGACCCCTATTGAAATCGCACGATTGCTCAACAATGGGTGGTAATAGACAGGTAGAAAAAACACCGAGGCACTCGGTAATACGATCTCAAGCAAGAATTGCGAATCAGAAAATGCTATGCAGAACAAAGAAGAGCAGGGTGGCAAATCGAAGAGCGAACCACCATGGCTTGATGCGATGGTGCCGACAGCGTGATTCAGCCAGGAAAGATCAAGAGGAAAGGATATTCTTGAGGTTACAGATACAAAATATAAATCAAAAGAGAAGGTATGAGCAACAGTGGGGATAGAGTGGAGTGCAGTTAGCACCAAAAACAAATGACGAACCCACCACACTCGCCCACCAGCCCACCAGCCCACCACGAAAAGCTTCCTTGCTCCGGTTTAGGGGCGGCTTCCATTCCGTTCATTAATGCTACGCCTAAAAACCCGTACAATACCACAAAGCCGTCCCTTCCCCCTGCCATTTGGAGATGCGAGCTTGACGGCATTCCTCCAGGCACCATGCAAAAGAGGATCTTGGGCTTGAGGTAAGCTTCTCGAGCCTGTTTCTGCCTTAAAATCTTGTTATCATTGAGGCTGCAATTCAGAATCCCATCAGGATCAATTCCTCAATCAATGTCAGGATAGCCGTCTTTCTGGCGGGGTTTGGCGGTGTTGAATGCGCCTACTGTAAAGGCCATGGACATTGGACATTCGCAGAATGACAGTTGTGGCTTGAGCAGAATGCGCAGTCAATGTGCCGTGATACCCGTTCCCGTCTTGTCCCCGATACCTAAATTTACCTTAATGCCGTTTCTCCCTGGCTCTGCTGGCTCTGGACTTCGACCTCGAGTCGTGGGGGTGCAGTGCAGGTGTTGTTCTCCCGAAGAGCGAGCTGTCATAGGTCGGCTCGGTGTCGGCTCGGTGTCGCCTCGAACCACAAGTCTCACCGATCCAACGAGCAGCGCAGTATTCGTCGCATCAGGGCTTAGGTAGTCTGTAATGCAGCAGACTTCCAAAAGAGGCTTTTCCATGTTGTTTGTTTTATCTTCAGACTAGCAGGACATCAACGTCAAGAGAGTTTCTCCCCTCGCAGAGCTTCTTTGGATCAGGGTCCTTTAAGTTTGTAGGGTTGCAAGATCGCCTTCGGCATGAGCCGTATTTGGGACAACACCCAGGGCGAGATGGAAAATACTTTCGCCGCTCCGAGAGATCGCGACTTCTTGAAGCTCCTCTTTGGAAACGCGGTCGGTTGTTGACATAAGCTTTCACTTTTGAGAGGCTGCACCAGGAACTTCGCACCAAGCCAGTGACTCTGCCGTGAGCTGCAGGTCGACCTCCTCTTAAGCACACAACCCACGATGGCAGAAACATTCCCAAAACCTAGAGTGTCCAAAAGCTCGCAGAGTGTGCAGCTAGGGTATACTCCACGAGCTCCCAAGCCATCCTCGATTAAAGAGCTGACACTTACAAAGTTACGAGTTACCGCATCGGGTGTTCAGCACAAAAGCATATCCCATATTATCACAAAACGGCTCTACGGTCATTATCTATGGTCATGACAATGGTGTGAAGATAGTCTGGAGGGGTGGAAAGAAATTCAAACCCCAACAACCAGCAGCTGCAGCTAACATGAAGGCGAACGGCGCTGGAAGTTCTGCTGTCATTTCACTCGACTCCGACGATGAAGGCGACTCTGCGAAGCAGCCTTTCGAAGACAAGCCTGAATTCGAGGCGAGTGAAGAAGAGCTAAATCCTTTACACCCACACCCTGCCACTCTTCAAGAGCTCGACTTGTGGTTCGGAACAGAAGTCCTGGACCTGGCCGTACTACCATCCACTATCTTGAAAGCGGACAGTCCGTCATGGCGTGGTGTAGATGTGTTGAAGCACAAGATAGTCTTCGCGGCCTCATGCTCCGATAACTCTGTTCGACTGGTCACTCTGCCCCTCACTCCACCATCGCCTGCCAGCAAAGCAAGACCTGAACTTCGAAGCGATTTCACACTTGCCAACGCTGGAAAAGGTACTTGGGGAGAAACAGTCGTGGTTCTTAATGGGCATCAGAAGCCTTCGGACGGAGTCTCGGTGACGGTGGATATTGTTGGAGCAAGGTCAGATTCAAAAGCTGCTGCAGATCCACAGATTGTCGTTGCGTCACATTCCAGGGAAGTGACTGGCCTCTTGCGTCTATGGCGAGTTCCTCTTAAGTCTCCCCAACCACAGGTTGAGCCATTCCAATCGATCTCTCTTGCCTCTCCCGCGAAATCTATCTCGTTTAATCCATCCTTATCAAGTCAATATACAAGCCATCTCTTGGTCGCAGAAGCTGTGGGAGTTTGCCGGATCTATGATTATAAGCTGCTTCTCAAGCCAAACGAGGAGTCTTCAGAGAACGTCGCAGCAGAGCACGGAACGTGGCTTCTCTCCCTATACGCAGGTTTCCCGTCCCTGAAGAACGATCCTCAAGCACAGCAGGCAGGAGCCCACACAGGCTTCGGTCGGAAAACAGTTGTTGATGCACAGTGGGTTTCTGGGGGACGAGCCATCATTGTGTTACTCAATGACGGAGAATGGGCTATCTGGGACATCGAAGGTGTCGGTCCAAATGCACCACAGGGAATTCTCGGACGCCAAGGAATCAAGGGAGGTTCGATATCAGAATACAGCTTGACTGGGTATATCGATGGTGCTGCCAAAGTACGACCTTCAGGACCGCCACAGATTACTAGCTCGAAATTTGCACCAATGACCCCCGGAAGCCGGAAAGCAGCGAATCCATTCAACGAGCGAGGGTCTGACAGTCGCGTGCGTGGCCAGATCTCGGTAGTTGAGGTGCGATCCTCGTCCACTACAGCTCCTTCTGAAGAATCGATATTGTTCTGGCTGGGCGACACATATGCTGTTATACCAAATCTCGCGAAATACTGGGCAGCAAATGCGCAGAAGACTGCCGGATCAGGCAGCCTTTTCGGCGGTCCTTCTGGTGCCCGGATGGTTAAGCTTGAGAGTGTCGACCTTCAAGGCGAGCGCTGCTCAGGCATTGAGCAAATCGCCAAGTCTTCGACAAATCCAGCAGGGTTGTTATCAGAGATCCTGATATTGGGCGAACACAGGTATGTCTTGCTCGTCTTTGGAAAGCCAGTGGGAAGTGAGCGACCAGCCGAGAAGTCAGCGAGCCGACTTGCATTGGTCGAGAAGAGCATAAATGGTGGGGAACTGGATGTCGGTGGCATTGAGCAGGCACTGGCGAGAATGGAAAACGGCGGATCAAAACGAAAACTCTTCTAGCCACAGTACCGGAAGAGTGGCCTAGAAATGTTCCACTATGTACAAATGATACCCAGAGAGATACAACACTCAATTGACGGAGTTACGATTTTGTTACAGTAAGAAGTGAGAATCCTAGCTCCAGCTGGCATTCTTCTCTGCTGCTTCTTTCTCTTTTCTACCCTTCATCCTACAAGCACATCTACATATTCGCAAGGCCAGGTGGAGTACAAGGCGAGACCATTCCTTGAAACTCTGTATTCCATGCGGGACATCAAACTCCCATCTCAGTTCTTCGGAATGTCGAGACGAAGGAGGCAACAAGCTGTACCTGCGTCAATGCTAAGGCTAGGACGTGTGGAGGCTGTTGCGGCAGATTCTACTACCGTTTCTCTTGAATCATAGACATCTCACGAGGTGCGTGTGATTGTGAGTTGGCGGGTTAAATATTCTTCTACATTTTATATATTCCATTTGGCGCAATTGTGTGCAAGCAATCGCTGTTGTACTGCCTGGATTCATTTCGCGATCTCATTTGAGCTTGACAAAAGTGTGTACAGATGAACTGTTTTGACACTGAAATCCCGTATTCGTTTGGAGACTATCCAGTCAGCTGAGTAAGGAGCGATATGCAACAAAATGTTTTATTGATGCAGCATGGATTAGCTCATCGTCCCCCGGAGGTCCAAGTGGCCAATTGGATGATTGTTGTTTGACGAGTTTCTTTTGCATGGGATACTTTACTTTAGTCTCCTAATATATTCCAGCCAAAAAATCGGTGAAGTATGTGCTGTGTCATAGGCTATTTTAGTCCTAGAAGTAGGTATAAGCGTACCAAATATCTGGGAAGATTCTAGGCATGCCCATACCCAAAACTTCTAGCTGAATGAGCTAGTTGCCATCTAGTCGCAATGACCGTGGTCAGTCTAAATTATTACAACCCACATCATTATGATATATGTGCTTTTGAAATCTGTATATACCGTAGATCTCATTTTCGTACACAGCACAATCAGGTTTCCATTATCTATCACGAACCACCTGAATCACTAATTCTCATGTCCGACTCAATAAACAAAATATGGGTTTCTATTCTAGCCGCGAAATTTCCGCTTTAGAGAAACCGAAGTATCTCACAAATGAAGCCGAAGCACCCAAGGGAGCTATCAGATACATAAGTATCGCACCTCCAAGCGCCCTGCAGTCTCTACAGAACAGTTTCCAGGATTATATTCTGAATTTCCCAATACAATTTCGAGCAATAGCATGCATTGATTGCCAGTTATCAGACAAGAGCAAACCAGACTTATCCAAAGTGATCAGGAGAAGCCCTTCAGCAATTCTGCAGCAAATCTTCGAAGATGAACTAGATTCTCGACATTCCCCTTCAAATCGACACCCAGATACAGAATCTCCAAGTCAGCATCAAGCTCAAGTACAATACCAGCATCGATTTCGACCTCGCAAAAGTATCACGTGGGACTCTTCCATTGAGGTTAAAGATCGTACTCAAGAAGAGCTAACCAAGTACGGCCGGACAGGTATGGTCGAGGTGAAGGAGGATTGGTGGAAAGATCCAGATCAGCTCAAAGCCTGCGAGTGTTTCCTCAGTACTGGGAAGTATCTGGATGCCCTTATGGCTTTGCCGTGTGGAGATGTGAAGAGGACCGTGAGTCTCCTCCCGCCGAAGATTGTGAGAATGATTATGGGTATTAGTTCCCAGGTTGGGACGATGGGGGAATTGGCACCGGAAGAGTATCGAGATAGCACCGATTCGTCTGATGACGAGCCACTTCTAATTTCGGATATCGGCGCTGACACTGGAGATAGAAATGATGATGCGAACATCGAGATCGCGATTTGTGATGTGGACGTCCAAGAAATGGCTGCTCATCGACGACTCCTGGCGGAGTATCTCGACCGCCGACTGGACCGTCATCTCTTCTGTCGCTATTCGGGCAGACTGAAGCGACCAGCACGATGTCCCAAACTCGAACTCCGCACTCAAGGCATCGAAGTCATATACGCAAGTACTAAAAGCTGGGGACCAACCGCCCACATCGTCAGCTTAGCGACACGGAGTGATCGTCCTCTCATCTCTCCCATCCGCTTCTCCCAAGCCTACATGGCTATGAAGCTCTATCGCCTCGGTGATGATTGCACAACCCAACTCGAGTTCCTCCATGATATGCATGGGCAGTGCCTCGAAAATATGGCGAATCATTATGTTTCCACTAAACCTTTCATCTCAGGAGATCGCCTGCTCTTACGCTCCCAGTTCTGGATCTACGCTCATAAGCTTGAGCCGAAGTCCAAGGCCTATGTCCAGAATTTTCTGAACGGCAACTGGATAGCACCGTACCGGCCAAATGCCACAATGACCTGGGCATGTCGCCACATCAACACAAATCCCCAAAAATACATATACGATTTCAAACATCCAGAAGAAGCAGCGAAACTTCGCCGCTGCGCAGAATGTGCTTTTGAATACCAAATCGATACCGTGAAAAGCATCCCCGTAAGCTGGACATCCGTCTCACCCCGGCCCATCACGGAAGGTTTTTGCGCCGTCATTACCGTATGGCGAGATTTTGGCCGATGCCTTACACCATATGATCCTCGCTGGGCAGCTCACTTCGCTGAGTACACTGAACCGACCTTTACATCCAGGTTCCCAGCCCGGAACCAGCAATTGCATAACCCAGCCGAGGAAGAGCCCGCGAATGATTGGGAACTCGGCGGGATCATGCGAGCTTATGAGGGATGTGATGAACTGATTGAGACAGAGCGATCGCTGCATAGGGCTGTACTGAAGATTTTCTTGTCGACGAAGGAGGAGAGGTTGGAGTTTGAAGAAAGGGATGAGAGGAAGGAAAAACTCAAGGAAATCGAGACGCAGAGGCAGCTGGAAGAGGAGGATGAGAGCTAGAGACAGCTGTGAGGGGAATCAAGCGAGAAGTATGGGGAGGGCGAGGGCAGAGACTTGACCACGTCTGTCGTCTAATTGTGTTAACGCAAATACCAATTACCTTTGATGAGAACCATCCTTTCTTTAGATGTACTGTTGCATATGGCTGCCATTTTGCGTTTGTGAGCGTGAGAGTAAATTTATTCTGAGCCTGATTTCATCTTTTTGCCTCACCTTTGAACTTCCACTTTGGTACAGGTCTTGTCAACAACCTCACTTCACTTCTTCCCCGCGTCAGGCACCTTTAAAGTCTATAAATTGGGAGCCTCACCTTCACTTCGAATAATTCTTCACAATATTGAACAACTCAGGACAGCCGGGTCTGGTTCGACCTGGTATACTAGATCGCTGACCACTGCTGACTGCACAGTCCTCATTTCGTCTTGACAGTCTCTGTGTACTGATTATCTTCTGGTGACGATGGCTGTCTTACAACTTCAGTTGTCTCTGCTGTTAGCCGCTATTCTCTACTTTATGTGGCAAGTCTTCGGAAGGCCTTTTTTGAATGACATGACTAACCCTTCAAGGGCTTGGGGACTGGTTGAATACTACCTTAACAAGTACTACTCGTCCAAATACAAACCTGCCATTCGAGGACCCTCAACTCGCAACTCGTCGTCTGTGTCTGTCATTGTTCGCACTCTTGAGCCTCCTCCCATCTTCAAAGAATGTCTCATCGCCTGGATGCAAAACAAACCGCTCGAAATCATCATCTCAACCACCGCCGAACACTTCGAAGCTGTCACAGCTGTTGTCCGAGAAGCCATCAAGGAAATGAATGGACCTCACCCTCGAATTACAACATTGGTCACAGCTGAGGGAGCGAGAAAGCAGTTGCTTACCGGTGCGCTGAAAGCCGAAGGTGAGATCATCGCTACTTCGGACAATCACGTTCTTTGGGGCCCTGAGTATCTCAATCATATGCTTCCTTGCTTTGATGATCGTCGGGTAAGTCTTTCATACTTTCATACTTTCATACTTTCATGCAGCTTGGGAAGCTGAAACTCTTTCCACCATCACCTTTGATGATCCCATCTGCTGATTCAATACACAGGTTGGCGCAGCTGGTCCTCAAATCACCGTCAACATCCCAAAAGAGCGCCAAAACCCTAACAAGATCATCAAATGGGAAGTCGCAGGTACAAGGCTGATTGATCGTGCCTCTTCGAATGTCATGAGTAAGCTCAGTTGTCTCTTTAATTCGAAAGTTTCAATTCGAAAGTTTCCTTGATCAATATTTCTCGCCACAATAAACACTTGTCGTCTCAAGATCTGTTCACTTTCACAACATCAATTCACAAAAGCTAATTTGATTGAACAGTGCTTGTCGCAGCTCAATGGGTCTGGATCCTTCCTGGCACAACATGCATGTTTCGCGGCCATCTTGTCCAGGATGATGAGTTCATTGATGGATATCTAAGTGATACCTGGAATGATGTGCCTCTTGATGCTGGGGACGATACTTGGATTTCGAGGTACATCTTGAGGAAGGGCTACATTCTCACTATACAGAAGTGTGAGGAAACCAATGCTGCTAGGACCATCAAGAGAACTGCTGCATATGTCCAACAAGGTCTGCGTTGGGAGCGAAGTAGGTGTTTCCCAAAGATTGTCGAGCGCTAAGATCTGATGTCCGTCGTAGGCACCATCCAATCTTACCTTCGTACTGTTGACGAAGTCCCTCAAATGTTCAAGTAAGCCTTCCCCGACTATCTCATATTTTTTGATCCCAAATCTAACTCATTATCTCATAGACACAACCTCATCGTCTTCAAGACCTGGGAGCGGATCCTCAAAACCCCAATTATCCTGATCCACCTCTTCGCTTGGGCTTGCTCATTCTACTACAACCCCTTTACCGCTCTCGGCTTCCTGTCTTACTACGCCTACTACAAGTACAAGGACGTCAGCAAGTTTCTGGAGAATTACCCGTACATGAGGAAGTACTGGTGGGTTGTCATCATGCAGGACTTCTCGGGACTGTACTTCAACTTGAAGGCTATGTTGACGCTCTCGGATGCGAGTTGGGAGAGAGGTGAGGGTGGACGAAATGTTCAATGATTTACTGCTATGGATAGGATGCTATGCAATTTGATGTGGTTTGGTGATGGAAAGGATATGTTAGGATGTGTTCAAGAGGTACGATTTGTATTTTGGGGTGATACTTGTGCTGCGAGCACGAATGAAAAACTTAGTTTCTGCCGAAAAGTAAAGTATCAACGCCCTGCGGATGCTTTTCATGCGTCCCAATCACCTCAGAACATAATATATTTCAAGAATAAGGCGGTGTTCCAGGGTACGTGGAGACGGGATCAGGCCTCATGGCAGGCTTCATAGGTCACTTAATTAAGCGAGAGTGGGGATGTAAACAGAACGAAGTTCCGACTTCAGCCGAAAAGGGGCACAGCCGAGTCGGTACAATAATCGTACGACAACACCCCGAGCAGAGTATCATGACATGGACTGTATCTATCAGCGTACGAACATCCTTTTGAAATACACAAATCCGGACACATCACGATAATGCAGCCAAGGCTCAGATTTTCATTTTCACGTGTATCCCGAATCCCACTTCCCAGCATCTGCCACTGCCAAGCACAGAGTCTTCCAGTTGGCATTTTAGCTTACCCAAAGGTTGTGAGCCAGTCTAGTTTCAGTATCGCGGCTTTTCACAGAAATACTCGGCCGAAGATAATCAAAAGCCCTACTGCTACCTTGTTACCACATCTCACTCAGCGAGAGAAGGACGAGCTGGCATATCCTCCCGATGCACTTCCAGGGGGCAGATATGTTGATACTCCAGTATGTTGTTCGCTTCGCCGATGATCTCAGGCAAGTGTAGAGAAGAATCTGATGCATTCGCAGTACGGGATAATCAAAGTATTCGAATGGGGCCCAGAAGATGGAAAGAAAGTGCTCCTCGTTCATGGCCTCACAACGTCAAGCATTGCCGTAGGCGCGATGGCATCAGAGCTGGTAGAAAGAGGCTGTCGTGTGATGACTTTTGTAAATCGCGTCCATTCAGACTTATTCAGGAGCAGCAATTGACCTTTCGGCTAGGATCTCTGGGGTCACGGGTATACAGACTCATGCGGCGACCTAGATCACGACATCAGACTCTACACGTCCCAGATTCTACTCGCCGTCACTTCCTCCAAGCTTTCATGGGTTGGAAATACGGGCTTTGGTCTCGTTGGATGTTCTATGGGCGGTGCGATTGCCGCAGCCTTTGCTGGATACTTTCCAAAAATGGTGGACTCACTGGCGTTGATCGTCCCAGCCGGTCTCATTCGAAGAGAACGTCTTGAATCGCAGATGAGACTCCTTAGGCTGGGAACCCTTCTCCTTCCCAGTGTGATTCTAGAGATGCTGATCATGAGAAGACTCACTCAACCACTGTTTGAAGACCATAAAGACAACTCTCCATATCAAACTGGAGATGGCAAAAACCAGCTGTTGTACGAACCTTTCCAAACCTTTTGCATCAGATCATGCTGACTACCTTTCATCAGAAGCCAGAAGGAAGTCAAGCCGTGTCAGAGGTATCCTCAGGTGACTGTTTCTGGGTCTATGAATTGGGCCATGCAAAATCACAAGGGTTTCTACACCTCCTTCATGTCAGCTGCCAAGCATATGCATGGAAGTGGGCAACTTGAGAGGTGGAGACTGCTGAGGGACAGACCAAATAGAACCTTGATTGTTGCGGGATCAAAAGATCCCATCATCGTCTCGGAAGAATTATACGAAGATGCGGTTGAAGCCCTGGGAGACAATCTGGACTGGAAGGTGCTGGAAGGAGCACACGATATTACAATCACGAGACCCAAGGATATTGTTGATGCCATTTGCGATTCATGGCAGCTCGAAGGAACTCCAAAGATTCAAAATCGTGATGCAAAAGAGTTGGTCTGATTCTGCGGCATCGGTAGCCTACGCGCAAGCTTTGAGCAGCATCCGAAACGACTTGCTCTTGTAGTTCTTCTTAGTCCATGGTGGCCTTTATACACAGCGAAATTTATGATACTTTGAGATTCTGAAACCTTTCGAGTTTATGATTGATGAGAACCAATACATTTCATTCATCCTGGAACATCGGCCATGAACTATCAAAAGATTGATGGGGTGAATTTGAGTTTGGATAAATGTAATACTGTTTTTGGATACAATCCCCTCTTCCAACTCACTTCGTACAATTTTAGGTACTGTACACAAATCTAAGACCTAGCACTGCACAGTTTCTAGTCTCAACCAACATTCCGTCACTCCGATTCACTGACGCGGGAAGCCGTCTAGAGATCACATCATTCCGTAACTGTGCAACTTATCCTTATATCGACATTCTCAATATGACATCATACAAGAAGAGAGATCGTGTTTCTCGAGCTGCTCTCGGTTCTTCTGACCGTTTTTTTGAAGGGGAGAATTTGAGAATCATCCAAGCCACTTTCCATCTCCCCATTCACCGACGTTGAAAGAGCGCCGCAGCATATGCAGAGTAGCGCCATAGAAGTTCTCTGTATTTAAAATTCCGCAGTCGCTCTCTCAAAGTGTTTGGGGGATTGGTGGCGGGGAAAAGTGACATGATTATGGAGGATGTTCTTGCCAAGATTTCAGGGTTTCGCGAGGGCAACCCTTGATCACACTCAGCTTTTAGAGAGAGCAGTCTATATTCTCAGTTTATAACGTTGCGAAGACTTAGAAACAGACTAGACATATGGGATCCAGGCGAGCGCCTGCGCCCAGCCCATCCGCACAAGACCGACCCGTCGAAAATTCCCTGCTCCGACAAGACCGTTGTTGTATCATCGTAGCTTTTTAATTCTCATCCCGCAATTGAATAACTGCACTCATCAACCTTCACACATCACAGCCACTCCATCAACAATACTCCAAAATCTCCACTCAGCATGTATACCATAACCTGCGACCTCAGCCTCGAGCACCAGAAGGCTTCCCAACCCCGCAGCGTTCATCATCCTAGCAGTGCGATACAGCTCCGCCACACTTTGCTCTACCAAATCTATGATCGATCGCCAGTCGGATGGCGCGACCTTATCCGATCCATCTTCAACTGGTGTCAATTTGAGCGCGAGACTGAGAACATATTGTCTACGGTACAGCTGCTCCGTTATGTTCGCCGCAATATAGACTGGTAGTGGGGTCCCGGCTGACGTGGGAAACGCAACTCCATCCAGATATTCGACAAGAAGCTGTTGTGAGAGATCGCTCATCAGATATGTGGCCTCGGAGATCAGTGGGTAGCAGATCTTTGATAAGAGTGTATATTTGACTAGGCTGAGATGATCTGGGCTAGGGTTGATCTTGCCGTGCGAAGCAAGAGTATCGTCAGGTAGAGGTTGATGATGATTTGGGATTGGCTTTTGAGACGGCGGAGTGAATAAGACTGAGTTGTACGGGATCTTGGAATAGGTTGGTGGTACGACGCCGACTGGACTCGCCGAAATAGAGTGAAGGGAAAGAAGCAAAAACGAGACAAAGCGAAGGACTTGAGGCATATTGAGAGACAATGGAAAATCCTTCTAGGTCTATCAGGACAGAAGGGTAGGAAATACAAGAACAAAATCTGCGTGATGGTGCTTGAACGAGTGATCTGAAGACGAGGCAAACCAAACACGCCCTCGATCGAGGCTGACAGCATCTTATCAAGGGAATGCTGAACACAGCAGCGGTTGCATGCCTGGTGTTCAACACCAACATTTCAAAACCAACAAAGAGGCCTGCGCTTAAGAGCGCTCTGCCATGCTCAAAATAGTCGATGATACCAGGATGGACGAAGAATATGCCTGACATACCTTACAGTAGCTGCAGCGGCAGCTGGTGTGTGTGGGTCCGGTCTGGTCGTCTCCAGCCATTCTGCAGCGAGTGCTCGAGCCCGTGGTTGGCCCGACCCATGTCAACATCGGGAGCGACCCGGCGCCCGGCGCCTTCCTCGGAATAGCTAATCAGCCGGGCGCCACCAATTAGCCGCACTAAATGATGGGGGCGAATGGCAAGCATTGCGCCATGGACCTTGATCTCCTTCCAGAGGTGCCTGGCAAGATGTTTTCGAGGTTGAAAATCTGTTCACTTTCAGAAGGTACATTTTCTCGTTTTCGTTGACTTGACATTTGGGCCTGACATAAAAACAGGTGCAGACCCTCTCCACTTGTTCCCTACCTCAAGATCTCATTCTCCTTGCCTGAGGAGTCAAGTGTCAAGAGTTCAAAGCGCCTTGCGTGATACCCCTGGAAATGTTGGTTCTGGCCATGCAGGTCGTTCCTGACAGATCGTCTCACCCTCGAGACTCACTTAGGGTGATTAACAAAATCTGCGAAACGCCAACTCGGCAATTGATACGGCAGGACTCTCAGGGCTTGAGCAAATCCTTGATCCTGGACTCGCCCGCTTACAGATGAAAAGCGTTTAAAACATCATGTCACCTTCAACCACTTTGACAGAGACGTTATTTGTTGACGAATCGTACTAGACCTTGTGGATGACTAAACCCTGCTGCAGGAATTGGTGCTGGTATCGAAGTGGTGGAGAAAGTCAATGATGAGCAGGATGAAGAAGATGATGTGGATGATAGCATTGAAGACGAGAATAACGAAGTGTTGGAGGGTGGGCGTGGAACGGTGATGCCTCGCGAGAAGCCTCCGAACTTGGTGAGGGAAGGGTTCAGCCTTGGATTGTCATGGGTCTTCTCCCATGCCAATTGATCACTCCCAGGTTGTGGAACATCGATATGGGCATCATCTAGCGTTGGCTTCTAGACAAAAATACGCGAAAGACATTATGATTTTCTGAAGGAAGGTAACCGACAAAACTTCCGGTGCAGAATAGGCAATACTTGTGGCAAGTAGCTGTTGATTATTTCGTTTTCCGATGAATCTGATCGCAGAAACCTCGATTTGAAGTGGAAGCTGCCCAAGACTTACTACAACGAACTTTGATGGTGTATCGAACATTGACGGCTGGGCCATTTCGTACTGACGATAATGCGGCAACTCGGCTGTAAACGGAAACGACAGGACAACAAAGCAAGCGCAGAAGTTGCATACTTGAAGCAGTTCACGCACCTTTCCACACAAAGAAATGAGACCTGGTTGTTGAGTACTAAGTGTTCGCAAATACTGCCACGGGTTACTGCCACGGGTCTCTGCATCAATTCAGTAATACCACATTCAAGCCTCAAGTCATGCAGCGGACCTAGATCCAACATTTGGTATTCTTCTTGTGGAAATGAGTTGAAACTCGCTCCATCATGCCGCTGGTCTCGATTGGACCTCAAAGAACGGCAGCCCTCGGTTAGCCACCAGACAACCACTCTCTCGGTCCACCGCCAAGTTGTTCGTCTTACCAGAGACCTGCTAAATCGGGAACCCGAATGCGGGCGCGTACAGAGATAGATATAGGTACCTATGTAGCCTTACTGCGGCCTGCCGCATTCAATTTGATCAGTGGTGGCTGATATTGAAAGGCCATTTTCTTTTCTTTTTTCGACGCTGTTTTTTTCTCTTCCTCTTCTTCTTGTACGTCCCACCTCAGCCTTGTTTCCCCATCCCCTCTCGATCTCATGACTCCGTCTCGACAAGAAGATAATTCATGAATCAGCGTTACTTACGACGAGTGAATAAGAACGCCATGATATCTCCGAAATCCTCGCCTTATCTGGTCATCGGGTGCGCAATCGCGACTGTAACCTTGCTCCTGTCCCTGCACAATCGCCTAAGCGTCTCCTCAACACCATCAAACTGGGGCTTATCAAGTCAATCATCCTCTTCCAATAATGCCAATTACAGATCCGCATCGGCAAGAAAGTCGATAGACACGACGTCGGAGATCGGTCGCGCAAGTAACGCAACAGTGGGGGTAATGCTGTATCCTCATCAGAATTTTGGATAAAGTTGTTGACAAATTTTCGGACAGTTCCACAAGATTCTCGTGCTGAGTCTGCCCGAGCGGTCGGATAAGAGGGATGCTTTCGTTTTGTCTGCATCTTTGACTGGCTTCCAGGTAGAGTTCTTCGACGCTGTGAAGGGCGACGAGGTATTGGAGAAAGCTCGACCACCAGTATGTACAGACTAGCACCCATGATACGTAAGTTCTGATGATAGCCTGCAGGGCATGGATTTGAAAGGAGGTGGGCTTGGTTCCTGGCGTAGTCATTTGAACGCAATTCGCAGGTCCGTTGAAGACTTCTCCAGCAATACAGCATTCTACGGGTAAACTGGACCGGGCGTTATGCTGACACCTATTCTTTCCACAGCATACTCGAGACGAATGCCGCAAGTGTCTTCATCATGGAAGACGATGTAGACTGGGACATCCGTCTCCTCTCACAACTCCCCGAATTCGCCAAAGGTGTGCGCTCCCTATCCGGCGTCAAACCTTCCGAGGCCCAACACTCTCCATACGGCGATGACTGGGACATTCTCTGGCCCGGCCACTGTGGTGAGGTGTTGCCCAAAGGCGACGATCGTCGCTACACAATTTCAAACGACGAAACAGTTGCGCCGAAAGCCCACCAGCCTTGGCTCATGGGTCTGAAAGACATGCCGGAGAAGACTCGCATGGTCCATAAAGTTGGAGCGCCAATATGTACTTTTGGCTATGCGGTCTCCTATCGTGGTGCTCAGAAGCTTCTCATGGCCTTGGCAATCAAGGGAGGTGGGAATCTGGCTTTTGATAATAGGCTTGCGTATCTCTGTCGAGATGGGGCCTTGGATCTAAAATGCTATTCCGTGGAACCTCAGCTTTTTCAGCATCATCGACCTGCTGGTTCTGTTAATAAGGACAGCGATATCAATGGAGGAAATTCGGATGCGGTGAGGCAAAAGGGCGTTACGGGTTTTATTGTTTTGAGTGCGAGGTTGAATTTGGAGCAGATGATCACGGGGTCTGAAGAGTATGTAAAGCAGTGGTGAGCGACTGTCCACGAATTCTGGGGGGTATGAATATTGGATTGGCGCCTGGAGTCTTGCATCATGGAATGATTGGCGCTGGTTGGATAGAAAGGAGTATGTAGACAGCGATGAGCGAACAGATACCCTTCAATTTCTGAGTCCATCCCTTCTTCAAGGACAACCTCCACGATGTCGACCTTCTTCCAAATCCCCATGAAGAGTCAATCGGATATTGACATTATTCCGATCTTACGCTCCAAATAAACCTGCAGGATATCACGACCATCAAAGCATCGCAAAGATGCGAAATTGACAGCTACTGGTCTCCCAGACTAAGAAAGGGCCGAATCCACGGGCTTGGTCGTGTTCACCACCAATCCAGTCCCTCGGATGTTGACTCCCGCTGAAGCCAAAGCCATCCTGCAGTTGGAGTTAGTGCAACACATCACACCCCGCTCCCCTCACTAAAGTCTTGCGCCAATTCGAGACCGTTCGTACCTACCCCAGGATCTGTTCCACAATACCTTAACTTAAAGAGGTCCTTGCCCACTTCTCCGCAAAGCTTGCATCCACGTTCCATCGGTCTTGCAGGCAATCCCATCCCAATATCAACTCGCATATCTTATCGTGACTTAGAACTGTTCCACGCTACAGTTCCTAAGTACACACACAAAGTCTCATCCTTACTATCGCCTGCAATTAATATTCGACTGCAGTGACAATGGCAAACAATACAGTACGTACCCCTCTAGTGCATTTCTACCCCGCCTTCCAGCTCTTCAGCCTCATACTCCCACCACGAATTATATTATACTGACATCCTCTCCCCAGAAGGTCATCGTACCCGTCGCAGTGCTCGCCAGTATCGGCGTATGCATGTTCATATTCATGTGCTGGTTCTTCCCACGGGCATGGGCTAAAGGCGTCGCATCTGACCGGGCGGAATTCGACGAGGCGAAGAGACGGCGAGAATTGGCGGAGGAAACTGCTGTAGGCAGCGAGACGGACGTTGAGCTTGGAGATGTTGGAGGGAATAGGACTGCTGGGAGGGCTGTGCCTCAGATGCCGGCTAGATATGTGCCGCCGGTTACGCCGTATTAGAAGGAGTCAGGGGTGGCGATTTAGGTGAGTTAACGGATATGTTGGATTGTGAAAAAAATTATTTTTGACAGATGAGTAGTAGATCTATTGGTGTTTTGATTTCCAAGAAACAATACAAGGCGTTGAGGGCGCAGAAGTGTGTCTATCGGGGAGCAATACCAATGACTTGCAGGTAGTTCACGTAATCGCGAAACCAATTTCAAGTCAACCATGCTCAACACCTACACGAGAACGTCAATTAACTCCAATTCATTTTAGACCGGAATTTCAACAGTTCTATTCCATATTGATGACATTGAGCAAGTGATCATCCATGGCGAATCCAATTACCACTCCATATCCCTAGGCACATTCTATGAAGCCGACTGAAATGACATGGCGCATCCCTATTCGCCGCTCCCCAATTCTCACTACTTCATTTGTACGTTTACCTGAGGAGACAAAAACTACGATTGCAGCAGAATATGCCAGCAAAATCTGCATCACATAGCTGTCTGGAAAACGAAAACTTTGAATTTTGCTAGTGGCACCGAAGATAACGCCGAACAGACGTCATGAGTACTTGAATGGACCAGGTACTGAAGTCTTTATCACACACCAGAACAGCATACCTCTAGTCCCTCTCCCTAACAATCTTGCAAGATCCAGTAAGAGCAAAAGAATCCACACTTCCTCTCAAAGGAACACAAGAATTCGCTGCCCTAAGTTTAGTGATCGTCTGCACATGACCAAAGTTCAAAGGGCTGTCGCTGCTCGTGGCCAGCAGCTGTGCCGTCTTCAAGATATTCTTGATCTGTCTCCCATTGAGTTCCATCTCCGCCAGAGCATCAATCTGCTTGTCCGTAAAGCCCTGGTCTTTTGTGAACGTGATCAAAACTTGTCTCCGACTCTCAAAGCTGAGGCCATTATACATTAAGCTCAAGTGGATGCGAGACTCGAACGCGGCATCGATGTTGTCCACGCGATTGGAAGTCAAGAATAGAAAACCTTCGTAATACTCGAGGATGCGAAGGAAGACGGAGACCAACTTGTTCCGTTGGAGATCGTGAGTTGACCTTGCTTCGAGATATATGTCTGCTTCGTCAAGAAGAAGCACTGCTTTCCATCTCGTGGTCATCGCACAAATCGTCTTGAGTTCATTCTCCACATCCTCTGCATCTGCTCCCAGATCGCCAGCAGCCATAATGTACAAGGGTACGCGCATAGTCTCAGCGACTGCCTCAGCCGTCAATGTCTTTCCGACCCCAGGCGGTCCACTCAAGAGCATTATTACCCCTTTGCCTTTTCCTTGAATGATGTCATCGAATGTCTGCTCGCGCAAAATCTGGGATTTCGCGAACGCGAGGACGAGGTCTTTAGTATCATCTGGTAGAACCAAGCGGGAAAAGGCATCATCGTTCCATGTGATTTCTTGTATACCCGCAAGGTGGATCGTCATCCAGACCTTGTCCTTGAGGGAATATGCTTTCAACATATTTGTGGCGAGCAGCAGCTGCCAGGGCTTCAATCGGAGAGTCTCAGGCTCTGGTTCATCTGTGGCTGGAGGTTGGTACGTCTTATCGTTCTCGAGTTTCCAGACTGTCACCTCGCTGTTGGGATTGAATTTGTTGTATGCTTCAGTATTGATGATTACTCGAGCATCAACATGCATTCGAGATCGACTAGAGACGGCTACACCAATATATTGCTTGAAAGAGTACCTGCAGTATGTCTCCCACTCTCTTGCGCGGGCAATGCAGCGACGTTGGACACCGATAGCGTCCCGGTGGTATGCCAGTGGATATATCTTCAGATCGGTAATCTTCTTGGTCCCATTGAAACTCCCAATTGACTCGCAGTCGGAGTCCATACCAAATTTGGTTCCTTCCCATTCCACATAGCGACTAGTCACAGCAAAGCTGCGACCGTAGCTGTAACTATCAACGCGCGTCACCCGCTCGCTTTTCGATTCTCCAAACTCCTGGAATACCAGGGTTTCAGGCTCGAACATTGTCCAGAGAAGATCATATCTCATGACACCATGCATGAGCAAATCATCCCGTCTTGCGAGAGTGAATTTGAGCTCGGCGTATATGATGTTCCTATTTTGTTCTTTTAGCTTTACTCTTTACTAAAAAATCTTTGTACAAAGAAGCTTACACAAAAGATCAAGGTGATCACGAGTGTCGGGATCTTGTTCATAGTTTCTCGCAAGCCGGAACTTCTCCCAACGGTGGACAAAGGGTTCGAAGGGCTTCTTCAACTCAAGACGATCGAGCTCTGTAGTGATACCATCGTACCCTTCAAATACTTTGCCGAGTACAGACTTGATCAGTGGACTTTGAATGATGATCGAATGCAAAGATAGCTTCTTCCGGCTGTCAGAACTTTTCTCATTCCTTTTCAAAATGGCGTGCTGAGCTGTCTCGTTATTCTCTGCAGCCTCGGGAAGGTGATATGGAGAGGTCTGGGACCATTCTCCGTCTTTCCTATAGAAGTCAAGGGCCTTGCAAATGAAACCCCCCTTGAGATCGGCTTCGGATGTCGCTGGGGTTTCGATCTCAACTTCTTCAGGGGATTCCTGCTCTTCATTCATTTTCGGGTTTGCAATCACCTCCTGGGCATCACCTGGAAGTTGTGGGTCTGCTAGTCGCTCCTCAGAATCTTCCCAACCCTGCACAGTAGGCTCAGCGTCAGAAGTCTCAGCATCTGGTACCTCGTCAAGAAGAGCGTTGATGGCGGCCTCAGAATCCTCCGACACAATGGGCGAACCAGTTCTGAGGCGATCATAGGTATGTTATCCTCGTGTAAGAATGAAGCTTCCATAGGAGGGAGCATCTCGGAAGGACTCATGTTTGTGGTTGGAAGTGTACAGGATGACGGGCATTGTCCGTTTCTTAAAGGAAGCTCTCACTTCCTTGTCCCGTCACCTGTAAGTGGGACACTTGTACCTGGCAGGCCGTGCCAGGCTGGGAATCATCCCAATCTGCCATGTCAACCTCGGTGTCCCAGAATCTCAGGAACTAGGATAAGCAACATCAGCCTGCCAAGCGGAGCATACTCCACCTCTGCATGCGATATTGGAAAGTATACCAGTTATAGTCGAATCGTCGATGGGATACCTTGTAATTCTTAATTCTCCGTGCAGTCAGAACATACGGGTACGGTGACTTCCTTTTGGTAACTTACCTGCTGCATAATTTGAGTATATGTGATTGGCTCACCGAGTCGCTCAGAAGAGCTCAGCCTCAGCTTATGGCTAGGTTCTCTCCGGTGGCCCAAATAGGGCTCTTGTACTGCACAAGTCAGCTACATCATGCAGTCTGCGCGTTTACCCAGGGATTCCAAGTTCGTTGGAAGCAACAGGCGTCCCGATACTGGATTCTCATATGTGGATGAACAACCAGACAGAGACATAAGATGTCACTAAACGAGACAACTCTGAACGCTTTGATGCCAGGTACCCTGTCTGATCTTCCTCTAGTTCAGACTCTGGATACCAAGCACACGCAAGAATGGGCACCATACCGAGTACTTGAAAAACGAAATGACGAGATTCGATGCCTCCATCTCATTCCTGGAGCCTTTGAAGATGAACTCAGATGCGATTTATCGAAGGTGTCCCTCCGAGACAACCCGCAGTATGAAGCTCTTTCGTATACCTGGGGACTGGGTAATCTGTCAAAACGACCCCTGTATGTGGATGGTGTCCGATTCGAAATCACCTCAAACTTGGAAACCGCACTTCGACACTTGCAATATAAGCAAGATATTCGAATTCTGTGGGTTGATGCTATTTGTATTAACCAAAAAGATGTGGATGAGCGGGGTTCTCAAGTGTCACAGATGGGCCTCATCTATAGTACAGCTCAGAAGACCGTCATTTACCTGGGAAATGCAGACGAGGAATGTAAAACTGCCTTGGATCTTCTTGTGACTTTTTCGAAGGACAAGCATTTTACTGAGATTCCTATTTGGAAGGACCAGGCGAAGACACAGCTTGACTTAGTGAAGCTGAGGTCTCTTGAAAAGCTTTGGAGCCATCAGTGGTGGAGTCGGATCTGGGTAGTGCAAGAGGTCTGTCTCGCTCGAAAGATGTAAGTGATTTGCCTCCCTTACTCATCCGTAATTCATGCCTATTACTTGTTAGAGAGCTAGTCTGCGGTAACCACAAACTGCCATGGGATGAAATTGTCGTACTAGGACGTGAGAGTGCAAAAAAGCACATGGGATCGTATGTTGACATTGTAATTCCTTCCGGGATCTCTTCGTCCTTCGGTTCTTGTGGTTTTCTAGATGTGATAAAGATCACGCTGACAATATTCAAAGATGCTGCCTTGAGCGCATTGCTCCCTCAGATATGGTAGAAGCCAACAAGATTCTTGCAGATCACAATCATGTTACGGAGAATCAAAACACCGATCGTATCAACATACAACATGAAAAGGTCCCAAATGTCTTACTTCTATTGAAAACCTATCGAGAGCGCGAAGCCATCGATCCGAGGGATAAGGTATATGGAATATTAGGTATGGCATTCAATTCTGCAGAGGTGGAGATTGTGGCCGACTACTCCATCAGCTGGCAAGAATTATATACAAGGACCATCGTGCAGCTTGTACAATCTTATCAGCAAACCGACCTTCTATCAACTCAATCTCTGGGCTTGAGTCTCGCGAATATGGATGTCGGTCTTCCGTCATGGGTCCCAAACTGGAGCATTTCCCAGTACAAGACTTCTCAGACTTGCTCTCACTACTGGCATTCAAGACACCTACTGCACTATCGCGCCGGCTCCGGAATTCCATTTTTGGTTATGAGGATACCGGAGACCAATTTCATTTGCGTCAATGGCATATTTTTGGATGAAATCGCAGAAGTTAGCGAGGTTTTATTACCCGAGGGCCCAGACGATGAAGATATACCGGCTCTGAGAAACACCTTTCAAAACTGGGAGGAAAAACTGGCAGAAAACATGCGAGACAGCAAAAAATACATTACTGGAGGCACTTGGCAAGAAGCTTTCTGGAAGACTGTTGCGGCTGATTTGATTGCTTTCATCCATAGCGAGATACGAAAAGGCGACAATAAACAGCCTGGTCATACAGTTGAAGAAATGGCACTGCGCTTCTTCCTCCTGATACGGTATACATTCGGAATTAAATCCTCACTACGATGGCCTGGTAAGTACATCCTTTCTATTATTTCAAGTTGAAATTTTCTGCTTACCAAAGAATAGAACCCTACCGCGAGCATGGACGCAGTGTTTTGGAAAGTGCTGTTCAGCACAACTGGGATGGAATCAAGAGGGTGAAACACATGCATTCTGCCATTGAGAACAGGATATTCTGCTTGACCAAGTCGGGCTGCTTCGGGACTGTACCGAAAGAAACCCAGCTTGGGGATTCTGTCCACATAGTGGGCGCGGCAAGCACACCATTTGTATTGAGGAAAGGAAATATACAAGTCAAAGGGAGAAATAAGTTAGGAGATAGGATTGTAGGTGACGCACATTTCCATGGTGTTATGGACGGGGAAGCCAGTCGGGGTAAAACTCCCTACATTTTGAAGTATTTATTATACTGAGGAAATCTGTGTTCAATGACGAGACTAGTAACTAAGGCATTGCTCTGTCACTCGCCCATATCTTCGACACATGAACTGTAAAACAGCTTATAAAGCAGGCATCCTAACACTTACTACCTATATTCTGAAAGTCAGAGAAGTGAAGAGTAGCAACGAAGTAGGACCTGCAGACGAATCCAATAATAGTTCAATGAAGATATTTGGTATGCCGAGCTCTTTGTCGCTCTGAAGCAAGAGATATAGACGCCCGTTCGTGGTGTGAGGAGCACGAGGATGTAAATAATCATTGATGCTTTCCATGACACAACTCAATGTTCTTTGATTAGCCTGGGACTTCAAAATCCCATATCTGGAAATGTGTGCTGTCATCGAGCAGCAGAGGTTTACTAAACTTTTCTAGACGACCCTTGTCAAGTAAACAAACCCCTATCCGTCGGCTCGCTTGTCGGCACCGGCCCGTGCACATACCCGAGTCATCCCACCTTTCGACTTCGAATAACCTAGATATTCTCTTCAAGACTAACGGATGAAGGGGTTGTAAAATAGTCGAGAGTGGGTGTGGCTTGCGGGGGAAGTTCGAGACAGACAGGCACACAGGCTGGTACTGGGCAGCTAGAACGAAAAGAGAAGTCGCATGCGAATAGCTTTATTGCCTAGCGTTATCTCTACCACAACCCCGCAATATGCTATATTAGCATCTATGCTGCATCCTGCAATGATAGCCGAGCCGAGATAAAGGTGGTGCTCCATTGTCAAACTGAGGGAGGAATTCCTTCTGGACAGACCAGACTGGACTCTCTCAGCCTTGCCGCGCCCATCTTTGGTACATTTCTTGTCAGGCGGCATCCGCCGATTTAGGATCTGGCGGCGTCGAGGCATGAGCATAAGTACCTGACAACCTCGCTGCTTGACTTGAAGGTCGAAATCGTAGTTGTGTTACTCTAAGCCCTTCCTCATTTTCCAACACTATTGTCGTCGAGACAATCGATCAATCTAACATGGCGTCTGCTATGCAGTTCGATACGGTGGAGGGTGTTGAAATGGTTCCTGGCACGATTCGGATTATTGACTGTAAGTGCCGACCAAAAGATTTGTGCATCAAGAGCTGACTTTACCACAGTAATGCACACCATGAATGTCCAGCACATGGAAGGCAGCAATTCCGACATTGTCCTCGTTCCACAACCAACTCGCGACCCCAATGATCCCCTCAACTGGTCTCGTTTTCGGAAAGAGTACCATTACTGGCTACTTTGGTGGTGGGGTTTTATTGCCGCTGTCTCTGTAAATTGGGGAGGGCCTGTATGGACTCAACTCACAATCGACTACAACACATCTTATTTCCAGCTCAACGTTGCTTCAGCAATGTGCTGGCTGTTCCTTGGACTCGGTTGCGTCTTCCTCCAACCGACTGCGATGAAGATCGGTCGTCGGCCAGTTTATCTGATTGCCACGGTCTTCAACCTAGTTGGCTGTGTCATGGGTGGGGTCTCCCAAACAGTTGGGGTCTTCTACGGAGTTAATGTCTTGACGGGCATTGGTGCTGCTCCTGTTGACTCCCTTGTTGAGATCTCGACTATGGATATCTTTTTCGCTCATGAAAGAGGTACAAGGTTGAGCTTATTGCTCTTTACCATCTATGCCGGATCATACCTCGGGCCCGTCGCCGCAGGCTACGTTGCAGAATCTCAAACTTGGAGATGGTGCTATTGGTATCTGGTGATATTTCTGTTCGCACTTCTTGTTATTCGTAAGTACTTTCCAGCCCAATTCTAGTATCCACTTCAGATAATGGCTGACACAAACAAATTGCAGAGCTCTTCACCATGGAAGAATCGACCTACCGCCGACCCATCTCATCAGTCGAAGTTGGCGGAGTCCCAGCATCAGCTCATGCCACAATCAAGGAACTCGAAGTAGGGCAAGACAAACAGACAGCCATCGCATCCACAGGTGCTCACGACGACGATGATACACCCATTCCACCACCAAAGACTTACATGCAGCGCTTCAGTCTCATTCAAACCTCACAAAATGACCCTCGATCTTGGATCGTCATCGCACTTCGCCCTTTCGCATTGGTGTCCTACCCCGCAGTCATGTGGGCCGGCATTGTCTACGGAGTTCAAGTTATGTGGCTATCCCTCCTCGCCACTACTCAAAGCGAGATCTTCTCTCTGGAGCCCTACAACTTCTCAGTCGTCAACGTGGGAAACATCAACTTCGCTGCTTTCATAGGCGGTATTCTGGGTATGCTCTGGGGCGGAACAGTCTCAGACAAATGCTTGTTGTATCTCGCTCGTCGAAACGGTGGGATTGCAGAGCCGGAAATGCGTCTGTGGACAATGCTTGTACCCAGTATTATCAATTCCGGGGGTCTGTTGATGTATGGCTTGGGGGCCTTTTACGGACTTCCATGGATCCTCTCAGCTGGTTTTGGGACAGGATGTATTGCGTTCGGAATTGGTTCTGGTGGAGCGATTGCCATCACTTATGCGGTTGATTGCTACTCTCTGGTCGCATCTGAGGCTTTGGTGCTGATGTTGTTTGTGAGGAATCTGTTCGGAATGGGCTTCACGTTTGCCATACAACCATGGCTGAGTGCTGATGGGTTGAGAAATACTAGTATCATCATGGCGATCATTTGTCTGGTTTCCAACATGTCGTTCTTGGGAATGGTATGGTTTGGAAAGGGGATGAGAAGATGGACTGCAGCAAGATATGCCAAAGCTGCGGAGGGGGCAAGTACCTGAAATTTTCGGATTATATTCCAACAGAAGTCTGAATGGAATCCTGTCGTTACTGTCTTACCCTTTTCATAGCATGCCATTTTCCGGATATCAGGTTGGACTGCGCATGTGAGCTAGTGACATGGTTGTGTGCAACAGTGCAACAGCTTCGGGAGGAGCGAGAATATTCATATCTTGACACATTTGCTGCCAGAAAATCAACAGCCACTCGTCTCACACCATCAAATATCTCTATGTCTGTTCTTGTCAATCAATCCACTCGGGAGAGATGTTGTGGATTAATCTGAAAGTGGCAGATTGAGAAATGTGTCCAAAAGGTTACGATACTTAAGAACAGTCGCAAGACTAACTCGACTAACTCCAAATCTAAACTGCGCTTGGTACAATTTCAATTCCTGACTACATTTAGCTCATTTGGACTGTCTGCGCGACATCCAAGCCATTTTTTATGACAGCAAGGTCATGTCCCCGAATAAATAATATCTGCCTCTTACTCGTCACAACAGCCATGACCTTGGCGCTCGTACTGAGCCATGCAGATGGTAAAAAAAAGTGGCGCTGGAAAGTGGAACGCGCTGACTGGCGATTCAAGTCAATTGAGCAAATCCAACCGTTATCCGCTAAGAAGACGAGCAGGGAGCCGCCGCCAAAAAAGCTTGGTGCAAAACCCAGAAGAGTTGTGACAGAAGGAACATTCGTGGCACTTTCCGAGAGAAACAGGGGTCGTGCTTCATGTGAGGAGCGGCCAGCTGAAAGCTCGATACTGTAGACTGACGAATTTCCGATTCCGAATAACACAAGTGATTGTTTGACGGAATGCTTTGAGTGGGATCTGAAATTAAGATCTGTGTTGACAGAATGGACCAGTTTCCATTTCAGGTCAACGCCACTGTCGCCTGGCATCACAATCGGTATCTCGGAATTTGGCAATAAGGTCGCAGGCGACTCCCATGGAAATGTACATAGCATGGAATTTCCGATGAGCATGATCTTGGTACTGTCTTGTGGGTGTTGAAACCATATCCTTGGCTCCAAGGTCTCAACCGTTCGCGAGGCAATGACATTTCTAGTCTCCAAGGACCAAATGAGGTCCGCAGCTGATGAAGAGACTAGTAGTCTGGTCTTGTCGGGGCTGATTAGGGTCTGATTGATCAGGTGCCCGTAGGAGAGTTGCCCGTTCAAGACCTCTGAAACACTGCTGATGGCATTTGGTTGATCTCCGGATAATTCCATCACCTTGAATCGACTAGAGGCGTCTGCACTTGCGATGATCTGAAGGTCAGCACTCCAATCCAGGCATCGTATTGATGCACCACTGTGTCTGTATATCTCTTGGAAATGTGATGCCCCTGTGTGAAGATCATGGACTGAAATAGACCCATCGACTCTCCCACTGAGCACCTTACTCCCATTTGCAGCAGCCTTGATGCAGGTAATATTTGCGCCTTCGTCGTCAAACTCACTTTCGCTGTCTTGGACTGTCCTCGCCGATATTTCGCTTGAAAAGACACTGCTTTCTTCTAGGGCATGATCCCACTTCCTGACCAGCGCGGATGGCTCCCAAACATTAACTTGCGTTCCACGAAGCTCTAAAAGTCGGAGGCAATCTGCCGTAAATGCTATTGCGCTTATTCCGTCACTCGAAAGGGTAACGCGGTAGAGTATTTGCAGTGTTTCAAAGTCAAACAACTTGATGTTGCCGACCGAGTCGCCGCCCGCCAGTGTCCTTCCGTCAGCTGAGACAGCAAGAAGTTGTGTCTGTACTTTGGCATGGCACTTCATCACCCGGGATACCGTGTCGAATAAGGCAACATCTCCATCCATATATGCGACAGCAAGTATGTTGAGGCTTTTTATGGGATTGAAACAGACGGATGTAATGTTGTTAGAGGTGTCATTCCCGTCGTCGAAAGCTTTAATGCAGAAGCCGAGCTGTTCTTGGCTCTCAAGATCCCAAAGGGAAAGCGGCAAACTTCGGTACACTATTGCCATCAGCTTGTGGCTCCATGAGATCGTGACAGTTGATGGAGCCCTGGCAATCAAGTGCCGACAGTCGTGAGGCAGATCGTGGTGCCAGCTCGTTTTCGACGTCAGCACCCCATTGGCAGTGGACCAAATCAGTAACCTCTTTGACCTCGTAGCAGCGATAAGCGATCGATCATCATCATCGAACTCAATGTCAAGAAGATCCGAGTTCAATCGGTGTTCCCACAGCAGGGATCCAGTACTCAGGTCCCACAGCTTCACCATTCGGATTCCTGTAGAAACTAATGTCTTTGATAGGTTGCCGAATCGAAGGATCCTCACCGCTTCGCCATGGTTGATCTTCAGGAACTCTTGACATGTGGAGGCCCAGTAGATATGAATGACACCATCTGCTAGACCAACGGAGAACCACTTGTCTTGACATGCAACAGATTTCGTGGTTTTATCGTAGTACCAGCACGATATGCGATCATTCCAATCCACGTTTGACAGCCCTTGAAGTTGAAAGCCGTTCTCTGAAGCTCCGAATTGACGATGAATAGCAGAGCTTTGTGGGCATAGCGGTGGTATGAGGTGATGTATCGCGACCGGGTGATTCTACAGATTGGTGCCAAATTCAGTTACGATCCGGGGGAGGTCCATTGCCTAAGTACTAACAAGATCTCGTAAAGGCGCAACATGCTTTGATCTTCTTGCCTGGTATGTTTTGAAATGCATTGCGACCTTCAAGAGGCAACTCAAACGATTCTGCTCTGCCATTTTCTCAATCCAGACCAGGATCTTCGTGTCCAGAAATGCCAAGACAGCTAGAGACAGAGCATCCGAAGACGACGTAGCTCGAACCAAGTGCTCCGAAAAAATATTCGCAAGCATAATCAGCCATGCTATTGATAGTCGTCCCCGATCCTCTGCGGTTTTTTGGGGACATCATCTCATCACTATTCAGATATCGGAAGCATGCCAGTCCAAGCTGGACGTTTCCCAGCGGTAGCTGAAGCTGAAATCCTGAATGCTCATTGAGAGCCAGCAAAAACGTCCGCGCCGTCTCATGGACAATTTGAACTCGATTTTGTCTGTCGACGAATACGAACTGGCCGCAAAGGGTTGAGATGGACGTTTCCAGATTTCGAGTAACAGCAGTACCAATGTCTAAAAGAATAGCAGCTTTAAGCTCATGGAGCGTGAGCGCTCTCGTAGCACAGACTGTCCATGTAAGCACCGTTTGTGCAAGCCTTTTAGAGCGCGGCCTGCTGGCCATGATGTTCAGATTACGAGTATACAGGGCATCCATTTCTTGAGGAACTTCGTCAAGGATTTCCTCTACTTCGTCTGCCGTGAAGATGTCTTGGAGTTGACGCATGACCAACACAGTCCACAGAAAGCACCCGGCAGATTTTCTCACCATCGTCTCTATGAGAGAAATCTTCATGCGGTCATCATCAACGGGTAAATCGTCTGCGTGAGCTTCCATAAACATCCGGATATCGTGCTGTGAATCCTCAACGGAGATACGAGTTTGGGTGTAGGCCAATCCAGAGAACAAGCGCTCAAGATCAACCGAAGAACGACTACTGATAAAGACTTTTAAAGGGATGGTGCTGTCGATATTCGCTAGAAAAGCAAAGAAGTTGTCGAAGATTCTCTTATCCGCAGCACTACATTCATCAAGTGCATCGAGAACCCAAAAGTGTCTGCAAAATATCAGTCATTATCTTCAGGAAATCAGGATTGAGAGGCTTCACACTTACGTATTACTGAAGTGTACAAGAAATATACCGCCAACGAATAACTTGCGCCAAATGCCACGATAATCATCTTTGTCCAAATTCGCATCGTCAGTAAAAGAATCTATCAGAAAACGGCGTATGGCTTGATTCTGTTCTGCCATTTGGTAAGCCAAAGAGAGGAGCGCTGCGCTCAGACTGGATCTCTTGTTGTCGCCATACTTGAAGAAGAAATAGCTACAGCTGCTGGTGCCCAGACATCCTATTGAGTGTGCAGTGATGACGGACTTCCCGATGGCAGGCTGTCCTGTGAGCCAGAAATACCTTGGAGAGTTGTATCCGTATTGCCAGTCTAAGAAATTCTTGCTACTCGTGATCCACTCACAAGATCCTGGAATCCGTACATCCTCAAGTTCGTTGAAATCATCGATGGGCGCACCAGGGACATTAAGAAGCTTTGAGATACTGTGCATTTCCTGGCGATATAGCTGCTGCTTGGCTTTTGGTACTTTAGATGCATTAGATCAGTTCTCTTCTGCCACCAATTGAAGCATACCTCTGCGCTCGATATCATGAACTGTCGCAGCAAGAGCATTGCGCAACGTGCGGAAGTTGCTGTCGTCTGGGCTTTCGAATTTACATATTCCCCTGTGATCAGCATTCAATGTTTGAATTTGTTCGTTGGGGAACCCTTTTTCTGGAGATTAGCGAGACTTCACAGCATAAAGAAATAGCTTTTACGCACCAAGAGAAGCCGAATTCTTATCCACAATAAGACCAGACCCGAAGCCCCAATTTGTTGGGACACTTTCCATGAATGAGTGGATCGATATACCACTACAGACATGTCGGAATTGGTCGTTGATTACAGTTATTGATTCCGAGCCCCGTGCTAAACTTCCAACGAATGGCTTGGATCCAGATGGCATTGCTCTCAGCATGTGGTTGAGAGTCTGGGCTAGATCAGATCCCCGATGTGGTGTCGCCAGGAAATATATGGTATGAATCCGGGCGCAAATATCGCGGTAAATAGGATTTTCGCGGGAAAGAATACATGCTTTTTTGATCACAAGTCCACCCATGCTATGCCCAATGAACACAATTGGTGTATTTGGTGCTCGACGGCCAAGGGTATTGTGCACTTCTCCGATCAAAGATTGGCCAAAGTCATGAATCGTGAGCAAGTTTTCTTTGCTATCGAGCCAGTCAGAGTTGTATCCAAAGCTGTGTATCCTAACATGTCTGAAATCAGGATCCGCAGGGAGCCATTCTTTTGGCCAGTAATGTGCAGTGCTTGGTGAAGCACTCCATGTCTTTCTTGATCCTCCACGGAGCCCATGTACGAAGACAAAGTCAAGATTGCAGTCGGATGGTTCGTAGAGGAGGTTCAGTCCAAGATCCCCGATGCTCTCAGCGGTCGTGACGGAAGCACATCTTCGCAAATTAAGCCCACGGAATTTTCTTTCCAAGAAAGAAAAGTCGGATCGCTTCTTGCCCTGGCTTGTTGGCGTGTCCTAACAGTTACGATACAGTGGTCAGTATTTGCAGAGCGGAAAGACAGGAGGATATCTCAGGCAACGACGAAACTCACCGAATCCATGTGCTTAGGGTGCCTGGGTGGGCAGCAATACAGAAAACAGCATTGCTCTTGAACGAGAATGAAAGAGAGGAAGGTTCAACCACATCAAGCAGTCTAGTTTGCAATTTCAAGAGAAACAGCTCAAGAGTAAGACCAATATCCAGAATGGTGGCATGGACGTTTCGTTGTGATTTGTGGGTGGGCAGCTGCAGATCCAGCGAGGCCTAAGCTACGATTGAAGCAGCCCAAGGCCCAGAAGGTCGGGAACGAAACGGGCCATAACATGTCCCAAAGTTTGCTACGCAGTTGACAGGGACATTTACCATGGCAGTAGCTGGATCAACGCCTTGCGTTGAGCGGAGACTCATATTGCGGATGAAACATCCTTTGTTCTCATGCTGGTAAATAATTGCCTCACGGCTGCCAAGAGACACTGCTTTAAGACAAGCTTCGTGAACCAACTTCATCTGACACGTCATTATCAGATGTTCCAAGTGCCCGGAGTCCTGCTTCTTCAAACAGATAAGAAATGACAGAAAAAGTGGGCGACGAATGAAAATGTTTGCAGGCCGCCACACATCTTGAATCATTAGGGAACTTAGAGCAGCAATGCATATCACTGCATGTCTGCAGCGTGAGACCAAACTTGGCAGCCATCTCGGAATACCTCTGGCGGTAGGCAAGATAGGAGACCCTCCATCTGGGCCCACCTGGGACCACCTACGACCAGTAATTCTGCTTCTCGGATCCAGATCTAGTCCTCAATTGCTGGCTGGAGCTGGAAGACGCAAGTAGACCATCGCCACCAGCTAATCTCCAAGACCTGTTCAAAACACCGAATAGGTCTTTCGACCCGAGCTATAAAGCAATTTTGTCGCCATTCTTTCGTCCGCCAAAATATTAACGTCGACCCGCTTTCCACGCGCAGAGGTAAAAGCGATGGATTGTGCAGGTGACACTGGTGTGCAGGCCCCCCAGATACAAAGCTTGCTCGAGGAAGTCAACATTGATGAAAGAGTCGAAGAGTGTGAGTTGGACTGTATTGCTTCGAATAGAAGATACTGACTTCGCCTCACATATAAACTTTCCACCTGGCTCACAAGTGACATCTGCCTTGCCACATGGCGCAAGTTTCTGGACACGGACAGCCAGAATTAGTCTTGCCCTGGAAGACGGCTCCCCGTACAACCTATTTCTCAAAGTAGCTGAAGGCCCTGACGGCCTGGGGCTTGTTTATGGCGAATATGAAGCAGCGAAGACACTTTACGGTGTTGCTCCCAACTTCTTGCCAAAGCCAATTGGAGCTGGAACCTATATCTCTGATCCTAACACCTATTTCTACCTCAGCGAGTATGTCGACATGATTGAAGAAGTTCCCGATATGCAGAAGTTCTGCGTATCGCTTGCAAAGATACACCGGGACAGCGTGCCTCTGTCCCTAAAGGGGCAGTTTAGTTTTCATATTGTAACCTATAATAGTAATAAAGCTCGTGACGTCACGTAGTATGATACTTAGAAGGAAATGTTCATGAACTCCATGAAAAGGAGAGTATAGTAAGAACGAGAAGCTTAAGGGCCAAGTGCTGAGCTGGAGAAATTGCTTCCGTTACTGTACAAGAAGGTGATTCCTAGGCTCCTATGGCCTCTACATACTGGTGATAATCGAATCACGCCAGTTCTAGTTTATAGCGATATCTGGTATGGAAATCTGGCGACAAATGCCTCAACTGACGAACCTATTGTCTTCGATCCCGCGATAATCTGGGCGCATAATAAATATAAGTATTCTTAATCTACTGTTCTATCTTATAGGATTATAAATTCAAGTGTGCGTAGTGGACGTTGTAAATATGGTTATGCCACGGTTTCAGCTTGGCCGAGCATGGACTCGCGAGTATTATAAGCACTTTCCTATTTCGGCACCTGAGGGAGACTACGAAGACCAGCTCCGACTATATACTATATAAGCTGTTTGGCAGAAGTAATAAGTCTATATAATAGCGCTAAATATTCCCAGATACGGCGGACTATGTGTATCCTCTCTTTATATAAATATAACCAGGTACCGACAGATATAAGTTATTCCTTCTAATTGTATATTGTAGCAGATCTCACTAACAAATACCAATAATAAAGGCTTATCGAATGGATTCAAGAACTTGTGGACAAGTATCTAAAAGGTTTTCAAGGCCTTTAAGTAGAATTGTGATAAGAAGGACTAACATTAGCTTTAAGAACAAAATTGCATATATCATCTAGCGCTACCAGCCAAATATATAAACTCTAAACTTCCTAATTCTTAGATACTCTAAGGCGTTGTAGTCTCCACTTCATACTCATGTTTCTTTCTACTATGAATAAAAGTCCAGATACTAAGTATAGACAACTAAAGAAAGTGAACGTCCAACCGACGCCCATTCGGTCAGTTATATTCTGAAGAAATACTACTGATATTACGGCCATAGTACAACATACGAAGTTACTTGATACCTAGGCTACTACTAGTGCCTCCGGGTTAATATTAACATGTAGAGTATTCGTTATCTGCTAATGAATTAGCCCGCTACCTAAGTATTTCATTCTCCTAACTAATCCTTCTCTTAACTAAGAGCGCCTATACTAGAAGTAATAAACCCGAATACGAGAAATACTATAATACTAACATTGAAGCAGGTCTATAAAGTAAGACCTGAGAAGAATTAAATAACAGCTAGTTGTTTGACCTGAATCCTCACTTGCACGAAATCTATTTCTATTCGGAAAAGTAAGCAGGGCTACTTTATTAGCAATACTAGGTGAGCTAAGGTGAGCTAAGGTGAGCTAAGGTAAGCTAAGGTGAGCTAAGGTAAGTAAGGTAAGGCGAGGGTAGGAAGCGGGTGAGCAGTAGTGAGGAAAGCGGGAGAGTCAGCACGAGCATATGAAATACTATTTTAATACACAAGGGGGCTCGTCTTAGCTCCCCTCAAGGCCCGGTTACACTTTCCCTTATCTGTATACACAGATCCCATTTTGGCTCCCGTCTCCCGTATAACCGAGATTCTTCCGGAACCAATTTTGGATCCATATCGCTTACATACACATAATAGAGATCTCAGCCTCATGATCCCATAACGTCACCTTGACCATATGGGCAGCTACAAGGCGATTTTATGACATGAATTTCAGTGGCACTTAGTTTACTCCTTTTTACTTTGAAACTTTTGATGCTATACTTTACTCGCGTGTTTCTTCTTTTTCTCCTAGTTTTTGCTTTGCCTAGAAGGTCAAGGTATTCTGTCAACGGGCTTAGTTCCTATGCAGATACAGATATGATATTATATTAGGAAGAAGTTTATATTAGTTCTATCTCAGCAGTTACTTGGATAACTATAGCGAATGATTAAGGTCACTGGTTCACTAGTTGATCTTATGGATTCATATAGCTATAAGGTTACGCTTAGAAGGCACTACACCGAGGTTCATGCATACTATATTAGGGACAACTGCACTAGCTAGGCCACCAAAGGAAGATCACCTGCTGAACAGTGGATATTTCATAATAGCCGCTTCAGGCAGGAGTTACACTAATATCCGGTGTCACTAGGAGATTCATCTGCACGAATAAAAGGGGCGGAGGCTCAAAGATTCATACCGTATTAATAGTGCGGCCTAGGAGTTATACTAAGGGCTAGTGATATTATGAGATTCATAGAAATCCTTGCAAGGCAGAATCATATTAGCGGCACAGTTCAGAAGGGTTCAGGATCAGCTAGGTCAGGCTAAACCGAGGTAGAGCCTTACATCAGCGCTACCGCGTCAAGGAGCAGTTATCCTAATACTTAGTTGCACTGGAAGAACTATATGAAAGGGGGTGGTAGGTCAGCTAAGGGCGATACCGTGTTAAGGAGCTATTATACCAAAAGCTTAGTAGCACTGGGAGATAGATAGTTATACCCAAGGCAGTAGTACTAGAGGTTCGTGTAAATCCTACTAAGGGAGAATCATATCGGTGGTATAATTATATAGGGGCAGGATCAGGTGGTAGAGTAAGGTAGAGATTCACGTATTAGTAATAGCTGCGTCCAGGAGCGATTAAGGTCTAGTAGCACCGGGAGATATATACGAATCCTAGTAAGGCAGGACTATATCAGTAGTAGAGTTACACGGACACAAGGCATGTGAGGTTTCTGGTATTTCTGCAGCTAGTGTATTTATACAAAAGGGTATCCCAGAGGTTATAGCCCCGCCTATACTAAGTCTCTCCCTCGCTTTATGTTAAGTGAGGGGTAAACCTAAGCCTTAGCAAAATCTCTTCCTCGATACAATCTCGCCGCTATATGAACCTAGCTACGGCCAGCAGGTACACCAGCTATTCCAAGCTCACTCCATTAATATAACTTTGCCGCTGAGCTGGTTCTGCCTTACCTATATAAAACTTTCAGCTCCTTGTAGAGACGGACCCTCGTAACTACCCGGCTATATAGGCGGCGAACACCGGTCATTAATATGCCCCTAAGCATCCTGCTAGCCTAGCTGATCCCTCTAAGTCGTTAGTCAGTCCGTAAGAGGTAGGCTCAAGGCAGATTAAGGCACGGGATTATACCGGCGCTCAGCTCGACTCCCCCTGAGTATGACGATAATCGGCCTAAATAGGAAGGTATCCTAGAGGAGGAGCTGGAAGTTAGTAGTACTTAGCTCGTGTTATCACTTAGAATAAGGCGAATCAGGCCGCGTAAGGAGTTTCCCTGATGAAAGGGGTCTAGGTCGGTCTATAGGAAAAAGTAGTAGCGCTGAACTTTTCTAACTAACTTAGCTTAATCTAGGAAGACATGGGAGAAAGAAGAGTAAGTACGTAGAACTCAGCTCAGGGATTCCTCAGATCATACTATGCACTAGGAAGTGTATAATAGTACGAGAAGGTGGCATAGAATAGAGAGAAATAGTATCAGTGCCTATTATCACGATACTCTTAGGTGCTACAGGAGTTTAAACGAATTTTGGTATCTAGTGCCTTTAAGGACTTATTTCTCTGTATATTTCCGTATCGTAACTTAGAGTCTTAGTTAATATAACATTGTTGAAGCTAATATATGACTAAGCACACTTTGAGTATTTTCAAGGGCGGTGGTTTTTCATGCGTTGGTTAAGGCCACTAATAGGTCTGCCGGCGCGGGGAAAGTGACTCGTAAGTTATACGTATGGAGGCTTAGATCTGGACTAGCTAGTACCAAGGGATTAATATATTACTTTTAACCCCAAATACAGCAGTAGATACAAACGAGAAGCAGCTTCAAAGAGAGGGCAGCAGGATATTAGGGGAAGGTGCATTAGGCGGAACACCACAAAAGAAACTCAGAAGCAGACATGACACTGGTGATCGCTAAGGTCAACAGGCTATTCCTTTACTGCAAGTGTGACATCAAATAGTGGATTATTCAAAAATTCGTATAGCTATTTACTTCAATGGTTTCATTGTTTCATACAGTTCCCAAAATACGTTACAGCGAATAATACGCCTCGAATACTAACTTAGGGTCGGTGAGACCATTCGCTAATGTAATTTAACAGGTCGACCCCTTCTTTAGTTTTTAAAATACTCCCTCTATAATCCTTTAGAACACGGAAGTCTCTAAGGTAGCTCCCTCCAACACGGCTTAATTGACTGTCATCTTCCTCCAGTAGAGATGAGGCGTCCATTTCGTTAGCGCTCGAGCCGTGGCATTGGGAATGGAGTAAGATTCGGCTCTGTAACGCTGAAAAGGGAGTAGGAAATAGCTCTACAACGCTGGCGTTGAATGGCAGCAGAAATTAGCTCCTTGATGTTAGCGCATCTATTTCGCTGGCGCTTGACGAACGCCAGCGTGGATAATAGAGCAAAATTCGGCTAATAGACGCTAGCGTTGAGAGAGCAGAAAGTAGTTCCCTGATATTAACACATCTATTTCGCTGGCGCTTAACGAATATTAATAATGGGAATAGAGCAAATTTCAGCTACCCGACGCAAGCGTATTTACTTAGTAGACGTTAAGAAGCGCTAGTGAAACTAGATCTAGGCTAACTCGATCTAGGAAGGCGGAAGTACGGGGACGACGCTTAGGGAAGCGAGCTTTTAATCAGTTATCTCGATAATACCCGGCCTTGTGCCGAAGTAGCACACTCCTAGCAGAAGTTATCCAAACAAAATAAACATAAGCGAGGCTAAAAAGGGGGTCATATCACATGAACCTAACCTGCGAAATTACGATATTAATAAATAACATAGGGAGTAAAGCGTGGCCGGGGCTAGGCATCCTACGACTTTATGCGACTTCATGCGATTTGCAACAAATAAAAAATATAATAAGCTATAATCTCAGCCTCATGAGCAGCCACCAAATTAGGCGACGGTTATTAGCCCATGCAGTAAAGTAGTGCCGCCACCATCGGCATCCACAGCTCCCATTTACATGAACCTAGAATCATTAACCCCCATTACGCTTAGTAGCAGGGGGCTACTAGCCTCGAGAGCCGCACTCTATGAACTAG